ACACACACACACACACACACACACACACACACACACACACACACACACACACACACGACACACACTCTGCTTTGCTTTGCCTTGCCGTACAACATGGGAATGTATATAAATATGTACTCTCTGTAAACTGCCGACGCCAATACATACATGAAATGAATCTACCTCGGGTACATATATATATATGTATACTTTGTAGGTAGATAGGTATATACACGTATATACACATGTATATATATTGTACACGAGATACTTAACCCCTTTATACAACAAAACTTTGATCTGCTGGGTTTCTCGTGGTCACCCATCACCATCACCAAAACAAAAAACCAAAAAAAACCAAAAACTTCGAGGGTACTCGTTCGTGTGCAAATGTGCATATGCCCATATGGTGATTCGCTGACTAGGTAGGTAGTCAAGTGTCGGGTGCGTGGCCGATATTTTAAGTGTTAGTAGTTTGTTGTTCTTCCCTCGCCCGCCCTAAAAACACCAAAACATCCAAATGTCGAAAGCAAAGCGAAAACAAGGCCAAAAAAAAGGAAATTACATCGCAAAGAGACAAAATTCTCTCCCTTCACCCCTCGTTTCATCGTGTGCCAAAAAAAAGCATCAAAATACCGAAAACGTTGAATGATAAAAACACCAGCGAAAACTCGGATATGTTGACGTTATTCAAGAGTCGAAAGTAATGATGAGACCCGTCTCAGAACACGGAAAAACACGAAACGAAAATAAAACGACAGCTCAAGTCCTTTCACCCTGCTCCCCTTATTATCAACGCATGGTTCATTTCAACCTTTTTCTTCTTCTTGGGAATCCAGAAGCGCCAATGGATTCTAAATAAAAAAAACTTCGACTTGACCGACCGCCCCCTCGCTTCCAACTTTGATCATCTCCCTCGTCTCAATAGTCGACCCGTCATACTCCGTCTGGTTTCTCGTTCAACTTTTTCCTCTTTCACTTCTTTTTCCTCCTTGTCATCATTCTCTTTGTCAGGTCTTCCCTCGTTGGCATCGCCATCCCGCTCGACACTCCTTCGCGCAAGGCTACTTCGTCGACTTCCGCGTCTCGTTGCACTTCCAGGAGTGGTGACACTCGAGGTGGCAGCTTGAACACTTCGAGTTGTCATGACAGGCGATTGGAAAGGTCCATTGTTGGCGGTGGAGGCGGGAGCGTTACGCTTTGCTGCAGCACCTGCATCCTTGCTCGCATCATTATCCACAATGATCGTCTGTGATGGGTCCTCTGATTCTGGCTCAGCTGCAGGACTAGACACAGCAGGCTCAGTTTTGGGTTCAACCTCAGGCGCGGTCTTGGACACGGACGAAACGTCTGGTGCAGGTGTTATCTGTTGGTTTTTATCCGCGCCGGTGCCATTAGGAACTTCAGGTGCCTTCTCGTTTTGCTTGTCCGGTTGCTGATCTACACCGGTCATTGTCACATCGCCATCCTTGTCTGCACCAGCTGGTCCGTCGGGTTTCGCAGGCGTTGGTTCGCCGTTCTTCACAGGAGCCGCCGCTGGAGGAACAGTACCCTTTTGTGCTGGCTGGCCTTTGTCAAGGGTTGCAGGAATTTGGGCAGCTCGAGGAGCTTCATTTACAGTCTGGATCTTTGGAGCAGGACCCGAGGCCGAGGATATGGGAGAGGCGGCAACATTAGCAACAGCTTTGGATGTATCAGCAACAGAGATCGTGCTGCTCGACTTTGGTTGTGGAGGCAGAGTATTCAAAGGTGGAGATTTGTTTTGAACACCATTTGCCACATTAGGTCCAGGTTGATAGGCCAGTGGAAGAGGCTGTAAACGTTTAACACCAGCATCATTTGGACCAAAGTCACCTTGCAACCTCTTTGGCTCGAGCTCAGCGTGAAGGGGTAGTCCACCTGGGAAAGGATTTCGATACCAATTACCACTCGGGGCAGAATAGGTGTTCATGGGACTTGCAGTCGCAGTCTGTGGTGCAGATTTCCGCGATTCATCCGTGGTTGCTTCCCTCGAGAACCCATTCATGCTCACAGTTGGACTTCTTTTCATCTCGTCGCTCAGCGCGGGACTTTGCGCCGGACTGGGTCTGTAACCTGCCGGTCTCACATCCGGATCGTATCCGCCTGGTGTGTCTTTACGAATATACGGTCTCGTCTCCAAGCCCATGGCCTCTTTCGTCTTGGTTTTGATCTTGTGATTCTTAGGATCTGCCATAGTACCAGCTGAGCCCGATCCATGGTCACGTTCATAATCCTCGACCTCCTTGATGGGCACACCATAACGCTCCAGAGCTTTGTCGAGGCTTCCGATCGTCCCCTTGGGTTGCGAATGGTTTTTAACAATATGGCATTGGAGGCCATGCACAGTGCGCCAATCGATTCGTGTGCAGCCGTCGTGGTTGCAACGAAGGTACATCTCAACAGGTGCGCCGGTCGGATTTTCAGCCGTGCCTCCAGGACCGAAAGAAGTCCAGATTCCTCGATTCAAACTGTCGACCCTTTCGCAGTGGTGATGCCTATTGGCAAAAGCTTCGGACATTTGGTATGGGTGAGTAGTCGATGGAGTACGTTTAGTTCCACCATTTGAAGTAGCTGGTGACGGAACACTCGTCGGGGTATGTCCGTACTGTTGGAAGCGATCTTTATCTAGACCGCCGTTAGTGTGAGGACCGATTGGAGTTCTGTTCAAGTCGCTTTCAGCTTGTGGTCGAGTTATTCCAGCGTGCGCGGCGGGTGGCGTGCCTGTCGGTCGAGCATTAATCGACGCAAATCCCGACGGAGGAGGGGCATTGATCGAGGCAAAGCCAGAGGACGCATTGGTCGGCGGAGGTCGGGTGTCATAGCTTGATGATACCTGACGGGGGGGGTGGGTGCTCGCACTGGACACCGGGGTCAAAGGAGATTGAGCACTTGTGACTGGTCTTGAACGGGGTGATGTAGAGCGACCCAAAAGTCCCAATGGTCGATCATGGCTTGCAGGAACTGGTGCCGCGTCAGGGAGACGATTTGTGCCTGCGTTCGGTGACGATCCAGTTGGTGAAGCAGAATAAGACCCGTGTTGATACGGTCTTGAAAAGGCCGAGTTCGGATCGCGGTAGAATGAATATGGCGGACCAGGCAGACTAGTCTTAGTAGTTGAGCCTGGCACGTTGGACTGAGGTGAGGGTCGCGATTGTGTCGAATTGGCGGACTCGGGCTGGCCCGGAGGGCCAACCTGATGTCTTTTTGCCGGTGGTGGAACGGTGGACAATGACGACGGGGGAGACATTGATGGGCCCGAGACACTTCTAGTGCTAGCCCTGGGTGATTCATCGAGGGGGAGGCCTCGCTTGAGCCGCTTCAAGCGTCTGCGGAGACTCTATTTTTAGTTAGCACCAGAATGCGCGAGACGCTCAAACATAGACATACGGTTTCTTCATCGTCCAAATCATGTTCGAAGAACTGGGTGAAGGCAGCATCTTCGCGCTTGCGTCGTGCTGCGATTCTAGCGTCTCGACGTTTGCGAGCCTCCGTAATGGCAAGCCATTTCTTGTCCTGAGCTTCACGCTTGCGCCGAATCTTTTCATCCTTGCGTTGGCGTTTGGCCTTGAGTAGACTGTATTTCTTTTCGTTGTTGGTTTCGACCCGACTCAGTTCGTCCAGTCGTGCTTGAACGGCGTCGGCTGATTCGAGTGCATGCTTCGAAGGCGGTGGCGGGAGAGGAATAGGCGCCGTCAAAGGACTGGCATATCTGTATTCGTCTCCACCACCGATAGAAACATCGCTATCGGAAGACTCGGGATCCATGGCATCGGTGCGCGTAGTGGGCGACCGATGTGTTGGCTGGAAAGACCTCAATGGGTGGTAAGAAGGGGCTTCCCAGGTAGCACGGTGCCGCTAGAGACCAATGATTAGTGACGAAACATGACGAAACCCAAGAGACCGAAGCAGAACCTGACGGGCTAAGCGAGGTTGAGATGTGAGGCACGGGGTACATAGTAAATCGAATAGCGTGATCAAGAGGTAAAAAAAGAAAATTGCAGCGGGTGGCGAAGTGCAGTGCAGGGGCCGGAAATCCAGATGTGATGAGGTGATGAAATGGTAATCTTTGCTTGGATAAGAGACTGATAACGAGGACCGATAGGTATGTTGAGGCGTGGCAGCTGTACAGTAGTGGTTGAGTAGTCTTGAGATAGACGGGGACGGGAGTGGCCGGATCAGGTAAAGGATGGTGCAATCTCAGAATTGTAGGGGAGGGGTCGAGGGATAGCGGCGAATTGAATTATTGAATGTGAGAGAATGTGTGCGCGTGCATGTGTGCGTGTGTGTGCGTGTGTGGTATCCGTACTGCGTATTTCGTACGAGTCGGTTATCCCTAGGGAAAGAGACGCGAGGCTTTTGCGAGAGAGGTCTGGGAGAGCTGTAACCTGTGTCGCTTGCAAAAATACTGTACAAGGGCCATAGGTGCGTTGTGAAGGGCCCCGGGGAAGCATGTTCCAGGCGCCAAGCTGAGTACCAGCAGCAGCCGAGAATGTGGAGGCTTTTGCGCTTAACCAACTGGTCCTAACGCAGGCGGATCGAAGCCACTGGCACAGGCAGACAAGCGAGAAAGCACCAACTAGGCCCATTCTCTGTCGGCGCCTCGGCAATTTTCGCATTATTCACTGGAGACTCTTCAGGGTGGAGGTGCGTGGCCAGATAGGTAGGTGAAGATATGTGGTTGACAGCTGTGACAGCTGTGCTCTCTTTCCCAACTTGTCGTACGTGTTGTCTGTTGTGTATGTGTGTGTGCGTGTCGTCGCCTCCAAGTTGGACATGTTGGCGGAATGGGGAGATGGGGTGCAGGGGTAGACACGGTGCAGCGTCGCTCAATGCAAGATCTGTTCTCCTCTGGCATTGGGGGCGAGATGGGCAGAGGGTGTACTCGAGTAGGAAAATTGTAGACATACCTCAGGCGCTAGATCCGACAGCTTGCGCAGCTGATCGGACGTCTGTCGTGAGAACATGATGAACTGGGTGTCTTGATGAGTGCGAGCTCAGCGCATCTACATCAGGGGGCGAAGATGGCGTGGTCGCATCCAGATTGGAAAAGAGGACAGAGTGGTTGGTGATACACGAACAAGATAGATGCTGGTGTCCGAGGATAGAATAGTGACAGAAGTATGGAGAAGAGGAAGATGCCCGAGAAGAAAATAGATCGATGGGGAATCTCCAGCAAGGAATTGGCGTGGGAAAGAGAAGAGAGTTTTTTTTGAGGAGAGAGGGAAAGAAATAAAAAACCAGCTAAAGGTTGGTGGTGAGTTGTGAAGATCGGTGCTGGTGCTGGTGCACGGGGAGCTGTAGGTATAATGGTTGATTAAGCTACAATAGGTTTGTAGGTACCGAATGGGGGCGTGACCAGCTGATGGGAAGCGAGAAAGGGTTTCTATGGAGTCCGGAGTAGGGGGAGAAAAAGAACAAGATGGCACTGAAGATGGTGTAAGGACCCTGAAGGAGGGAGAAATAATGCCTAGGCAGTTAACGGGGTGAAGGAGAAAAAAAAAAGGATAAAGGTTCAGCATGACCACGTACTCCCCTCGTGCATACCTCATACGTACTCCGTACCTAGGTATGGAAACAATCAGGTTAAACCGGCTAGTCAGAGGTGAAGTAAAGAAAGTGACTCGGGAGTTCGTTACTGGGTGCCAAAAGGTGAAAAAAAGGTGAAAAGGCGGGTTCTCGCTTGAGAATGGTGGCACTAGGCATGCCTGGACCAATGATGGATACGCAAGCCAGCAATCCCATAGACAATTTGACGAGATTGATCGACCCTACGGAGCACTTTGGGTCCCAAGGGATCGACCTAAGCCTCCTGGAGACAGGCGAGGGGACACTTTATTACGTTACAGGCATCGACAGTGACCCATCCAAAAGATACTATACAGAGTACGATACGTCGATAACTCGCATCCCGTGGACTAGTGTTGTACCAATCCTGGAGAAAGACCTCGATGCGGAAGGTTGCACACACACCACAATTTGTTAATGCTGGTCACCACTCGCACAGAAATCCCCTCGATAGGAGGCGGCAAAGTAGCATTCGTCTATACTCCTACTACTCCGTACTCCTCCTCAGTGCCTATCAGTATAAGCCTCAGTGGATCTTGCTACGTTGTACTCGTGCTGAGACCTCATCATACCGTAATTAAAGTACCTACTGTAACAAACAGTTCTCGATACGGATTCGTCCGGGAGGAAATTTATCGGTGGCTTCGACTGGTACAGACATCATTCCCGTCACACCGCGACAGCTTGGTGGATGATTAGTGGTATCATGGTACAGTACAGTGTGAATAATGCCCCCAAGATCCCTCAGTAGATACGCTCTCTAGCTAGCTAGTCTTAAGATACAAAAGATGGTCACGTACAGTGTTGTACCTAGAGTTCCAGGATAGTGGCTTGTCTAGGCCTTTGCCGCGCCTATGCCTAGCCTCTTGGGGTCTGAGTATGATCTCGGACACGTACCGCCTACCACGTACCGATGTTCCGTATCGCTTGCAGCACAGGGGGGGCCAGGGACAATTTTGCGGGACACGTCTGTCTCTTGGAGGGGGGTTTTACCCAGCTAGCTTTTTCTAATAGCTGAGTGGTAGGGTGTCGCTTGGATATTTACATCACCTTGCCACGTATAAGAATTAGCGTTGGTCACTCACGTATGGGTAAACGGCTTCCTGAGAACCCCGTAGGTACGTCGTAGTAGCTCCAGATTTTTGAAAATTTCAAAACTGCATCATTATATCATCGTTACTATACCTAGGTACAGGACGGAGGATCCGTAGCCACCGAGTATGATAAGAATTGATGATCGTGCTGACGCTGAAGCTGATTTTGATTACTCTTTTGTTCAGTTATCAGGTAGTACTCCGGACTCCGTATTGGTCCTTGTACCATCAGCTCGCATCAAATGATCAGAGATGTCCCACTCGTACTCCGTATATTCGACCCCCCTTTGTGAAATCGTATCGTACAGTAGTTACTCCGTAGGTACAATATCCTTTTGATAGGCGTCTTAGCTTCGAGAACCTGCATCATCAATACGAGCCGCTAGTCACCTTTTCACTTGTTTATCCTGTTAGGCCCGTTTCCTCCGTATCATTGCATCAACGAATATCCCGGAGGTGTGAACCCACTTGCCCTGGAGGGGATCGAACTACTGTACAGTACACTCCGTAACTAATGTACTCCGTAATGGAATGTGATAAGTAGGTACGGAGTAAGTATATCACGCAGTATCCCCGCTCTGGCACGGAGCTTTGCCGTTGGTTTCCACCCGTTTTTCGCGTCATGTCAACGTGTCCCTTACTTGAGACCGGAATCTCTATGGAGTACTCGTGAAAGTAACGCCAAATGAATCAATAGCTGAGATCCCAAATAAAAGTATAAAAACCTTGTCGGTGCAACCAACATCCAGAAGCTCACAATTCCTAATGTCTGTGCTTGTACGTGTACGGAGTAGCTGATTCCCTTAGCTTCGATGGGCCGTGGTTCTGGCTGGGAGCCTATTATTCCGCACATTGTTGAGGCAATAATTAATGTCTTGTTCTTGGGTATTACTCCGTAATCCATACCCGTATGTACTCCGTACTACTCGGTATCAATTCTCATCCACCCTTCTCACCCCCAGCTATCCGTAGGTGGTTAGCCAGCCGCCCCTTGCAATTGCTTTTGGTGGCACGAAGGACGAGACAAAGGAAAGTGCCAGGTCAAGCATACGAACTCCATCTTTGCGAGTACTCCTACTTGTATTCGTATCTCTCATCCACATGGCCGCACAAACCACCCGCCATCCCTCTTCCAGCTATTGTATGCGTATCTGACCGCCCATGTCGCACAAGCTTTCAAATACCTGTCTAAATACTCGTGGTACTTGTCCTCTTTACTTGTTACTTTGTATCCGTACCCTGACACAATTCCCCGTCAAATCCTCAGTCTGCCACTCCATGCTGCACATCTAGGTCATTTACTTTTCCTACGGTCCTTATCTCTCACGGGAGCCCAAGCCATCCCTCGTGGGATATTCCGGTATCTTCCTCTCCCAACCTACGAATCATTCCGTAATGATGGTTCTCACGCTACGGAGTACTCCCAGAAGAAGAAGAGAGAAGGAAAAAACAAATTCAAAGACCCCTGCACATAATTGCATATCCTTGAAACCGCTGGCAAGTCCTGGGGGAAGCTAGTTTTCTGTTCGCACGTTCCTTGCTCGGTACCTTAAGCACAGTACGTACCCGTGTCCTATCACTATTTAGGGAGGTCAATCCCCTTGCGAGTACAACTGCATATCCGTATGATTTTTTTTGACTAATACTTCCCGTATCTTTTCCCTTTTATCTGTGCACCTGTGCCATCATCACTGCGGAGCAATAACAACACTCGTACGGAGAATCTGTTGCTTTGTTCCTCGAATTTTTCCTCCCACCACCTGCTGATACCTAGGTAACCTCCTCCGACGACAGAGAGAGAGAGGAGATAACCTCGTCATTCAAAAATGAAACCTGTGGCTGGCTGTCTCTTTTCGTCGTCAGCCCCTGATCCACCATCGACGTTCCAGTGATTCACTCATCCAGCAGACCTTGACGTTTCTGTACTATCCGGCTTCGGGCCAGTCCTCCGTTCTACTGTGTTCATTCTTCCGAAACCGAATGGGGGGCTTCCTCTGCATGCACTCTCCCGTCGCAACCCGGGAAATCAAATTTGCTTCTGCTGGACCTTTGGGTCGTCATTAGTCGGTGGACGGAAGAGCATCTAATCCTGCAAAAGCTCCACTTGCATACGGAATGCTCGGAGGTACATTCATTGTTACTGGGTAGTGACAGCAACAATCGATCCCGAATACTGCTCACAATCCATCTTTTATGCACTATCCCAACCTTGTGCCCCTGCCGTCGTTCCCGAAAGCGCCCCGGACTCGCATTGTACAGTAACTTTGGTTCCCGAGGTACGTGCCTATGGTAATCTTTCACGCATACAAGCACTATACTCGCGCTGATAACGGTACTGGGAGAATCTGTGAGAGGAGATTGTTCTTTTTTCTATTCACACACGCGACACACCATAATAGTCCCGCCCCATCAATGGTTCCAACCTAAGAGGGTCTTGGTGTGTCCACAGATTCTAACCGGCATATTACATAATCTTCCTCTTTTGCTTTCCTACACACATATTGTTTCGATGCATGTCGCAAAAAGCAATGTACATGTTTCATGAATGCAGCCCATCAGCTCGCCTTATCATGGCATGAAAGTGGTTCATCGCGTGATCCAGTAGATCCCATTTCCCCTTTACACTCCACCGCCAGCCAACAAACAAATACACAGCTATGTCCCCCTGTGCGATAAGACAACCATGAGAATGCTTGCATACATGATCACTAGAAAAGCTGAGTGGTTGGCCACAATCCGAAACAAATAAAAAGTCGAGTACAGGGATATCATTAAAATACAGGTCGCTTTTGTTCACCGTTCAACTTCCCATTTTTAAGGCTTTTGCTCTCCACCCTGTTGGGAGTCACCGCCAGGGGTCTGTTGCTGTTGCTGTTGTTGCTCTTCGCGGGCCTTGTGCATCTTGTCGAACAAGGTAAGTGCGGATGCTTGGAGTTCGTCAATCTTGGCCTTCATCTCCTCGGCGGTGGCGGTACCCTCGCCGGCTTGGTTCTGGGTGACGTATTCACGGAGAGAGGCGATCTTCTCACGGATGGTGTCGGCCTCGGCCTTGTCGAGCTTGTCTTCAAACTCCTTGAGCGCCTTCTCGGTGTCGTTCAACACACTGTCGGCACGGTTGGCAGCTTCAATAGCAGACTTGCGCTCCTTATCTTGAGCGCCATACTTCTCCGCATCATCAACCATGTTCTGGATCTCAGAGTCCGAGAGACCAGAGCCGGAGGCAATAGTGATGGATTGATCCTTGTTAGTGGACTTGTCCTTGGCGTGAACGTGGACAATAGAATCAGCATCGATATCGAAGGTGACTTCAATTTGAGGGACACCTCGGTGGGCGGGAGGAATGCCAACCAGTTGGAAGTTACCCAAGAGCTTGTTGTCTCGGACGAGTTCACGCTCGCCCTGGTAGACCTTGATCTCGACAGCGGTCTGGAAATCCGCAGCAGTGGAGAAGATCTGTGACTTCTTGGTGGGGATTGTGGTGTTTCGGTTGATCAGGCGGGTGAAGACACCACCGAGCGTCTCGATACCGAGAGAGAGAGGAGTAACATCGAGCAACAGAACATCCATGACCTCACCGGCCAAAACAGCACCCTGGATGGCAGCACCGATGGCAACAGCCTCATCAGGGTTCACAGACTTGGCAGGGTCACGACCGAAGATGCTCTTCACGGACTCGGCCACCTTGGGCATACGAGTCATACCACCAACGAGGATAACTTCTTGGATTTCCTTAGCCTGGAGGTTGGCGTCCTTGAGAGCTTTGCGAACAGGTTCAATAGTCTTGGAGATCAGAGGGTCAACCAACTTTTCAAGCTGAGCACGAGTCATCTTGAGGTTGATATGCTTGGGACCAGAGGCATCGGCAGTGATGAAAGGCAGGTTGATTTCAGTTTGCAGGGAAGATGAGAGTTCGATCTTGGCCTTTTCAGCTGCCTCACGGATACGCTGAATGGCCATGCGGTCATTGGACAGATCAAGGCCAGAGGTCTTCTTGAAGTCTTGAACAATGTGTCGCACAAGTGAAATATCGAAGTCTTCACCACCCAAGTGAGTATCACCATTAGTAGACTTGACTTCGAAGACGCCCTTCTGGATCTCAAGAATGGAGATATCGAAAGTACCACCACCAAGATCATAGACTGCGATGATTTTGTCCTCTTCCTTCTCGAGACCATAGGCAAGCGCAGCAGCGGTAGGCTCGTTGACGACACGGAGAACGTTAAGACCAGCGATTTGACCAGCATCCTTGGTAGCTTGTCGCTGCATGTCGTTGAAGTAGGCAGGGACTGTGACGACACCATTCTTGACAGGCTTGCCGAGGTAGGCTTCGGCGGTCTCCTTCATCTTTTGCAGGACCATACCACCAATTTGAGAAGGCGAGTACTTTTGACCGCGAGCCTCGAGCCAGGCGTCACCGTTGGTGTGCTGTACAATCTTGTAGGGAACTTCCTTGATGTCACGCTGACATTCGGGGTCTGAGAATTTTCTTCCGATCAAACGCTTCGTGGCGAACAAAGTGTTTTCAGGGTTCACAACAGCTTGTCGCTTTGCAGCGATACCGACCAGACGCTCGCCGTTCTCGGAGAAAGCGACCACGGATGGCGTTGTCCGTGTACCTTCAGCGTTCTCTATTATTCGAGGCTGCTTGCCTTCCATAACGGCGACGGCCGAGTTTGTTGTTCCCAGATCGATACCAATGACTTGGCCCTTGACCTTTTCAGTGCCCTCGGGGGCATCAGTCGAGGCATATCGAGAGATTATTGACGAGCGAGGTGCTCGAATCTGAGAGATGCGTGAGATGGGAGATGAGCGTGGGAGCTGCGCAGACATGTTAGTATAGGATGACCGATAAATGGCTTCGCATCGACTTACAGCTCTGGACAATCTTGAGGCAATCATGATTGCTCTGGTAGTTGAAACAAGACAACGCAAGAGAAGTGATGTACAGCGGAAGATGGAAGAAGTTCACAGAGAGAGGAAGAGAATATTAGACAAAGGACAGATTGAATGGTAGAGTTGATGGCGTTGATGAGCTCAAGATGTCGGGAACAGCTTGAGATAAAATGCAGGAGACAAAATCTTTCTCTCGCTCGGCTCGCCTTCGGTCTTGGCGCTTCTCTGCGATTCCGCCAGTGCCAGTCATGATGATGGAGTTGATTCGTACTGTAATATCCGCCCGATTTCCGGGCCTGCGCCAATGTCAACTCCCCATACAATAATAAGTACAGCACGAGCCACTACGCTCTCACAGTACGGTATTGACCTGGCAGGTGCCTTAGGCATAATAGGGAATACCTGGTATAAGTGTGGTCGCTACTGGTGTCCATCTCCACAGACAAGCACTTAGCCACACTACTAAGCCACAAAAAGGTGCCTTTATTAAATACATTGCATCACATTACAACGAGGATTACGATCCGGACAACAGCTGCAGATACCCTCAGCACCCTCACTAGCCGCGACTTCCCTCACAATCCTAGAACTGCGTATATCCGTACTACATACTCTGAACAAACACCTCGGTCCTCGTTATCCTAGAGTCTCGACTTCTGTTATGATCTGAGGCCGCTATTCTCCATCGAAACCGAGATTCCCTTAATCAACTCCTACCCTCACCCTCATCCCAATCGACCTATGAGCCTCGTCTATATCCTCGTCCTGCCGACTGCCCTAAGCTCTGTCGACGACACCCGAGGAATGCCTCTCACTCCATAGTCCCTCCTCCCGCGAAATGACCGTGTCCGACCGCGAAGTATGCCTCAACCCTACAAAAGGTTTAGCAACACTCACAAAATACTATCCTACGAAAATATCTATACACCATCATCAGCTGCGCCATTTCATCAGTGCCTCTGATGCCGACTTCATCTACTATGCCACGAACTATGACGTTTTCGTCCTTGACCTCAAAACACAGCAGAACTCCCTCCTAGCGACAATTCCATTCGAAGCAAGATGTCTCGCAGCAGATCTGGGCTGGGTATGCGTGGGCGGAGAGTCGAATGGAGATTGCGCGTTTATCAAGGTTGAAAAAGATGAACACGGCCATCCGAAGTGCTTCGGTCATGATCTATTGGTCTACTTTATGGGAGGTGAGATTGTCAACTCGATGAGCATACACAACATGGTCCACAAGGGAAACACTCCGGATGAAACGGTGGTTTTGATCAGCAACAATGACAAGACAGTGAAGCTATATTCCCTCGCGCAACGAAAGCTTCTGGCTACCTTGCCTCATAAAGTACCCATGAATTATTCGACAATGTCGCCGGACTCAAGAATTATCGCCGCCGTGGGTGACTCCGACCGGGTCTACTTCTATCGGCGTGAGCTAGACGAGGACGATAAGTCTCTGCAATATCCCGCGTATGAATGGAAATCTATCTCCGAGGTGGCTGTTCCTACAGGAGACGTCGTCGAGGCCGACTTCAGCTTCGCTGTTGCATTCTCACCTTCTGGCCATCTATGCGCTTCCTCCTCCCAGGGCGGCTCAATATCGGTCTTCGATGTTGAAACGCTTCTCTGTGGTGATCTTGCGCCTGAAAAATCCATCATATGTACCTTTCGCTCATCTCGACCTACTTTGTGGGGCTGTGTAAGGGCGATGGCATTTTCACCTGCACCATGGGATATTCTTGCTTGGGCCGAAGATCACGGGAGAATTGGGCTAGCAGATGTCAGACAGTGCTTCCTGCGACGACAAATTGTACACCTGGACAGACACGGGGCTGAGACAGTGGACATGGAGAACGGTACCCCCGTGGCTTATCGTGATCTAGGCGTTAAGGAACGTCTCAAACAACAGCATCTTGCTCGCATGAGGGTCATCGGAGGACTGTCTCCTCAGCAAGCAGACGCCGAATTAAACATAAGCGAGGTCTTAGAGTCCGGAGATCGATATAATCGGCATGATCTGTTAACCTATCATCAAGGTCTTGATCTGGGTGCCCAAGAAAGATCTATCATTGAAGCACTGGAAACCACAATGCACAATGTGAGGCCTCTCGATCCATCGCTTGATAATCTCAACACCCCTACACATCTCCAGCATGTCTCTTCCCCCCGGACGAGAAGCTCGGCCGACAGCAGGAGAGGCTATGACGTGCATCTGTTGAACCCTACATCAGGTTCAGCCGCTTCCCGATCCTATCAGCCTAGGAGGAGAACATCGGTGGTTTTCTCGCAACCTGGTGCCAATGATGGCCGACTTTTGGATCCAAATGAAAATCAAAGAAGCAGACTCTCTGCATCTCCTGGCCGTATTGGCGACGACGATGATTTGTCCGACCTGAATGCTAGAGCTCCCGTGCCATCAGGTAATATTCCACCAGGAGACCCTTGGCATGTCATACAATCTGCGCTCTTGACTGCGCGAGAAACAGACGACAACCAATCAAGTTTGTTCCGTATCGAAGGAGCTCTGGAGGCTGAGAGACGAATTGCTTTACATCTCGAGCGACAATTAGCAGACGAGCGGCAGTTGTCAACATTGCTTCGCAGGCAGCTCGATACCCAACAACGATTGCTGCGAGAGAACTCGACTCAATTGGACCAACTTCGTGAAGTAGCCAGAGAATCCAATACTCATGTGGAAGCTTCTCTAGAGCGTTTCTTCCAGAGGCAACTTGCCGACGAGGAGCGATTTCTCCGACAGCGGTCGCAAGAGTTGCAGAGAGAACTCGATGCAGGAGAAAATTACGCTCGTAGACTCTCGGCCGAACGAGCTCGATTATTATCAGACAGATCACGCGGTGATTCCACGGCAGACAGAGAGCCGAGCTCCGCCAGGACTACGACGTTGCCCACGTCTACCGTGCCGTCTTCTGAGACAAGCAACAACCTCTCTACTCTGCTAACAGACTACGTTGATGCAAGACAGCAGAGACTTGCACACATTGAGAACTTGCAAAGACAAGTGCGTCGTGCCGAGTCACGAGTAGCCCTTGCCACCAACGATATCCAAGCTTTAGAAGACTCTATACGCCAAGAATTGGCTCGCCCAAGCCGTACTCGCGAATTTGCTGGTGACGACGCGTTCGATGCCATGATGCGCATAGTAGATGATCCTGTACCAGATTGGCGGACTCAGCATGACGGTGCTCCTCCTACCAGGCGACGTGCCCAACCGTCGATGGCTCGACTCCGTGAAGCCCGGATGGAGCGCATTTCAGAGCTGGCAGGTCGCGTCCCAGATGCAGAAGTCCGACTTGCTCGAATGATGTACATGTCTGGTATGTCTAGTAACAGGTCTCTCGATGGAAATGGGAACTGGACACCCGGCGCGGGACTGTCCAGGGTTTTGGCCGGACCATCGAGTCTCGCTAGAGCAGGAGAGCCCTCTCTTCCATTGGCAAGCTCTGCAGAGGATGCCATGCGAGAAATGGGTCCAGGCACAGCGGGTATCGGATTTAGCCCTGACGGTCAATATCTGTAAGTTTGGATCTGCCGGTCGTTCCTAGTACAGATTTACTTACCTTGTCGTAGCTACGCGGGCTCTGAGGAAGGCGTCTTTGAGTTGAAAATCAACATGCGCGATCGCATGACCTTTCCAGCACTTGAGATGCGATGATTGTCGCTTGACGATGACGACTGGAGGGAAATATGGAAATTGATCTGCTCCGGCTCACCAACCTCCATCTTTTTTATGTGCTAATGTATCTTTATGACCTTGACGATAGTTTTGTGAGCTTATTTACGGGGTTCCTTTTGACGACGGTCACGCCAAAAATGGAGCAAACAGGCGCGTCCATAACCTGCTGTTGACCATGCATTGGGTTTGTTGTCATTCGACCTTGCTTCTCAGTGGTGGCAAGAACAAAATAAGGCTTTAATTTAAAACAGTACATATTTTTTTTGCTTTTAATTTTATGATCGTTTTGGGTGTTTCGATTTTCCGAAATTTTGATTCACGGCTTCGGAGTATCTGTTTAATTGTTGATAATATACGTTCAAATCTGTGCCATATGAGGACGTTATCTGGTCATGCAGAAGGGTCCAAGCAATACGTCGTATTCATACGCGGATTGGCGGCCAGCAAGATCTAACGACTGGAGGGCGGCAGCTCACTCCGGCCTCGTTGTGAGAGAGTAGTGGATTTCCCATTCTCCCATCGTCGACCTCTCCTATCACTCGGGGCTACACTTGTGTCCTTCTCACACGCTCCTCCACATGCCCAAAGCCTGTAGAGCGGGCTTATCATTGAAGCTAAAAATGAAGGAATCTTCGGAGTCGTCGCATTCATGTCGAAAAGATGCCCATGACGGAATGACGAACGTGTCGCAGGCTTTCCACTCTATGGTCTCATTAGGCTTGGACCCCTGCAGCGATGGCTGTGACAAGACTGTCCGCCCTTTGCCCTGGTACACATGGAAAACGTACGACGCCGAGTCCTGTCGCTGAGGGGACATAGTGTTGGCATTGATTCGTTCAGCCTCGGCACCGAGTGTGCGCGCCAAGCCAAGGTCGTTGAAAGGATAGGTATACCTGGCGTAAGTGCCTCCCTGCTTGTTCAAGGCCTCTTGCACTGGGCTCCAAGGCATCTTCATTGGCGTGGAGTCGGTCGGCCTGTATGTTCCAAACAGAGTCAGAATATCACTACCTCGATGAGTCTATGTTCAGTCCCAGGCTCTCTTACTGGCTGGGATAGCGAGGTTCCTTGTACCCTTCGGCGAAGTTCACCGGGAAGGCCTGGAAGAACGGCAGATCAAGGCCGTCAAGCCAGATCATTGGGCCCCCGCCTTCATGGCCGTGATCGTGCCATCGCCACGAGGGAGTCAGGATCACGTCTCCCCTTGCCATGGTGATCTTTTCGCCCTCCACAGCTGTGAAGCCTTGCGTGCCCTCTATGATGAATCGCAGTGCAAAGGCCGTGTGTCGGTGTGCTCTGGCTGTCTCACCAGGGTTGATGACCTGCAAGCCAGCGTATAATGTGTCGGAAGTGTATACTCCGTCTGATAAGAAGGGGTGTCTCAGTTCATGCCACTGAAAGGGCGACGAAAGGAGCCAAGAATCAGGTAAGACGTACCCAACGCAGGATTTGTGAGCATCAAGACACGTCTCTCTGCCTGTTCCGCAGGGATGAGTTTGGCAGCTTCGATGAGTTTTGGCCGAAGCCCTTCGAACTTCCAGAGATGAGGAACCGCCTTTGGTGTGGGTTGAGGAGGAACCTGAGAATCATCGACTTAGCATAAGGCCCTGGACAACAACACGTGGCCAACGGGCAATTCTTCCCTACCGCAGCCTCCATGACCGTCCACAGAGGATTGACATTGAATTGGGACAAACTGTCCAAGTATCCGATCACATCGCCGGTCGCCATCTTGCACTGCTGGGCGGTGCAATATTCAATTGGCCACAATTGTCAGATCAGCGATCATATTTCTGAACTCATCTTTATTGATATCTGGTAAGTGTTATGGAATATTTCTATCGGTGGTTAGATCACGTCAGCCTGGTGATCTGGAAAGAAAGCTCCGACGCTCCGTCCATGCTCGGAGGTTGCCTCCGCTGAAGAGGGCCACCACGGAGAGGGAGCAATGTAATGATAGATAAGCCGGGGCGAGGATCGTCGCATAAGTGTCTTTCGCATCCGGGAGGGAAGCCTTCAGCAAACTATTCACCACTCGACAGGAAAAGCCAGGCGAGACATACTGAGGCACGCCAAGCACATCATGGTTGTCTGGGAGAGGCTAATACGCTTTGAAGCCTCTGACGGAGGAACCTACTTCGGACAACCAATAATTCAAAATGAGAGAGAAGATATTGCTTCCATTGCCGACTCTGGAGAGCTTCAAGCGGCCGTGATAGAAGGCGACGATGTCTTTGCGGACTCGGCCACAGTCACCCCGAACGTCAAAAAGGTCCACAAACTCCTTGGACCACTGACTTCGTCTGAAGTACCGATCATCCGTTGCGTTGGTCTGAACTATCAGAAACATATCCAAGAAGGAGGACGGAGCCCGCCGCCATATCCTTCCATGTTCGTCAAGCCTGCAGAGTGCGTCGCAGACCATGACAGTGTCGTCTATATTCCACCTCTGGCGCAGGAAGAACAGCTCGATTACGAGGGCGAGTTGGTAAGCCGAAAGATTCCATTCATTTCTCCTCCGTTTCGATACGCTCAAACTCGGGCCATCTGACTAACGTTCGCGGGTTCCTGGTGAGCTAGACGATCGTAATCGGCAAGGACGGCAAAGACATCTCCCCGAGAAACGCCCTGGACTACGTCGCGGGTTACACGGTTGGGAACGATCTCTCGGCACGCAAGTGGCAGAGAGACCCTGCGTACGCAGGTGGCGTCCCCCAATGGTGCTTCTCCAAGGGGTTTGACCACTTTGCACCTCTGGGGCCGTCTATCGTGTCGACCGTCAAGCTGGGCGATGCGAGCGGTCTCAGGTTGCGAACCCTAGTCAACGGCGAGGTTCGACAAGACACCGACACGAGTGACCTGCTCTTCGGGGTCAAGACGCTTGTCAGTTTCCTTAGCCAGGGTACCACGTTGAAAAAGGGATCTTTGATCATGACGGGAACTCCTTCAGGTACGCCTTGTCCGTTTTGTTGCCATTTGTTTGTTCTTGGACATCACCAATATGCTGACACACCATGGCCCGAGTAGGAGTTGCTATGGGCATGCAAGAACCAAAATGGCTCAAGGATGGCGATGTAATCGAGGTATCTGTGGAACGAATCGGGAGTTTAAGGCACCGGGTATCCTTCACTGCACCGTAGATGATCCTTTTGGATTGTTTGAGCCGGATACGTACTAAGAACACGGTACCATTTCGATGCCACAAAGTTATACATTCTTTTCAGAAATCAAGTGCTCCTTCTATTCTTTCTGCAGCTTAGTGCGAGACGGCGCAAAGCGTCCCACACTCCTTGCACCGTCTCCCCTCGCCACTGTTCTTAAATTCGAGAACGGCATTTTTGATCTCGGTTCCCAGATCCCTCAAATGGAAGGAGACTTCGCGCACCAGGTGTCGACAATCTTGACAATACCAGCGCAACCGGTCCACTGATCCCTCGGGCCTTTTTTGCTCAATCACCACCCCCGCAGTATCAGCGAACCGGACAGGGTTATGGGGGGTGCCCCCGGGCAGGAGAAACATTTCGCCCTGGCGGATCTCAATTGTCTTGAACTTGTTGTCATCGGATGGGTCAATGACATTCAAATTCATCGACCCGCGGTACTGATAGAACCATTCGGGCGTCTCGTTGACGTGATAGTCGGTCCTATCGTTCGGGCCTCCGAGAATCTGGTTCAGGGTCAAGTGTGAGCGAGGATGGCATCAAATGAAGGACATGAGCGAGATCAGCTCTGTGTCAACCCACCATGACCGTGACATCGCCGTCGTAGATACAATGATTGTTGACTGGAGGTCGGAGCAGGTGCGCATTGGTTTTCGTCCTGTAGGTCTTTGTTTTAACACGGAGGCCAACTTGTTTGAGCGACGTGCTTACCACTCGACGAGATTGATGGGATTTGATAGTGGCATGACTGTTCTTGCAACTTCGCCCTAGTTGGTAATGTCTGTCAGAGAAAGGCCAGAGTGAGCACCTGCAAGGCTTCTTCTGGCGAAAGAAAGAGGTACCTGAATTTCCTTCAGTCGGCGACGACGTTGGGGATGGTCGAATTGCTCGAGGCGGGGAAGGGAGGGGGTTGCGGAGGTGCCTTCCGCCCCTGACACCCCTGGCGGGTTTTAAGCAGTCGGTGATTGTGTCCTGTGTTTGAAGCTCCCTTGGAGTACGCCGCAAGGGTGTTAGCCTCCGCGGAGGTCAGGACGGCTCAGTGTACCGTCGACACAATCGAAGCGGAGACATGAAGGTGGCTTGACGAGAAACCTCCTTTCTCTGTTCGGCGACAATATGTCAATGTATTCATGGTTGTGTCTGTGTTTGGGATCGGAGCACCTCGCCGGTGAGCAGGGAGTGAATCTGCCGACAGCCTTTCGAGAAAATACAAATTGATGCAACAAGCTCGAGCTAGTGATCCAGTTGGATGCTGCTGAATGTACTCCGTGTGGTGACAAGTGCCTTCCATTCTTGATACGCTTAACTTGAATGCAACAGAATTGAAATCGTCATGGCACCATCGTTCGATATCGTCATTGTTGGAGCCGGTGTCGCCGGGCTTGCAGCTTCAATTTCCCTCGTTGGTGCAGGACATCGGGTCAAGATTCTCGAAGCCGCTCCACAGGTATGAACCTCCCATTCTCATCCGACCACGTTTCTCACCTTGTAACTGACTTGGTTACCTTTCTCTAGTTGACCGAGATCGGAGCTGGTATTCAAGTGCCACCCAACTCAGTCAGGCTTCTTAGCCGCCTGGGCGTGTATGATGAGGTGAGAACCTGCCGAGTGGAGTCGAGTTCGGCTCAGGACTGATACAATCATGTAGGTGGCGAGACTTGCAACGTGGCCTCGCAAGATCACGATTAAAAGATGGCAAAATGGTGTGGAAATTGGCTCTACACCTCTGCTGCCCAAGATGGAAGAAACGTACGGTTTTCCCTATTTCTTGATCCATCGAGGTGACCTCCACAAGGTGCTCCTGATGAAGGCTCAGGAGGTCGGGGTGGATATCCTCACTAGTTCTTTTGTTTCAAGTGTGGATGAGGATGCTTGCTCGATCACACTCGGTAATGGAAGCGTCCACATGGCAGACGTGATTGTCGGCGCTGATGGTAAGGACCTTACAAAAGCCTCTGAACTCCTTTGCCTCCGAGTATTGATCTTTCTCTGTTACCGCTAGGCATCAAATCTCGCGTCCGGAAAAGTTTGCTTGGGTCAGGCGACGTCGAGATCCGGCCCGACCCAAATTGCGCGTACAGAACCTTGATCCCCGGCGAACTGATGCTTCAAGATCCCGTCCTCAAACCTCTGATCGAAAGCCCGACTGCAACATGCTGGATCGGCCACAAAGGCCACGTGATGGCGTATCCGATCAGAAACGGTACACTGTACAACTTTGTGATGTGTCATCCGGGCTCTGTGCCCGTGGGAAAACCAAATGAAAACGCTCCGCTGGACGACATGCGCGCGAGATATAAGGACTGGGACCCGATCATCACCAGGCTAATCAACATTGTACCGCAGTGTCTGAAATGGCAAAATGCGGAGCTAGAGAAGTTCGATGACTGGAGCTCGAAATCCGGCAAAGCTGTATTGATCGGCGACGCCTGCCACGGAATGGTCCCATACATGGCCCAAGGCGCTGCGATGGCGATAGAAGACGGCATCACGCTGACCGAGTGCCTTGGTCGAGCCGAATCAACAAAGGACATTCCAGCATTGCTGCGCCATTTTGTTAACCTCCGCCGTGATCGCTGCCACATTATTCTAGACGCGGCACGCAACAATGGCGACATTTGGCATCTGCCCGATGGACCGGAGCAGGAAAAGCGCGACCAAGGCATGCGGGAGGGACCAAAGGAGACAATCGTGGCAGATCAAAGCGCAAAGATTGAAAACCCCAATAGATGGAGCGATCCGTCTTTTCAGCCTTGGATGTTTGGGTTCGATGCAGCTGCAGAGGTGAGCCCCACTCGTCGCCTGGACACCCCCTCTCGCAATGTACTAATTGAGGCGCCCAATATAGGCAAACAGATATCTTGACCAGCATTGGAAGCCTTCGAAGGATGATCTCGTCGACGTAGACCAGCAAACTAGTTTTCTCGAGCGATCTCTAGCAGTTCCCGTGGCTACCGGATAAACTGCCTGGGAGAGCACGTACGAAGGGTGATAGTTCTGAATTTTGTAACTGTGTATCTCAAGACAACGAATATACCACTTGCAGCTCCTAGATGCCTCGGTCAAAAGCCCGAGGCAATTGTTCTCCCCTGTATGTATCAGAATTCGAGGGAGAAATTAGGAATGGGGAATGGCAACTTGCTGTCATGTGCTTGTGGAGTCTTTTTGGATCTCAGCCCCTCTTAGGACGTCGAGGCCGATTTCGCGGTCTTGTCTTCCGTTCCACAAAGGCCATATAAAACAGCCTTGAGCTCACTCGGAGGCACAGTCCTCCTCCCGAGCAACGTGGATGCCATTTGACAATATCTATATCACTCCTCACTCTGGTAGAGTGCCAGACACATCTCTACTGCAATCAGCCAGGAGTCATCAAGGAAGAGACTCGACAAGTTCAGTCACCATGGGGTCAGGAACGCCCTCCATGTCGGGGAGTTGTCTTTGCGGTTCCATCATAGTCACGATCCCGAAACCTCAAACCGTCCTCCGCACAATGGCGTGCCATTGCACACATTGCCGAAAGGGAGCCGGTGGACCGTACCAGACGAACGCCGCATTCAGGTCAACGGATGTCGACATTCGAGACGAAGCTTCCAAGCTGACAAAGTACACATTTCCTGGCGATGATGTTTGCAGCGGGTATTCCAAGGAGAAATGGTTCTGCAATGTACGTGTTTGATCCCAAAGCCGCGTTCCTTACAATGAACAACATGCGTTTGGTTGTTGACTTGCGACTTTCTGTTTGAATTACAGACCTGCGGCTGTACCATTTTCATCCGACCGATGAAACACGATGGCGATGTCGTGGTTTTGAAGACGAGCATCTTAGAGAGAGATCTGGAGAACTGTCTGAGGCCGAAGATGGAATATTTTGTCACAAAACGATGTTCTTATGTAGCCTCGATTCCGGAAGCGAAGCAATTCGATGCCATGCCTTGAAGGAAAATTTGAGAAGATCGACTATCAAGGGCTTTCAGGTAGTTTTAGGGACAAGAAACAAACGAGGTATGAACGAATAGACCCACATCGCTGTTTATTTGAGATCAACTATGCCAAAGAGCCCAAGGGGCTTCATTCACTGCCAAAGTAAAACTGCCTTGACGCATGAGCCTGTAGCGAGGTCCTGATGAGCCTTCTCAATGTCTTGATACGGATAGGTCTTGATCAGCTTGTCGATTGGGAATCGGCCAGCCTTCCAGAAATTAACGAGATGCGTGATGAACTGCGCACACAAGTGTTAGGAAAAGAACCCAGATTTTGCCTAGAGGACATGGAACAATCAAGAGCGTACCTGTGAAGGAACGGAAGATCCCTGATGAACACCCATGTAGCTCACGCCCTTCTCCAGCCACTTGGCCGGTTCGATCTCGAGGGTCTGCCCCATTGCAGGGGCGCCGACCGTCACGACCAGAGCGCCGGGGCTGGCACACTCAAACATGCTCTGAATCGTAGAGATTCTTCCCGTCGCGTCGAGCGCACGGTCGACACCCTGTCCGGCGGTAAGTCTCCTGATCTCGTCCACGACACGGCATTTGTTGGCATTGATGACATCCGTGGCGCCCATGTGCCGTGCGATGGTGAGTTTGGAGTCAACCACGTCGACGGCGATAATCTTTGCCACGGGCGTCAGCCCGGCAGCAATGATAGCAGCCATACCCACAGCTCCGGCACCGAAGATGGCGATCGAGGAGCCGAGCACCGGCTTGAGCACATTCAACACGGTGCCGGCGCCCGTCTGAACACCACAGCCAAAGGAGCACGCGACTTCAAGCGGAAGAGCCTTGTCCACACTGACCGCCGACCTACCTCTGACCACCGCTTTCGCCGCGAAAGATGACTGACCGAAGAAGTGGGACGCGACAGCGGAGCCAGCAGGCAGGGAGAAACTTGTTGTCCCGTCAAGCCGGGACCCCTTGAAATTCTGTTGCCTCATTTGCGCACAATAGGCCGGGGTACCAGCCCTGCAACGGAGGCATTCGCCGCACGACGAAAACGAGAGCAAGACGTGATCGCCGGGCGCTACGTGAGATACGCTGGCGCCGACCTGCTCGACGACCCCGGCTCCTTCGTGGCCTCCAACGAATGGAAAAGGCACCGGGATGGCGCCCTGTACATACAAGCGTCAGCCGGCTCGCGTTCCTCGTCATATGACCTTCACAGTATGAGGAAGAAAATAAGGACTTACGTTTGCACATGCATAATCAGTATGGCATATCCCCGTTGCTACCATTCGCACCACGATCTCGTCGTCCCGAAAGCCTCCCAGCACAACGGTCTGTGGTTCAAAGGGTTTGCCGACTCCGGAACAAACCAAAGCTTCGACGTAGGCTCCCATGTTGCGAGGAAACGTCGATGCAAAGTATGAAGATAGGGCTCCTCCAATAACTGCAGTTGGAGCAATTGTTCTTCGCCGGGGAGCTGTCACATACTGTAGGCCTTTTACACCTGTATTCGTGGTAGGCGTGTAGCCATAGCCGCGGAGGCGCCTTCCGAAAGACAAATGGCAAGGTGGGGATGCTCCTTAGGCACGGAGGGTCAAAGTAATCAAATAGTGCAGACACCATTCATTGCAGCGAACATAGTTTCCTCGACTTTGGTAGCTCAAGGCTGTGTTATCAGCTGCGATGGAGCGAGTGGTAGCGTGTGAGATGCAGGTAAGGGCTTTGACGGATGCTTCATACACTGCCCTCCATCCGCATACAATGAGAGCCATCAACGCCCCCAATGGTTGTGAACAAGTGTATTGGGTTCCCCTGTGCGGCAAAGGAAACCACCTGTGGTAAGGGAGATGTTTCCTTGAAATCGACAGACCCTGTATATTGAACCCTGAACCCGGTCCATAACGGCAGCGATACATATATACGACGAGGTCGCATATAGTATGCTTCATGGCAGTCTAGCACCCACAGGTCAGGAAGCTGGCCAAATTCTCGCAGCCCGAAATCACCCACATCTTATTCCGAGGTGTAACTCAACTAGCTAAGTGAAAGCGCTTCTATGGAAAATGCTCAGCAAAAAGCTTTGCCAGCCGCGGGAAAACTGCAAGAGAGTTGAGTCGTACGATCTTCTCCATATCCGCATCAGTAAACAAGCCCGACTTCTTTGGCGCATTGTATCCTTCTAGATATGTCTTGTCGTCGAATCTCATAGTATAGGGGTAGTCGGTAGCGTACAGGAGATGCTCCACCGGGATCCCCAAGTCCTTGATCACGGGGTACTGCATCGGGCTCGAAATACTGGTATCAAGGTAGATGTTCTTGGAGCGCAAAAGGTCCCTTGTGCCCATCCCATTGTTGGTTTTGGTTACAACATTATCCAGATGTTGCTGACCGATGCGATCAGCAAGAAATGGGAAAGCGCCGCCATTATGAGAGAACAAAAAGCGAACGTTGGGCACTCGTTGAAGTAGGCCGGAATGAATAACACTGGTTATGGCTCGGCATGTGTCGAATGGAAACTCCTGAATAACTGTTTCAACTGCTGGTCAGCGCCTCTCTCGGGCAAACATGGATCGCCGGGTTGGGTTCGAGAATGCTCACATGGCCCAAAGTTCAGGTGGGGAGGCATCACCGTGTCAGCCGGATGAATGAACACTACAGAGCCCAATCTATCAATTTCTTGCCAGACTGGCTCTAGATCTTTGTCACCCAAGTAACGCTCTCCTGCTCAGGTTAGAGAAAAAAGCGCAATCGTAAGAAGTGGACAGATACAAACCCATGGCCGTCGTCACCGCAAATCCATCGGGAGGCGTAGGCAGGCTCGCAGCCTTGTGGATGAAGTCGATACATTCCTGCGTGTGGGGAAGCGGTAGAACGGCAAAGCACCCTGCAGCTATTAGCGAATACATCTGCAAGTTACGTGAGTCTCAGAACAAACCAAACCTCAGCGGATTATATGCGACGTATTCCAGTTGCGCCGCGAGTGACTTCTCGCAGAGACTTACGAACTCAGCGGGGGTTAGGTCATTGTGCCACTCTTTCTTGATCGATGGAGCCTGGTTTTTGCCGCCTGTTAGATTGCTAGTTCGGCATGTGTTCCCTGCACAGGGCGCTCACAATGACCGCAGTTTGAATGCCGACTTCATCCATGTACTTGAGATGGTCTTCTGGTGTCTTGGGAAATGGTGAGTAATTGAGATTGTAAGAGTTGCTCTCGAACTCAGACTGCAGCTCTGCGACAGTTCCAGGAAAGCAATGGTGATGAACGTCAATTCGGCCTGGGCCCGAAAACGCTGTGGAGGGTGTTGGCTTTCCCATCGTTGCTGAATGATTCGTGACCAAAAACAATAGTATAGTATCTCTCGTTCAACAATGCCCTTATGTATTTGACAGTTTCAATGCACCAACTATTGTCCATGCAAAGGATTTTTGGGTCTCACGTCGGACGGAGAGTCCGCGCGAAACCTGGAATATTGAGGCCGCAAGACGGAGGGCAACGGAGCCCTTGCCCGCCGCCCACACTATCGGAACCCTGGGGTATTGATGTTTGCGTTCATGCGGCGGATTGTAATATTCCGTCAGAGGGGGGCAGTAGCTATACTCCAGATTCGTTGGGATGCTTGACTATCCGTCAAGGTTGAACGGCGTGGCTATTTCTATAGAGTGACTGGGAAAGAACGTCTAAATGAAGATGACAGGGGCACGATATTCGCTGTCTTCGAAACAGACTTGAGTGTAGATTGCCTTGACATGTATAAGTCTTCATCCTTTAATAAATGCTCGACAATGATGACTTTCGAATATGATACTCTGATATAGACACCTCTACTGTGCTCTACACATACGGCTCCCGATTCCTTTCGCAATATGCACCACCAGTTAGCCAGCTACCCAATACTTCTGCGCATAGAACGGTGGTTTCAATGCCATTTATTTCAATCCTTCTCCATGTACGGCGACAGTTCCAGAATGCCACTTCACTCGTTGCCATTGGCGAATAGCAGCACCCTTCCACCAGAGTATAGCAACCGGAAGGTGAAAGGCAAATAGGATCACAGCCAGTCCGCCAAATGAGATCGCATACCCGCTGTAGGTGTTCCAAGGTGTGACAGCGTAGACCAAACCAAACGCAGATAGGTTCTTCAGACCATTCAGCATAACCAATGCGGTGTCTGCCCTTTCGAGATATGTATCTGCGATATAGGTGTAAACCACGTTTCCTGCTACTATAGACCCGAATGCCATAAGGAATTCGCCAATGAGCGGAACAACCCAATGAGCGTGGTACTCTGTCGCGCACCCGAACATGATGAGGCCAGCGGGGCCAACGATCGCCGTCAGCAGTAGCATAGGCAAACGTAGTTCTGGCTGGAAGTCGCCCTTGGATTTCATCCTCCATTCCACAAACTGTTAGATGTTAGCAAAAGTGCGAAAGGCTGTTTTGTGCAGGGAAGATACTAACCTTGTCGTTGGCAAGGCCTCCATAGATGATCCCAAAGATATTCCCAAGCGATGGGGCAATAGAGGTCAATGCAACATCAGACAGATTGAATCCGAACTCCAAAGGATAGGACACCGAGTTGGTGGTCAGCATATAGTCGTTGGTGGCGAGAAAAATCGAGAAATACGCCGTCGCCAGTAGCACGATTGGATGTGGAAGATAGTACCACGGGTATGTGAAAGCAGCAATCTTGCTCTTAACTTTGGGATCTCCTCCGCCACTGGCATGCCAAAGACGAAGTCCATCGACAATCCGACGTTTTTCACCCACTTCGAACCTACCCGACCGTGTATAGGTAGTTTCCGGCATCAGGAAGAAAATGCCTACAAAAGCCCCGAACGTGGTGTACACCATGACATAGGAAGGAGCCCGCCACCCAAGGTTCAAAGTTGCGAATCCCCCAATGAGCCCGGCCAAGGAGAAACCCAGGAACTGGAACACAGTGAATGCTCCAGTGGCGGTCGCACGCTGATGCAAAAAGAAGACATCAGCCACGACCTGAGGGCCGATCGCCTCAGGGGCGGCATAGAAGAACGCAGCCAAAACGCGAGCGGCGACGAATTCTCCAAAAGTAGATGCTAGTGCTGCCCATATCGATATCGATGCAGCACAGAGGGAGGACACCAGAAAGCAAACCCTCAACCCGTAGATATTGGAGAAGGGCACCCAGAACAAGCACTTAGAGCACCAAGTCAGCGGTCACTGTTGTTCTTTGACCTTTATGAGGCAGGACTCACGCCAGCACCATAAGCTACCAATGGTCCATTGATGGTGTACGAAAGCTCTGTAAAGCTTGCGCCGTAGTGTTGATTCAATTCGAAGAAGGATGGCCCCTACCTCGCGTCAGTATCAACCATGATCAGGGCATGAGTATTGTGACATACCACAATAATGAGATTTGTGGTTCCAAGAAAAGCCCAATAGGATAAAATGGCCAGAAGACATGCTTTCTGCCAGAGTGGGAAGTTCAGAGGGTCATGAGGATCCTCACTCGGCTGAGGATCGAGCAGGATTCCGTTGCGGTATTTTAGCGTGCGGCCATTGTCTTCAGCAAGACACTGTTCCACATGCTCTTGAGGCTCGGATTCGGCAATGCCTGCTGACCTGGTAAGTAGATATTCCTATTAACTAGAGATCGACGGGCATGGTATCTCACCGGCTTCCACTTTCTTTGCGTCGAGCATGTTGGGCTCCTTCAGATGAGACAGAATGGAGAATGGAGTAAAGAGGTGTGTAGAGTGAGAGAAATGAGAGAGATACAAAGCCTTCTTGATCTCTGCTGGATGGCGAAATTGAAGGGAATAAATAGAGGTGAAGTAATGCTTTCCAATCCGACGATGGTTTCGGGACCGGACCAGCAGCTGGCGGAGGCTTCAGTAGTTTTCCTCTGATAGAAATCATTCACATTCTCCTCTGCCGCGTCGTATCTTCATTGTGATACTCTTTCACACGAGAATGCTTACCAGACCTTGGTCGAGCGGAGAGACCCTCCGAGATACAGTGAGAGCCCAGACCGCGTCGGCCGTAAGCTCCACCAACCCACATATAGAAAAGCAAATACAGTTTGACGAAGGTCTTCGGGAACGCATCTCGACTGTGACATCCTGAAACAAATACTTCTACGACTTCGATCAAGCATGCCTCGCCCGGTATACACCCCCTGTCCGGAGGGCACGAAGATGTGGGTACGTACAGAAAAGTCCGCGCAGAATCGCGGTAACCCCTATTCTTGAACATGGCGCAAGAGTGCCATATTCCCGATCTATTTCGACCCTGACCTGATTGGTTTTCCAGCTTCTCGACCTGGGAACCCTTGACATCGATGCCAACTTCCTCTTTGCAGGTCATCAAAATGGTACGTAGGAAGCTCGTCCGTCTCCCAACCTGCCTTGAAAGAAAGTCCCACATGCTCTGTCAGTTGCCGTACTTCATTTCCAGACTGAAAAAAATGCCTCTATTACAGCTGGGTCAGCCAGTAATCCGAACCCCGTCCACGAGCGGATCGAGATGATTGTCTATGCCGTTCTGATTGAGCATCCGAGCGCGGGGCTTTTGCTCTTCGAGACGGGCTGCCACGACGACATGGAGAAGCATTGGGGTCCGGTAAGCCCTTTCTCTCCCTTGTTACTTGAACGGACGGACCAAGACAACTTTTGCGGCTTGTTGCTATCGCAAATGAGTTAACGGACATACTTTGGAAAGATGTATGACGTCTCGCCGCGAAAGCGTTATACGACTGTCAATCGTCTTGATAAGCAAATCGAAGCCACAGGTCATTCGATACGAGACGTGCAGGCCGTCATCATGGGCCACTTGCGTACGTGATGCCTGGCACTCTTGGGGGGCCTTTGACCTCAAAACACTCAGGTCCACTAGCATAGCCGACTGACACATGTGAAGACGCTGACCATTCAGGGGGCCTGATGCATTTCATCGACACGAAAATCCCAATCTACGTTCATGACTTGGAGCTGACAAACGCTCTATGGTGTTTGTTTACCAAGGTAGGCCGTTGTTGAAATCTCAAGTTGAGAATCATATAGCGAAAGGCTTGTCCGCTGATAGTCGTGTCCTAGGCCGACGCTGGTCCCTATCAACCCTCTTACCTGACGCACCGTTTGAACTGGCAGACTTTTGGCGATAAAGTCACCGAACTCTTTCCCGGGATTACCATGCATCTTTGCGCGGGGTTTGCTACCTTTTCCTTGTTCTTTCGCGTTCTCGTCTTCTCCATAATGCTTATTACTCCTTCCCCCCCAACTCTCCAAAGCTATACATCACAAAGCACTCACTGACGTCTGAATCTTCCCACGATTCCAAACAGTCATACACCGGGCCTCTGCTGCATGCAGGTCGACTTACCGCAAGACGGTCCCTTCTTGTTCACGGGTGACCAGTTCCATATGAAGGAGAACTATACGAAGCAAATTGCGCAAGGTGAGAGACCTATACCGGAAAGAGCGATACCATCTGGCCCTTCCATATCATCTACGGCACATGAGTTCTTTAGAACTTGCTGATTGTTTTTGCCAGGCCTCTTGGGTCGTGACAAAAACGCCTGGCTCCAGTCGACCAAGTACATTTCCCGCTTGGAAACTGTTCTTGGGGCCAAGATCGTTTATGGCCACGATAAAGGAGTATTCATGGAGCTCAAACAGGTCCCAGACTACTACAGATGAGATTGGATGGCCCTAGAAGTGGACAAATATATTCCCTCCCGACGTGACGCATCGGGAGAGGTTAAACAAGATCAATAGGTTACAAATACTATTACATTGTCCTTGCTCTTTCACCAAACTGATTCCCTGTCTATCGGTGGCTGAAATGCGCCGCCGAGCGCTGTCCACGTGTCGAATGAGGTTTGTAACAATTTTCGCATCGGGTTGTCTTCAGAGTGTGGTGTGTAGGTCTGATCAGCGTTGCCGTAGAGGTAAGACTCGTTCTGGGTAATTTCGCTGATAAAAGCGTTGTCAACATTTGGAGGCCAGTCCAGACCATCCATTGGATCCAAGACATCGTCACCAAAGAGCTCCATTGGGTCGGTAGGTACAGTCCTCGAAGGGACTTGAGGCAGATTTCCTCCATCGAGGCGGCGTGCCGTGGCTTGATCATTACTATCCCTAGCGACATTCGACACCCGCCCCTGCTTGGCACCGATGGGTGGATCGTGCTTCTGCTCTGTCACAGCCTTCATCAAGCGCCTGAGAAAGCGTTCACTTCGGGCGACCTTTGGACCCCCGCGAGAGGCCATGTCGTGAATGTTGCTGACACCTCGCTGCATAAGCGTTTGGGCCTTGGGCAAATCAGTGATAACAACGGAGTGGTCCTCAGTCCGTAGACCCATAGCACCACAGAGGACGCAGAGTGCGTTGAAGATAACTGGAAATAGAAGTTCGGCATAAGTGAGGGTCAAACAGGAATAATTGTCATAGATTACACATACAGTGAAAATCCCACCACCATGCGCCTGTCAGTTCCGAACGTCGCGAACAGTCAATCGTTTCAATCTGCAATTGTGCCGATTCGACGCACAGTTTCGCACTCAGATGGGCAAGGTGCTTCTCAAAGTATGAAATGTTGATTCTTTTGGCGCCCTGGTCATCGCGTGATGATCCGGCAACCAGCTCGGTCGCATCGTCGGAGAACAGAGGCGGCCATTTCTTTGAAGCGTTCCGTGGCCAGCGTCGGTTCTCCGGATTCTGTAGGAGAAACAGAATGGACTGGCGGTGAAGTAAGAGACGCATCCCAAGGAACCGGATTTTAAGGATAACCTTCTGCCGTTGTATGACGCGGGGATAGTTGTCCTCTAGGCCGATGTTTTCAAGGGAGAATTTGAGATGAGGAGGAAGTGTTTCATGCCATTCCTGGAGGTATCCATCGAGCTGTATAATTGCCGAAAGCTGCCTGACAGCGTCGCAGCTGCAGCCATAGGAGGAATCCTGCTTCTCACCATGATGGCCACAGTTAAGGTCCAATTTGTTGGTTGCTGAGATCTGATGAAGCTCTTCAATTATTTTATCCATGGTGCGGTAGAGGTTTATAGTGCAGACGAAAAATGCATTTACAGAAGGACAATCGCTGGGCTGGGCTTTGCCCATTGCGATGTAATTATCGTCGACCGGCTCAGGTAGACTATTTTGGCCTGACAAGACTCGAACGTGGGGGATTCCAATGGGGCGTCCATAAATCATGCTGCAAACCCTGCTGATGTATTAGCCACGTATGCATTCGCAGAAGGACATGGAAAATAAGAGCCTTACCGATCCAGTGAAAAGCATCCCCACCACAGTCGCTTGCGGAGTTCAATATCCAAAGGGCTCAGACCACTATTAGGGGACGGGGCCACGTGGACGCCCAAACCCAGTGCCATCCTTGTTGCATGGCCTGTTGTTAGCCAACATTCATTAGACCGCGTGGTCCCCTGCTGGTACTGGGCGGCAAGTAGCAACGATTGAAGCATGGTGATACTGCAAGTGTCAAAGGCGTGTGCGATCAGATAGCCATGACCGCGTAGGTAGTACTGCTTGCCTGCATCGTAAACATCTGGAAGTGGTGCCCCGGCTTCGGTTTCGTAGAATTGACAGGCAAGCGCAAACACGAGGTTGAGTTGGGACATCCGTATCGGACTCGGAGGCTCGTCAGAAGAACAGATTCGGTCGTACCGTTGTCTTATTATCTCCTCGTTCAGAAAGGGCCACACAGAGTTCGCCGCTGCGAAATAACGATCCAACAAAGCTTTGGCGACCAATCGCTGAGGTACATATTGCAGGTACGAGTGGTTGAAATAGAATTTCAATGCGTCCAAAGCGTCCTGCTGAGGCGGCGGCTCTCGTCGCAGAAGCGTCGTCGAGAGGTTAGAATTGTTCGAGGCACGATCGACAAGAGTGGAGGATGCAGTCGCCGGCTTGTCACTCAGAGAGGGAATTTCTGATCTACCCGACACCGACTTGGGCTCCTTGCTGAGTGTTGAAGCCTTGATCTTCAGTGCGAAGTTGAATGTCGGGGACGTATCGAAAGTATCTTCTGCTTGTACATCTTCTGGAGAGGACCCGACATATTCAACCATGCCATCAATAATCTGATGGTCAGCTTCACTGTCTTCGTCAACGTCGCTGTCATCGCCGTGACCTGATGTGGTAGTAGGTTGAAGTCCCCGGGAATCATTGGTGATGCCTCTATGGGGTGGCTGCCTGTGTTGAGACGTCTCTTCTGATGGATGAGGGGACTCTGTTTCAGGTCTCTCGGCTCGCGATGAGAAAGTCGCATCCGTCGACGGCATATGCGAGAGATTGTGGCTGATCCATGGAGCGTTGATTTGTTGATTGTCATCTCCCGACGTTGCAGTATTGTTGGTGTCGAACACGCGCTCCTCAATTTGGGAACTAGCCCCCTTTTGCCAGTTGGACACAGCGAACGACCCTTGCACCTCGGTAGGTGGCTCACACGTAGTTGTGCCAGTAAAGGCTGTGGAGTGCTGATTTTGGCTAGTCAGTGTCGAGATATGATTTTGTGACTCAGGGTAAGCTTCGCAGGCTGTCGGTGTCGGTCGTCCGTATCTGCTCTCATACTGCCGGAGCTTCACTTCAAGGTCTTCGACATGACTGTGCGGATAGGGCGAATCAGTTTCTGCGCGCGGAAAAGATAGACGTCCTTCCGGAAATTGGAGGAACTGGAGTGCTTACGCTTGTGAGCATTTTGCTCGCTTCCACACCGGCGGGAAAATGCAGAGTTTGTCATGAGCAGCGCAATAGGAGCATCGCGGCTGCGCTGCGTCGCATCGGACTTTGCGACGCTTACATGCAGTGCAAGCCTGGTGATTGGGATTCACGGCCCCGCGTTTCTTCGGTCTGGGTTCCGGGAGTCGTGGCCCTTTTGACGGCTCGTTCGATTCATTGTCTTCCGCCATCTTTCAAGCCTTTCAGAGCCTCGGCCTTTGTCACCACAATTGTGTTTCAGGTGGTCATATTTAGGGATGAGTCGACTGACGAATATTTCCCCAGGCCGCGAGTATATGCGGAGGTGGGAGGGCGGAGTGCGGAGGACCCTTCCGAGGCACGTGTCCGGAGACTGTCTCCGAGCCCAGCTTCCATTGGCTGGGGTCCGCAGGTCTTTGGGTCCTCCTCACTTGGACATCCCCCGGATTGTCCCTGGCCCGGCTTCGTCTGTGGAGATACTTCATCAAGGTCGAAGACGCCAAAAGACGCTCTGCCTATCCATTCTGCTCAGATATGTTGTGTCTCTTGGTACTAACGAGATTCTATAGCCTAGCTTCCGGTGCAGTAAACCTCGATCCCAGGGTGTGTCTGCTCTTGATTGGAGGTCAAATCATCTAATACAAGCTGCAACTGGTCTACCTGGATTATTAATAACACTGGTAACATCAAGGGCCTTTTTCACCCAGGGATCAGCACTTCAACATCCATGTATTAGCATCAGCATGCCTGAGTTGTTTGGCAGGGTCATGGTTGAGTTCTGATTTGGTTGCAAAACACGAGATATCACTACCATTAGTTCCGCAACCGGTAATGCCAACGTCCATGACATCCATATCATCACGCTTCCAAATACTTGGATGTGACCGTGATAGTTTTGAGCTGGAGGAATTCATCGAAACCTATATCGAGCGAGATTTACCGAACATCAGCAGACAGCAGACAGCAGACAAAAAAGTAGATGAGAATGGGGGAAAAAAGGGGCGCGAGCTCACTCCATGGAACACCAAACCGACCCCAACCACTTGACTTTGTGCCTCCGTGTGGGAGTTGTTGCTCATCGTGAATGGACATTGAGTTAATATGGACAGCCCCAGCGTCGATCTGTCTAGCAATCCTCAACGCACGAGGGACATTCTCGGTGAAAATGCTGGCTGAGAGACCGTAAATAGATTCATTGGCCAGCCTCAGAGCTTCATCGTCACTGTCGAACTCGAGGATTGAAACTGCCGGCCCAAAACTCTCTTCGTGGTAGATGCGCATCTTTGGGGTGACTTTGGTCAATATAACGGGACGAAGCCTCGAAGGTGCTTCTCGGAGTACGGAGTCCTGGTCGTTGTTCGGGGGTGGATTCGCCAAAGAGGAGCCGTGTGCAAGAGCATCTCGAATCAGGGTCTCCGTTTTTGCCACTCCTGCTTCACTCACCGCAGAAGTCATGGGCCAGGATGCCGTGATACTGACCATCTTTTCTGTTAGTTTTTTCGCGATGGACGCATGAGCGATCACAACATCTGTAGACATGCAGATTTGACCGTGCTGAACAGATCCCTCCCGATTAGTTTGATGCCCCAACACATGGATGGAGGTACTCAATGTACGATCTACTTACATGTAAAAGGGCACCAGTAACAGCAGCTTGGGCAGCAGCATCCAGATCTGCATCCTCAAGAACCACCTGAGGGGCTTTGCCTCCCAATTCCATCAAGGTCGGTTTGCAGTATCGAGCTGCCACGCCTGCCACGATACTCCCGACGGCGGTACTTCCGGTGAAATTGACCTTTTTCACCGCTCGGTGGGCGATCAAAGCCTCCAAGACCTGGGGCGCATCCTGCCGACGATGCTGCACGATGTTGAGGACGCCCGGAGGAAATCCCACATCGGCAAGCATTTTCCCAATCCACTGATGAATGGCTGGACTGAACTCGGACGCTTTAAGGATAGCGGTGTTGCCGCAGGCTATGGGTGTCAAGACAGCCCGCATAGCTAGGAACAGAGACGCGTTCCACGGAGCAATGCCCAAATGGACTCCGTATGGTTCTTTGATGATCATGGCCATCGTGTTGGCATCACGAGTGTGTGGCACGACTCCTGCGCTGGCGATGGTGATGGCCCCAGCCAACTCCTCCAGGAGCTCGATGGAGCTATCTATATTGACCTTTTCAATCGTCACATCTGGTGCAGGAGTCTCGAGCTGAGGCACGAACTCAGTATATGGCCCTGTTGAGGTCGTGGGTCCAGACTCACACGTATTAAATCCGCCACTTGATCTCGCTTGTGCCGTAAGTAGTCAGCGGCCTTGAGCAGCATTTGGCGTCGATACCATGGAGTAGTCTTCCGCCAGCTGAAGAATGCCCTATTAGCACTTTCCGCGGCTTGAACTGCTAGCTCAGGGTTTGCTCCATATGCTTCATGGACCGTGATACCACTTTCGTTGTTGACAATGGGGAAAACAATATCTGAAGTATGTTGTTGATTATCGATCCATAAGTGAATCTTAGCCATCGACCGGCTCTTGCTGTTTGCAACGCTTAGACTCATATTGAGGGACAATATCTAGACAAGTGATGATGAGTCGATATTGAGAAGACTACCTCTTCGAACTTCGACCTCTCAAGAACGAATTCATACCCTGTCTTAGAGGACCGACTCGGCTTGGGCGCTCCGCTTCTTCGGCGCTGCCCTCCGCTGTGATTGGAACAACGGGCCTGGAGTGGTGAAGCCTCTACACGATTCTCCGCATGATTCCCAGGGTTCTCTAGTCCTTCTATAAGGGAAACTCCATCCCTCGCCAGCCCTATCACCAGGCATTCGGAGAAGATCAGAAGGAACTGCCATTGTTCGAAGCATTGTGGACTCCACAGCCACAGTATTGCAAGATATTACCTTTTGCAACATGTTTTCCAATGGCAATGCTGCCAGCCATGGGGACGTCGTTCAGGAGGTGTCGAATCGTCTTCACGTAGACATCGTCCCAGGCACTGAAGTCTTGGCCGACTTCGAAGGGGCACATTTTGTCCATGGTGGCAAGGAGAATGTGGTGTTGGTACCCCAACCGCATGATGATCTTCACGATCCTTTGGTAGGATGAACCCTTCCGAAGTCTACCAACAGGAACATGCTTATTTGTTTCGTTCCAGAACTGGAGTCCTGCTTGGAAAAGGACCATCCTGGCCAATACAGCAGCGTACATGTTTTTGGGAAATTTCACTTCACTCTCCATCTCGCCCATGACTCCGGTTCTGATGGCAGAATTCAACGTCAACATCACAAAAGTCGCGTTATTGGTGAGTTCCTTCGCATGTGCTGCCCTCAAGAAATCCCCCGCTGACCTGTTCCTCCATCTAGACCGGAGTCTGCATCCTAGCTCTTGGATATGCCAACTTCGCAATCATACCCTGCGCCAATGTGCTTGGCCGTCGTCCTACCGCACTAGCTTGTAGTCTCATCTGCATCGCAGCCAACATCTGGGAGGCACTGGCACAGTCATACAAGTCAATGTTGGGAGGCCGGGCACTGATCGGCATCGGAGCCGCCACCAGCGAGAGTCTGATGCCTTTGGTCATCGCTGATCTGGTCTTCCTCCATGAAAGAGGGAGATGGATGGGTGTCTATTTGTGAGTCGCCCTTCCTTTTGGCTTGGAAGCTCCTTGGTCAAGTCGCGGCTGCTGAGAATTCGACTCCCAGTTGGGCCTTCTTCACCGGTGCCTGGCTCGGGCCAGTTATAGCGGGTACATTGGCCGAATATGCAACTTGGCGGTGGTTCTTCTGGCTGACCACAATCATGCAATGTGTAAGTTATCTTCTACCTCGTCCTGTCAAGCAGCGATATTGACCTAAGCTGGTGACCTTGATGTAGACCAGCTTTGTCATGCTGGTTCTTTTCTTCCCCGAGACCAAATATCACCGGGACAATGCGCTACTTGATCTAGCCCGGGCCACAGATATCATAGAACCATCTCCCACTGGTGCGGTGAAGACAGAGATCGGCCATTTTAACGAATTTCAAGAGGTCCAACTACCGTCTGCCTCCCCAGCCACCGCCACAGCCATCGAACAAGCACAACCGCGTGTAAGCCCATTCTTTGGGAAAGGCTCTCCCAGCAACAATCAGCGGTGGAATGTCTGGTTCGAGATTGATAAAATCGGCTTACAGAGACTCCCCCGGGACGTAGCCGTTCCGTTTTACATTGCCACTTTCCCCATTGTCATCTTCGCAGCTTGCTGCACGGCGTTCCCTGCATGTGCGCTGCTGGTGCTCAATTTACTGGAGAGCCCTGCCTTCTCGGGACCCCCTTTCGATTTTGCCCCTTCGTCGGTGGGGTACACAAATTTCGCCCTCATGGGAGGAGGCATTTTCGGCCTGTTCACGGCCGGTCCACTCTCCGACTGGACTTCGATGGTATTGACCAAGAGAAATCGTGGCGTTCGAGAGCCGGAGATGAGATTGCTTTCTCTTTTACCTTTTGTCCTCATTGGCCTGATCGGAATGACTGTATGTATACACACTGCCATGCATCACCATGGATGTCCCTTCTAACATTTTGACAACTTTCAGGTTTCTGCCCTGGGATTCCAGCACAAATGGCCTTGGGAGGTTATCGTCATCGTTGGCTTCGGCTTTTCCGGTACAATGGTCATGGCTATTCCCACCATTGGCATTACTGTAAGTACCCAGATAACACTCTATAGGTGACATTTGGTGCTGATACTTCGGATCCTCAGTATGCAGTGGACTCATACAAGCCCGTTGCTGGTGAGATCATGGTTGTAGCAACCGTTCTCAAGAATACGTTCGCGGTAGGGCCCGGGGCCCCCTCCCCTCTCGCACCAAACGTCTGAACTAACGCTGCGTCTCTCCAGTACGGAATGACATACTACATCAATGACTGGGCAATCCGAAGTGGCTATATTCCGCCAGTCATGATGCTGATGGCTTTGACCATCGGAATTCCTCTCCTTGGTATCGTGGTATTTTGGTTCTTCGGGAAGAGATGCAGACGCTGGACGAGGAGCTCTAAAGTCCACGACTTCTGATTGATCGCGAGGGGTGAGATTGAATACAGAGGTGTGGTACTGGGGGAAAGATGGTTGTGATACTCGTATCTGATGTGGCTCCTTTGCTATTGCAAGGCTAGGATCGGATAGACCTTTCTGCCCACTCTCGGCACGGATCACACAGAATGCGGCCAGGATCTATCGAGTTATTGTAGATCGAATGGATGTCATAGACTAGTAAGCTTTTCCTTGGCCGGTTAGAGCATGAAGATTGGTATTCTAGGAAGCCCGGCCAGCGTGTATGTGTCTGGCCTGTTTACATTCGTTCGCTATTTCTGGGAATTAGACAGGGACTGAGCAATTGGTCGTCTCAGATGGTTTCTGGCTTGCTTAGCAACAACAGACTGCCGGCCGATTCGGGAGAAACACAAAGGTGCAACGAATGAAGAGAACTCGCGCGGGACGTGCCTCCGAAGGACAAGCGCGTCACAACGGACCAACTCACCGCAATTAAATGTTAAGTCCAGATACTACCGATAACTCATTATATGGAATCTTTCTTTCCAAAAGCAAATTGCGTACTAGTGTCCGTAGAGCGAAAGGAGTATAGGGCAGAAGGATTTTGGTCAAGGACCGCGAACGCAATAAGTACAGATCCTGTGACAAGCATCTGAAGCTTTCCGCCAAACTCACATGCCAGAGGCTATTGAGACAACCCCAAAACTCGCACGGTCGAGAGAGAGAAACCCACCGGTAGTGACCATGGCAGCAGAGAACGGTCGCCAGGACAATCAAGACTCTCTTCCACTCCGTAACATTCCCACTCAGGCATTGGTGGTGGGAACTCGCGGAGCCCCATTCAAACTAACTCAGATCATTTTGGACGAAGTCCGGGATAACGAGGTGTTGGTAGAAGTGATGTATTCCGGCGTTTGTCATACGGTGAGTGTCTGGCTCATCGTGACTTGTTTCTTATATTCTGTTGCTGATAGGCATTTCCGCTCAGGATCTTTTAGTTCAGCATGGCGTGATGCCGGGGGCAACATATCCCATCATCTTGGGACACGAAGGCTGCGGAATCGTTCGAAGGGTGGGATGCAGTGTCCTAAACCCACGCTTGAGGATTGGTCGACCTGTGTTCTTGTCATTCAACACCTGTCGCCATTGCCGGTTCTGCCACGAGGGTCAGCTCGGGTCATGCCCAGAGATGACGCCCGTCAATTTCACAGGCGGTCGACTTCTTGGAGATGGCAGTAGTCCCGCTCGACTGGCGGCCACCGGAGAGTCAGTGAGAGCTCAGTTCTTCGGCCAGTCTTCCTTCTCCAGACTGTCGATCGTCCGGGAACAATCAGTTATTGCGCATGACGGCGACTTGGAACCGAATACCATGGCTGCACTGGCACCATTGGGCTGTGGCTACAACACAGGTGCATCGACAGTGTTGGATGTATTACAGCCACGGGAAGGCACTTCTCTGGCTGTCGCGGGTGCGGGCGCTGTCGGTTTGGCGGCCATCATGGCTGCAAGAGCGCTGGGTGTGAGGCGCATCATCGCGATAGACGTCGTAACGGCCAAACTCGAACTGGCTAAAGAGGTCGGGGCCACGCATACCATTGACTCGTCTTCGTCTTCGATCTCGGACATTGCCACCGCCATCCGCGATATCCTACCCGAGGGCGTCGACCAGATACTAGAGACCACCGGTGTCACGACAGTCATCGAACGGGGTGTCGCCGCTCTCAGTCACGGCGGCACCATGGCGCTGGTAGGGGTTCCCCGTCCGGAACATCATCTTTCCCTCGACCCGCTGGATCTGCTGCTGTCGTGTAAGAAGATCGTGGGGGTCATTGCCGGATATTCCAACCCACAGGAATCGCTACCTCGCCTGATCCAGCTCCACCAACAAGGACAGCTTCCAGTGGAAAAACTGATGAAAATCTACCCGGCAACACAGCTGGATCAGGCCATTACGGATCTCAAGGCTGGGCGTGTTGTCAAGCCTGTTTTATCCTGGAACGATTTATGAACAGGGATGGATGAAAAGCCTCTAAAGCACATTCTGTGCTCTGTCAATTCATAAGTATAGCGAGGATAGCTCTCAGGAGAACACCATTTGAAGGGGACAGAGGATGCGGCATGTGGAAGCTAGTAAGGCCGAATAATCGTATATTGATTTTGTGTTCCTTGACGTACTTCGGGAATTTTCTAGCTTGATCAATAGTCTGCGCAGATTGGCCTTCGCAATCGACCACAGGTTGTGGAAAACAGGGCTTCCCGTTCGCTCAGCCGTACTTAAGCCACAAGCCGATTAGTTAGTAGTTGCGTCGGTGACGAGCAGCGAATCCTAATTGTTGATTGTTTTTGCCCTTTTTTTTCTTTGGAACAACCAAACAGGTGTTGATGGCTTTTTTTTTAGTTACAGATCGATGATGAGAAACGAATCTTCTCAAATAAGGAGTATGCCCAACGTTGTGATTTTGCACCACGCATGTGTGTACATACTGACCTTAACTAGCTGGGGGCCCTTCATGCATGCTATAAAATCACAATGTTGGGTATACTCTGTATTTGGCCAAGATTCACGACCGATACGATTTAGTGATTAGCGCCTTGTTAATGAGAGGCTATGTATAAGAGACGGTGAATCTTGAACATCTGCAAGCCGTCTGGTTGGCCAAATATACCCGACATTTGTGACCCCGTAACGAACATCTGCACTGAATCTGACCCCCAAGTGCGTACCTGGCCACACTTGGGGGTCAGATTCAGTGCAGATGTTCGTTACGGGGTCACAAATGTCGTATGTATATATAAATGCCGTCTTGCCTTTTGATTCCAGAGAAGTCATTGCGACATATTAATCCTCACACCAAAACTTTGCAGCATTTGTTGCCTAGCCTACTTTATCTCATATCTGGATCAATAATCATACTATACTTGCTTCAATTCCTTCACTCGAGCACCTCGATTACAATTGCTACCAATGCATCCTTCGATGTCGGCAGATGAGGTCCTCGCTATTGTTGGTTTGGCTCTTGCCATCGTCCTGGCCATAGGTCAAACATGGTATGCATCTCGAGAGATGCGTACCTTCATTCGTATGTCTCTTGGTTGTCGGCGTTCGCAGACCGACAATGTTTTGACAAGCTCATCAGGCCAATTGCACGACAGCCCTCGAATGGCATAGCTCTGTTTTGACTCTCACGCTCGTTCGACCTTGAAGCATCACCCTACTTCCAATACCCCGAGAGGACGACCTACATTGCCCCAGTCGAACATCAATCTGATCGCCGAAAACAATTGTGGCCATGACCATGACCTCCATTTCAGACCCATTCAGGAAGGCAGAGGCGTTGAGGAACAGTCAAAGGAATCACAGCAGAGGACTCGTAAAAAAGGGGAAGTTTGGCATCCAGGACCGGGGATGCCAATGTTGTCCAATGCAGTGCTGCCACTGATGCAAGGACCAGGCTTAGAGCACGTCTTTTCGTTCCGTGAAGGGGGCGGAAAGTGTTCTGTCTCGAAGGGCCATTGCACCGTTGACCAGATGGTAGCGAAGACTCCGAATCTGAGGACTTGCAACAACGTCTAGTTTCATTGCCTCCAGGCGAAAATAATAGCTTCTGTGATGTGCTGACTTCCAATACCAGCATATGAGCCTTGTGCACCATTCACCACGCAGTCGTGTTGAGCGACCAAGAGTGTCGGCGTCGACTAATATCCGTTCCATGGAGGGTCTTCTTGCACTGACCTTATCATTGTCTGGATGAATGGCAAGCATACACAACCCAAAATCAGGTGCTCTCAGTGGCCAGCCTCGAGGACGCTGCCGGATGGATACGAGTGAATTGCATTCTGGACCATGCCAAACCGACAGCCTCAGCGTCAAGTGCGTGACCAATTACTTCTCCCAATCAACACCTTCTCATCGTATCACACCTCCAACACCGGCCCATCCCAGCACGAACCCACTGAGGGCGTCCGTAAACAGCCCTCCACCGAGCCATATCTCCCTCCACGCACCACTGCCTTGGTTCCTTCCTTTTCCATTCTCATTCAACCCTCTCGTGCCCGAAGTGCCAGCGAAATATTTTTGTGGTGTCGCCCCCGCAAGCAAGGAATAAACGAGAGCGGAAAGGATCATGTTCGCGGCGAGATAGAACCCGAAACCCTGGAGCGATTCGAGACCGAGAATGCCAGCGGCGATGCCGAGTAAGAGGCCAGAGATCGACCGGATGTTAGATAGTGTCTAGAGAACAATAACAACATTCACTGTTAGTTCAACCTCTGTACGAAGTGTGGGGGTGTGGTGGTGTAGTAATGTACCCTTGTATTGTGGGTGAGTGATTCTGGGACAAGAGGGTCCAGTAAAAACGACAGCTCATGCGGTGATGGCGCCATGGTGGTGGTGGGAGATGTGCAAAGGAAAATAGTCACTCTTGGGTGAGTGCGGCGGGGAGTTCTGACGGGGAGTTTTTCTCTGGAGCCTTTCTCTGGAGACTTGTCGAAGCTTGAAACTCTCAGAAAATCAATGAGGTACGGAGTACGGATACGTTGTAGAGAATGCAGCGCAGCCTGACTGTAAAGAAGCAGGTTGTCGGATGAGGTTGCAAAGGAGGATCCCCAGCGAAACCTCTTGGCAGGTCCACCAGTGCTAACGACAAGGCTGGGAGATCAGCCCTAACATACCTAATAAGATTGTCGAGAACAGCAACCCGCTCTCAACCAAGGATACCAAGTATATTATGATGCTTATCTGTACTTCGTTTGTGCACGCATATCACGAAAACCAAGTTTGTTTTACAATCCAAAAAAATCAAAGTCAAGTGTTCTTTTGATTCACATAGAAAAATCGTATGTGGGTTATCTCGTCACGCTATATAAAACGTCCAGGTCGTGAAGAAGAACAAGTGTCGCCCGGCGGACTTGACAATTAGCGGAGATGTTGGTGTTCAAAGTCGTGGTGAAAAGCTTACAAGTTGATTGCTCATTTTTGGATGATGGGGATTTGATTAGCTCAGCATGCGTGCCAGAAACTCAGCACGGGGTTGAAGATCAGGATATTTCGGCCGTCACTTAAAACGAAGTCCCAGCTCCGTACTCGCTTCAGATCGTCAACAAATTGCCGAAACGCTTGAACTTGGGGTATTGGCTATCAAGAAAAGGGTCAGACGTCAAGCATATGCCTCTCTAAAGCTTGCCCTCGGATTGTGCCTCCTTGACTTGTTCGAAAACCTGTGGAAAGTTAGAAAAGGGATTCGGCCAGGAGGGCGGCATAGCATACCTTGAGCATTTTATTTCGCGCACCGAGAGCATTGACCCCGCGAGCCTCTAATCCCTTGTCATCTAGTTCGATCAATTCCTGCCACTTGAGGTCCTTCAAATTGTCCGTATATTTGTGAAGGCGTAACGATCTGAGCCAAGATGGGATGTCTTGGAGCAAGCCGGGGTCGGTAGGATCCTCGGGAGGCTTCGAGCTTCCACGACGTCCACGAGGAGAGCGCCCGCGGGCTATCTCCGAATGATCTGAGAGATAACCTTCTCCTCCGCCAAACGAACCTATGGTGGGAATGAGACCAGGCATGCCGCCACCCATCATGATTGGATTTCCATCATACGCGGCCAAGAAACCGTTATGCTGAGGGGAAGCAAAGCTCTGCCCCATAGGGGTTTGCAAGGGGATGCCTGGAGAATTTGGTCGCGAACGACGACCCTGATTCGCCGCAATTTGTTGTGCCTGAATGGCGGCAACTTGTTGAGCATTCAGGATCTGACCTTGGTCGTTAACCATGATCGTATTGATTCCAGGTATGCCACTAGATTGAAGACCAGGAGTTAGGGGCGGATGACTTTGTGGTGAAGGTTCGTTCGATCGAGCTCGCCGGAACTTCTTTGCGTCATCAAGGGCAATGCGGTTCGTGACCGTGGACAAAGCAGCAAGCTTCATGGCAGTAGCATTGGCAACCATGTCATTGTGGGTGTTAGTTTGATTGAAGTTGGGAACCATTGGAGTATTAGTCATCGAGGCCCAGCTTTGATTACCGACGTTGTAGGGCGATAGCATTGGCATTTCAGTCGGCTCTGGGGCAGTCAGAGTAGTACTTTGGATATTACCAGCGGGGGCGCCCAGAGGACGTGGAGAACGCAGGGAGGCAGATGCAGGGGGCTGGCTAAATTGTCCCATCGGCATTTGCGAGTGATGGCCGGAAGAAGACTTTGGTCGAGAAATGGGAGGCTGTTGAGAATCTCCTCCTTGACGCCAGCTCAACGCTTCAGTCTTATTCTCTCTGGGAGCAGATATGGTGGGCGCAACCAGCGAGGTCCTATCTCCTATAACAATACTGTTCCTGTTGGAAGGGGGAGGATTTCCTGTCTGCTGTGCATATTCAGCCTTTTGCTGCTGGATGGCAGCGACAGCGTCGGGAAACATGGCATGGATCGTCGACTGATCCAGACCCGAGTTCCGCTTATTGCCAGCAGGTGAGACTGGTGGGCGGCCCATGGATGTCCGTCTGTCGTCAACGTTCAACTTGGACATGGCATCGCTTAGCCGGCTGGACATGGGGTCTTTCTCGCCGAAATTTGCAGGAGACAAGACACCTGAGATGGGATGACTCTTTGACATCTGGTTCAGAACCTGAGCAAAGAAGCGCTGCTGCATTTGAGTTGTCTGCTGGATCAGAGCATAGGTCGCAGCCGTACGCTCAGCCTCACTCAAGACTCGAAACCATTGTTCAATTGCGCTTAGTTCGTCCTTGAAATCCTGATCCAGGGTAGCTGCGGCCATCTCCTCGAGCATGGTCTCATATTGTTCAATATCCTGAATCCATTGTTCACCCAACCTGCTCGAATCGTCCAAACCGCCTTGTTGTGATTGTTGATTGTAGAGCACTTCAGAAGCAGGACGGATAGAACGCGCTGAGAGCGGGGACGTAAATGACATGTCTGCGGAGGATCTGACAGGTTGATTGTGAGCGCTGCTCGAGCCGATTGTTCTCGAGGTTGGAGGTCGAAGAGATGTCTTGGATGCCTCGGGGGTACTGTTTCTGTTTCCGATGATGTTGCTGGCCATCGTGGTCCTTTGTACTCGGATGTCGCAGATATTGTGGCACGGAAGCTTTTTTTTGACACCAGGAGCTGAGGACAGCAGCAAAAGTGACGAGTGGCTCGAGTTGTGGGGATAGTCACACAAAGTGATCTAGCAAATCATCGAGTTGAAGCAACTGTCGAAGAGCAACGTGAGGCGCAGAGAAGCCGATGGGAACCAGTCCTGAGGCTTTAGGCTTGCAAGGAACGTCGGGTGCGCGATTGAACAGATTTGAGGAAACGATGGTCAGGTTAGTGGAAAGGGCGGACGGATCACAAGGTGTCTCAGACACACAAGGAGGCCGGATATGATTAACAAAGATTGCAGCGAGTTAGTCGCCAGGGTCAGAATGGAGGAAGGTGTGTGGGCGAGATTGATGAGGAGGATTAGAAGGAAAAATCGCAGGCCGCAGCTGAAATAAGACAAGGCCGAAATAGGTACGAGAGCTCTTTTGAATAAGACGAATGTGGATCGACACGCTGCACATAATAGTAACAAGGGACAATTCATTAATATACAGTAGTATCTGCATGTGCAGAGTAATCCGTATCCGTATCCGTACGAAGTATCCGTACTTCACTGTGATTCAGTACTCTGTACTTTGTACCTAGGTGCGCATAAATGGTGGCTTTTAGAGGACAATAGGGACGGGCATTGTTGGTGAAGACTGCCTATACCTATTTACAGGTACAGCGGCTAGATACCTACCCATGAGTGTCTAGGCCTGGCTGCGACATGGTCAGGGAGGCCCAGAAACCTGCTTAGGGCCTCATGGGCCTCGTATCGCATGCCAACAACGACGGCTATGGGCTGAAACCACAGTTCGTGGAAACAGCTGGCACTATTTTATTAGCATGCATCAGATCCCTGTAGGAATATGGATATTTTTAATTATTAGCCTACGCCTCACTTGTGGCGCATTGTGGCTTACCCCCCATATTCACTTACTGTAAACCGTATCTGTGTAACAATACCAACAATTGGTCGTTTCGAAGTCACGATAATATTCAACATCAAGGTGAGAACCATCAAGATCTGCTGTTCACGAGTGGCAATATCTTCTCGTATCTGTTACACCATGTCACCGTGAGCGCCGAGACACATCTCACCAAGCCGAAGCGATGCGAAGATCGAAGTTTGACATCGATCTCTTTCATGGACGCAGAGCCTGACACCAATCTTCCTCCTTGTATGGTCATTGATGACACTGACCATCACTGAACACAATACGAAATGGCAAATCCTGACAGAGATGGCCCGTCACCTGCGGGTGATGGCACACCATCTTCTGTAAACTCCCGTACCTGGGAAAACGGCGCTTCTCGTGAATCAGCGAACGGATTCACTCTTTCAATACCGCCATCATACTATCATTCAGACACTACGCAGTCCTTGCCACAACATATTCCAGACCACCAGAATGTATCGACTCAAGGGAACTTGCCTCAAGGACATCATCAAAGCAGTGTTCCACCCAGCCAATACTACGCGCCGAGCCAGTCTTATTACCCCACGATAAATCAACTCAATCAGCAATCTACTCGGTTCCTTGCTCAAGGTGGACATGGTACAGAGTCACAACGAAATACTGCTGCGTCGCATTCTGGGAATCATGACCCCCCCGTTGGACCATCAATCCAGCAGCAGATCCCGCACCCTCCGAGACTTGATCCAGCGGGTTCCAGCTATTCTACCGACTACTCTGGGCAACCTATTAGTCGCCCAGCCTTCTCGCAAGTACATTGTTCAACAAGTCAAGTCGAGAATGCCCCTTATCAATGGATCTCAAGACAGCTCCCTCCGCCACAGCCCCGGTACTCATTCCCGGTTCAACCTCAACCATACGCCCTGAACCATTCAATCGATGCTACCCAACTAGCAGCCAGTCTTCAAGCCCCTCGTCTACAGAAGTCGGTAGCACCAGCAGAGCACATAGCGCGTTCTGAACCGCCACCTACTTATATCCCCTTTCACAAAGAGAAATTGGAATTGTTAAAGACAAGCTCGGCGACGGATGACCAACAAGAACAGGAGCCGGAAACATCTGCCGATGAGGTATATGAATCTATGGACGATGTCAATGCCACAGAAGATGACCAGAACACTACCACTTCACGCAAACGCGGCCGTGGTCGCCAATCCTCAGGTGTCAATCCTCGAAGGAAACGACGCCGACGCACAGGGAAGCGTGGTGGCTGGAGCAAAGGCATGCAGTTAGGCCATAGGCCTGCAATAGACCCGGGACCTGAGTTCGCACAACTCTATCAGGACGCCCATGATGCTTGGATCGAATTGAACATCGACGAGGCGCTTGAGTTCTGTCTGAAAGCCATTGCCATCAATCCGGAAATCTATGCAGCCCATGCCCTGCTCTCCGAGATTTACTTTCACAAAGGTGAAGATGAGAAAGGCATTGCTGCACTTTTCAGTGGCGCCCACAGCATACCCACCGATCCGGACGTATGGCGTAGAGTGGCAACGGCATGCTTGGAGCGATCGACTGGAGATCAGCAACGAGCTCTTCAGCAAGCAAGTTATTGTTATGCTCGAATCATTTCCAAGAGCGGCAAGGACTGGGAGGCTCGACTACAACGTGCTTCTGTCAACAAGCAGCTGGGAAATTACAGGAAAGCAATATCCGATCTGGAAACCATTCTTGAGCATAAACCTCGAGACTCTGATGCTATGAGATTGGTCGCTGATATTTGCGTCGAGACTCGTGATCTCTCAAAGGCAATAGCGCTCTATGAGGAAGCTTTAGACCATTATAAGCAACACGGTTTCCAAGGTGAGGAAGAATTCACTTGGGCAGATGTCCTCGTCTACGTACAGCTCTTGGCACAGGAGGAACCACTCGAGATGGCACTCTCGAACTCCATTGCTGTGTTGAAGCGCCTGTCACGATGGTTACTTGGTCGTCAAGATGAAACATACTGGGACGACTATACAGAGGACGACAGGGAGTGGGATTCAGAAGATGACCCGAGAAGAACCGAGGTGCCACTTTTCGTCCCGGGCAAGTACCCGGCTGATTCATACGGTCCAGGTCTACCTCTCGAACTGCGCGCTCGATTAGGTATGCTTCGTCTCAAGCAAGGACCGCAAGAGCTAGAGGAAGCACTCGCTCATTTTGAATGGCTTGAGGCCGACGCGAGGGATATTGATGCAGCCTTATGGCAATATCATGACCTCTTCTTTGAGGTTGCACAGGCTTTACATGACATAAAAGAACACAACCAGGCATTGAGGTACCTCGAGGCCTTGAAAGATGCCAAGGCTTGCGAAGACGTCCCTGAGTTCTGGATCCTTATCGCTGCTAACTCTTATCTATGTGGTAACAAAGAACAAGCCATTGAGTGTTACGAAGAAGCCCGAAGTCTGGACGAAAATGGCATTGAAGCAAGAACCCAGTTATCGAAACTCTATGCCGACCTTGGGGACAAAGGGCAGGCCATGGAATGTGCTCGGGAGGCTGTCATCATTGCGGACAATTCTCTCAAGAAGACCGAGAGGCGAAAATATGAACGTAAGGAGCAACGATTAGCTCGTGAAGATGCAGAGAATGCACTCAGAGATGCATACAAGATGCCGGGTCAAGTGGACTCCGGCATCCCAGTCAATGAACTGGAGAAACGTCTGCAACGGCCACCGACCTACAGGCAGAGGAAGACGGCTAGCGAGCTCATCGCGCGCATCGCAAAGGACACTGCATCTGGCGCTTCTCTACGGACTATCAACAACGACCTCAATGCCAGCGCTACCGGAGATACTGAAGACGCACAAGCATCTAAGGATGATAAACCCAGGAGGCCGCGGAAGGAGCCTTCTACTCGGCGAGTCCGTCAAGCGGCTCTCTCCAATCCAAAGCGCCTGACTGTCGAAGAACGCGAGGCTCACCGTACCGAAACGATTAACAATCTGTATCAAACCCTCCTCGACAACACAGACGCCATGCGTGCAGGCGATAGAGTTGCCCGACACGTATGGATGGACTGCGCCGACAGCCTCATCATCGACTTCCGCACCAACCGCACATTCTTCCCTGGCGAGCGCAATGCAAAGAAAAGGACGCCCTTCGACAAAGATATGCGCCTGGCTAGCCGCACTCAGAATGAGGCAAACGAACTCGATCCAGACATCCCCATGCCCTCCGTCGAGTCTTTTAATCCTACCACATACCGCGACATATCGTTTGAAGAATGGCTCGATGTGTTCCTAGAATATGCCGTCATCTTAGCCAACGAGCTGACCCTATCCGAGTCTTCCCCCGATGCCATCGAAACCCAACGTCACCGAAGCTACGCCATCATCCGCGCTGCCATGGACTGTGTTATATGGTACAACGATCCGCCATCCATGCTCCTCATCCACACGACCTGGCTCATTTGTGCTCTCTCCTTGCGCGATGAAAACACGCTGTTCAACGTTGTGCTTCGATGGTTCGCCCGGAAGTACCAATTCTGTACTGACGCATACCGCCTCTTCGCGGCACTGAATCTCATCTACCCGCACCCAACTCACAAAGACGGCAAGGAAGGACAGGTACACGCGGCCGCCTTTCGGGCCGGGCCAAGCCAAAAATTCTGGTTCAGACAAATCATGATCATGGACGCCAATCTGCCATCAAATTACAGCCCTGAAGGGTTCGGTCCGGTACCTAGCAACATGCGCAATCTGGCGAAAGAAATGCGTCGGGACGATGCCGACGGCGGCGGTCTAGTTATGGGTTCTGGCGCGAATGACAAGGCTCCTACGTTACAGGAGATGGACGTGGTCTTGTTGTCCTTGTACGGCCACATTCTGTATGCGGGTAACAGTTTCCCCAGCGCGTTGAGTTATTTCTTCCGCGCGCTGAGTCTTGACCCGAAGAATCCCATCATCCTGCTCAGTGTGGCGCTATGTTATCTGCACGAGTTGTTGAAGCGGCAGAACCTGGACCGGCACATGTACGCCCTCCAGGGCTGGTCATTCTTTGAGGAGTACGTCGATTCGAGGAGAGCATGGGCTTCGACCAAGGACGAAAAGTTGCAGAACGTGGTGGAGAGGGAGATTGAGCTGAACAGAGCACGATGCTGGCAGATGCTGGGCTTGTCAGATCTGGCCGTACGCAGTTACGAAAAGTTGCTTCCTGAGAACCCAGTCTCCTCTCCCACTTCGGTATCGGATCCGACATCAAAGGCGGCAGCGGAAATGATAGACCCCGAGCTGCTTCGGATGGATGAAAGTCAACAGGAGCAAGTCGATACGGCTACGGATCCGAAGCCTACCGAGCACGAAGAGACGCAGGAGACGTCACTCGATGATGGCCCAGAGAAGGACATGCACGAAGCGAATACCGAAAGAGAAACGATCCCAGAAGACAATGTAGAGGCTGCCGACTTTAATATGGAAGCGGCATACGCGATCCAGACCATGTACGCCCTAAGCGGCAACGCTCTGATGGCGAGGGAGATCACGGAGAAGTATTTGGTCGTCTGAGCCATCAGGCACGGGTACTAGCGTGGCAAGATCACAGCACCATTTTCCACTGTATTATTAGGACAGAAAAGAGCAGTCGCTCAGCTTTCCAGGAATGTTCATCGTTGGGTATTGTATACATCGCACTCAATACATAGTACCGGGCGATGCCCTCCCAGAATCTCAACGCTAAGAATGCAGTGTTGAGTGGCAAATGTTCTACGCATGGTTATTGACGAAACGTGCGAGGTCTACGAGGTACTGACCAAGTCATTGTTAAACAGTGGCTCATGTTTTCGGAAACTTTGGAGCTATTTTATATACACGACAAAACATGTATCACGGCCAACGGAGATTCGGTCGTGATTCAAAAATTCTTCTTCCATCTAGCGTTGTCCTCTCCCCCATCCTGTCCAGCTGCCTCCGGCCTTTTTGTTTAAAATAACTTGTCAGATCTATTGCGACTTGCTGGCGACGATTCTCTCCACATCCGCCACGCTCTGGGTCAAAATTTGTTGCAAGATCTTGGGGTTCTCAAGCTCCTTGGTGACCTTTGCGATGACGCTGTCGGCCAACTCCTTCTGTTGACGTTGCTTAACCTGTCCCTCGTATCGGACCCAGGAGTCGAGCACGTTCTTGGCCTCAGCAGCCAGTGCGGTTCGTTGCTCGAGTTCGAAAGCTTGAGCTTCGAGGTGGGCGGTTTCCTATTGAAAGAAATGTCAGTATTTTGTTTTCTCCCTCGCCATCACCGTCCCAATGATCAGTCAGTTTGGCGTACCTTGGAAACTTCGAAGAGCTGCTTGGTGATGTCGACGACATTGCTCAATGGCTTGACATCCTCGATTCTCTCCTTGACACTTGTAGCGTGGTTCGTTCGCGCCTCGTTGAGCAAGTCCTTGATCTTGGCGACCTGGCTGTTTGCCCACTCGGTATATCCTGGACCTCCGTACTTGAAGATACCGTAGAAGACGGACAAAAGGCAGAAGGCGACGACGGATTCTTCGTTGAGGACGTACAATTCGCTGCTGATGGCCCAGATCGAAACACCCGCGCCGGCGGAGAGGATGGCGGTCTTGCTGGCCAAGGAGTTACCGGGAAGAGCGTCGACGATCGATGCTGCCTTCTTCTTGGGGTCTTCTGAAGGGACGCCTGATGCGTAGCGGGCGGAGGTCAAAGGTGTGCTGAGTGATGGGAGAGTTCGGAGGGATAATGTTGGTCGGAGTTTGGTGGCTCCTAAAACCATCGGATTAGCAATGTGTTCAGTCTACGAGCTTCAGAAGGAGTCAAATTCGTACCGGCCGCACTCCTTGCCAGTCTGGACGCCATGGTTGATGTGTTGTCGTGGACGGGAATCGACAATGAGCTTTGCTTTCGACGTTCTTCACGGAAGGGGAGCTCAGATTCAATCGCAGTCGCTTGGCGCGCTAGTCTGTATTATGTCTAGCGCAGTCCGGACTTGGCGTACGTCGGCATTTTCGGGATTAACGACTTTCTGAGGGGCCAAAGAAAAAAAGTTCTGGCGAATGGATTTGACATGCAGTTGTACAAGTATTCATTCATCCGTCCTCACTATATTCAAAACCACCATGGGCCATTTTACAACGCACATGTCTTGCATTATCTAAGGTACTTACTTACCTTAGGTACTAATATCACCCCTCCCTCCCGTCAGCGCCCGCCCTCGAGAGCATTTTGCTCTCACACCTCTCATTCAACATGCCGGCCATGGACAATTACACATCCCTCATCGCCTCCCCGATGACGGTCGCGCAGCGGAAACATCTGCTCAAACAACTACAAGATCCTTCCACCATATCCAGTCTCCGCAGGCCAGAGATACTCATGGACTTCTTCGTCGACAGCCTCGATATGGGGGACCTCGCACTCGCTGTGCCCGCGCTCACAGGTCTCTTTCACTTGATCACAACCCGCAACCTCGACTACCCAGCATTCTATCCCCGACTCTATGCCTTACTGGACAAGGACCTTCTGCACAGTAAATATCGCTCGCGCGTCTTGCGACATCTAGACGTCTTCTTATCACCGACAAACCACCTGCCCGCTGCCACGGTTGCGAGCTTCATTAAGCGTCTTTCACGGCTGTGTCTATTCGCACCACCTTCTGCCATTGTCGCCATCATTCCCTTCATTTACAACCTCCTCAAGACACACCCAACCACCACCTTTATGATCCACAGAAACCCATACCCCCCATACACAAAGTTCAAGTACAACCTAGGCAACGATCCCTACGATCCCACCGAACCAGATCCTCAACTCACTGGCGCAATTGACAGTTCGTTGTGGGAACTTGAGACCTGCCAGTCCCACTACCACCCTACCGTCGCGAGCATAGCGAGAATCATATCTGAACAGTTTACCAAGCAACAATACAATTTGGAAGACTTTCTGGATCATGGCTATGCGAGCATGATGGAGAGCGAGTTCAAGAAGAAGGATAAGAAACCGCCTGTGGTGGAGTACAAGATACCCAAGAGGATCTTCTCAGATGCAAGCGACGATGTGGCCGAGAATGAGAAGGGAGACGACCCTTTGATGGATCTGTGGACCTTTGAGTGACCTCAAATACAGGACTTGGGCATTCCAGCCCATGGGCCGACTTACGAATTTTCTTCTCTAACGATATTAATCATGGAGCATTTCTGGTATACCTCAGCAGATACAACATAGAATTGGATGAGGATGGAAATCAATTTTAGCGACCTTTCTTGCGCATGGATAGCATGATAGATGGGCATTCCTGTAGAAGGAATAACAACTAGCCCACGTATTATCACGTCGTTCAAGGTTGTCAGGGGTCACTGGGGTTGAAGATACAAGTCAAGGACAGCCTGTGACATGATAGTATTATAGATAGACCCATTGACAACTCGACGGTGATACTATGCACTCTTCTTCCTAGGGAACCCAGTTCAGGCATGTTTGAGCACGTGATCCAGGGATTTCTCCCTAAAACTTGCCCTTATTCTTCGCGAGTACATAATTAATCTCTTGTTTGCGGACTCCAATAAAATATTTCTAGCTTGTCGGATCCATCACACTTCCTCTTCCTCTTTCTCTTCTTGTTCCCATCAGCTGTTTCCCACACTTGATTCCATGCACATTTTTCTAATCAGGCATGGAGAAACAGAGCACAATGTTGCTGGTCTCCTTGCCGGAGTGTCTGATTCCAGACTCACCAACCATGGAAGGAATCAAACCGAGAGATTAGGCCAGTATCTCGCCGCTCACCGCAATTTACGCTTCACTCGAATATTCGCCTCGGATCTCCAACGGGCTTATATGACGGCCGAACAGATTCAGAGACATCAAGCTATTCAATGGTCCGAAGAACGAGTGCCCGATGTTATTAGACTTCCAGTGCTACGTGAACAGGACTTTGGCTCCTATGAGCTGGTGCCGTGGGCGTCAAGGCGTGCCCAGGAAGCTATAAACCCCGAAGATCCTTCATTTCGACCACAAGAGACGGCGGAGGCCATGGCGGGAAGGGCAGACGTGTTCATCAATGACCACGTCATACCTCTATCAGCGTCGTCGCCGTTGGCGGTCGAGCAGGACTCGCTGCCTGAATGTGTCGCTGTCGTGTCTCATGGTCTCTTCCTGTCGGCGCTGTGGAAAACCTTGCTCACCAAGTTCCACACCGGCACGGTGGTGTTGGGACCTAACATTGAGGTCCTCAGCTACGGTCGACCGCTGGAGTTTCTGCCTTCTTGGAGCAACACTGGGTTTTTGGAAATAACCATACATCGGAATGACGGTGACTCGTCGACCTCGCAGGAATCTTTACCACCCACGGCAACAGACAACACTTCTCCTTTCGCCGGGTGTCGCGTAACAGTGCACAATGTCAATGGCAAGGATCATCTGTTGGACCTCAGAAGAGCACGTGGTGGGATTGGTTCCTCGCCATACGATGCTAAACAGAAGAGCCTCGACGGTTTCTTCAAACGGCCAAAGGACGGCTGATATGGTTGTGCTAGTGAACAATTTGAATTCCCTCGACCAGAGCAACCGTGTGGTTTTCGTTACACCAATGCTTAGCTATCTTTGAAACTATGTTCCAGCAAGGCCAACTCACATCGGTTACACAGCATTAAGTGGTGCATCCTTTTGCCCAGGACCGGAACCGCTGACAATGCTGAACGGTCAAGATTACAAGGTACGTTTTTCCCATTTTCAGTCCTTCCTCTCCTCACCTTTGACTGTATGACATGATGAAGCACAATTTCACACAGACCTGTTCTGAACTCAACTTGTGGAAAACTAAATTGTACCAACTGCTGTCTGATTATTCCCCCTTCTGCTTATCGTCTCATTACAAATCACTTCGTTCTCAGCTGAAATGCTAACTTGTGTGTGTGTATTGAAGGTTGTGACAGTCCTGAATACTACCTACCTAGGTTCCCCTCCGTGTTTGAATTTCAATCCAGGTGGGCAACACCAGAACAAAGTCTGTTGACCGAAATTGTTTCCGTGAACACAAAATAAAGACATGACTGTCAACGGGTGGGTTGTTGTCATGTTTACAATCGCGGCCGTTGCTTTTTTTTCTTCACCTTGAGTCGTGTCTGTTCACTGCTTATACAAAGTATCGCGTGGTACAATTCTCTTTTAATTGGTGCATCCTACAGATTTCTTTACAACCTGCCGAATCCATTGGTGTCGTTTCATTATTCGTCCTAGTATATGTTCAAGCAAACAAATAGATTCTAATATTCATTGATTAACTACTTTGTCTGTATATTATAGTCTATTCCAGCCTTTGCAATTTCGTTTCCCTCACCTCGAGCTGTCCTCCTTTGGGCCGTCGGACTCTCCAGCCTGCTCAGCGATATGTCTCATCGCAAAAACATGGCCGCAGCGTGGATTCCTCTGTTCCACCTCGCCAGACCAACAACGCCCCCGAAAGAGGTTTAATGCAAGGAGGAAAAAAGAAACCGAAAATACCAAAAAAAAACAATCGACACCTTGGGATTCGCAAATTGTCACCAAACTTTGCTACTAGCCAGGCGCCATGTGATTTAAGTACGACTGAGCGAACGGGAAGTCCTGCTTTTCAAACATGCTATGGTCGATTGCGAAAACAAATTTGAACAGTATAAACGATATACGAAGACATTTGATTTGGTATATCATGACAACACTATGCTAGTGTATGTACAGGTAATAAATGCCGACCCGATAGCCACCTAATACCTATCCAAGGTAGGTGTTCAGATCTTGTAGACCAACTTTTTCCCACTGACCTTGCCGGCCTTGAGATCTTCCAACCCCTGCAATACACCTTCCAATCCACCACTCCCCACCTGTTGGGCGTGAGGTTTCAATTTACCCTCGGCCAACAATTTCTCCGTGACGGCGGCGAACTTTTTGGCGAATTCAAAGTCGGCCGGGACCGCGGGGATCTTGGTCCCTCGGAATTCGAATGCTTCGCCGAAGATGGAGTACATCAGGGTCCCCGTTGCCTCGACGTCGTCCCGGGGGAACTTCACCGGCAGGATCGACCCGTAGACGCAGCCGGCCTCGGAGCTGAGCGCGTCGGCACAAAACTGGGGAGAGTTGGCCTCGGAGACGGTGTCCCAGGCGTATCTCAACTTGTTGCCGGTCAACTCGCGGATCTTTTTGGCGCCCTCGGGGTCGTTGTAATCGAAAGCTTCGGTGGCCCCGAGAGACTTGACGTAGTCAAAGTTGCGCGGGGAACAGGTCGTTATGACTTTGTATCCTGACCTGGAATCGTCGAAGAAAGAAAACGAGGACGAAAAAAGTCAGTTGATATTCCAAAAAGAACCGATCAAGCGACGAGCCCTCGCTCACACCAACAAGTCCCAAGTAGGTGGGCAAGGCGAGAGGGGAGAAAGACACTAAAAGAGGAACCAAAAAGAAAGACTTACAACGTAGCATATTGAACACCTAGAGCCCCCGTGGCCGTACTCCCACCGTAGATCAAGACGTACTCTCCGGTCTTGACGGGGTCGGTGGGTAGGTTGAGCTTGAGGGCCTGCTGGTAGAGTCCCTGGCCGACGGTGAAGGCGCCGAGGGGCACCGTGGCGGCCTGCTCAAAGGTCAACCCGTCGGGCATCTTGATCTGGACGTCCCCCTTGGCCACGATGTACTCGGCGAAGGAGCCGTCGTCGGGCTGCACGAAATTGCCGCCGTGGGCGACGCCCATGACCCGGTCCCCCTTGGACCAAGACTTGGTCACGGCCGAACCCACCTCCTCGACGTAGCCGGAGAAGTCACAACCGATGAGGCCGCCCTCGGCGGCCATGTCCCCCGCCACGTGCTTCCAGTCGGTCGGGTTCAGGGCGACGGCGGCGACCTTGACGAGGAGGTAATCGTCCCGGAGTTTCGGGATCGGCCGGTCCCCCTCGACCACGGCCTGCTTCCCGCGGTAGACGACGGCCTTCATGTTGACGATGATGAGCGACGAGGTGTCCTGAGTTGTAGGGGAAAGGAAGAACAGAAAAAAGGTTCAAAGATTGAGCGTCGAGGTTTGCAAAAAAAAAAGGGAAAGCCAAGACGGTATGAGGTAAAAGGTAGTATAAGTAAATCTGTTTATTTACTCGCAACTCGTGTAGAGAGAGAGAAAAAAACAGTGAGACGGATATAGATTTATTATACGTTATCTCGTACAAAGATCAAACGGATCAAGAGCGGAGTAATGGAGTGCGAGTCAGCTTTGAGGACAACGCCTGGGTTTATTATTAATACCCAGGGATTCGCAAAAACAAATATCGGCATCTCGAAGAAACACATCTATAAGCGGGCGAAACACACGATAAGTCTCGAATAAGAACTTCAAGGTGACGTTGAGGTGATGTCATTTGATTTCGGATACAATTCCATCTCAAGACACACAAAAATTGCCGAATAGTAAAGGGTGGACAAGGTCCCAGAAAACAAAGAAAAGGTCTAAACGGAGAAAGGAGTCGAGTGGACTTTCTTGGTTGAATGAGTGTTTCCAAATAATAGTAAGCTGGAGCGGGTTTTTCGTTTCAGTTGCCTCGGTCAAATGGAGAGAAGAGATTCGGTGATTGTGTAACAATACGGAGTATAAAAAGCTGACAAATCCCGTGTCGACATTTGTGTGATTCTATTCGTAGCAGAGCCAGACGTGGAAGACTTCTCCGTGCGCTGATGTTGGGTCGAGGCGGCGAGGTATGGCCCGAAAGTTGACGTCGAAATAACACCCCCTGAATAACACCAAGTCTTTCGATGTTGTATCGCGTTCTCATGTCCCTGCTGTCCCGTGCCTAAACCTGGACATGAACGTCAACTTCCTCTGTCTTCTTGTCTTGTGCGAACCACATCAAGCCATGTTTGCATCCCAGACTCAATCCACCCTTTTCGAATATCAACCACGGCAAACGTCATTTTTTGACGAGAACTCAAGTCGCCGAAGACCACACCCTGATCAGGTAATCACGAAACCTCTCGGGGTGTATAGAGACCAGCTGGTTGAGGTTTGTATTGACAAAATCATAGCGGTTCTCCGCAGTGACAAGGAGGTGGTGCAACCGACCTTCGCGAGCACGGTCGCCCACCGCCCGGGCATATGTCAGTGAATCTTGCAGTGAGGACCTCGTGACGGCAGAAACCTCGAATGAGCGACCTAGGCATCACCAGGTTAGCAAGCGACGAACGGTGTGATAGCCCAATCATGACGTACCTTGGACAGCCTCGGCAACGGCAACAATGTCTCGGACACTCATCCTCTCTCCTCTGAGTCTGAACTCCCGTGGCCACGAAGGAAGATCCAACGCGGCAACAATGAACCTGGCGACGTCATGTGCCGATGTCAAGCACACCATTGCAGGCTGGCCTGAATTACCTGAATAGGGGATTTGTGCCCTCCTGCGTCGGAAGTCCATCAAGTACTCCCCTTCTCGAGCGATATGACTATGCAGGCCGATCTGAGACGCAGCCATACCCCCTGGGCCGAATCTTTCATACAAGACACCACAGGTAAATATTGTAAACCTCATCCCGGAAGCCTCGTGTTGGTGAAGTCGGAGGATGGCTGCCCGACGACCTTGATCCAGGAGGTCATTTTGAGGGCGTAGAGAGGGTGGTCCTCCAAACTCTGAAGGCACGAATCGTCGAACGTGTGCCGCAGCCGCAGCATCGATCAAGGAGAGCTGTGGGTTCCCCGAAATGGTTGAGATGACAGTGTCAACCCCAGCTAATTTGAACCTGAGGTCGGCAGCATTGGAATAGTCCACCTGAGCGCTAGAGTGAGCACGGTGGCAACTAATACAATATCGCGTAAATGCCAGATTCTTGCCCTGACATTTATTGCACCGGGGAAGAGTGTTAACAGAGAGGTAGGAGGATCTACGTACCTGCAATACCTGCCATCCCTTCGCACTGAGTCCCGGACTAGGCTGCAACATGTCAGAATCATTCTCCATGCTCGATTGATCAAAACTCACCCTCCGAGACAAGATCACAAATTGATGTGAGGTCTGAGTTGCTAGACAGTTTACAATGTACTGTGCTAGCCCGTTCGTGCCGACAACTGCGACTTTGATCATGGCTGCTCGTTGTTCCGAAGAACGACGACCTGCGTCGTACATTTTGATATATGTTGCTCGACGCAGCCTGCATCATGAGTGAGAGGAGGCTGCTGCGTGACTCAATGATATCAACACCCTGTCGACCATGTGTCCCAAGCGAACAAATGCCATCAAGCGCTCGGTGAGTTGCCTGGATCGCATTCGCACATTGTCGGGGGACGAGGAATGCGAAGCCACACCCGTACAGTGAGAGGGGATAGATGCCAGTATTTCGACGGTGGAGGGGAGGGTGGGAGAGCGCCCTTATCACCAATTAAGGCCACGACCGCGGGCAAAGGGCGGAGCGGCATGGATGAAAGTTCGGAAACAAGCAATCACCGCCATTGCCACTGGCCATCAGCAGCTCTCGCGGTAGTGTTTCTAGGCAGAATAGAGTCTCAAGATGTCCTTTTGATATTTCAACGGAGTCATCGGGAAAGGGACTGCATAATAGACTTGTACCTGACAAGCTGGTTGGAAGAATACCAAACCGGTGTAGATGTCGAGAGCAATCGTACTCCATAGCATAAAGGAGGAGTCGTGGAGCAGTGTCGGAAGGGGTCTCCAGGACGAAGATGGTTGGAACAATGTTCGCGTGGGCCATCGGGAATAGAGTATTGATTCGCCCAAGATGATGGGCCCGAGATTCTCTCTGCAGGCCAGCGAACCCGAACCAAACCGCGCGGCGACTAGGAGCGGCCGATAAGCTGCACCCGGTTGTGTTTCCATGATGCGTACAATGGACGCACGAAGTCAGTGTTTGTGAATATCCCCCGATCCACATTGCAGGGACTTCGGTCAGCCCTATAAGGCCACCAAACACTCGGTACAGGGGTCTCTATTAAAATGCGCACTCTGCGAGAGAATACGACCAGAAAAGAGTGCTGATTCGTACTTTTGCTTTTAGCGAGACCGTTAGGCTTTTCTGCCTGTCGATGAGATAAGCCCTGGAATTTCCACGACAAAACGCGGCCGTACGATTGCGGAGGACGAGATGCCGAAGTCCAGTCCGCTGGCAGATGCAAGGTCTATTTGCCACCATCATTGGCTGCCAGTGCTGACGCTTGAGACGAACATCTTCTCTCGCTGGCCAAGCAACGTGACGAGGTATTTTCACCGATCCTGTCAAGATGTGAAGATGTGACGATGCCAGCGTGACATTCAACAAGGGTGTGGATGAAGCATGAAAACATCTCGGCCATACCATATATTTATCTGACATCGGATAAGATTCCCTGGCATTGTCCACATTCTGGCTCCTCAAGCATCAACTTCACTGCATACAAGTCTATGAAGAATTCAAGTAGGAAAAGGTGGAAATAGAAGCTGCCTTCCAGCCGTGTCCGACCCTCTACCTGGGGACGTACCTAATCTTCACACACTGACCACCCTATGGTGCGAAGAGCCCAGTAGGAAATATTCTACAAAATCAGGCGTCTCTCACGTGGGAACGGTAGTAGCAGGAAAGGGTTCCCAATTGACACTTCGCAGGGATGCTATCCAACACAATCTTCCCAGAAAAAGAATATAGAGTACCGATTATTCCATAGCGCGAATCGAAAGACGAGTGAGGCATCGATTAAACCCAGTAGAATGAAGTAGTGGAAGGCGGCGAGCGAATTGTTAGAGTATGGGCAATGCATTACCCTGTTATGGTCTGCAAGCATATGGGGGTTTTCGTCCAGATCGAGTTCAAGACCATCATCCACTCCGCTGATTAAGGAAAGAAAGTGCTGCTGTCGCTCTACAAAAATGACCCATTTCGATGGAACAAAGTGCTAGATCGCCAGGGATGGCCTTGCGAATTGGTGTCCTGACTAAGTCGACCGATAGTCGGTTTCCCCTCCTCTGGATGTTCGCAATTCGTATTGCTCGACACAATTTCTGACGATCTCGGGTCTGGTATCCCAACACGGCAGACCCAAGTCCTGCATAAGCGGCAGGGAGGTGAATGTCCCACCGACTTGCTGCGTTAAGGCGACCCATTGCATATCTTGGCCGATATCGAGGGGACTTTTGTGCAATTATTCTTCGCTCGGGGGATTGTGGTCTGGCCACCTTTTTCCCTTGCGGCTCAAAACAGCATCGCAGGCAGATAAGCCGTAGGTGGTTTGTCGACATGCGCCAGTTATTACTCAGTATCTTGACGCCCTGGTCTTGAGTTCGTTGCCCAAGAACGGAGAAATCGACGTATTTACCTTGGGTACCTTGGACAGGTAAGGGTCTGGAGGGGTGTCGATCACGTGATGTCGCGTTGGGCTCGCGAGATGCTGCGATCGTGATTCAACCTCGTCCGGGATTGGGATGATGGCAGGGAAAGCATCAGATATATGACGAGGTCGAAGAAAATACCACCTGATAACGAGATGTGTCCGTCTCAAGGGAATCGGCGGATGTCCCTCTCACATCCCTTCGAAGAGACATTGACCATCATTTAGAACTTTACCTGTTCGTGATGCGGGGAGGTAAATAGGCCTTAGTGAGTAACATCTTGGTGTCCCCTTCCAACTGACGAAAGTAATTCCTGTGTAAAAAGTCTGCAGACAGTGCAAATCTTTTTGATCGATGACACGAGTAGATGTGTACCTAGGCAATATTGTACATAGGATGGAAAGTTTCCGGTGTATTTTGTTGGTGATTTCCAAAGCCAAGCCAAATGCGCCAGAACGCGCTTAATGTGTCGCGAAGTCGCGCGGTCGAAGCATCACTAACCCACTCAAGTGTATCCAAGCGGTAATGACATGTCCGCCATTTCAGTCTCTGCACCTCAGACGCCTCTTGCACGCTCTTCGTCGCGATCATCCTCCCAAACATTGTGACGATGGGCGAGCATTCAAATGCTGCGACAAGCACTCCTCACCGTGCTGACTCTCAACCTCAGTACGCGTTCGAAGTCGACCATCCGCCTATTATGTCGTCTTCAGCACCCTCTTCCGCGTCCAAATCTGGGACCAAGGCCAGAAGAAAGAGAACTAGGTATGCCCCTAAGATTTCTTCCCTCCAACATAACTGACCCAGCCCAGTCCCCAAGATCATGCCATTCTCGAAACTGCCTATCAGAAAAACTCGAAACCTGACAAGGCCGAACGAGTTCATATCGTGAGCCAGGTCAACATGAGCGAGAAGGAAGTCCAGGTGTGCTTGTTCTCAAACGCATCACGTTGAATGAAAAGGAAAATGAGACTGACATGGATAGATCTGGTTTCAAAATCGTCGACAGAATGATCGTCGGAGATCAAAACCACTGCAACCTCACGAGCTCGTGGCTCATCTTCACACTCGTACTGCTAGTCCCATTCCTCTGCAGGTCATCCCCCCTGCGGTGAGAGACCTATCACCTTCCTCCCTCGGTCGAACAAACCTTTCACTTGCGCCTCCAGACAGCATACCACGGCCTGCATCCCGCGCGTCGAGTATCCATGACCTTCTCAATCCCGCGTCTTCAGCTCGTAGCGACAGCAGCCGGGACGAGGCCCCACTGGGCAGCCAAGAGACTACAGGACGCTCTACACCCCCATCGAGCTTTGAACAGCCGGTCAATGTCTCTGCTGACGCTGCGCAGAACACCCCCGTTGAGCTTCGAGTTTCGAAAGAGGATGACAAAGTAGAACAGCCTAGCAGCGAGCCTGGCAGTGGACGAAAGAGGGATCACGCTGAAATGACTGGAACAGACACCTCAGCACCAGGAGAAAACGCACAAGAACAGAAAGTACCACCACGAACTAAAGAGCCCTTGTCGAGATCATCCAGCATGGTGCGTTTGGCCATGACTGTCGATGGAGCAGTGAAAGTACGAACGAATGATGAACCTACTCCTTCTCCGGAGAAGCCACGCATCGCGGCGCCGGTCAGTCAGAACAAGCCCAAGACTGGACTTATGCGCAGCAAGAGTGCAATGAGCACCATAGACATCTTTCAGGACTCCACGCAAGGCGCACAGTCGAAAGTCAGAGAACCAGGATTCGGTCGATCGCGTGATGCCCGGACCTGGGCTTTCTATTGCGACAGTACTGCCAAAGATGCTTTGTCGGCGCAAGCTGAAGCTGAAACTGCTGGGTCTGCCATTAGCGCCATCAACCTAATGCGAACAAATAGTCTCAAGTCACGATCCCAAGCGCTTAGCCCGTCTGTTTCCAAGACCAACACTCGGATGGGCGTGGCTCGAAAGGATGGTAAACCGAAACTTGTCCGTGCTCAGTCCTCCTTGGGTCGTCTGCAAAGTCTAGCTGGCGACGCAGACCCGACCCTGCTGAAGAAACCTAGGATTGATGGTCATGTGCGATCACCCCCTGGTGACTCGGACAAGGAAAACTGGGCCCCAGGAACTCAGCTGTCTGAACATCCTCTTCGACGAACACAACCAAGCGGCCGTCAACGACCGATCCTCCAAGAAAACGAAGAAATCACGTTCCCTGATGCAGCCTCTTCCCGAAAGCGACGCGAAGCAGAGGTCAACAGTGGTCAGTCTCCAATCAAAGAGAAGGCCAAAGGTGATGATCTTGATTGTGTCAAGAGCCTGCTGTCGTTGAGTCAAGGTGCCTGGAGATAGCTGCAGCGAGTGCAAAGCCCGTGGGTTTCTTACCCCTCTCACGATTATTGAGTCGGGCACCACCGAGCTGGACCTCTGGGCTAGATCTTATTCTCGGCCTCAACGACGCACTTCAATCCACCTCGAAAGAACATAAGATTGATATGTGATGGTGAGCCGAAGTGCATCAGCATAGAATACGCACGAAGGAAATTTGTTTGAATACTATGATAATGAGGCGCTCTCATCTTTCGATTGCGGGGCGAAGAGCGAGGGCCTGATTGTTCCCGGAATTTAGGTTGCCTGGATGCTGTTCACTGTTCTCAGTCAGTGCAAGAAGAGAAAGATACCGAAGGGAAATGCGACATTGATACTGTATTTTATGCGAGAAGATAACAAACCATGCTGTTATTTGAATTGACCGATGGACAATAGCTACATTCCACCGTTTCATACCTTCACCTATTCTACCTTATTCTTGACGTCAGTGACTCTGTTCAAACAACAGACAACAGACACAGTCCCACTCAATTACATACCTGAGGTACCTAAGTACCACAAGGATCTCTATCTTCATCCTCTGTTATATGTGATCTTCCAAGGTATCTCGATGTATTGATAGTTCTTCTCCCTCCACATGACGATATAGTTCAATCCTTGACCCATTTAGGCCATTCATAACTCCGAGGACTCAAAGCCGAGTGCTCTTTTGCGCGAGACCCGACTGCATCTTATTCAGGCACCAACTTCAATATCTACCTAACCATCGCTTGCATGTCTCGTATATCTGCCGAATTAGCCAATAGTGCGCACAACGACTCGGTCAATGGCTCAACATCGATAATTACCATGCATGCAGCAATCCGCAGCGCCATGAAATCTCCACGAATATCCAAACCACCGCGCGTCGCAGTTATTGGCGCTGGTGTCGCTGGCCTACGCGCTTCCGATGTCCTCGCCCGTAGCGGGTGCAAAGTCACGCTGTACGAAGCCCGCTCCCGTGTCGGCGGCCGCGTCCATCAGCTCTCATGTGGCGGGCACACGGTGGACATGGGCCCCAACTGGATCCACGGCACCGAGGGGAATCCGATCATGACTATGGCTAAAGCTACACACAGCGTGGTCACCGCGCCCGACGAGGCTGGCGGCGCTCTGTACGACTCGAACGGCCATCGCAGATCCGACGACGAGGCCGTTTCCTTGTCCGAGAAGGTGTGGGAAATGGTCGTTGACGCCTTCAAGTACAGCGACGAGAATAGCACGTCCATCGACCCCCAAAGGAGTCTGTTCGAGCACTTCTCCGAACAAATTGACAAGGCCAATCCCAAGGTGGACGCAAAGCGCAAGACCGACCTCCTCGCCGAAGCACAGATGTGGGGTCCCTTTGTAGGCGACTCGGTCGAGACACAGTCTCTGAAGTTCTTCTTTCTGGAGGAGTGCATCGAGGGAGAGAACGTCTTTGTCGCAAGCACGTACCGCGATATTCTCGCCGAAATTGCAAAGGTTACCAAACACCCGAATGTTGATTTGCTTCTGAGCACAGAAGTTACGAAAGTAGATTATACCGGTACGTCGTCTCCGAAAGTCACAGTGACGACCGCGACCGGCCAAAAGGCCAGCTTCGACGAGGTCGTAGTGACATGCCCTCTGGGTTGGTTGAAACGAAACTACGAAAAAGTATTCACACCTCGACTGCCACCTCGCCTGTCTGAGGCGATACAACATATCAACTACGGCCGACTGGAGAAGCTGTACGTAACATTTCCATCTGCTTTTTGGATCCGTGACGCATCCTCTGGGAAGATGAGTACGGACAACTTCCCCCTGTTCACCCACTTTCACGATCCAAAGTACGTCGACCACTCCAGCAACGAGGCGTGGAATCAATCTGTAATGTCGCTTGCACACATGCCTTCCGGACACGAGCACCCCACGCTGCTCTTCTACGTCTACGGCGCTAACGGCACGCACATGGTCGATGCGGTGGCGAACCTCGAACCTGACTCTGCGCGGTACAATGAAGTTCTGGACTCGTTCGCGCGGCCATATTATAGCCGTCTGCCGACGTACTCGTCAACAGACCCAGCTTGCACGCCCAGCTCGTTCTTGATGACGACTTGGCAGGCTGACCGGTTCGCAGGGAACGGAAGCTACTGTAACATGCAAATCGGCCTGGAGAAAGGCGACGAGGATATCGAAGTCATGCGTGCGGCGGGCGGACTGAATGAGCGAGGGGTGTGGATGGCGGGTGAACATACTGCGCCGTTTATCGCGCTGGGAACCACGACGGGCGCGTGGTGGAGTGGTGAAGGTGTAGCGAGACGGATATGTTCGGTGTATGATATCCCCGTGACGAAGGATGTATCTATGTACGTTGGTGCAGATGCAGACGGCGAAGATACCCTTGTTGGTACAAAGAAGGAACTCGATTCGAGGAAACCAGATGCTGCTAATCTAAGTGGACTGGCTATATGACTTTTGTTGTAGACCAAGGTGCTCCGGTATCAGTCGGCGTTTGGTGCTGTCCAGTCTAAGGCTCTCTGAGGGATGAAAGGGTATAGTGACGCCTCTCCATATGTACAGAATATATCTCCACCTCATTTCATGCCGTCAACAATCACATCTTTGCTGTTCCTCCAATATTACTTCATCAATTCGCGATGCAACTACGCTCAACGCACTCGACTAACTTGACCGCACTTTTCGCGCTATACCTCCTGTACGAGAAAACAAGGCTAAATAGCTTCTGCCATCACGTATGTGGTCCTCTACAGGTGGTCCAAGTATACACGGTGACTAAAATGGTAGTTCCGTGTGTCATCTACCCGCCTATCGGCCAAATGATACCTCAATCGACAGGGATGATCACTGAACAAATTTGGCAGAAGCTCTGAATGGGTTCTCCGCGTCTAGAAATGAATGGTAAGAAGTTGTGTTTTTGTCATGGACGAAGCAATAACAGAGCAAAAAAGATTCCAATATGGCCTAGTTCAGCCTTGCCTTGGCAGTCCTGTGACCTCAAATCACCAGGCTAACGCTGCTTCGCTGTCAGTCACAGTCAGTTAATGCTCATGTCCAGCGGTTAACTCTCGAACAGAATGCCCGCTCGACTCGATGGCTGCGTTATAAAGTGAGCCCGCTCCGTGGTACTTCCCAACCCCTCCGTGGTACTTCCCAACCCCTCCGTACCCCCTCCAGTATGCCTCCGAAGTCATCTGTTCGAGGAGAATACATCGAAACTGTACGTGGTTGTCCTGGCACACTCGTCACGCCGAACGCACCCTCGGGTCTGTTTCTGATGCCTCTACCAGGAGACTGGCAACAAGATATCGCGAAAGGCTAGCGTTCTCGGCCCACGCCATATCATCCTCGCCGGAAAATGCGTGATACAGCAAGATGTCGTGATCAGAGGAGATCTCGTCCGGCCAGCGCAGCCCAAGCCTCCCACGCAACAAGGTGATCAGAAGTCGTCGACGCAGGATCAAACCTCGATACATCTCGGGCGCTACGTGTTCATCAGCCCCGGATGCACCCTTCACCCTCCCTCTCGTCTCACAACGGTTGCCAACCCCAACGGCGGTGAACCACAGCAGATCATGACCTACTTCATGCTCAGGATATCCGACTACGTATACATCGGCCCGAACACGCATGTCCGCGCAGCGGAGATCAAGAGCAACGTCTACATTGGGGCAGATTGTACAATTGGGAACATGGTCATAATCAAGGACAACGTCAAGATCTTGGATGGCACGGTGCTGCCAGCGAACACTGTGTGGGCCGGAGGCACAATCATTGCAGGCCGACCAGGAAGGGTCGTAGGTGAGGTCGGTGAGGGTTGGGCTGCCAGTGTTGCCAGCGGCTCAACTGTTGACGAAGGTGTAGGTGTCAGGAGCAGAGAGCGGTGGGCTGCCGTTGGAAACAAGCGCTGAAGGGCACGCGAAGGGTCACACTTGATACGATGCTATGAGGATCGCCAGGGTGAAAAGGTTTGTTAATGATCAGGGGTAGAGTGACAAACGAAATACCAACGTTCCAATCTATCTTCGAAACCATCGGCTTCGACGCTGAGCAACAGCATTGACAATTGCTTAACCCTCAGATTATCAGTCAATCCGACCTGTTCACCTAAGGAAATGTAAAACAGTCAAGCTCACATATACTTCTTCTTCAAGTCAACCCCCAGTCTGGTAACACTCTTCTGCTTTCAATCTGCCGGGCCGATCTTCCTATACTGGTTTCCTCAATTGCACCTTTCAAAACACGGCAAGTCGTCACTGCAACTCCTGTTTTCCTCTGACCAATGTTCTGGGCTTGCTTTGCGACGTCGAAGTTAAGCATTTGTTCTGCTCTGCAAAGCTTCTTGGTTGTATGGTGATTCCTTCTCGAGTGTACGAGTCAGGCCATCCGCTCCCAAGGTGGTCGAGTCTGGACGACACACTTCCGCAAGCGCGCTTTTCCCGGCAGATCGATTGTTTGAGTCCGTCTTTGAATGATGCTGCTTCTGGACATCGACTGCAACACTCTCTTGTTCACTTGCCTGATTGAGCAGGTCTCCAGGTATAGGATGCGATTTGAGGGGATGAGGATGCAACCAGTATGTCCCTTGCGAGACCGGGCGGATATCGATTTCCACAGATTCGCTGCTACAGATCTTCTCGGAGGTAGCAAATGCTCGTACTCGATGTGGTCGAAGCGGTATCGGCACGAGACTGGCATGCTGGAAGTGAAATTTTTGAGCGAGGTAGACATGAGGGGGGCTTGGGAGGGCAGACATGTACTCGTCAAGCCGCCACTCTCCTGCCTGCGCCTTGGCGTCGCTTTCTGCTTCAGCTCCTGCTTCTCTCTCGGTCGGAGGGGCCAGAGCTTCCATATTGATGTCTTCTTTCGGTTCGACCAAAGCAGGTATTTCCGACGATGGCGAGGCCCGGACTCTGCTCTCCGTGACTGCATTGGGCCCTAGCCTCGAGGATGTGCAGGATCTGCTGGCAACAGAACCAAAAATCATCACATCGTTGAGAGCATCATGGGCACGACCATTACCACCATCAGTTTCCTTCCTATTTTCAAGATCCACGCTTTCAGTTCGCATTCGTCGACAGGTCCTCCACGATTGTGCAACACCAACCACCAGTATCATTCCAACAAAAACAACCAAAACAATTACGGTGAACCGATCCATCGTCCTTCTACCTGCAGCAACTCTTCTCAGCAGATTAGAAATGCTTCTGATGCTCCTTCAATCGAGAAAATAGATGTGAATGTGCATCAGGAGTAACATGGTGGCCAGCTCGATTGATATAAGAGTCTTCGGCGAAGGCATTGCGATCTGAGACACTGAAAACAATCTGTCTCTACCACCTCTTTGTGACCGCGGGTAGGATCAAAGTGTACAATTTGCTATGGTCTTGTACATCCCAGCACTATCACACTCGCGCGGAAGACTTCTTTGTCGTCCAATCGCCATGTTGTCTCAGCAGACCTCCTGAATCACAAGACAGTCGTTGCTGCGTTTTCGTCAATGACGGTGTGTGGCATGCCACGTCCACCACGGGCCAGCTGATGAACAACATACTAGCCCCAGACCACACCCTACGTTGTGCAACTGCCTGCCTTCTTGTCACCTATGAAGAAAATGGAAGGTCTCTCTGTCGTTTAACGGCCGAAGCCTTTGCAGATTCTCCAAAATTCTATGTACCACATGGTCCGACCTTGTGGAGCATAGTCATGAACCAGCAGGATGTTGTTTCGGTTTTCTTTCACTAAGAGAAAGAGACAACTCTCGGCCCTGGGATCACAGTCATCAACTTGAGCTCTCACAAAGTGGAACAGTTTCATTCTTCGTCAAGATCACAATTAGACATGTCTCTTGCTTTCGACTGTGGCTTGACAGTCTGACGGGAGAACGTTGACTCCGGATCTTGACGTCGCAGACTCTCAACCAGGAGTACGCAGATAATTGCGCATTTCCTTACTTTAGGCCACCGATACACACCTAGAAAGTCATCCAAAACGGCCTGGGTTCAACATTGTGAAACTCTACCAGAGATGTGTCGTTTCTGCCATTCTCACACCGGGAAACCGTTGAGTTGAGAGTCTAAGACAACGGAAAGTGGATCAATGTCCACTCCTTCACCTCTAGAGTGCTACAGTTGATCTACCATTCCCGGTAGCCAGGCAGATATTGTAGTACTGAGGTCGGTGTCGGGCGATGTGGCCCATTCTTTGACGGACAATGGGTACTCGAAAAGATTCGACAATGTCTCCTTACTTCTAGGGTCGTCCGATTGTGGGGAGTCCGTCAAACGACTGACGTTCAAAATTACACTCCATTTTCGACAAGAAGATCGAGAACTCCTCGGAGCAATCATACGATCACATAGCCAGGCTCCGGTCTACCTCAGTCGAATGTCTTGACGACGTCCACAAATTGTTCTAGCTCACAGGGCTTGTCATAAGGCTCAGGGTCAGTTTAAAGGTCTACTCTTGAACCCCTTGGCCTCGAGAATATAAAGATTTGGCTGGGAAAGGGGGAAACATGGGGTCGAGTGTGAAGATGGCCGATTTCGAGGACGGGTCGGCTCGAAAAGTTGATCCAGAAAAGGGATACCTTACCCTGTTCCTTCGTCTTGGGTCGCGAGCGGGAGATGGCCAGATACGAAGACCGTCCCTCCATATATACATCATCCATACCTACCTTGGGTATATTTGTATAAAACATCAATGTATATATGTGCAAATTGTTCATTGACGAAGGACGTGCTGAGAAACAAATTCTCCAGCGTATTCTGTTGGTTTCTGTGAGTTTGAGTGTTTCGAGGACGTGGATGGGGGGGGGAAAAAGCAAATTAATATTATTATTCTCTTCATTTCGACCACTCTTGGTGGGGAGGTGGTACCTCGATACGAACTGTCGTAACAACAATGCGACGGGACTTGTTTTTTTCCTTTTTTCAAAGACCGAGGAGTATTCCTTTTGTCGTGACACACATCAATCATAAATTACAGTAACATTCGTAGAAGAGCTGGATGACGACTCATAACAAAATACCAAAAAAAACAACAACAACCGGCAAAGATCCTCCATCCACCACCCATCATGACACCTTTTCCACCCTTCACCGTGCCCCACCCCATAGCCATTCAAACATCAAGGGCAACAACTCAACCGGAGGAACTTGAGGAGGAGGAGGAGGAGGACGACCAACTCCATCGCCTTTCGTCGTCTCCCGCGGCGAACAACGCCTCACGCACGTGGGGATAACCACGTTCGATGTCATCTAGCATGGCACGCAAGTTGATCTGTCTCCGAGAGTAAAATGCCGAACGGTCACCGGCCACGAATGACCCGGGACCACCACCCGTGCATCGTTGTCGTCGTTGTTGTCCACGGGCAGTACGTCCTTGACGCACAGAGGTTTCGGGGGTGACGGCGCCGGCGGCGTCGACACTCCCGTAAGAAGGTAGACGTCCTACTCGAGGATCGTGCCTAGAGTAAGGAGGTGGGAGGTGCGCATTTGATACTGTCACCTCCTCTTCCTCGTTCTCCTCAAGAATCTCGGCATCGAAATCGACATCAAAGGTCGTCATGGTGCTTGACCTGATGGCCAACCTGTACCTAGATGATCGACGAAGAGATGATGACGATGATAATGATGATTCAGCAGCAACGCCGACGTGGCTGGGCTCAGCCTCATCATCATTCTCACGTTGGAGTGCGCCAGGGGTGTACACTGGCGGTGGCTCTGTGATGGTGGTGGTGGGCGCCGCAGGTTGTCCTTGTCCTTGTCCTTGTCGTCGTCGTTGTGCTGCTGACCTCCGTGACCACCCACGTTCAGTCTCCAACTCGGCTTCGAGGATGCGTTGGTGCAAGCCGCCTTCGAGGTCGGTCTGGCCGTGGATGACCTGTCGTTGGTGCCTCTCGCGATAGCACTTGCGGAGATGGAAGCCGATGACAAGCAAGCCTACAACGATGGCAACCGCGGAGCTAATGACAAGTGCGACAGTGGTGGATGTTGAATCCATTTTTGATACGGGTGTGTTGAAAGGTAAAAGAAAGAAGTACTTGGGGGGACCGTTGAGGCTGGAGCAAGCTTGATGCTACCGGTGATTTGTTAAAAAATAGGTATGGCGGTGGTCTCAGAGATACTAGGTAGTAATGGAACGAGCCTGTCTTGAAAAGGTCTTTGTGATCCATCGCTTATCCGATGGGAGAACTTCATGGACATCGGCTCCCTTTTGTAGGAAATGGCATGGAAAAGGTCCTCACGAGTAATTCGAAAGGTCCTCATGAGTAACGTTTTTCTTTTCGCTTTGAAAACATGAAAAGTTTGGTAGAGCCTGTTGCAGCAGTGGTTGATGTGGATGCTTCCTTCCGGAATAGGCACCGGAGACATCGTGAGGACCTACCCGGGCCTTGAGTTATATATCGCTTTGATGCAGTCAGACGATATAACGAGGCGCGCAGACACAGCTTTGTTCAAGGGATGATTTTCGAGTCATGACACAATCCATCGACACGAGGCATCCTTCGAAAAGTTTGAGGTGGATGAGATGTCCTTTGCATCACCACCTAAATGGGTGCGTCTGCCTTGTGGTAGCCCTTGGTAGATTATCAACAGTGGTTCATGAAATGTGACAAACCTTGAGACCACTGGTACCGGCGCTTTACACCTTGTGTGTGAGACAAGACCACACCGTCTTTTCCTCATCTCTGCTTTGTCAGTGACTCCTCCCGCTTATTACCCTGTCGGAGGAGTCTGGTTCGAGGAAGAAGCTCAGGCGTGAGGACGGGGTCAGGTGTGTTGATTTTCAAGTTTGTGCATGATTCGCCGTTTTGAAGACGCCCGGTCATCAACAATCATCTAGGACCGAAGGTAAATTTCGTCCAAAAATACTTGCAGGACGCTTCATCTCGGTTTTGTTTAAACAAGTAGTCCTTGTATCCCAACTGTTGCTGAGACTCATTTTCGCTCAAGGGCACAGCAGCATCACCCTTTGTATCGATTAGAACTAAGAGTAGTCCTAGTATGGTGTTACGAGATTGGCTGCAATCTCGATACCTCCGAGCCTGGTATAGTCGGTCTGACTGTACGGAGTACATACTTCGCTTACAACTCGGTATAGTACAAGTTGTGTCGGCCATAGAGTGCAAGACACAATGTGGGCCGGGGATGCGATGCGACGCGAAAGATTTCTGTCTTGTGAGGCCATGATTTCCCACAACAGAATTGTTGTTGTTGCAATTACTGGATAGGCAGCCAAGTTCGACAGATGGAAATTACGAGTACTGCGTACGGAGTACTCTGCGAGAAAACAGGAAATGAGGTGGGAAGAAGGCGTAGCGAAACAGGGTGTGGCACAGTCACTGCTGGGAATTTGTCTTGGCTTCTCCCAGCCACATGCATTACTCAGCTTGGACCAACCAATATCGCACCGCCACGATCGTCGCCTACTCCGTGCACCAAATATGCACTGTTGGTGACGGGCAGAATTTATTGGTGGCGGGGATGCCCGTAGTCCAGATTCTGGAGAAGCTGAAGCCTGATTCTTTGCATGAGTTCGCAGCCAGTCGATGTTGAAGCGAGGAGGTGATCATCGGAGTCGCCATGTCTCAAGTATCTCATCCGAGCTGAACTAAATACGACTGCTGCGTAGATGGCGTTTTTAGGACAAGATCATCACTCAAAGGGCAGACAGACTCGTATTGCCGGTCAGAAATGTTTGCATGAAGGAATTACTGGTGTCGCTATACACAAAAGCGGTGACTAAATCTGACGATGATCATCGGAATGTCAAAAGGATGGGAAATCTAGGCGGACTCTTTCACTTCAAACCTTGCATGGATTCAAGGCACGGGGGTAGAATTGTTGCATCGTTGGAGGGGGAGGGTGACCTTGTGCAGGGAGAGGCCCCGGTCAGCGGGATGTGCTTCACCATGACCTCCAACACCCTGTGACCACTGGTGCAGATGAGTGGGTGGGATGTTCGTGATCATGCTTGTGATACGTGCACAGTAGAATCGGGTTGGCGAGTCGCGGGGTATGAAGAAGAGAGAATCGTGGCTGTGTCGAGGGTCTGTTGCAGTTGAGGTGGCAGACCAGGGATTGTGAGACTGGTCAGGAGGAATGGACATGTGGTATCTCAGAAAGTTGAGACAGGAACAGCACCGGCCTACGTGGCTTGGACGATGGACCAGGCGATGTTTTCCGATCAATTAACGATGGAACTAGCGATACTGTTAGAGGCAAGGAGGACACCTATCCTTACAATATCCCTTCCAATACTCCGCGTACGGCTGTAGGCGTCGTAGGCGCGCGTCGAGGCGAGGGAGCGGCCGAGGTTGTGTCTGTTTCACCATTCAACGAACCGAACCACTCGACCAAACCCATTACGCGAAGTCCAGAGGCCCCTGAAGCGCGTCGCAGGTGTCGAGGCGGCATGACCAACCAGTGTGTGTCCTTGGTACGGAGGAGGCGTAAAGAATGGATCACAACCCTGGACGGAGTAACCAAGAACGAGATGTGTCAAAGCGTGTCGGGCGTCTGTCTCGACTGTTGCACGTCTTTTGTTTGCCTCTATGGAGTATCTTCCTTGGCTAAAAGAGGGGGGGAAGGATAGTAATGGATATCCCATCTGATCTCAATGAACCCATACCACTGGTGCTGCAGGACAGAGGACGATTAATACTCCGTAGGCAATTGGAAAAATACTAACACGAACAAACAACCCATCTCCTGGAAGTTTGAAGAGCGATTCTTGTACGTACAGTGACTGATCGTATTCTGGGGCATACCTGAGGAATGGAGCGAGCTGTACGTAGACAGTAGAGCGTACGGATGAATTGACGGCGGCTTGGTGCAGATAGTTGCTGGTAGACAGCTGGCATCCTTCGCCTGGAGAGCCATCGAAATCCATCCATACATACCTCTTTTACAAGGAGGGAATAGTTTCCTAGCTAAGGTTACTCCCTGCATACTCCCTATCCTCGTAGTTGGCCATCCGCACCTCGAATGATACGCCCTCACATGGCCATTCTCAGCCAGAACGGTCATTTTTTCTTTGTTCTCGTAGCAATGGTCATATGCAAGGGTCAGCAAGGGACAGCAGGGGAGAAATCTAACTAATTACCTTGCCTCTAAGTAGGTACGTGGCAGCCGCCCAATCCACGCAGCCTCTACAGCAGCCGCCAACACCGCCCGAAACACAAAGTTGTATTAAGACAATAGGCCTCTCTCAGCCAACTGCCCTACATATCTGCACCCGTTTCCATTCATATCTCAATTCTCATTCACTGCAAGCGCCCGATTCATTCATCGCCTGCATTCCATCAATCTCTCTCTCTCCCTAGTTGGCGACTATCCCTCCGTATTCATATATTACCATCTATCTCTTCTTCAACACATCGCATCTCTCTTCCCCCTTCTCATCTTTTCATCACTCCGTACGGGAATACCTAATCCCACCATCCCCGTCCAAAACCTACTCCGTACGCCACTACACGCTATCTCGGCCTGCATTCAGCCACCAAAAACCCCTGTCTCGCTCGCGCATCCCAAATCGACCCTACCAAAGTACGGATCCCAGAAGCCATCATCCGGGGCTGGTCTCCCCACCGAGTCAAGCCTTTTTCAGCGCCTCACTAATTCCTTTCGGGACCTGTCCATCAAGTCGCAGACCAAGAGGAGGGGAATACGCCAGCGACAGCCATCAACAGTCAGGGGTTGGTCCAGCCGTCTGAGAAAAAAAAAACCCTAGTTACTTGTCTTCTGTTCCTGGAGCTTATCGGTAGAGCCTCTATCCACTAGCCGCAGTCCCAGACACCTCCAGATCCCCACCGCCCTGCAGTTGCTACATCACTCTTGTGCACTGTTCAGGAGTCTGGCTCGTCTGGCTCGACACAAGCGTCCTCACCTCAAACACAGGAGCAACATCCTGGGCCGTGCCCGTCAAAGCCTGTCTTTTTACTAGATCGGCTTCCGGCCCTTCAACTTCTTAACTGAAGTATACCCAAATCGAGCTCAGACCTCTTCTCTTCATCAGTCTTGCTGGTCAAGCCGTTCTTCAACTGGTCCGCGCTCAGTTAATACCAACCACCCAAGCGTGTCAAATACCTGTCGCAGTTTCCTGTCACCTTCACTTCAAGAGTCCTTCACTTTGATAGCCCAGACTCTCCAGATAAGGGTGATCTGGTTCCACGAGGCATATACTCCTGACCTGCCTCTATCTTGCCAGCGGATTTCCTCAATTCTATTGTATTTGAACCCGCAGTCGAGACACGATTTCGATAACAGATCCAGCCTTTCTTCTACATACACCAACATGGGTTCTCGCACCACAGTAGCCAAGAACAGGGCCGCCCTGGAGGAATTCGTCCGACAGCCAGTCCGCTCCTACATGATCCAACATCTGGCAAAGCAAGCCTCACAAGTTATTAGATGTGACTCTGAGCCTTCGCCAGCAGACGCTCTCCCCACGCCACCCTCCACGCCTCCGCACCATGCATCTTCAGACGTTGGACAACCCTCTCTCCCGACTCTGGAACAGTTCATTAGCTCGCTGGTTCACAAGTCCTCCGTACAGGTGTCGACCCTCATGACCTCTCTAGTCTTCCTGGCTCGTCTGCGATCACGACTACCTCCTGTGGCCAAGGGCATGAGATGCACAGTACACCGCATCTTCCTCGCCTCCCTGATTCTCGCCGCAAAGAATTTGAACGACTCGAGCCCCAAGAACAAGCACTGGGCCAGATATACCTCGGTCAAGGGATTCGAGGGATTCAGCTTTGGATTGGCAGAGGTGAACCTGATGGAGCGGCAGATGTTGTATCTGCTGGACTTCGATTGCAGAGTCACTGAGCAAGACCTCTTTGACCATTTCGAACCATTCCTTGCACCCATCCGCTTCCAAATGGAACTGCAGGCAGAAGAGGCAGAACTCATCAGCAGCCACCGACATTGGCACTCTCACCAGGCCTCATACGACTCCAATATCTCCCTGCCACCCCCGCCGCGCAAGGAGCACATCCTCCCGAGCATGGCCACGCCACCACCCAGAGCAGCAGGTGTCTACGATTCGCCAGCTGCCTACACCACCGACGACGACTCTTCCAGCAAGTATGCTCGACATCGAGCAAACAACAGCTCCCTTTCTTTACCTGCTCCCAGCCACAGACGATGGCCTTCACCTTTCCGCCATCATGGTCAAGGTCATGGTCGTTCTGTATCTCCTCCTTCGATCCGAGATCTTCCACCTCTCGTGCCATCAAGCCGACCTGGCACCATGCACAGCCATTCCAGCTCGCGATCCTCATCTATGGCACCGTCATTGCGATCCCGATCATCCTCGATCGCACCAACCTCTCGGGGCACTCCATACACTACATCTCATCTCGATGACAGTATCGTCGTGGTTGACCTAACGGAAAGCCCTGATGCCTCATATCACGGTGCATACGTCTCTGCACTAGCAGGCTCAAGACCCAGCCTGAAAGGTCATCAGACCAGCTTCTCAGCCGAGAGCCAACAGCCTTCCAAAAAGGTCAAGGCCGACTCTGGAATGGGAGGTGTCATTGGCAGAATGTTCAACTCGGCCAATTATCGGCTAGGTAGAACCCCTGTCCAAGTGGTTTGAAAGCGACGGACCATATCGAACGTGGAGTACAGATGAATGAATTGAAACAATCCAGGAGTTTGACGACTATCCGAGCTGACGACATTTGACCGCCCTCATGACCAGGGCGAGAATTTTCCTTGACACTATCTATCACACATTCATTCTCGACCAAACCCTTTTCCCTTTTTTTCAACACATAATTGTACTTCTATGCATGGCGCCGGCGTTCATTCTCTCTCACCCACAAACAGCAAGGTCTGTCGACAAGCTATTTCCCTTTTTATTTTCTCTAAAACGAAAGAAGAAATTCTCTCTTTCCACCATGTACAAATACACAGATATTCAAGAATCAAAGCAAGCGCTTTTTTGCAAAGTCTCGAAATCCCTGATCTAGCTCGGAGCTTTTGTTATTTTTTGGACTGGCTTCAAAGATTACAAGACTACAAGATTGAAATTCGGGGTCATATGAGATCGAGAGAAGGAGAGAGCGATTGGGTATATGCTTGATCATTCACACACAACCTTGGGAGTTGTTGACTCGTACTCTCAAGAACTCTTCACAAGTGATAAAGGCGACGAGCAATTTTCAAAAAGAGGACAGTTGGAGAGACGGAGAGACGTCTGTTGGAACGATGCTTGACGATCATGAAGAATGATCCTTTACCCACTGGTGGATGACATTAGCATAGCATATGATTCCCGGATTTTCCAAGACGGGAAATCTTAGAGTATGACAGGAATTTGTCGCTCTTGAAATGAATGGAAGAAAAATATGACCTTTCCAACTGAGTATCCTCTTGCATTCCCGATGTCCTTTCTGTATGCCTTTGAAAGTTCTGATCCTTTCAAAAGACTCCTGTAGTATGTGTCCTCTCGCCTTCTTCTGTTGGCCAGGTTGGGCACTTTTGACGATTGGCCCACGCGGCTCCGTCCAACCCTCCCCTTCCCCCCCGGTCCGTCTCCCTCCCTCTCCCCCGACTTCTTTTGGATCGGGTCTCCAAAACTCGAGTCTTTTGATTCCTCAGGAGGTACTCTCATTTCCATCAGTCGCTCACCTCGACTCGGAGGGGTGAAGGTCGAAAAAGAAAATCAAAATTGTCCTGGGGGGGTTTGTATCCTATCTGTCTGTCCCGACCGACCCACCCGGTCATGTGAAGAACTCTCTCGAAATCCGGATCGTTGGTTGATGACTCGAAGGAACCGCATACACCAGGAGTGTGGCTGTAGCCAACTGACCAAACAGCCCTCGAGCGCGTCTCGACTCTTTCCGCTTGGTCGAACGTGGACGCGAAACTGAGCGCCGATCCGTACTTTCCGTGGGGAGTCGAGCGGTATTGTGTATTGTATCTTGAACCCAAGACGCCTAGAACCATCATTTGACCTGTCGACTCGGAAAAAGTCGATGGGTTTGTCGGGGCATCGAAACCGTTGGTGTGGTACACTCATCGACCAGTCGATTCGTGCAACGAGGGCAGTGGTTCTCAACGGGCTGTATGTCGAATCCATGCCGGTCAACACCCTCACACGGACATGGTGTTAATGCGTGAACGATTCGTACGTGTACAAAAATTGTAGACTTGAGACTGTACACATCTTCCTCCGTGCCTGGACATTCTCCATCACTCTCTTTTTGTGTCTGTCGTCGCCACTTCCACCTCTTCTGCTCCTTGAGTCTCACTCAAATTTATCCTCTCTCCCACCCCGAACCCAAGCACACCCGTCAAAACCCGCCCAATCACCCATCCCAACACGCACCCCCAGAGCACGGTGCAAGGCCACTTTTGCCAGTCTCGGTCCCAGTCCAGGGCCATGGGCACCGCACCTACCCACCCACCAACCAAGGCACCCACCGTGCCGGCCCAGACCCCGGCCTCGTCGAAGGGCAACCAAGCGGCCGCGACGTCGCGCCACGCCGCGCTCGAGACGCCGTGGGTGTAGAAGATCGGCAAGAACCCCAGCATCGACACGTGTAGGGCCAGGACGGCGGTGTGAGGGATGAGTGAAGTCGGGTACAAGGGAGCTCCCAGGACCAAGGCCATGACCGTCAGAGGTAGAGGTGGGAGTGTGAGTGTCAATATCAAGGAGAATAGAGTTGGCTGGGGAAGAGACAAAAACGGTTAGCTGTAATGATCGAGCCAGAACATGGTGAATGATAGTCGAGTTTTCGTGTCCACGAGGCAGGGAAAGGAGGAGTACTCACCATGATTCTAGACGATATATTCCCACCTGCTGCACCACCGTCTCCAAAGCCGCCCTTACTCGTGCTAATCTTCCCACCACCACCACCACCACCACCGTGACCACCTTTCTTTCTCATACTTCCTCCTGCGGCAGAGGAACCCTTTGATGTCTTTGTCGTTGTTGACGTGGTCGTCGTAGCAGTCCCTTCAATTATTTTTCCTCCCGTGGTGCCACTGACCCAAGTACCTGCACTGGGCAAACACAAGGCGCAAAATATCGCCTGAGCAGCTCCGACAACGATCAAATCCGTAATCAAGGTCGGGAGAGGGTCGGCCACCAACGCCGACGCTCGGAGGTAATAGTACAAGGGAACGGCGAGGGTGTGAGCGACGGCATATCGTTTCGCGACGCTGCTGGACGACGACGACAACACCGGGATCGGGAGAGTGGTTGGTCTGAGGAGTCGTGCAGATTTGTTAAATGAAGGCGTGCCGCCGCTGCCGCTGCCCCGAGGTTGATGGACCTGCGTGAGAGACGAAGAGGGAGACATGGTCGACCGACTGGACCAGACGAACACGGTTGAGCACAGCCCTGGCTGGGTGTTCTCCTCCCCCCCCAAGAGTCGGTTGGTTGTGCGGTGAAGAGAGGCGAGATAGGAACTGCTTTTAATCTCAAGGACTACATGCCATGACAATGATATAATACACACATACGGCAACAACAAAAAAGTGCAAGAATGAAGGACCCCGTGAAGAGGACAAACTTGTAAAGCTTTTAGTTTTGGTGCGGAGAGTGTTTTTGATCCCTGAGACATTGGAGAGAGGCGCCTATGATGATGAGGTACGGAGGAGCAACCGGAGTATTCATGCCCGAAGGCTCCGTGTGTGCTCGTTATCGTACTCGTACTCGTATCATATCACAGACACTCGGTTCTCCTCGAAGCCTCCTTCAACTTTGGCCGTCAGCAACACAACGAGCATCTGAAAATCGGATCAAACCCTAGAAGATGTTCTTACCTTTCGCTCCACGCGAACTTCTCATCATCACGAGGTCGAGGTGTAGGTGAGGTTGTGCCTCCAACTCCCCCTACGCATTTCCACAGCAGGAATACAGGGGTACAAAAATACAGGGGTACAAAAATACAGGGGTACAAAAATACAGGGGTACAAAAATACAGGGGACTCATTTACACGAATAAATCCAGTAAACAGATTCACAAAGTTCAAAAAAAAAGAAGTCATTATTGAGCCACCTGGGCAGTGCCAGAAAAGCCAACAATTTCCAGCTACTCCTAGACCTTGACCCCTAGACCTATACAGATTGCATAATATACAACATAGCCAACCCGATAAAAACGCTCACTCAAATCGGCGTACGAAACCAAACTTCTCTGAGGTCCGCAGGGTCACAAGCACCATCTTGTCGGTCTTTCTCTCCTTGAAAAGAGCACCGTACCGTAGTCTGACTGGGACTAAGTCTTTCCTCCCCAATCATTAAATATTGACAGTGACAATTCCGCTTGATGTGCAAATGTCTGTCAAGTCCACCGAATGCGTGCAATAATCGAAAACATAACCATATCGGAACATGCTAAAACTTGTATTTTGTGTGAAAAATTTCTGCTTGCGCTCATGCTCATGCTCATATTACCGGCAGCCGTACATCATCTCGAGCAGTCTCAAAAGTCTTTCTCGAATTCTCTAGCGGTGTTTCGTAAACTTCCTCGAAACCTCCCTCTTCCTGCTCGTTTTCTGATTCCTGATCGGTTCCGCTGAATCGTGAGATCTCAGGAGGTGGATAGTTTAGTTGAAATCCTGGGGATCGGTGCAGCACTCGTGGAGTCGCGGGTATATTATGGTGTGATGACTCGGGACTTGGGGTCGGATAAGGCGCTTCTCTGATGGTGGCGTACACTGGAGTCCGGAGGATTTCAACCTCCTTTTGAAGCTCCATTACTTGCTCTTCCAATCTCAGGCGCGCTGCCTTTTCATCCTTGACCATCTCCAGGAGGGCTTCAAACTTGTCCAAAGGTATGTGAATCGAGGTCGGTGATTCTGGTGGGGGTGGTGTCTTGGGCTTTGAATTGTATGGCGTGATGGTGGCGGTTGTGGCCTTGCTGCTTCGTTGAGGGCGGAAGAGATCTTCTCGTTCTGGTGATAGGGAAGGAGAATCGCCTGGGGATGACAGAAAGCTCATGTTGTTAACAGTATTCGGAGAAGAAGCTAGATAGCTACTCTCCTGCGAAGAGACCGAAGTCAAAGTGGCATCCGCGTAATCATTGGGAAAGCCGTCTTGCATGGGTCCCTGATTGAAGTGTCGCGATTCTCTGACGGGATTGGATATCTTTGTCCCTTGGAGTTTGGCAATGGCATATTCGAAATCAATGAGCTTGATTTCCAATGTATTGATTCTTTGCTCCAAGCTTGTGTCATCGACGTTGGAAAGATCCAACCCAAAATCGAAGGCCTGCATCGGGTTGGCAGCACTCGAGGAGGCTCGTTCAGATTCTGCTGTCGAACTCACGGGCGCAGCTGTGACATATACCGGGTCGACGGCGATCGATTGACCACTATACACCGGGACGGGATTCTCGATGGCGCTATTTCGCCAGTAGGCGATCTCACTGGCGCGGTCGCGGGTAGGTGAAGGCTCAACACCGCTTGAGCGCAAGGCTTCATTGAGCTGATCAGCACTCCTAGATCGACGTTTCAATTGACCATCAGAGACGCAATCCTCCTTTGACCGTTTGCTCTGTTGGGTGCTTTCGCCGGCAGCCCAATTGGTAAGAGCAGCTAACGAGCCCAAGTCCTTATCACTGAACACCAGACTAGGTAAGGTGTTTCGACGCCCGCGCCGAGGTGATGACGGAAGATTCTGCTCGAGAGTTGAATGTACCGAGTGCGACGTCAGTGCCCTGCCCGGTATTGCGTGTCCAGGAGCCTGTGGAGGCTCTGACTGTCTAGGTTGATGCTGTTCACTGACAGGAAGTAGTTGGCCTGGGTCACTGTAATGGTAATTGTTGGCTTGAGCAGGAACAGACCGATGTTTCCTTCCCGTGAACATACGCTTGAGAGTTGCACGCAACCCTCCAGGCTTCTTTTGGCTCATAGACGACTTGGAAGGCACCGAAGACATGGAACTTGGGATGAGCGATGGACCGGCGGAATTCCGCAAGGTCATATTGATCGGTACTTCGCTGACATGGCGATGATGGTACTCTTGCGGCGGAAGGTTTTGGTGTTGCCAGGTAGTGTCGTTGGACTGATAAGCAGATGCAGGGCCAGGGGAGGGGACTGAAGCTGAGGTGGTGAACATGTCCCTTGATTCGTTGAAAGGTATTGGGTCCGAGATTTTCAAATCTCCACGCCGTATGGCCGCTCCCGTGCTCGTCGAAGCCAGCGAAGCTCTGGAACGATGATTCGGCGACGGCATGTTGGGTAGAGCCAGCAATCGGTTTCAGATCCTCCAGAACAGCATCACCTTGGTACGAGCACTGCGCGATGATGCGGAGTCATGTTGCGCTTCTGTCTGCGAGAACAAATGCGTTTGCGACAATCTGAATAGCTGCCGCGCAATGTCCTGGGATGAACCGGACGGACGATTAGCTGGGGGCGGAATCCCCAGTCGGTCGCAGTGAGCCTGTCAGATCGGATTTCAGTAGTAAGCGTCCTTGTTCCTGACGTTCCGTGGAATGTTCTGGCGGCCGCAGCAGAAGATCTAGATTAGGGGATTTTCAGACAGGATATATCCAACGGAGGCTGGTGACAACACGTAAAACGACCGGGTGCTTGTTGGAAGATGCCAACTCGACGACCAATAACGAGAGGATGAAGGAGTGTAAGAAAAAGCGGGCGGAGACTCGTCAGGCCGACGACGATAGGGAGCCAGGCTGACAGAATGTCGGCAAAGAGGATGGTCAAAAGATTCACAGACCAGACGTGGTGCTGTGGGCGGTCTTTTCACAATAACAGTCAAGCGTCGAGAGGGTAGGAGCTTGCTCGGTCAGGTAGGTCTCGTGGCTATTGTCTCGCCTCGAGGGCAGAGCGCTGCGATATCATCAAGGAATCCCTGCCACGACATCAGAAGATCTAAAAGGTTCAACATTTCGGCATCGCTTCGACCCGCAGGTGCAGTAGAAGGAGGACCTGACAGCGGTGACGGCAACAATGACAGCTGGCCGAGTCCCACTATCGAGAGCGTGGGTGTTTCAGCGCCATGGATGGAAGAACAGGAGGAAGAGAGAAGCAGGAAGCGAGCCAGGAGGAGTAAGGAAGATGCGAATGTGGGCGTTGAGGCTGCGAGCGACGGGCGAATAACAGGGAGAGAAGAGACAAGGAGCCAAAGTCGAGCTCCGACTTTGGTTTAGCAGGAAAGACTAGGGGCTTGCTAGGGAGGGAAATAGGCTGCTCCAAGCCTTGATGACCCTTGTTAGGGATTTTCCCAGGCCCTGGACGAGAGGACGGATTAGGTATTGACTACAGCATCAACACTAGCATTCATCCCCGGTTAACGCGTCGTGTAACCGAGCACACCTGAGTACGAGTACGGTTACGATAGTGTGTGTACAGTGTCTTCGTCGCCTACGAGTCCCTCCATGCTGCAGAGATACAATAAGCCACCCCTGCTACGGAGTACGACCACTGTACAATACAGTAGAGTCGGCCCCCCGCTGTCAAATCCTCCCGGCCCAACCATTGTCCTCTGCCTACATTTCTCCTCTCATCTCTCCTCCACCCCGGACGCTGGCTGGTGCCATCCGATCTTGTTTCACGCTCTCGTGTGACTGGTGGGCATACTTGATGTAGGTGCGGCTTGAACAGCATGTGGTGGCAACTGTGTCGTCTCACTACCACCACACTCGACAACGGCTGTTCCTACTATTGCAGTCTAGCCCGTCATCGACACCCAACTACGGCAAAGTTACTCCGTCTGAGCTGCAGCAGCAGCAACAGAAGCAAGAGACGGTGAGACGGGTCCGCCGGCATCGATCATCAATCTCGACCACACCACCACCTAATCGAGAGAGAGAAACCTACAATGCTCCGTACAGCAGAATGCAGGAAGCATGGTGGAGGGCGGATGGAAACATACACATCTTCCGCCCAGCTTAGCAGAGACTCTCTTGCTCATCATTGGAGTGATTGGACTGCCCCTGCGCCATGCAGCGCTGCGAGTCATGCCCTAGCGTTGGCGCTTTCATCCACCTCTTACCACTCCGAGCTGCCTCGCCTTTGCATCGCTGTTTCGGAGCAACACAGATAATTTAGCAATCGAGTTTTGGACAAAGACATGCTGGAGCGCACTGAAATCACTCGGTGGAACAATGATGGACATGCCGTGTCAATAATCTCTCAACCTTTCTCCGCAGCATCGTGCGGTGCGGTTTCGTGGTGTCCCCATCAGGCTGTAAAACCAGCTTTTGGTCTGCACGGGTCACTTCACTGGTGGGCGGGCTAGCCCTGTGACTAGCACTGGTGGTCCTGGTGCTTCCCTTCCCTCGTCCTTGTACTTATTTTAGGGGGGCCTTATGATCGACCAGTGACATGGCTTCCCTCCACCTTTTCGTCAAACACGCTGAAGTTTCTTCGTACCGTCTTTAGGGTTGCTTCTTCTCAAACACCCCGTTCTGTTCATGATTGGCCCGATGTTACTACAAACTTGAGTTCGTAAGACATGAACGCCCTTTGTGGGTGATCAAAAGATCATCATCAACATCGACTGTATCATGTTCCCGAATGCTTCCATCGTCGGCGACTTTGCGCTTTTCAGCTGTCGGCCCCGACCATGCCGAATCTCCCACCTCGACCTCGCCCAGAAGACTGGAAGAAGTTTAGATGCTTATCAATTTCTGCTTTCGCTTGTTTCAGCCCCGATATGTGTACGTAGGATTGCTCGCTACGAGGCTCGGCCTGGAATTGCAACTAGAGGGCGCCTGATCCAAGAAGTGTGCAGGGACTGAGTACGAGTTTGCAGAAATATTCTACTCGTTGACCCAAATTGATCATCTCATGATCACGAATCGGGAGGTGTTTTCGTCGGTATTACTCCATCCTATAGGGCTCATCACGAGATGCCTTTTCCCGGTGATACAGCCTTACGTTGGGCCGCAATCGTCCAATGGTGATGAAACAATGCCTTCATTTGCTCCGGGGAGTCCACGTCAGATTGCGCCATGCTCCTCTGAAACATTCTCAGCCCTAGGATCTGTGTTGCCCTCTGGGGTGTGATTCTCCAGCCTATTGCCGTGCGTTGCGGTCACTTTTGCAAGGCTTTACAACTATTTGCTGGCTTCCAAGGGTGCAGTTCAGGTGCCGAATCAGGTTGGATGAATGTGGGCATGCATATGCAGCCTGTAAGCTCAACTCAAATCTAGGTCGTCCAGACTAGGATACCTCAAGTCGGCGTTGTCTTCGAGGAACTTCATCCATCTTTTGAGGAATGGATTACCTCTAGATATGGTTTCTGAATCGCCGATTACACACAGATGGCGCTTAGGTCGAGTCATCGCAACTGAACATCGTGGTCAGAACCGGGTGCACACCAGGTACGCAATCAGACTGCAGGTGCATATGCGCAGATCGTTCAACGCGAAAGGGACTGTGCAGGTGCAATAAGAGCCAATACTGAAGAAATTACTTACCGTTCAATCTCCTCTTTTCCCCAAGGAAGCCCACCTCCTTTTCAGCATTGCTTCTGACCAGGGAAACAATGACGGCCTCTTTTTCACGTCCCTGGAATCCGTCGACGCTGCCGAGCTCGATGTTCGGGTACTTTTCTCTCAACATGGAGCTGAGTATGGCCAGTTGTGCGTTGTACGGTGTGACCACTGCAATATCCTCGTCTTTTACGCCTGCGTCAACCAACTTCTGTACGTGCATCACAACAAGAGCAGCTTCCATCTCGTTACATTTGCTATCTCCCAGCAGCACTGAGACCTTGACTTGGCCGCCTTGGTCCTCCTCCGTCTTTTCTGGGAACTCTCCTCCTTGAGTGTCAAAAAACACCAGGGGCTCTTTGGTATCTTCAGTCTCCTCCACCTCGTATGGTAAGTCCTTCAACAGCCGACTCTTGACCGCATCTGCTGCCACAAGTTCCGAGTCGTATAGCTCGTCACTGGGAAAGCGCATGATTGTCTCATGCATTCGATACTGAGTGTTGAGCAGTCGTTTGATGTTTGAGCCATGCATAGATAAGAGACGATCGAACATGGTTCGTTCCAAAGACCATCCTTTGGCCGCCTTGATCTCGTCGTCTTTGACTGATAGCTTGCGAAGTTCATCTTCGAGACTTTTCATCTTTGCTTTCTTTTGATCCTTGTTTTCTTTGTTGTCGGCGCTTTTGACGGTCGGCGGTAACTGTAGATGGTCGCCTGCTAGGATGAGTTTTTTGACCTCGCCAGATCCAAAGACGAGTGGTATCCAGCACTGTGGTTCCAGTGCCTGGCTAGCCTCATCGATCACGACAACATCAAAACCCTGATTACGCACTTGGTGACCTCCTGAGCCGTGCAATGTCGAGAGAACAACTTTACTACCTCGTACTAGGCCATCAACACACTTACCCTCTCGCTCACGATACTCTTTTCTCAAATCTTTCAGCTCCGCATAGATTGCACGACGTTCCCGACCGCTCTTTGTTTTCCTTATCGACGATTGTTTCTCGTCCATCTCCCTGCGGACGTCATTGACGATGCCACCTGCCTCGCTAGTGCGGGTCAGGACTTCTAGGGAATGGTTCAAGACACTGGGCAAGAGGCGGGCTGGATGTCCCAGCCGCACTATAGGCGTGCTCGGGGACGTCATAGCGAGACGTTCGACAATATTGTCGACACTGATATTGCTCGGACCGCATACTAAGACCCGTTGGCCTTGTTTCAAAAGTTGCAATATCAGTTCGATCAGAGTATATGTCTTTCCAGTACCAGGAGGGCCATGGATGAGAGCAACCTCAGGGGATGAGAGCGCAAACTTGATTGCGTCTTTCTGGGAAGAGTTGAGGGTCGAGTCGAAGAACCCCAAGTCCTTGGTCTTGTCCAGATCGGCTGACCCCGGTGAAGACAAACCTAGCAGAACTCGTTGAAGGCTGGTATACGAAGTTTCGGGCGTTTTGAGTAGTTTCGAGAGAATCTGATTCATTCTAGAAAGCAAAGCTCGTCAGCACTCAGTCCGTTAATGGCAATAAGATAAAAACACCTTTTGTACGTCACGTCGTTGGCAAGTTTGACCCTAGGAGAGGATTTGTTAGTTTTTGAAATGTTCTCCTTTGTCGAGCGCAAGACAATCGATCCCACTCACAACCACAACTTTCCGTCAGGGACATTCTCGACAGTGTCGCCATTTGAGCTTTCCTTACCCAACGCGACCCACACGGCTCTCTCGCCAACGCGAGTGACGACGCCCTCCACGCCCTTGCCTTTCAAATCGGAGACTTCTTTCTTCTTCGCGGAGCCTTTGGGCATCTCCCCGAGGGAAACTATGTCACCTGTCCGGATACCATGCTCGGGGAGCTCACCCTTGGAATCTTTACCGACGAGGGCCGAATCCAACCCAAGCTCGACCACGGAACGGCCGCCAAGACCCGTCTTCATCGACTGAATGGACAGGCTGAGGATGGCGAGTCCAGCTCGGGCGAGTGTGCTCGGAGGCGTGGAAGAGAGCAAAAGGGTCGTCTCGGCGACTTCAGACTCTTGCTCGAGAGCGACCAAGGTCAGGAGAGAGTTGAAGAATGCGGCTGGTGAGAGCATTGTCGAGGGTGCCATAATGCAACTGTTGCTATCGGATATACGGACCGTATCGATACTGCTCTCTATATCGTCTTTTTGCGTATGCAGTTACTATCACTCGGCCCCATACAAAACTGGAAGTGTTGTTGATCGTTGGTTATTAAAATCATGTGGGAGGACTTTTTTATCATCGGATTGAAAACGCTGGTTCGCGTTCCGCCCAATGAGCGATAAGGTCCTGTTTTAGAACTTTATCTTTTTCTCTTGTAATGTACGGACTCCAGCGACGTAGTGGTTGATTAAATTAAAATGTGCTGCTCTGAACGTACCCAGCACTGTGGCACGACGAATTGATGTTCCTCTGAGGAATTACATAATTCGACAGTCAGCATGCGGAGAATTAAATCTCCGTCGCCGAGAGCTCCACCTGGGGAACGCTTTGGCCTTTTCACGGACAAACCCCTAGTTTTTGTTAAAAGCCTCCTTCACCCTTCCTGAGACTGGGGGCCGAGTGTTAAAAGCCACGCAGTACTATTCGCATTTGTCTAACATATGTGGTCCAAGTACTCAAGAAATCTATGATAGGACTTGACAGCACGAATACTTCATTATGACCCATGGAACCTACAGGAACCAAGAACGACTTCTGAGTCGATGGCGAATTGCACAATACTTCGTGCGTAGACACAAGTAGCAAGCTCGACCAGCTACATTCATACTTGCAGAAGACTTTGGAGGAAGAGGAAACCTGGGGCAGACAAGATTTAAGCTGAGGCAAATCTAGATAGACACATCCAAAGTTTTCGGCGAGGGCCGCTCTACCAAAAGAACCACCCTCCCCATCAACTGTCAGTAAGCGAGGATTGTTTTGCTGTTGATGACCAGGACGAGTGTTAAACAACTCGGAGTCTCTGATAAACGATGGTGTGTTGTATGCCTCGAGTCTTGGCCGGAAGTCTGGATCCCTCCAAGGATCCTGTTCAGGTTAGTGGGCAACCGTGCTATTCTTCGACATGTTCTAGTCAGGTGAGTTGGTCAGACTAATGAACAAGTGCATCCCAATAGAGAGTTCCAATCCTGACTTCGCGTTGGATGACTCCATGATATTGAACAAAGTACACTTTGGTTGTGTGAGATGAAGCCGACGAACTTTTGGTGAAAGGTCGAGGTGCAAGGGGGTAACGTGACCTGTAAAAGCGGCGACATGCTTATTCGCGCTTCAGCACGAAAATTTAATTTCCGACCTTTTTGCCAATGTTGTTGTTGTTGAATCGTTGCAGCAAACAAACGACAGCAAGGTGAGTTTAACTCGTAACAATGCTTGAAGCAATACGACTCGCACCTGCTTGAGGTCTACATTGTTCGGAGCTGGCCGCGGCAAGTCCTTCGGTAGGATAAATGCTCAGCATGTACCGGTCAAGTCAATGAACCTTTCACCGCGTTTGGAAACAAGGACGAGCTTTTCAGTGCTTTTTCTTTTGCATCTGACAAGACCAGTCTCAAATCATTGACAAGGTGTGTATGAACTAGGCATCGCGACAAGCGTGGCCGGGGTTGAATTCCGACAGGTTGTAAGTATTCGCTGTCAATTCACTCGCCCTCACTCGATTTGGGCGAAGCGACACATTGCTAGACCCAGATTGTCAACCGGCCTGGATGCCTTCGGCACTGTTTGGGGCACAAGAGCGGCTGCATGGTCTATACAGCACTTCCTATTACACACTAAGCGAGGCGCTTTGGCAGGAACAACATCCTCATACAGACTCGTGGAGTCTTGGCTCCCCGCGCACTTACCACTTCAACACTTTCCAATGCCGTGTTTTCTGTGCCTAGAGCCTGGACAGGTGGTACCTCCGTTCCCTCCAGGACATGATACTGAGTGGAAAGCGCCTCTTGTGTCAGTGGCCTGAGACTTTTGACACGGGTATAGTTTATGCTGGTTAGGCATTGATTCATCATGAGATGCTCCGAGCTTGTCACTTGACGTCCTCTATGATGTCTGGGAATAGTTTCAGCAGATCATTACGAACAGTATGATGTTGGTATGACGCGGGTCCGAGTCAAAGATCAAAGCAGCTTGTCTACAATATCCTGCCTATGTCATCGAAACCGAAGCCCTGGTACAAACGAAGCCTGTCGAATTTTCGATCTCTTTGGACCATTTGCTCGGCATCAGTCTAGGTATTTGGAGACCGATCTGAATACGAAAAGTGCGGGAGATCGGCAGTTTCTCGAACTGTTGGAAAACTTCCATTCGGTCTGTGTAGGTCGAGGAGAGCAGACCTGACTTCATAACAGTTCGCACCGGAATAAACGACGGTCTGTGCAATTGTGGAGTCCTCGTGTTTATTGGTGTCAGATCTTTTCGCCACGCGGAGGACAGCCGTTGTCGGTCCGTGCAACAACATGGTATGTGCGTCGATAGTATATCACAAGAAGTATCGCGTACAACGATTTTCCATGTACGGTTAGCTCTCAGTCATTGTCGAAGAGCCTCATGGTGCAAGTTTTCGCGATAAGGGGCACCAGTTTCACGACAGAGGACATCCGTCAGGGGCCAACCCGTGCTGTCTGACAGAGCATTGGGCTTGGGCCTGCTCGCATCCAGCAACCAGAGCCGGTCTTTATCGTCGCAGTCTGACGACTAGCTTCATACTATCGAACCACCTTGTGTTACTGCTCTATGACAATGGGTTATGCACTATCATCCGTTTCTCATCCACCGCTCTAGGCTCGGATTGCCTTTGGTCGAGGTCGAAGCTCTCGAGATTCCTCTTGTAAAGTTTCTTTTTTCAGATCGAGGTCCCGCTTCAGATCATGCTACAGGAGGTCGAGCTATGCCCGATATGCCTTTCCATCTCCCGAATATTCTATCGATTCGAGAGCACCACGTGGATATTCTGATGGCCAGTGGTCTCGACTCTTTCAATGAGGCACTCAATGACATCCACTACTCAATAGCACTTGCTCGCTTAGCATTGCAAGGTTTGACTTTATCGAATGCTCTTGGGTCGAGGATCCGAAAAGTTCCTTTGGAGAGCATCCGTCTCGCCCGCGAACGATCCAGACTCTCCAGGCTGGCCAATAATGAAGACAATAGTTTGGTTGAAAAAAAATGAAGCCTTTCTCAACGATTGCAAACAGGAAATCCCGTCTTCTCGCGAGTTGCAAAGGATGGTTATGAATGTGTATAAAGAGGCCTTGAAAACCGTGAGTCTTTGAAACACTCTCACGAAAATCACCAGCCTGATTCTTTCGTGTATTCTGACCGTGACTGCCATATCTTGCTTGACCCCCTTTGTCTTGTCATAGCCCTATTTGCTATTGTCTCTTTTCCCTCCACGTCGAACACCATGACCATCTCATACAAGACCGGCAAAGTCGCCATCGTTGGCGTTGGCTATGTTGGAGAGTCCCTCCTCCGCGAGTTCAGCTCTGCCCACCCCACCATTGGCTTCGACATTTCGGAGTCTCGCATGAAGTACTTGCGCTCAGAGTATGGTGGCGACAAGAACATCACCCTCACCTCGGAGGAGTCGATGCTCGGCCAAGCCGAACACTTCCTCATCTCGGTGCCGACACTCATGAAGCCCGACCACTCGGTCGACATGTCTTACATCAAGTCCGCATTGTCGACCGTCTTCCGGCACGCAAAGACTGGCAGCACGATTGTCATCGAGAGCACCGTCTCGGTCGGCACCACTCGCCAACTCTTCTCCGCCGTCCAGCATCTCTTCAACTGCGGCATGTCTCCAGAGCGTGTCGACCCAGGACGCACGTTCCCGGCACCCCACGACATTCCCAAGGTCATCTCGGGCCTCACACCACAGTCGCTCGCATCATCATGAGACTCTACTCGTCCGTCTACAACCATGTGGTGCCCGTGACGGTGCCCGAGGTTGCAGAGATGACCAAATTGTTCGAGAACTGTTATCGAATGATCAACATTGCCTACGTCAATGAAGTCAGCGACGCTTGCCGCACGCTGGGTCTGGACCCCAACGAGGTCATCGACGCCGCCGCCACCAAACCCTATGGCTTCCAGGTCTTCCGTCCCGGTCTAGGAGTCGGTGGTCACTGCATCCCCGTCAACCCTTCCTACCTGCTCCAGACATGCCCCGATCTGCCCATCCTGGAACACTCGACCAAGCTGATGAGAAACCGCCCGGCCAAGCTAGCTCGAGAGATGCACGAACATTGCTCGTCGACAAAATTTGCCTCGACGCCGGACCTCCACCCCAGGGTCCTGGTGATCGGCGTGGGTTTCAAGCCGGGCCAGTCCGTGCTCTCACACTCGCCTGGTCTTGACTTTGCCAGTGAGCTCAAGAACTTGGGCTGCGATCGTCTGGCCTTCTACGACCCTCTCGTGCCTCAAGAGACCGTTTCGTGGATGGAAAAGCTCGAGGATGACGCATTCACCCCGACCGAGCTCGTCTCCGAGTTTGATGTCATCGCCGTCTGCACGAGACAACACGGTGTCGACTTTAAACTATTGGACAATCTCCCGGAGAACATGGTCTGGTCGTACGACTAGAGTAGTGCTCCTGGAAGAATGACTGAATGAACTCGATATCAGGGTGTTTCCACCAAAAGGGCGTTCTTGTTTTGGGATCCATGATACCAGGTGTTTTTCATATGGCGAGAGAGTCTGTATAAGAAGGCATTTGTTCCAGGTAGAAACTGGCCATCTATAGCTAGAACCTAGATGTTTTTAGATGAAGAAGAAAAAAGAAAAGATTCAAGAGATTAAATTGACAAGTCCTTGTTGCCATGGTTTCCTACGAGCTATCCTGATTTACTGTAACACACTCCTTACTGTCAGTGTGTGCATGCAGTGGATCATCTTTTTGACACCTGTCTTGATGTGTGAGAGTCTGGAAAGATTGATCGGACGGTGTGACGAGCAACTAGGTCGTGGACTGGATGATGGTGCCTCTGATGAGATTGATGTACGACACAAGATACAAAAGATTTTCAAAACGTCATATTTCCATCATGATCAACATTGTCAGTGTGTTGACTATTGAGGTGACTTGATGCACGCAATGAGTAAAGGGACAGAGTCGTCTGTCTGCTGTCTATACAAAAGTCTGGAAAAGTGAAAATCACCAATGAGAGTTTCTCGCTACGAATTGCCTCTCCTTTCTTTTCGTATCGATGTCAACAGCATGACCGATTTGAAGTATCCTCTACCAATACTCGTTACACTTGTTCACATCTACAATACATTCGAGCCTATTCCATGTTCGCAGGCAGAGAACCACTTTTTCGACAATCCATTTTTGTTTCCTTTTGATCTCTGGTACTCAGTACTGAGACTCGCATCGGCAGTCTTCGGTTCCACACCTTTTGCAGTTCTACCACGGGTTCACACACTTGGGCCTGTCGACGCACAGCAGCACTTCCACGGAGCGACTGACAAGACGAAGAGAACCGAAGACGCTCGGACACACACCGGGACTTGCATGATTCCTTCATGGCCGCCTTTCTTCCCCTTCTTTCCCAATTGGTTTGCCATTTGGGTCGTAGTGGTGCAAAGTGCAGTGACCAGTCCAAGTCTGTGCTCCGAGAGATAAACTCGCTACGGATACTCGCTAACGGGGATTTGTGGTCTGGAAGTGATGGACCGTTCCCTCGTGTGTGTGTGTGTGCACAATAGTCGTACTCCGTATGGTGAAAAAAAAATTCCCCTCCGTGCAGAATGAGAATACGAGAACCGAATGAAAGACAAAACGTGATCCCCCCCTGTCTGGCAGCAGGTCAGGTTAGGTCAGGTCAGGTCAGATACGGACGAACACCTAACACCGAAAATCATGAACCGCTAGAATCTTGTTGTACGGTACTACAATACACTACTCCGTACTATATATGTGCTCGTCATAGAATGTCCTTGATTAAGTACCTAGGGGATTTAAGACCATTGCCAATACGATAGCGCATACGGAGTACCATTTTACTTTTTTGGTCGTGGATACAGTTTGTCTATAATTGTGGAAATTTCTCCAATATAAGTACGGATCTTTGACTTCCCTCCACCCGTGAAGCCTCTTTTGGGGAGCGGAATGGGGCGGAGGAAGAAGAAGAGGAGGAGGAGGAGGAGGAGGAGGAGGAGGAGGAGGAGGGGGAGTGGTTGTGGTTGTGGTGATGTAGGATCATACTGTACAGTGCGGCGGTGGAGTCCTTTTTGTAAGGAGTATGGGTACAATAATAATGCAAGGGATTACTGAGGCTGAGGATGGAGTATCGTTCTAACGAGTTCCTGTGGTAATAGTAAATGTTGACAGATAGATAATGTTTGAGCTATATCGATTTGACGACTATTATTTATGCCTGTCCTATGCTCTCTGTTCACAACGATGATCTGTGGTTGTCAGTGACTTTTCAACAATACGAGGACACCCGTGTCAGTGGCTGCCGCCACAACCGTTGACAAACTCTCTGTTCTCTCGTACTCCGGATTGACAACGGCTTCGGGCACTTCGCCTCCCCAAACACAAAAAAAGCCACGGTCCACAAAAAGTGACCGTTTTCGGGGTGTTTGTTGTGTTGCCTTGATTACCGGATGAGGGTTTGTTGTCCTCCCGGGGGGGAAAACCCAAAAACAATCAATTGGATTTTTCAATGGCAAGTTCCCACCCTTGGCAACGGGTTTAGCAGGGATGTCGATGGGGGAAGTTCACCTCCAAAGTTTTTCATTGCGAATCTCTGAGGATGTGAAGTCGCCAGTACGAAAAAGGACGCACAGATCGTCGACGTACCCAACCATTTGCTCCACAGAGCAGAGCCGCACCAGTGAGACGACAAACTACCGGATGCGCCATCTGCTGCCAACCGGTCGAACTAGTGGCTTGAACGACCGACCAAAAACTGTTGCTGTTGTTGTTGTTGCCCTGTGCGCCCACTTGAGCCTCAATTGGCCCCAAAAGGGGTCAATGCACCTTTCTACACCGTACATGGTCTTGCTTGTTCTCGTGAGAAGATGGTTCTGGACTGTTTGTGCATGGAGTAGTGCGAAGGAACGGAACAGAATACCGAACACCAACACCGTACAAAACAATCAATGAATGCGGCTGGACTGCCCACAGGTACAGTATCTGACCACCTACCGAAGTAATGACACAACCTCCAGGACACGTTTGCCAAGTCAAATACAACATTGTATGGTACAAAAGCCACTCCATACTCGTGGAATACTCCGCAGGGTCCATCGACAGTCACAAGCAAATAGTCCACTTGGCATCATGGGTCCGGCTCTTCTTGTTTCTTCTCGTTTACAGCCTGTCTGCCGCCGAATTCGGGACTTTATAAGAAACACTAGACCTGTACTGGACAAGAGACTGACTGACTACAAATCCGGGACAAGTACGAGTGCGGGAAGACCGACACACTGTCTCTTTGTGGCTAGTAGAACTGAAAGCACCGACATCAAACGACGAAGAAAAATGTCACTCGATGATAATAACACCTAGTGTTTACCTGCACTAGGGACGGTACAGACCCAAAAACCCCCCAAGCGAGGTGTGGTCGACTGCGTTGCTAGATCTGTTGGGTCTCTGTGACAGCCACACCACACACCACTTCCTACACGACTAAATTGTACGTACAAAAACCACGTTGTCTCGCGGGATCTAACCGAGTCTCGAACGGGATGGAACACCAGAAAGGAAAAGAAAGAGAAGAGTCTAGACGTTTGAAAGACCATCTGCTCCCAAGGATCACGGGTATTCGTGACTGGTGATCATGACGATAGTTGATAGTTGTTGTCGCTGCTGCTCATGCTACAGTGCTAGTGGCGTGTCTATCGTCTGATGCAGTGATTCTCACAGTCCACGGACAAAACACCCGGCCCACGGACTCGCTGATCACTGACCAGAGACTGAGGGATTCTTCGGAGGAGGACGGAATGAATGCATTGTGTTACCTGGAAGCACTCATCGTACTCGCACCCAAAGTCACCCAAAGAAACCCAAGTACGGCACTTTGATACTCCTTTCGTATTAAGGTCAGCCAAGTTCGGAATGGGAGCCCAATAGCTCCTGAGTGTCTGTGTGAAGCACAAGCTCGTCAATCATCTCACAAGTACTGCCGAATTTTTTTCCCCTATTCTCTCTCTGTGAGAAGTCTCCCGTACAGCTCGTACAATGCCGGCTTCGAGCATGCCCCTTGATCCCCCCAAACTTCGCCCTCTCCGTCCTTACCCTCCCTTGCTGACGCCCAATGCATATCCTGAATTGTCCATTGTTTACTCCATACCCATAATACACCCATACCCATGCGCGCTGTGACACACACTCACACAAACACCGACGCTCCCAAACGCTCTCCGGAGAGATACGGACTCAAGCATAAGGTCCATTCAATGCCCCGACGTACAATGCATGCTTATACCCATCTACCCACTCCTTCAATTCCTCCGAAATGTCCAAGTGGGTTCTTTTGATATCCCAAAAATTGGAGGGGACCTGCGCCGGTATGATGCTCTGGGTACCCGTGTTCGCCGTCGCCGATGCCCAATCCAGTTCCACAATGGCGGCACGCAGCACGATGTCGTGCCTCCTCGCCACCGCCCAACGTCTGCCGCACATGTTGATCGAATGCATGAGCCAGTCGAACATTGGCTCCCGGCTCGTGTCCATGGCCCGGTAGGCGATGAGTTTGAACCTCGCCGCGCAGAACAAGACGCCGACCAGGAGGGGTGAACTCAACTCGGCGTCGGCGTCCGAGATGCTTCTCAGCGCGACGACGATGCCCTCGCACGCCTGGAGACACCGGCGGAGTGGCACCCCCGCGTCGGCGGCGGCCCCCGGATCGTCACCGCCGTGGAACTCGACGAGACGAGAGTAGGCCAGGACCACGCTCGAGTGGGCCAGTATCACGGTCAACACGAGGTTCGGGTCAAAGTCGATCACGCCGTCCGCGAGGAGCGTGTAGTGCGTGCTGTTCTGGTGACTCCGCACGTAGGTCATCAGGTTGTTGTAGATGTCGTCGCACGTGGCGTACGCGTCGGCCACGCGTCCGTCGTACATGCCCTTCTCGTGCTCGTGGATGAAGGCGTGCAGGGGTTGCAGTCCGATGGCGCACAGGTGAGTGTGCGTCCTGAAACTGTCCCGCAGGTCCGGCGTGGACACGGACGCCACGCTGGCCAGGTGGTCGACCAAGGCGGCCGACACGTCGCGCCACGAGATCCCCAGCGTCGACACGGCGTCGAGCGCGAGCGACGCCCACGTCAAGGGGATGGCCAACTCGTCGCCCGTGTTCGACCCCACCGCGGGCGGTCCTATCTGGGCCGGCGACTGCATGGCCATCTGGTTGAGCAGTTTGCGGAACAGGCCGATGTTTTCGCACATGCGTCTGCACACGGAAAGCAGCGAGAACGTGCTGGGAATGTTGTCGCTTCCGTAGTCGAGAATGGCGATGATCAGGAGGGCCTGGAGCGAGGTGAGTGACGGTTTGGAGAACGCTTCGTTGATCACCTGTGAGCGTAGGTACTGCGAGAGTCGGAGTCGGCCGTGGTAACCCAGACAGATGGCTTGACTGGAGTAGTTGACCTGGAGGGCTATCACGGCCTTCAAGACCACGTCGGGGATGTACGTCAGTGGGTGAGGTAGGTCTTCGAGTGCCGCTTGTATGTAGTTCCGACTCAGGATCGGAACCCAAGGTTGGCTCTCTTTGAACCAAAGGTCCACAAGAGTGTGCATGTACTCGTGTGGAAAGGTGGAAAGGTCAGCCACCGCGGCGTCAGAGTCACTGTGTTTGTACAGTTGATGTTGGATCGTGCTAGAGATCGAAACGGCCGGGGATGCAAATGGTGGATGTTGCGATGCCAACGTGGGTGTCATGTGCGTTGCATCTGGTGTCGGTGTGGCGAGTGGTGGCACTTGTATCGGTGTCGGCGTCAGGGTTGGCGTCGATACCGGCATGGCTGCTACGGCGAATTCGAGTGAGGGCGGCCGCTGTTGTTGTTCTCGCTGCTGTTTGATGCTAGCGAGTTGTTCTTCAAGTGAGTCTGGTACGAATCAGTCGGATGTCCAAGAACACACCATAACCCCCAGAAGATTCAAGATCAACAACGACATACCTATTCTAGTCTCGAGTTGAGACACATAGCCAGCCCGGAGACCTCGTTTCTTTCTCGTCGCATATTGGCACTCTACTCTTGCCTTGACACAGAACCCACATCTGGGCAGGATGCGATCGCATTTCGTCTTTCGTTGTCTAACGAGACACCTTTAACATCGTTTCTTACGCAAGAAGACACTCCTCCCACAATATCGGGGATTGTCTCTTACCTGCACAAAAGACACACTGTTGCACTCTTCCGGTCTGTTTCAGAGTTGTCTGGCGAAGGACTTTCCATGGCTGGGCGGAACCCGTCGTGTTCTAAACTGGCAAATATCTCAATTCTCCAAGGAGCAGATAGATCTCGATATCACATGTATTCTTATCGAGTGTTTCTCATGGAGATATCATCATCAACGTGGAGTACCCCATATAACTCAATGGAATGGGGCCGGAAGTATTTCTAGAATCGTCGACAATACCGTAGTGGATTAGATAGAGGCGTACGCGTATTTCTGATAGCTTTGGACTAAGTCAATCGATAGTAAGAAAGGAGGGAGACGGGGTTAGGGTAGTTGTGACGAAGTATTTCGTGGCAGAAGAGACAGTGGTGGTGGTGGTAGTCGACTGGTCGTGCCGTATATCAGCGGGAAAATTCAGATGTAACGGCGAAACTTGGCCCGACAAAATCCCTAAAGGGGAAATCTCCCCGCAACTACCAACTACTGCAAAGATCGTGGATGTGTGTGATGATCCATTGCATAGAACAGTTCACTGACAGGCCAATCGACACCGATGGTCATGACTTGGCCCGCATCCTCATATGCAGCCTGTTGATCATAAGACGCAGTGGGCGCCTTGTGTTAGCAACACGATATAAAACAACATTGTGTGATACAAAGTGTCTGGAATCATGTCTCATCCTCATCTTCTCAAGAGAACGACCTTGGGACCGGAGCTTTCTCGTGATCATTCTCACTCGACGAGACCTCCTGATTGAGTGGCATCGAGAGAGTTTAACATCGACACAATGACATCGTCAAGTGTAGGCATAACCGATGGATTTTCCGGAAACATGTTGACACTACCTTATTCCAGAATCCCTCGGTCTTTCTGTACGGACCAGGCGAAGCTCGCATTGAAGACACTCCTGAACCCACCATCACCGAACCGACAGATGCGATTGTGAGGATCAAGTATGTAGGCGTCTGTGGAAGTGATGTGAGTGAGATACAACCAACCCTTTTGCCTGGATCCTACGATCCCACGCATCAAACATCATGACCCGCACGGGTTTCACAACTCACCACACTCAACACACACGCACTCACACATGTCTACCCCCGCCCTAGGTCCATTTCTGGAACCACGGAGGCATCAACGGTAAATATGTCTCCGAGACGCTCCCACTGGTCATGGGCCACGAAGCGTCCGGCACCATCCACGCCGTCGGGCAGGCAGTCACACACGTCAAGCCGGGGGACAACGTGGCCATCGAGCCGGGCCGGCCATGCCGCGCGTGCCCCCGATGCAAAGAGGGTGTCTACAACCTGTGCCCGTCGATGAAGTTCGCCGCCTGTCCGCCCGACACCCCCGGCTGCCTGACCAAGTACTACAAGATCCCGGCCGACTTTTGCTACAGGCTCCCCGCGACCGTGGGCCTGCAGGAAGGGGTACTCGCGGAACCTCTCGCCGTGGCCGCCCACGCGGTGCGCATGGTCGACGTCAAGCCGGGCCAGAGCGTGGTGGTCTTCGGGTCCGGGACCATCGGGTTGGTCTGTGGCGCCGTGGCGAGGACGTTCGGGGCGAAAAAGCTCGTCCTCGTCGACATCCTCGACCACAAACTCGAGTTTGCACGACGCTTCTTCGACGAGTCGGTCACGACGTTCAAGCCGGACACGAACGCATCAGCGGAACAAAATGCGGCCCGCATCGTCGAAGAAAACGATTTGGGACTGGGCGCCGACGCCGTCATCGAAGCATCGGGCGCGGAGAGTTCCATCAACACCGCCATCCACGTCCTTCGCCCGGGAGGATCCTTCGTGCAGACGGGTCTCGGTAAGCCCGTCATCAACTTCCCCATCGTGACCATGAGCGAAAAGGAGTTGCACATGCACGGCGCCTTCAGGTACAACACTGGAGACTTCCGCGTGGCCACGGACGTGCTTGAGAGCGGTGCATTCCCGCTCAAGAGCCTCATCACGAAAATTTTCGACTTTGAACAAACGACCGACGCGTGGGAAGAAACCAAACACGGACGGGGTATCAAGAATATGATTCGAGGCTACGGACTCAAGGATCCTACCAGAACTGCACACTTGTAGTCGAGGCTTCGTCATATCATTTGCACTGACAATGCCGTGGCTGGGGTAGTAAAGACTGGTACAGAGGACAAGAGGGCCCCCTAATAACTGTTACAAATGCCCAAGAAATCCCCATGATATACACTTGCACCTCATAATTGTTGCTTTCTTTCCACATGTCGGTGAGGACTAATGTTGACTCCACTCGATCGTGTTCAAATCAATACCTTCCTGGACAAGTTCCCAGAGAGGACTCAATTCTCTCAGGAAAGTGACTCGTTCGCGAACAGCCTTGAGGACATAATCGATTTCGCTCGTCGTGGTGAATCGTCCGATACCAAAGCGAATACTGCTGTGCGCACTTTCATCACTATTGCCCAATGCTCTCAGGACGTAACTTGGCTCAAGCGATGCAGAAGTACAAGCACTGCCAGACGACAACGCAATATCCTTCAGTGCCATCAACAACGACTCTCCTTCGACGTATGCAAAGGAAACATTGACACAGCCAGGGTAGCGCCGAGTGGGATCACCATTGAGTGAAGTGTGTTCCAGGGAGAGTAAGCCGTCAGTGAGTCGTTTTGACAAAAAGGAGATCCGCTTCGAGTCATACTATATTGGCGAATTAGCTAGCCATTCATCGAAAGAGAGGACTTGTAAATATTGGTAGGTGAAAGTGCGAAAAAAATCAGAACCCCTGCTTTCACAATCAAGGTGCGGTCAAACACTTCAGAAAATCCAAGCATGTTTCTTTAAAGCATTGATGTAATCATGAAAAAATTTTCGAATGAAAACAGTAAGAAAAGATAATTGACTTACCTCCATCTCTTCTTTGGCAATTCGGCAAGCTTCACCAAAGCCAACCACAAGGTGCGGTGCAAGAGTTCCGCTCCGAAGACCTCGCTCTTGACCACCACCGCTGATGATAGGGTCGAGTCTGACACGAGGCCGTCTTCTGACATAACAGGCTCCAATACCCTTAGGTCCATAGATTTTGTGGCTGGAAATGGACATCAGGTCGACATTCCATTTGTTGACATCGATTGGAATTTTGCCGACCGCCTGAGCGGCATCGGTATGGAAATACACCTTCTTCTTCCGGCATAGCTGCCCAATTTCTTCAACTGGTTGAATAACCCCAATTTCATTGTTGACAGTCATGATGCTGACCAAAGCAGTCTCAGGTCTGATGGCATCTTCCAATTGCTGCATTTCGATTAAGCCGTTCGAATTGACTGGCAGATACGTGACTTCGAATCCTTCGTCCTGCAAATGTCTGCAGCTGTCAAGCACACATTTGTGTTCAGTCTGACTGGTAATTATGTGCTTCTTCTTGCCCGATCTCCCAAAGAATCGCGCCACACCTTTGATGCTCATATTGTTACTTTCGGTGGCGCCGCTGGTGAAGATGATCTCTTTCGGATCAGCGCCAATCAGTTTTGCAATATGCTCTCTCGCTTGTTCCGCCGCCTTCTCACTTTCCCATCCATAAGCATGTGTTCGTGAATGAGGGTTTCCATAAAGACCGGTCAGGAAAGGAAGCATAGCGTCGAGAACCCGCGGGTCCACAGGGGTTGTAGCTTGGGCATCAAGGTAGATCGGCCGCGAACCTTGGTCCATGACTGTAGCTTGCTTGAGGATGCCCGCAGCAGGGCTCATCAGCGTGTCCCCTGAAATTCCTGTGCCAGGCACCTTGGTTTGTGAGGGTAGATTGCCACTCTCTTGAATGAACTTCTTCTGGTCTGCTTTGATAGCGGATTCGACATCCGCAACCTGAGCTTGAGATGGCTTGGACTGGGATACATAGTTGCGAGAGTAGAGTCTTGGGGCGGCGATGATAGGTCTGGGGTGCGCAGCGAGTATGTTTGCTGATGGTCGTCTAGAGCAGACTCTGCAAGCCTGTCTGGCGAGGGCTGGTCCAGACATTGTGAGGTTGATATGTCAGGCCAGCTGACTATAGTTGATGTAAAGGACAAGAGGGCTCGTTGCTGTGTGTAGAAGTTGAGATGGATGATGGAGAGTGGATGGCGAAAATGAGGATTGGGATGAGGCAAGCAGTAGCAGCAAAATGCGGGTTTAATCTGATAAGACAAGAGAAAAATGTTCGGTCTACGAGGGCAATGGCGCGTCAGCAATAGACCGAGTCCGAGTTGGGGTGATGACATAATCAGCTTCCCCCTCCTACCCAGCTCGTACTCGTATTCAGGGTCGCACGCCAGTCCAGTAACTGAACACAAACAGCATGCCTGACACCGGCTTCCGGATGTGATGCTGTGCAGTAGAACATATTTAGATCTTGAGCCTCGATAGATTCACACACTCGTGACATGATTCCATAGACATCCACAACCAATTCATTGACTTGACTTGAGCCCAGTGCCTTGGGTCACCTTCTTGGCCATCTCAGGCTGTCCAAGCTTAGCCACAGTGCGTCATCGGCTCTTTCGGCGAGCTCTTTACTGGGCACCGCTGGGCATCACTGTGCCTACTATTGCACTGTTATACGTATTCCGGGCCTGCGCAAGCCTTCTCCAATCCACTGCAACCCCTCCATCTCTCTCTCGTCTATCACTACCACCACCACCACCACCGTCACGAGTTCAATCCAGATCACACAACCTCGACCAAGATAATTAAACCTGGTTACTCCTCAGCTGTTGACGTTGATCACTCAGCGACAGTGTCTCTGACCCTTCCGTCTAGACTTCCCACCGAGAATAAAACAACGCGGATCCTAGAGGCGGCGCACAATTGAAGGAACAGACATCGACCAGAGACAATGAGTGTGAAAGGATTTACCAAGAGTATAACCCGTGCACCACAGCAGTTCAAACAGCGCTTTAATATCGGCGACAACACTAAAGATGCTGTCTACATCGATGCTGAGCGACGCTTTGCAGAGCTCGAGACAGAAACCAAGAAACTGCACGATGAGTCCAAGAAGTACTTTGACGCCATCAATGGTATATACGGACGACACGATGTTGTTTTAATGAGGTACTGACCACTTATAGGCATGTTGAACCACCAGATCGAATTTTCTCAAGCCATCCAAGAAATCTACAAGCCAATATCTGGTCGCATGTCAGATCCTAATTCGATCATACCGGAAGGAAACCCAGAAGGCATACGGGCGTGCGAAGAATATGAAGCCATCGTGCGAGAACTACAAGCTACACTCAAACCAGAGCTGGAAATGATCGAACAACGGGTTATTGCCCCGGCCGACCAGTTATTGGAAGTGATCAAGGTCATCCGGAAGGTGGCGGTAAAGCGTCAGCACAAGCAACTGGACTACGACCGTCATCGAGCCACCCTGAAAAAGCTTCAAGACAAGAAGGACAAAACGTTAAAGGACGAAAAGGCTCTGTTCAAGGCCGAGAACGACGTCGAGCAAGCTACCCAGGATTACGAATACTTCAACAACCTTCTCAAGGACGAACTACCCAAACTCTTCGCCCTCGAAGCTGAGTTCATCCGCCCCCTCTTCCAATCATTCTACTACATGCAACTGAACGTCTTCTATACCCTGCATGAAAAAATGCAGGCCATCAACATTGGCTATTTCAACCTGACCTTGGACATTGAGGAAGCTTTCGAAATGAAGCGAGGAGATGTACAAGAACAAGCGGAGGCCCTCTCAATAGTCCATTTCAAAGCAACCGGTGGCATCAAGACTCAGCGTGGGGTCTCCAGATACAGCTCCTCAGCAAAGGCCAAGGAGGCAGAAGCCGGGAAATCGTCTTACTCTTCGTATAGAAGAACGGCAAATCCTGAGGATGGTGTAGCAAATCCACCTCCGCCATATTCCCCGGCTGGCTCAGCAAGCAGCATGCCCAGTAGTCCAGCCTTAGGGGCAGCCGCGGCGGCCAAGGGAAAGCCACCTCCGCCAAAACCCAAGCCAAGTCGATTGAGTGGTGCTCCGGCCGCAGAAACAGTGACAGCTCTGTACGATTATGAAGCTCAAGCTGAAGGAGACCTGAGTTTCATGACTGGAGACCTCATTGAGATTATTTCCAGAACCCAGAATGAGAATGAATGGTGGACAGGCCGTGTGAATGGGAAGCAAGGCCAGTTTCCCGGTGAGTGGCTCCATTATCTGGATAACTGTTTCGAAATACATGCTGATTGTCTATTCAAAGGGAACTACGTACGGCTGAACCATTAAGAGTTATTGTCACCTTTCACCCATCACCCGTTCAGAGCTATCGTTGCATAAAGTCGTCTTTGAGTCCCTCCGTGCTAAACATCCGCAGTCTCTACTCGACGTGAGCCGTCTGGAAGTCGGATCATTCGGTGGTTGGCGTTTTGAAAAAGAGGGCTCAGGTCTTTTCTCGTCGTCTAGACGTCAAACACTTTCTAGGTTATTATAGGATCGCAGGTCCACGGGCCAAGTTAATATTTCGAATGAGATGGCTAGGTGCAAACTTTTGTTGCCTCTTTTCTCACTTCCATGCCTTTGTGCGTTGCCCTCTGGTGTTGTGTGTCCCCCTTTTTGCACCACTCTCTTCACTAGACATCTACTCCACAACGGGCAATTCTACATCAACCAGCCAAGGTGCGTTTACGGCCCTGTATCGTAAATTCATTATGCTCGCATTCACAAAGACGGTTTCCTTGCCGTGTTCGAGGTCCGTGGCGTCGACGTATGCGGCCATCCTGCCGATTTGGTCTTGATATGAGCCCGGTTGAATGAGGGTTTCGCCGGGGTGCTCGTGTCCAGTAGTCCCGTAGTCGCCGTACGTGTACACTGTCGTCGGGTTACGTATGGGGTCGAATTGACCTGGGGGTTGGTCTGGGTTACCACCACTACTCGTGGCGGCGCTCGCTCTCGTTCCCTTCTCGTTGTTGTCGTCGTCGTCGTCGTCGACATCATCGCCGACTGACCTTCCGGTGCTCGTACCCGCGTTTTGGGTACCACCTAAATCCCACGCCTTTCTCACCGCGCCCCAAGCTTCATGAATGTGTCCGAAGCAATGGATCTTGGGTCGACACCTCTCCACTGCCCTTCGGAGGTGTTCACACCCTACACTCTCCCTGGTCCGGGCCACCTTGTCCAATATCCCCATCGGAGGGCCGTGTGTGAGCATGACATGGACATTTTCACTTTCGTCTCCGTCTTCACATTCACCTTTACCATCTTCCGTGTGGGCCCGGACAAAGTCCGGAACAGGATTCGCAGGGTTGTTTTTTGAAGTCCCGTCGCCGTCTGCTGCGCTGCGATTGAACCGATCACGATTCCTGGGATACCCAAACGCCCAGTCGAAAAATTCCGGCTGCCAGGCACTCGCGTAAACGTTCAACCTCGCTCCGTTCTGGAGCCTGAACGACTCGAGGCCCTCGACGAGGTACCTCACCCCGGCGGCTCGAGCCTCGGGGCCGGAGTACATGTCCTGGATCTCGTCGAGCGTGGCGTCGCCGTACCTCGCGTACCGGGTGTGCAGGTCGTGGTGCCGCGCGTAGTAGGGCCTGTCGAGCGTCAGGTCGTGGTTGCCCGGGATGACGATCTTGAGGGGCGCGTCGACGGCTTGGAGGAGCTCCAGGGCCCGCTCGTGTTCCATCAACGACCCCGTCATGGTCAGGTCGCCCGCGTGGATCAGAACGTCGGCCGAAGGTAACGGGGGGTGGAAGGGTGTCTGATAGGGTGTCGTTGCGGCGTCGTGGTCGTGGTCGTCGTTGCCGTTTGCTCCTCCTCGATGTATCACCGAAACATCTTGCTGCTCGGGCAAGGCGGCGTGGGTGTCGGAGATGATCAAGATGCGTGTTTTGACCATTCGAGATTTTGGTTTGGACATCATCAGCAAGTCCTTCACACGACTGAACTTTTATCTCTCAGAATGGCCCGGGCTGTCTTGACTTTTTGGCTGTTGTGATATCGATACACGTCGTGGCTTGTTCACTCGACCCGCCGAACGGTACTCTCACATTAGACAGGCCTTTTACCAGGGTACGGCTGTGTATCTTCTGAGAAAATAATTTTGACACGGAAGATCTCGTCCACGAATTCAACGAAGAGACAGAGCGACAGTAAGTTCAGCTGTTGGGGAAGCATTCTCAAAAAGTTTTGTGAATACCAGGCAGATATTCCATGGTACCTTGTAAGGGAGAACGCCAGATTTGACCAATCACTCAACCATCCTCAGCCTTGTGTGAAGATCATGCACACCCGCCGGAATTTACTCTGTACAATTCTTCCTAATGAGAAACTTCAGGGCCCTTCCAGTCACTTCACTGGTCTATAGCCACAATTCAACTCCCCTCGCTAATGATACATAACCAAATAGTTATATTACTGAATTGAGGTCTCCTTCTAACCAGCATGCTCCACGATCTCACTCACTAGTCCTCCATTCTTCACAACGGTTCGCATCTGTTCAGGTAAAGGAACCTCCTTGCTATCCTCGTCCGAGTCGTCCTTCGGGGGAAGAACAACATTTAAAGCACTGCATTTGCTTGTAAAGATTTCAGTTGCCAGACTCTCGCTCGACAGGTAAATCTGGGCACCGTCCACTTGGTCAAGGAGCAAAGTCGGTACCACTCCATCAACCTGAACTGCAAATTTCGTTGCCTTTATGACATCCAGACTCGATACCAAGGAGTCAACCAATATGGAAAGGCCATTGCAGTTATCAATGGAGATCGCATTGGCTTTCCCATTGACTTTCAGCACACATTTGTTGCATTTCGAGATCAAGATACTGTGATTCAATTCTGCTGGGATTTCGATAACTTCAGACTGAGTATTTTCAAAGTTTTCCACAATCCACTTGGTACCGTCAAGCTCCTTCCGGCTGGGCTTCTTAGACCTCATACTATCGGGTTTCTTGTTTGGTAGTGGTGACTTGCCCCGACCAGCTGATGATCCTGAATTGGACCGTTGAGGTACAGACGAATTCGATCTGAGAGAGGGATTCTTGTGAGTCATTTGAGATTTGTCCACTTTCTTCAGACCAGCTGTGATGCCGGACCCTTGATTCAATTGTTCAAAGACTGCAGTCATATCTCCGCCTTGGGCCGCACCGCCAGATGGTGGCATGGGAGGAGGCGGAGGGCCATCATCATCGAACTTGGGTAGCGGTGGTGGAGGCGGAGGAGGTGGTGGACCACCAGCAGCAGCTGGAGCCTTCGAAGCCGATGCACCGGCTTGTATCTGCTTGAGAGCTGCAACCGCATCGACCCCATCCTTGTTGTTCCACGTCAGACCAGTTGGGAAATGCTCCTTGACATAAGCGGCCAGGGATCGGAAGATCTTGTAATAAGCCTGGATATACTCGACATGCGACTTGTCCCTGCGTCGATTGTCAGTCTTGAGCTAACCACAGCGTGAGTCTTCTTACTTGTCCTTATACTCCTTAAGTATTTTGTTGCCATAGTATTGGGCGCCTCCAAGTGTATCAGTCACGAAGTCACCAGGTCTCTTTTCCACAATCCATCCCAACGCGACGATACCCTCCGATACAGCGCTGAGGTGTGTGAAGAGAGGCGATGGACGGTTAGCTTCTCGGATTTCGTCTACATTCGAGGTGTGTCGATGTAACTCAGTCATGAGCTCGGGAGGCTGATTGTCTGGCTTCTTGGCCTTGGAAGCCACCAGCAGGTAGGTCCTTTCAGCGGCGAATGCTTCCTTGACAGCTTTTGCCTGCATTTATTAGAACAGTGCTCCCCCTGGTAGTTGAAGCGACGAACCTGTTGTTCTACCAGGCCACCGATCTTCCCTGCGGCCTGTACAAAGCCATCGATATCCTGTTCAATAATCTCATCAAAGGCTTCGACGGACTTTGGTAACGGTTCGGGAGCAGCAGCTGCTGCTGGTTCAGGGGAGGCGACTGCAGGTGTCGAAGTGGCCGCCGAGGCAGCAGGGACTCCGTTCGAAGAACTGAGAGGTCCCTCGACTGAGATTGCAATGTCCTCGAGTCTCGAAGTCGCAGCTTCCAGCCTGTTCAGGCACCAATTGTTAGTCGAGAAGTGTCTCCGTGATGTATGTAGAGTGTGCTGCTCCTGGCGGGCTGGACGCAGACAGAACTCACCTTTTGATTAAGGTGGTGAGATTGTTCATGTTTCCAGGAGCAGCCATTGTCAAATCTGGGGGTTGGCCGTGGTAGATGATGATAGAACGAGAAATAATTCGCCTCTGACTTGTTGAATGGTCCCAAAACAGGCATGAATATCGGGGTAACGAGTACGGAGTCGCAAGCGGCTACGAGGACGTGTACGAGTACGCAGTCTCCGGCTTACATAAGTCACCTCAGCTTTCTCATTTCCTTGTCCATCCTCATACTCCGTACTGGTCATGGAGATACTGAAAAGAACAATATGTCATTCTGTGCATCAGACTCTGCTCTCTGCATGCCATTCTTACACTACAGCGACTCCAGTTGGTTCTTTGCTCTCTAGGGTTGGTTCGTCCTTGTCTTTCGTCTTGCACTTACGGCAGCGTAATTTGCAGGCGCATTGCGGCACCTTGGAAAGGGCAGCACCATAGGTAGGTAGGTGTCATCTATGTGCTTCAGGCGGTTAATGGCTACATCCGAGGGAAAGTCTCGCGACTTGTAGGTCATCTTTCGACCTTCAGCCGAGCTCATGGAGCCTTGAGAACTAGCTGTTGTCCTTCATCCCCACGCGTGCATGCCGGCATCATAAGATGGCTGTGGATTTGATCGTTTAACATGCACTTCACTCTCACCAAGCCTCTACCCATCAACGTACTCGATCCAATCAGCGAAATATCGAAGCCAGACGGCGCATTGACAAGGCCGAATGTTAGTGTCAACTTATGCTCGGGCATGAAGCAAGTGACCAATCATGACTCGGTATCGACTTCCTGTTTCGAACATGGGCCGAACACCTCGTTAAACGAACGGCCACGACAAATGAGATAGTTGTACGGAGTACTTACAATAGACGGGGCCACAATTGTCACACTACTGGGAAGATATTTCAGGCAATCCCGTCAGGCTTGTTGACGGATACCTGAGAATAGCGCGAAGTACCCTCAAAATGGGTGACATTGTGGTGGTCCACAGCCAACAAGCGTTCCCTTCGTCTTATGTACCGTTTTGCCGATTCGAGTCAGTCAGGATTTTGAGCTTTCATATCCACGAAGAAGGCCTACCTCGCTGGTCCAACCTGTGTCTTTTTTTGTATATCTCAGCCTTACACCTGTTTCGGAATCGGCCTCAAAGATCACCACGTTACAAATCAATCCCGGTCCTTCTAGCTCAACGTATCGGCATCTTAATTTTGACCTGATGATATCATGGGGACCTTCACTTGGAGAGCTGGACCGCCACCCAAGAAAAGAAGATCCGTGGAACCTGAACGACACATAGTAATGAGAAGTGGTCGACGGACCCGTACAGAGGATGACAAGCTTGTCCAGGCTCGTCACTTACTCAAAGTGAGACGCACGCAACAGCTGTTGGAGCATGTCGTCCCTAGTGGGTCCTTCCTTGGTCCTTTACAATGTGGTAACTCAGACCCTTTTTTCAGCACTCCGGTCGGCCTCACCGCGGTCAATCACGACCTCATCAATCGATGGCGGCTGTTGTTCATCCATCTGGTGTGGCCTAAAGCGCCGGACATCGAATATCTACCTGTTATATCTGCGTGGCAAAGCATGATGCGAATGGCGTTCTCTAACGAAGCATGTATGCATGCCTTATTAGCATGTGTAACGTTCTGGAAGATTGCCTCCACCGATAATGACAAGGACTATGGTTCGCTGATCGTCAAAGGCCTCGGGCATGAATCGGCTGGTTTGAGTGCTCTGAGATCCGAATTGGCCCGGGATTCTCAATCTCGGCTTGTTCAAATCTGCACAATATACTTACTTGCCTCCGCTGCAATAAAGGCGGACTTCCCGGATAAGGCGACTGTTCATCTAGAGGCACTGAGGAGACTTATCGATGAATATGGGGGTCTTATGTCGTTACCCTTTTCAATTCGAGGAGCCATCAACCACGTCGACATTGCCGCCTCTGCCGGGTCTTGTCGACCGCTTGTCTTTTCTCAGCAACTTTGGGATAAGGGAAATATCATGGCTGACCTGTCGCTTCCAGAGACTCTGCTGGTTCGCAGAAGCCACTACCTCAAGGAGTCGATCTCGGGAGAGGTACCCATCGGTACGCATCACGTCTTCTCGGCATATCGAGACCTGATGGCGGTACATACCATGGCACCTCAATTGCAAGATCAATCTCGGCGGACGCATTTGCTCTGCTGGACCCAGTCGAGAGCGTTTGCTCAGATCGGGGAAACACGTGATGTGAAAGCTGCGCTGGCCTCCTTCGCAGATCTCGAGGTTCCAGGTGCCGCCGACTTGGCATCAGAGGTTGTCGCCCGGACAGCGTTGACCTACATGGCTGACATGTTGTTCTATACGAAGCATGCCTACGCCACCGTGCTCATCGACTATTACGATATCCAGAAACTCCTTGACCATGCCGAAGTTCGCGCATTGGTCAGTGAAGCGTTTCTTCTATGGTGCCTAGCAACCGGGTCGGCGGTGGAATATAACTTTTATAAAAAGGGCAAGACGAGATGGTGGCACGCACCACGCTTTTTGCTTCTGGCGCGGCATATGGGCGTGGACTCTGTCGACCTTGTCGCGCCAGTCCTTTCACAGTTCCTGTACAACGAAACCCCTATTTCGCGATATTTGGAGGCGATCTTCGTTCTGGATGACTTTATACTCAATACGACCGGTTGCGACGTTGAAGAGGTTACGAGAATCCCAGCCGCCAGGGCACGCCGGGAAAGGTCCGACTATATATGGCGAATCCCGAAGACGAAAGCATGGGATAATTCTTGGAAAGAGTTACAGCGTGGGAATATTATACAGTGGACGGCACCTAGCTCGGACTACGTCGAATTGCATCTCTGATGCGAAGTGTACTAACACGTTCTGGAGTTACTGTCCTTACCTGACAGTAGCCTGAAATCTGACGATCCATGTAGCGCTGGTTGTGAATGAAACGAAACGCAGGCGAGATTGATGCCTGGAATACTGTTTTAGAATGATCAACAACGCAGAAGGCGCCAGGAGATGCGTTTTCATGGCGTTTATCGGAATTCCTATGCACGGAAACAAGCACGAGAGAAGTCTACTTCCTAAGAGGCCTCACCCACCTCGTACTCCACAAACTCGTCTGTTGCTGATGGAATGGAAAGATGAAGAAAGCGAGATAGAGGTCGTTCCAACAACGCATGTTATGAATGCCCAATATACATAACGAGAAAACCCAGGCCCGTCCCTTTTGCAGTAGAAGTGCTCGTACGTTTGTCTCAATAACAAATACGCCAGACCATCGCCTTCGCTTCCAATTTGCCAAATATCAAGTTTGTAGCATTGTAATCACAAATGACAGTTGCAATCACAAGCGCGAACACGTTCAGGAGGGAGTGTTGTTTTCTTCACCCAAATACCCTCCTGATCCAGGTTTCCTCTCCGTGATCCACCCGGCCTTTCCTTCGCCTGCCCACCTCTTCTCGCCGGTCCAGAACCGCACAAGGCTCTCGGCACCGACGGCGTCGTTTTCACGGTACAGGTTCGCAATGTCCACGTTCAGCGGACTGTCCAGTCCGGGGGAGGTGAGGAGTTGCTGGATGGCACCCATGGTCGTCGCGAGGGTGTACGTCGGCGACCAGTGCTCGCCGGACAGCAGGGTCAGACAGATCTCGCCGGTCTGGAAGTGCACGTTCGGGTGGCATATCGGGGTGACGAAGTGGACCTTCGGCGGGGCGAGAGGGTAATTTGGCGGGATCGAGATGGTCAGGAGCCACAGACCGTTGGCGTAGGGCGAGGCGTGGTCCTTGGGACCCTTGAGCACGGCTTCCCACTGGAAGAGGTCGGAGTCGGTCGAGGGGCCCAAGTGCAGGACGGCGTCGCAGGGCTCGGTCTGCAGAGAGGAGAGCTCGTGCGTGAGCCGCTTGAGGGCGTTGTTCGGATTGGATTTCCGAGAGGAGCTCATGGTTGGCGCAAAGGTCGAAGGCGTCGACGTCGACGTTTGACGGTCGGATTTGAAGTTTGCGAAGCCGGTTGAGGTTGGACTATACAATGTGGAAGAATACAAAAATGTTGGCGAGAGAGGAGAGAGGTCGAGTAGCGTGTAATCTCAAGCGCTGTAGAAGTGTAGTGTTGTTATGTAGCTGTACAGTCAAGGTAGGTAGGTGGTGAGGTGAATTGTGGTGTTGGCGGTGGGAACTGTTGTCATGCAGTGTTTCGGCGCAGACGCTGCTGATCAGGCTCAAATTTAGCCGAGGATGTTAGAATAGGTAAAGGTGCCTAGCCTCGTCACCTTAAAATCCGGGGGAGGCTCCAGGGTTCTCGATCTTAGGGTCTTCTAGGCTCAGCACAGGCCACGGCTTGAATCCTTCCAGGGGACGCGTTTTATTATTTGGACACACACATACAGTGCGCCAATGTAATTTCTATCGCATTCCCCCATTCGACATTGTACACTACAACTTTGACGAAAGTTCGTACAATGCGGACATCCAAGATCTCTCAGGAGACCACGAGAATATTCAATGCCTTGTCACCCAATGCTCGCGCCGGACGAACGACCAGAAGCGCAAGTCGTATCGCTTCGTTTGCGCTCGGATACGATGGAAGTGTTCATGTGAAAGCAGAGGCAGATGAAGATGAGGAAGAAGGATCCCATTCGGGGACACCAGATATTGAAGATGGTCTATCGAACACTCCCGCGCGCTCCAGTCGGAAGAGGAAATACGGTTCAATGATAGAATCCACCGTCAAGACCGAACATGAGACGGCATGGAAAGCATCGCCTCGAAAGATCAAGAAAGAGACACAAGAAGAAGAAGACGACGAGGCAGATGCGCCAGTAGGCCGCGCGAAAGCAAAGCCCAAGATACCTGCCAGGAAAAGGACTGCTGCCTCGGGAGAAATAGAGATAGAGCCACCGTCAAACTGGGCCGAAATGTATGACACCATCAAGGCCATGCGGAAGCGAAACCCTACAGCACCTGTCGACACCATGGGTTGTGAAGATTTGTTCTGGCACTCGGCTCCGCCAAGGGAGAAGCGATACCACACGTTGACCGCACTGATGTTATCATCTCAGACCAAGGATACAGTCACTGCAGCTGCCATGCAGCGGTTACACACGGAGCTCGTTCCCCAACGACAGCCCGACGACGATGGCAAAACACAACAATCGACCTTGACGGTGGACAACATGCTTGCCTGTGATCCCAAGCACCTGGATGAGCTGATTGGGAAAGTCGGGTTTCACAACAACAAGACCAAATTTATCAAAAAGGTCGCCCAAATCTTGAAGGATGAATATGATGGTGACATTCCCGACACGATCGAGAAATTGGTCAAGTTGCCAGGAGTCGGTCCGAAAATGGCATATCTGTGCATGTCTGCCGCCTGGGGCATCGACGAAGGTATCGGCGTTGACGTCCATGTACATCGCATCACGAATCTCTGGGGCTGGCACAAGACGAAGACGCCAGAGGAGACACGGGCGTGGCTTGAAGGATGGCTCCCTAGGGATCGGTGGCACGAGATCAACAAGATGCTCGTGGGCCTGGGACAGACCGTGTGTCTGCCTGTCGGTCGGAGATGCGGCGAATGTGACCTCGCTGGCACGGGATTGTGCAAGGCAGAAATTCGAGGCTGGAAAGCGACAGAGAGGAGGGTCAAGAAAGAGAAGACGGAACTGAAGATAGAAGGAGACCACGAGGTGGTGAAGAAGAAGGAAGAAGTTGATCAAGTGATCAAACTCGAAGAAGAATTGGTAGGTTCATGATCAAATTCCCTACAAATCAATATTCCACTTTTCAGGTGCTTTTTCACCTTGTCCTTCATCTCCGCCAAAGCCTCGGTGCCAATGGCCATGATTCTGTCGAAATCCCCTGTCTTGTTTTCCACGTTTTGGACGTTTACTGCCCAATACCTATTGCCCGACAATACAGCCCAGCCTGCAAGTTGAACGTCTCCCTTTTTTCCGCCTTCGTTTATCAGGGGTGGTAAGGAGGCAGTGGTTCGTCGTTTGAAGCAATATGTGCTCGCTCGGGTGTTTTGATTGGCTCATGTCGAGACAGTTGCGTGGTCTCAACCGCCGGCGTAGCTGTAGGAAGTGACTGTTGTGCTCTTTGGTTTTCTTCATCGCAGACGTTGGTCGGTCTCGGTCCGTCTCTGAGCCGACTGCGCTCGACTTTTTTTGGGTCAAGGTGACAACAGGAACTGCAGCATGCGAATAGAAATAGGCCAAAGAATACCCACAGGGTGATGGTTAACCACTCGGGGGCCGGTTCTTTACTAGGCATGACGACCATCCGCTGCTCGAGTTGAGCCGCCATGGTACACTTTATGGTGCTCACAATTGAATCGGTCGTAATGGAAAGGGGACAGGCAAGAGCATACAAGTACCTTTAAGTATACATATCCTTCTCGAGCACTCCTTGTTGTGTGGCAGTGCCCAAGGCTGACTTCATCTCTTTCCTGGGCGAAGTCGAAGCATCGTTAAGATGTTGCCAAAGTCTGCTGTCTTTTGCCTTGTACCATTCTTTTTTTGAACTCAAGTACAGAACATAGGTATTGGTTGTCCACAAGTTCCATCATTCTGAGCACATCCACTTACAGCAAAGACTTTTGTATGACGTGCGAACCAGAGGATGAGTGGCTCAATGGCTGTCTGCCTGCAGGTTTAGTGTATGAAGACCTTGCGGAATTGAGCTTCGTATTCATCATCGATGTTGTTTGAAGGAAATTCAGGCATCTTAGACATCATGGAGGTGTTTGTACGGCGTATCTAGATAGAGCAGCCCTACTTACCAGGTACTGTATGGAGTAAGGCCCTTGAATCGTCGACTCGGGCCTTTCAATGGCCGGAGCTTGGCGGGCGTCATGCCGAAGCTCCCTGACAAGCTGCGACCCAAACGCTTATGTGTCTATGTACGGAGGACGCAGGCTGATACCCCCAGTTTACCTGACTTGGTCCTTGAACCGGACAACTGTGCAGAATATACGGTAACATCTGCCTTGATCACAGCAACAGATTGTTCGTTTTGCCTTTTTGAGCGTCCTGTCTGTCTGATCGTCCATCCCAGCTCCAACTTGCCTCCTCTACTTCTGATATCGCAACAACGCACCTACCGAGTAACAATCGCAGGCGCCATATCATAAGTCCACGACATACCGCCTCACACGATCGAAGCCACCTAATCAACTTGTCCATCGCATTCTTCTTCGCTCAATATGTCGACAAAACGTATCGAAAAATGGGAAATCGATCGCTACTGGGAGATCTTCTCCTCCCTAGTCACAGCCCCAGCGAGCCCGTCCTCACACTTGACTAATGCTGCTGCGGCCGCTGTCCTTCGCAATTCCCATCTTCGTGATGACCAACTTGAGCGCGTCTGGGATCTGGCGGACGTTGATGGCGACGGCGAACTCGACTTCGAGGAATTCTGCGTCGCCATGCGTCTCATCTTCGATCTGGTCAACGGCGAATACCAGGACGTGCCGAAGAGTCTACCAGATTGGCTCGTACCCGAAAGCAAGGCGCACCTCGTTGCCGCAAACAGGGCACTCACAGGCGCACCGAGCGCAAGATTTGAACGGATCGAGGACGATGAGGACGACGCAGGTTTAAAAGATGGATTCGACTGGTACATGACGCCCGGCGACAAGAGCAAGTATGAAGAGATATATAGCGCCAACAAGGATCGACGAGGCGAGATCAGTTTCGAGTCTCTACACAGCTTGTACAGCAGCCTTGACGTGCCGGACACGGATGTGCGGAGTGCGTGGAACTTGGTAAATACAAGCGGAAGGGATACTATCAGCAAGGATGCGTGTCTTGCATTCTTGCATATCCTCAATTACAGGCACGAGGGATACAGGATACCCAGGACGGTGCCGCCGAGTCTGAGGGCGAGTTTCGAAGGAAACAAAATCGACTATCAGATCGACAGTATGCGGAATAGACCGAACAAATATGACGAAGAGACTTCAACGGGGAGGAAAGCCAAGTTTGGAGATGCATATCTCAGTCGAATCGGCGGACGGGGAGGTTCGGCTTACCAACCCAAAGGTACAGATTTCTCGGATGTCGTCGAGGACGAGGATCTGGAGAAGGTCAGATTACTACGGGAACTGAGAGAACTGGAGAGTCAACATGATGCGGCCATTGCAGCATCGGACAGACGACGAAAACAGCGACAGGAGAACGGCTCGAGGCAGCCTGGCAAGACGAATTGGACGCTGGTCAAGCGAGAGGCTCAGCAAATGCTTGAATATAAGCAACGGCAGTACGTGGACCTAAACTCGGACAAAGCAAATCAATCCGGAAACGATCTTAAGAGACTGAGAGACGACTTAGCCCTGGTGGCGGAACAAATAGAAGGGCTAGAGTCGCACCTGAGGAAACGCGAATCCGAGCTGGAAAACATTCGACGCGAGATCGAAAACGAGAAGAGCAGTAGATAGCGAATGGGGTATGGAGAACCATGGCAGTGTCGTAGTTCAATACGAGACTGGCTCATAAAATATCAGTTCAACTTCTGATCGAAGTTTAGCGGATACGTTGTACAACTGTACAGTTCGATAGCAATGCTCAGACAACAATTTCCCCTTCCTCGACTAGCCTTCTACCGTTCAGTGCGTACTTTTCTCAGGCCGTCTGTAGAGTCACCTCTCTTGAAGTTGGCTAGGAGACACGTTAGCACGTTGATTGCCAGCAACAAAGGAATCCAGACTTACCATCAGCTGCTTCCCAAGCTCTTCCTGCGCCAAAACCAGTTCCAAACCATACGGGCCATGCTCTTCGCTTGAAAAGCAAGACTGAGAATATAACACCGAAAGAGAAACCAAGCCCGGACTTGATCACGGTATCTGAAATTGCACGATCCCACTGTTTTATCTTGTTAGCATCGCTCTTGTTATTGACGTCGCGTGCCTGGAACCAGTCGTCGGATTGAGAGCTGATGCAAACGGCCGAGTGCTATCTTTGAAATATCGCTAGGTCCATCTCATTCCGGAGCTCAAGGGGTCCGTACCTTCTCATTCAAAAGTGCCTCGCTGACTGGTTTTGATCGTGGCGTAGGTAGGGGAGGAGAGGAAACATTCTCGTCCGGCATTGTGTAAACTGGTGATTTTACGGGTCAGCTCCGCGATCAGGCTCATTAGGACATCATAGACCTACTTGGGGACCGCTCGGTCTATCCGCACGACTTCTGGGGTGGAAATGGTAGTTGTCGCAAACTGTTGTTGAGCTCAAGAAGCTCTGCCATCACCGGCGGGAATACCTCGTAGAAAAGATTTGGCCAATCGGAATCGACCTTGGCGGATTTTGAATATCAAACCCAAAAAGTTTCGGTCTTTTGTAAAGAGACCAAAGCACTGCCATGTTTCTACCCAGAGGTCGTCCTGGCCTGGATGATGGCATTTAGAATCGAGTTTATACTGTGACCATGTCAAAACCCAATTTTGAGTCCGCAATCGCCGGTCTGGAAAAATCCACAGGGCCCCCAGAGTCAGCCTTAGCAACCGCCGCCAGTACTCTAAGCATTGACCTTGAAGACTCTATTGCGGCTTCTTCAGAAAGACCACTGCTCCGAAACGCTTCAGGAAGTACAGGGTTCAAAGAACAATGGATCCTGCGTTGGCTTCTGAAGAAGTTGGCATCTCCAGCAGCAATATCTAGGTACCAAAGACACCCTTGTTCAGTACTGAATGTTCGTTTAACCTCCTTCTACAGTTTCTCCGCCCGTCCACAATTTTGGTCACTCTTGATCAATTTGACGAATGGGATACCTAGAGATATCTGCTTGGAAATCTTGGTAGACAGAAAGTTCTATCGAACACTAAGCGAACTCATTCTCAGTGCCCTTGCTTCCGACCGAGCGTCAGCAGATCTTCATTACACAAGGTCGGACACTGAGGAAAGCTCTTCTTCTCGTCCGAGCAAGAAGCGTCGTCTCAGCCCTTCCACAAATGCTCTCCACAGCGGCCATAGCGACAAGTTGCTATGGATTCTTCTACAGACGGTATGTGCCTGTGTCGAGCTACTTGAGCCATCACACGCCCAGCATGGGAGCAGGCCTCTACAGGTGTCTTCCTCAATACAAATCAGTGTCGATGATCAAGCAATCCTCCTGGCATCGACTCTTCAGGTGGCACTTACTATCATCAAGACTCGTCCAGGGACATCACAACAAAGATTGCTATCACAGATGATCAAGGCCACATTACCTTTGTGGAATGGCGATTCCACTTCATCTGGAGGCAATCGAGATGCTTTCGATCAAGCATTTTCTTCTCACTGTCTCCCTTCATGCTTGAATCTCCTCGACCTGTTCCGTCATCCTGGATTCGATTACTCAACTTTTGCCACTTCAAAGCAAGCTCTCGAACGACTAGTGGCAATTCACGTTGTTTTTCCAGCTCGCTCGACCTTCATGGCAAAAGACGCTAGAAAGTGGAAGAACGTTCACGATGTGCTTGTATATGAGCAATTCGAGGCAATGCTAAAGAGCTTCACGAGGCGAATCATTGGCGAAGAACAACCTCAGCAGATCAACGAGATCTTAGGACTGGCCTATATCATTCTGGACATAGCTATCCGTTCAATTCCATCGGCTGATTTTCGGAGATGGCAGGCAGAACAGCCTTGGATTGATGCGCTTTTCGTATGCCTGGCTCATGTCACATGGCCGCATATGCCGCGTATTACTTCAACTGGTGTGGTCGCAATTCCTGCGGCCACCAACATCGATCATGAAACATCCCTGGTGGCATTGGAAAACCTCGTGGATGCCGCTTCCACACGAAATTTGCGCTTATCGTTACCAGCCCTGAGCTATATTGTAGCAGCAATTCTGGCATTGGATCAAGAAAGAACGCCTTGGTCCTTGCTCCTGAAAACCATTCAACTTGATGTGAATACCTTGGTTCCAGGAACAGGTCTCTCCAAGTCTGGAGAACTCTTGAAGTCACTTCTAGGCAAGGTCCTCGCAAGCGAGGTTCCGTTGAGCATGTATGAGTCCTTGCGCGATCATCTCATCATCCCGCTCCTGCGAAGCATTGCTCGGTCGAGAAACTTTGATGAATATCTTGTGATATGGCAGCAAGGCCTAGCAGATGCGATGCGAGCACGCTATACGTCAAGGCTACAGCCAGAGTCGGTTCCTGCGGTGCTAGTATGGGATGATGAAGATGTATTTGATGAGTTTAGCAGACTCAGCTTGGTCCATGCACCCAAAAGCATGGGCAATCGTCTCCTCAAAGAACTTGACCAGGCTTTCGATGAGATGACCCATAACATTGGTTCAACAGCAGATACCTTCGCAAAACTCGCCGTTTTCTCTGCTTTACTGCAGAGCTCACAAGACCCATCTGTCGAATTGAACCTGGATAGAGATCGGCTTTTCGTACTGTATGACCACGTTGTGAAAGCTTTATCTCGAAAGTCAGATTATCAGGCTCAACGCTGGCGATTGTGGAAACTTGCCCAGCACTTACTGTCCCTGTCGGCAGACGAAGACCTTGCGAGAATGGGAAAGCAACTACTAGGATCTACAACCCATTTCCTGTCGCTAGGCGAGATCGCAACATATCAACTCAGGGATTCGACCCGCAAAAGAGCCTCTAAATTCCTCGACGCTCTGGAATGTTTCTCGACTACCATTGAGCTGTCTGCGCGGTCTACGGAATATGCTACCCTTTTAGAGGACGAGTTGCTCCACTTCAGATCTCTGATTGAAACTTGTGCTCATTCTCAATCTTTGGAGGGGTTGGAAATATGGTCTGGGCGAGCATTTGATTGCGACAGTTCGAGCAAGTTGATATGTGCCTGTATTGGGAAATTATTGCAAAAGTCGGCCATAATTCCTGAACACCCCGGACCTTTCGGAAAGCTCATTGAGCTTTGCTTCGAAATCTTGACGACAAAAACATCTGATGATCAAGAAGCCATCCAAGCAAATCTGAAAAGACTACTCTACGTCTTACTGGGAATTGAGGAGATACACAAATCACCTAAACTGCACCAATTGATCCTGCAACATGTGGTTGACGAGCCGAGTCAAACCAAAACCAATTTCGAAGTCCATAAGATGCTTCTCAAAGATGTGTCCGAAGGCTTGGTGAGGCGATCTCAGCTGAAGAAAATAGGCCCGCTATTGAGGCAGCGACTACTCAGAAGTCCTGGGCCAGAAGACCCAGAAGTAGTGTCACAAGTCCTTGCTTTGGTCCTCCTGATCGATGATGCAATTACGGAGTCGCTCTTTGATTCGAAGGACTGGCGTGCGTGGATCAGTCTTACCCAACGGATGTGCGAAATCGATATTCCTGAGTCTTCGATGTCCATGTTGGCGGTGGTACAAATGCTCGACCATATCCTCAAGCTGGTTTGGGAGCATGCGCTCTCAACGCCGCAGGCACCGGCATTATCTGATCTTGTGGCCTGGACCACAAAGACCGTCAAGGTGTCACATGACAACGAGCTAGATATTACGAATCTACTCAGCCTACAAGTCTTTACGAGTCAAATTTGCTTGACCAAGAACCTCCCAGATAACGTTCTATCTCACGGCAAGGTACGAAAACTTCGCGAGCGATTCCTTGATATTCTGAAACGCAGTCTTGAGCAACGTCCCAAGAACTGCTTTATCTTGGAAAATCCCATCATGCTTGAGCTTTTGCTCCGTGCGGTTGGTCATGTGCAAGACGCCACAGTCGATGAAAATGCACAACAAACAGTGTCTATGATCCGAGATAGGGCGCTTGCGCGCTCGTCATCGCAAATACAATCACAGACGGCGACCTCGAAGCTCTACGTCGAGTATAAGTCCATGCAGCTCTCGACTGAACAGCATGCCATATCCACGGAGGAAGAAATATTGGCACAAGTTCAGGATCTGGCGTCTTTCGCGTCAGGGCTTAGTAATGGACGGAGCGAACAATTAGGGCTTCTCTGCAGCAAAGCACACATGATCGCAAGTCGAATCACCCCTGCAGGGATAGGAGATGCACTTCAAGTGCTGCGCCGATTCCCAAGCCAACCTGCTATCGACACGCCCAAACTTATTCTCACATCAGCCATAATTCCGCATGCTGACGTTGATCTGATATCACAAAGTCCAAGGCTCGCCAACGAATTGACGTGCATTGCCAGTCTCGATGCCTCCAAATGTCATGATATGGCAGGACTCTTTCTGTCTTTAGAGAACTGTAAAGTCGTTCTCCAAACCTATCCATTGCTAATCAACCAATCTGCATTGGACAAGTTGCTGATTTCAATATGCATGTTTGGGACATCGACCCTTGTTTCTCTGCCTGACACAGTTGACCTTGAACAAGATAGCCAGCCTCATCCGGTCCATATCTTTGACCAATGCTGTGCCATTATTGGAATAATTTTGGGCAGATACAGGCGACGAATATCCGATCGTTATCATCTGCTACTGCCAGCTCTGCAGATGCTTATGCGTTGTCTGTTCTGGCCTGGTCTAGAGACAATCCGGAATCGACGATACCACAACCTTGCCAATAACCTGAACATTTTCCACGAGACTTTACCTCAGTGGCTGCAAGGATCTGCAGAATCTCTCCCACCCTCTTCCGCCGAGAAACTAGCCCGCCTTTTCTCGACAATTTGCAATCCGTCGGTATCTGCCGCACGATCTGCAAAGAAAGGAGGCCACAACGAATTGAACGACGAGACCAAGAGGGCCAAACAGCTCGCAGGCCAGCACATGCAGTACATAGTCGTCGAATACGCTCGATGCACTTTGGATGGACAAATCTTGCCCTCGGTCAAGGATCGATTGAGGCCAGGTATGTACGCTGTCCTCGATTCAATGGACAAAGAGCTCTTGAGAGCCGTAAATGCTGGCATGGACCCCAGTAGTCGTGCGATATTCAAAAATCTCTACGATGACTGGTCTAGGTTTGGCAAGTGGGATAAGACCTAAGTTGGGAAAGAAGAGCGTGGGAGTCAAAAGCCTTGTCACTTTCGATTCTCATCAAAACAGTCGATATCAGCAGGAGTGCCAGCTGGTCAATTCGCGTAGGGCAGGAATGTCCTGTACACCCGGTAAACTATTGCCGAGACACGTCTCGACTTGTCACTCGGTTGGAAGGGTTAAAGCATTTTAGGGACGGGAATTAACCGGCGTTCTAGAATGAATGTTTACAGACAGTCTATGTGAGCACTCATATAGTCTAGTAAGTAATTCCAAACCATACTGAGCATTATTTTCTGTCCCAAGTTTCGTTATGGGTTCACTTGGTGGTGCTAGTAAGCTCGACCACGAGGTCGCTGTCATCGGAGCCGGTTTCTCTGGCATCTATGAGCTACACAAACTCAAGGATGCAGGCTTCAATGCTCGACTCTATGAAGCGGGTTCGGGTGTTGGTGGCATTTGGCATTGGAATTGCTACCCTGGCGCTCGTGTCGATACTCCCGTCCCTACCTACCAATTGACCGACGATGAATCGTGGCTGGACTGGAACTGGAAGCAAAGATTTCCCGATTACGCAGAGCTCCGATCATACTTTGCTCATCTAGTCAAAGTCTGGGGTCTTTCCGATTTGATCACTTTCAATACTCGGGTGCAACAACTACACTGGGACGAACAGAGCCATACCTGGCGTCTTAACCTACGTCAGACCGACGGAAAAACCTCAGAGAGTATTGCTCGCTATGTTATCGTCGCCACTGGATTTGGTTCTAAGCCCTATATACCAGCCTTGAAAGGCCTCGACACCTTCAAGGGCGAGTTCTACCATACCGGGCTTTGGCCACAGCAGGGTGTTGGTTTTGAAGGGAAGCGCGTTGGAATTATTGGTACTGGCGCTAGTGGTGTGCAATTGATCCAGGAGACGGCCAAAACCGCAAAGCATCTCACTGTCTTTCAAAGAACACCCAATACGGCTCTACCTATGATCAACCCAGAATATGACACAGCCGCTAACGACGACTGGAAGAAGGTTTTCCAGGACACTAAGAAGGCTATGCTCAAATCCCATGCAGGCTTCGACTACGAGTTTCTCCCCGAGTCCTCGTTAACATTGGATCCAAGGGTCAAGAATGCGGTCTTTCAAAGGCTGCTCAATGCTGGCGGTCTACACTTCTGGCTAGGCACCTACCGCGACGTTTTATTCGATCAGAGGGCGAATGACGAAGCATATGAATTCTGGCGCCAGAGCGTGCTCCCTCGCATCAAGGATTCTAAGAACAAAGAGATTCTAGCCCCTAAGATTCCCTGTGATCCCTTTGGAACAAAGCGTGTCAGCCTAGAAAGGGGCTACTTTGAGGTGTTCGACCAAAAAAATGTTGACCTGGTTAACCTGCGGGCGAACAATATCGACGAGGTCTTGCCCGAAGGTATCCGTACCGCCGATGGTACATTCATTGAACTGGACATGCTTGTAGCCGCCACAGGCTTCGATAGCGTTACCGGAGCAATCACGGCTATCGATATTCATGGTCTGGACCCTAAGCTTTCCGTCAAGGATAAGTGGGCCAAGGGTACCTACACCTTATTCGGACTGGCAACATCGGGCTTCCCCAACTTGTTCTTCATGTACGGCCCGCAAGCACCCACGGCGTTTGCCACAGGGCCGTTATCGGCCGAGTGCCAGGGCATGTGGATTACGACGTTGCTATCATACCTACGGGAGGAGAATCTCACTAAGATTGATGCAAAGCCCGAAGCTGAGCGGTGGTGGAGAGAACACGTCCTAGACTTGGGCGAACAGGGTCTCTACACAAAAGCTAAGAGCTGGTACTACGGAGATAACATCCCTGGAAAACCTCGTGAGGCTTTGAATTACATGGCTGGACTGCCCAAGTACCGGGCAAAGTTGGAGGATTCTGCGAGCAAAGGCTACGAAGGATTCACATTGTCTGCTTGAAGACAGAGATTTGGACTCAGTGGAAGTGTGGGATGGGGAAAACGTACGCGGGTGCAGCACCGTCACGCTAAGGTCAAGGAGTATTTGGGACCACGCAATCATATGTGAAAGCCAATTGTATGATACTGTACTTTGATATATGTTCACCGCTCTAGGGATATATGTGCTAAGTAAAAACATCATCGAGCGGTTAGCTCGGAGCACTACTGTTAAGCGGGCTCAGATAGATATTGGCTTATAGGTGAGAGAGCAATGTTGTTGCGCTCATTGAGTAGTATATGACAGGTCGTCCACTGCTCTTCTAAGTCCATGTACTTTTTCATCACAGTATCAACCTCACCACGACGCTTCAGGGTAGTTTCAGAAGGTTCAGATCAATTCTACTCTTTTGTAAGCACACTATAAGGGGGAAGGTTGTTCATTAGACTGGAAAAGGTTCCGCCACAACTCATGTTCAACAGCCATAAACAGGCGGAGGTTCATTCCCGGTGTGTGAAATACGAGACAGACTCTGCTACAATCGGGTGATGCCAGTGTAGCCTAGTAGGTGTGTAGAAGAGGAAGTCGAAGTGAAGTTCCGTGATGGTGCAAGCCTCCGTGGCTTCGACGCCACATTCAACGGCAAAGCATGGCCGAGCAGCTGGGGAACGGGTTCTCAGGGCCAGAACAGGTCATCAGAGAATACCAACGCCACAGGCTTCTGAAGAATTAATCTCTAGCAAGTAATGCCCTATAGCTTTGACCCAGCGCCTTCTCTCGAAGCTCGACTTGTCGCTGAGACTAAAATGGTAGAGTTCAGGAGCTCAGAATTCGGTCAGCCGCATGAGACCGGGAAGGGAGTCCTTTTTCTTTTGTTACTACGACCTAAAGTGCTCCATTCGGATTTTGACTGCAACTTTCTTGATTACTCAATGCCCAGCACAAGATGTGCTCCCTGTTTCCGTAGCCCCTTGTGCACTTCCATGACATTCACGAGACCTGGAAATCGGCCTGCAATTGATTCGCAGATCAAACTGCCGACTATTCCACCAGCTCATTCTCTTGTAATTCCACGGACTCCCGTTTCATTTGAGTCTCATCGCGCCCAGTGGCCAGCCCATGCTGTCGATAAGCAACAACAAGATCGGTATCACCAAACAGTTGCGCCACTTCCTCCAGGGGCTTGTGTAAAGTATCCGGGAAGGTGAAGTAGACAACACACATACCTGAAAAGGTAATGATGATGAAAAAGAGGTAATACTTCCACCCAATATGGTCGAAAGCAGTTGGAGCAGCTTGCAACCAGACCATGTTTGTCAATGCATATGTCCCCATACCGAGAGCCATTCCGTGTGCACGCAAGTGAGTTGGGAAGATTTCTCCGGCATACCACCAGGTAACGCCGTCAAGAAACAACGAAAACCCCCAGACAAACAGGTAGTTCCATGCAACGCAAGATCCGAGGCCAGCCTTATTGGTAGACGTTCCGTATGTTGCGACAAAGGAGGCTTCTAGGATCAAGCTGAGGAGGCATATACCGAGGCCGATACTTATGAGCTTTGGACGCGCAATGCGATCGACGATGAGGACGGCACAAAAATTGCCGACAAATGCAGTGGTCAGCCAGCCGGCTTGAAGAAAGAGTTGATCTTGAGGACTGTATCCTAGGGAGCCGTAGATGATGGTGGCGTAGTCTGAAGTGTGAGTTAGCTCAAGCTTCCACGAGTGAAAAGATACCCAGACTCACTGTTGATAACAAGGGCACCAGAACTGACAACAGTGAAAAGCAAACCGATGGTCATTAGAGCTCGCTTTCTATACGATGGTCTCCGGAAGATTTCCAACCAACCCGTTTTCAGCGTCGATTCAAACTGGATCTGCTTGTTCATCTGCTCGAACTCGCGTCTAGCGAGGGTGTCGTTACCATGAACGGTATGTAGATCGGAGATAATCTTCCATGCTTGCTCCGACTTCCCCTGGAGAATCAAGAGTCGAGGACTTTCCGGAACGAAGCAGAGGGATATCAAGCAGAGAACAGACGGTAGACAGCCGAGTGCCAATGGAGCACGCCAGGCATGGGGCGCTTGGTAAAAGAAAAACCCGACTCCAATCCATGAAGCAGTAACATAGCCAAGATTAATCATAATCCCGCTGATATCTAACAAAGGGCCCCGACCTTTCGGTGGGACGACCTCTACGACCCAAAGAGGAGCCGACATCAAGCCCATATAGCCACTGTCATATGAGTCAGCTCGTCCGGCTTGTTGAGCATGGCATCGCACTTACCCGAAACCGGCAGTGAAGCGGAAGACGATAAACATTCCAATGTGGACAGAGCCCGCCAATAAGGCAGTCGACAGGCACAAGATTACTTGTCCGATGGCAATGACACCTTTACGGCCGAACTTGTTCGCCAGTGCAGCGTTCAGCAGACAGCCAAAGAAACCTCCGACGAAGAAGAGAGCGTTTGCGGCTCCCATCAAATCTGGAGCGTTGGGGGCTATATCGAGGCCCATTGCAGTGATAAAGCTCGGTTGGCCGAAGGTCGTAGCGATGATTGAGGCGCTATAGCCGTAGGCTGCGACTGCCCAGCATACACCTGTACATTCTAGGATGGTTTTAAGCTTGAATTGACGGGTAGGTAGGTCTTCGACGGTATCCATTTTCGAGTGGTGGACCAGTGAGATGTGTAGATAGACAACAGGCAAAGAGAAGTTAGATGAAGTTTCCAACAAATTTTGGCCGAAAGCATTCATTACTCTATGACAGTTCTTATACACTTACCCCAGAGTCTATTAGCATTGTTTGGTCAGATCAAAGCTCTCCTACAACGCATTGTATTTTAGAGGGCGGAGATATATGGCCGCCCCACTATTGTGCCGGAAGACTTCGACCGTCGTCTGGCTTCTGAGAATACCACCAGACTATGGCGAGGTTGGTGCATCAACAATATTATTGTTCAGTCCTAACGTTACTGACTCCCAACATCAACGTCAATTGAATGAACACACGAACGATTCCTGCGTAAACGACCTTAAACAGTTCCAGCACAGTGCGCATACACTGAAAGAAATCTAGGAGAAGCCAGGGACGAAATGTCGAACGTTAATTTTCCCAAAGTGGTAAGCATCATGGTCGGTGCTGTTATACACCTTGTGAAATATATTGTGGAAGATTTCACTTGGTTTGGAAAAACCTTCGTAGTAACGTTGGATTGCAGGTGACCATTACTGGGGCAGCTTCGGGAATTGGACGAGCCACCGCGAAGCTCCTTACAGCCAAAGGCTATATTGTCTCGATAGCGGACCGAAACTCGGAAGGGCTCGCTGAAACATTCAAGTCTCTTCAGGACGCAGGACTACCCCATGGCGTCAAGCACCTGGCTACCACCATTGATGTAACCAACAGTCAGCAGGTCAACGCTTGGATCAACAAAACCCTGGAAGAATACGGTCGAATCGATGCGGCGGCAAACATTGCTGGAATACTGTACGACGACAGATTGTTGAAGGATGAAACTGATGAGCGATTCATGAACACGATGAATGTCAACGTCAATGGTGTTTCCTACTGTCTGCGGGCTCAAATCAATGCCATGGAAGACGGCTCGAGCATAGTAGGTTTCATGATCAAAACCAGGCGGAATGCGTTTGGGCGCATCCTTGGAGAGTTTGGCATTGACTGATTTCCCCTCCACCAACAGGTCAACGTTGCTAGCGTCGCAGCACACAGGGGAATGGGCTTAGTTGGGGCTTATTCCGCGAGTAAGCATGCTGTGCTTGGCCTAACCAGAAGTGCGGCACGAGAAGCACCTGGCATTCGCATCAATGCTGTTTCACCCGGTATAGAAGCTTGTTACTTCTCGTTGTGAAGCTTGGCTGACACATTCGATATCAGGAAGAACCACTACACCCATGACTGACAGTGGCGACCCTGTCTGGGGTGACGGGCTAACCAGTCAACAAATCATGGTACGCATGGCAGCGCCGATCGAAATAGCCAAAGTCATTGCATTCTGTCTCTCCGATGATGCCAGTTTCGTGACAGGTGCTACTTATATGGTTGATGGCGGATGGTGTGCCTGAGCATTGTATTCGCCACAAAGTCTAGCATTTGGTTTGATTTGTACTTGCAAATGGCTTCGATATCAAATGGAAGCATTTGGCGGTGGCTAATGACCCAACACTTTCTTTCAGACGGGCTTGGCTTTATCACGAATGATTCATAGAACTGAGAGGATCCACCGAGAAGTTGTGAATAGATAGCAGCCTAACCGAGTATCTGACGGTCCAGTACAGCCACCTCGGCCTCTCTCCATGTCTTCGATGGATCCTTTGGCCACGGCTGCCGGGAGTGCAAATAATGCCACACTGGTGGAATTATGCTTCTTTACTATCACGAAAACTTGTAAAGATACAGGGCTGGGCCAGTCGGCAAGTGACTGGCTGCAAGCCCACCGTGTTTTCCGTACGTCACGGAAGGGCTTGAGACTTGCAGGAAGGAATACTGACTAGATGACCAAAGCATGTAAAACTATCGGGCTCAATGACAACGCTCTCCAGTGTAGCTTTTGAGCGTAGGTTAGTAACTGTTGTCAGCTCAGTCACGTGCTTGTCCACCCACTGCCCCATAGCACCTCCCTTTTTTTCAATTTACATTGCATCCTTCATAGATAATAGAGAATGATATCCATCCATCAAGTCTGTCAGTTCCTCAAGAACAATGTTCATCACCTGTTGATACTGGGTGAGCTAGACTAAAGTGTTCCTAACTTGTACCGAAGCAACTTAAGCACTAGCGATTTCAGGTACATGAATTCCCGATCCTCTTTTGACTGTCCTCTCACAGGTCAATGTCGGTAGAGCATCGCCGCCTCCTTGACCCTAGGTCGGCGATGCTTTCAGAAACAGGGGCGTGCGGCATTCTGAATCACCGCCAGACCTTATAAGTTGCAGGCTATATTGTTCTTAATGCTCGTTCCCATACCGATGAAGTCTAGATATCTCGCTAAATGCGATACTTTGTTACCTTAGAGACTCTGTTATAACACCGAGTGTTCCACGATCATCTAGAGCTGCATTCCACTCTGAGCGGCTTAGTCGAACAGCTGAGAAGTCGAAATCCATGATGAAGTTCGACCCTGACCATAAGGCCTTGCCTATACGTTCAGAATTGCCTGCGATTCCTGGAGCCCCAGCCGGAGCAGCGTGGTTTTGGGGTTCCAACGACGAGGTACGAAATCATTACCCCGTTCGATATTGCTGTCCTGGATGGTTGTCTGACTCCCAATTAGCTTGGTCGTCTCAATCTCCTGACCAAGACGCGCGTAGCAGCAGCAGCGAAGCTGATAAAAACTGGGACGATTATAAATCTCAAGTACATGACCAAACACCCATGGGACATTAGAGGACTGACAAAGTCTACTACAAAGCTGGCGTGCGGATTATCCAGACCCTCCAGCATTTGGCAGACAAGGTTTCAAGCACACGATTCAAACCGTCAACGAGTCTGCTTATGATGACTTGTACAATATGAACACGCAGAGTGGATCACAGGTCAGTATCTTGTTATCAATATCGTTCAGCCTCCATCCCAAATAATTAATAACAATCGATAGTGGGATGGTTTTCGGCATGTAAGACCACTACAACGGTATAGCTAATAGGAGCATATGTGTAATCTTTGAATAAGGTCGGACTGAGATTCAACGACGATATTATTTTCTATAATGGAGTAAGTGGTGTATTATCTTAGATCTTGGACATACTAATGAGGAAGCTTACTAAGGACGAAATCCTGAGTGCGAAATATGGTGGAATGCAGACATGGGCTGAAAATGGTATAGGTAGGACTTTTGATATACGTCTGTTAAGTCATCAAAAATTCTAACCTTTCTAGCTGGCCGCGGTGTTTTAATCGACTATTGGAACTATACCAACAAAAGTTATGATCCAATCACTACTCATCGAATTTCGCTGAAAGAGATTCACGCGTGCGCCAAAGCAGAAGGGGTGAAATTTCAGTATGGTGATCTACTATTTATTCGTTCTGGGTTTGTAGATCACTACAATCAACTGGATGAGAAGGAACGAAAGCGTCTTGGTACCCTCAAAGCGACAGAATATACATTTGTCGGGGTCGAACAAACAGAAGAGATGCTCGACTTTCTACACGACAATTACTTCAGTGCCGTGATAGGCGATGCCCCAGCCTTCGAAGCTTGGCCTCGATCAGGGTTAAATCTTCACGAATATCTTCTTCCACTTTGGGGCCTACCAATTGGTGAAATGTGGGATCTTGAGAGGTTGGCTGAGATGTGTAAAAGCCAAAATCAGTATACTTTCTTTATCTCTAGCGCCCCAGCCAATGTTCCCGGTATGTATATATTGGCTCAAAGAGACGTATACACTAACATTGCATAAGGCGGTGTAGGAAGTCACCCGAACGCTATCGCCATCATTTAAATCATAGTGATGAGTATAAGGAGCAGTGCTGTAGCTATTTAGTCGAGTCTTACAGCTGGTAACATTGTTTGTGCTTGACGAGATCTTCCAATTCCTCGGGCTCTATGCGTAACTTCCGGAAGATCTAGATGCCGGCTGTATTGCAATCTACAACGCCCAAGACTTAATAGGAAATGAAATACAAATCAAATATTGATCTATTACCTACCACATACTTACATTAATTCTAGAAAGAGCCAGGACTTTCCTGAACCAAGCCCTTTGTAGAATTCTGGGCAACGTGTGCTTGAAAATCCTGATAGAACGTCTTTGCTCAACTTTCTCTTAACAGCAGGATGCATAGGGAGGCATTAGGAGTTGGAGAACTTTGGCAGGATGTAAGCCAGAACGCATAGCAAAAGACTTTCACTGCCAGTTCGAGCGAGGACCCGCAGCACTTTTCGTTGTTCGGGCACGGGGATCGCGCTCTTACCAAACACTTAATTGATAGCACGAGCGCCAAAGTCACTCCGGTCACGGGAAAGCATTACCGTAACGCAGTGACTGTTTTCTTGTAATATAATACGTTTGGCAAGTACCCACAAGTAGGGTCATGGACGAATCATACATACACTTCGCACGAATTTAAGCTTTGCTACCAGTTCCACTTCGTATTTAATGATACCATCATACCCGCCTTCCTTAATCCTCATAATTCTATTTTCATTACTACATATTTGAAGATAAAACTATATCGGGCATATGTAGAATGTCAAAGCGATCCGAGGACTAGTTACGGCGAACGACTACCGATGTAGACCAGGAAACACGGGCAACAAAAGCCAGCTACGACAGCAGTAATAGATGTCTGTGGGCAAACGCATTGTGACTCTTGAGAAGAATTTAGGAATAGCCTGCTTTCAAGTAAACATCCAGCCCCTTGATCAGTGCGATCTGGCAAAGTTGCCTCGTCGGTTCTTTCTCAGATAAGCACCATAGATTCTTCTCAACTCAGCTACTGATAATTCCCCCTAGCCATGGGACGACCAATCCGCCTCGGTGCTGTTTCAGGATGGCAGGGAGATCGCAAAGAGGCGATGTTGGTGCAAGCACTCGCAGATCCCCGCGCAGATGTCCTAATCGGCGACTGGCTTGCCGAACTTACTGTTGGTTGGGCTGCTAGGGAGAGGTACATGGACCGCCAGGTAGATCCGAACCAAAACGTTGATGGATACTACGTGAAGACTATACTGGAGGTTTTCGACAAAGCAGTAGACACCATTGTCAAGCGCAAACAGAAACTCATTACCAATGCGGGTGGACTGAGCCCCAAAGGCTGTGCAGAGGCTCTAGAGCAGGTGGCTCAGAAACACGGCCATCAGTTGAAATTGGCATATATCGAGGGCGATGATATTCTTGACCGCTTCGAGGAACTTGACCAGAAGCACACTTTCAACCACTTCGACAATGGCAAGGCACTGAACACGCTACACAAGGGCGACTGGGTTGGAGCTAATGCTTACATTGGAGCGTGGGGCATCGTCGAGGCCCTACGAGGTGGCGCAGACATCGTCGTGACTGGAAGAAGCACTGATGCTTCTGGCCTTGTTGCAGCAGCGGCGTGGTGGCACGATTGGAAAGAAGATCAATACGATCACTTGGCGCAAGCAGTGGTCTGCGGCCATATCATGGAATGCTCCATGTACGCCACTGGTGGAAATTTCTCGGGATACAAGGCGCTTTTTGAGAAGCCTCACGATACCGCATTCCCAATAGCCGAGATTAATGCTGATGGCTCCTTCACGATCACGAAATCATCCGAGATGAACGGTCTGGTCAACAAACAAACCATCACGGCACAAATCTTGTACGAGATCCAAGGGAATATGTATCTGAACCCGGATGTTCAGGTCGACCTTCACGATGTCAAGGTGGAAGATGTGGGTCCCGACCGTGTCGTGGTAACGGGAATCAAGGGGTATGCTCCCCCAGAGACGGCCAAGTGCGCCATCTTTGCCGCAGGTGGGTACCAGGCCGAAGCGTTCGCATTCGCGACTGGCCTCGAGACCACAATCAAGTTGAGGATGTTCGAAAAGCTATGTCGCTACTGGCTGAGCACGCAACCGCAATATCAATTCACGACTCTTGAATTCCAGCATGTAGGAATTCCGGCGGTGGATCCCAAGAACGAGCTTGAGGCCACTTCGACCCTACGCATATTTGCACAAGCCCGCCGCGCGGAAGATTTTCCACCGAACGGTCTGCAGGCTATGGTTGAGGGTCTGAGCTTGGGTACATACCCTGGTTTTCATCGTGCTCTTGATATGAGGAATACCCTTCCCAAACTCTACATCGACTACTGGCCCTCTTTGGTTCCAGAACGTCATCTAAAACTGTCACTTACGTTCCTCCACGGAAGTACAAAGACTCTCCCTCCACGTCCACATACCATCCCGGCTATGAAATCCGCATCCTACGATGCCAAATCACCTTACGAGGACAAGTGGGGTCCAACAGCACGTGAACCACTGGGCAGCATTGTCATGGGCCGCTCAGGCGACAAGGGAGGGAATGCCAATATTGGACTGTATGTCCGACACGCCGACGAGTACGAATGGCTGAGGACGTTCTTAGACGTGAAGAGATTTGAGTACCTGCTGGGTGACGAAATGAAGCTTGTCACTGGATTGGAAAGGGTGGAATTCAAGGGTCTCCTTGCTGTCCATTTCCTCGTTCGTGGAATTCTGGGTGAGGGCGTCTCAAACACATCTCGTCTTGATGCCTTTGCGAAAGCCATGGGCGAATTCGTGCGAGCACGCGTGGTGGACTTGCCAGTACGGTTTTTAAACAGGGGCCGCATATAGGCTTTTGAGCGGTAGAGTTGTGAAGTCCGAAGATTAAAAACTATGTGATACTTTCCACGGCGATCGTTGATTTGATCCTTGTCCAAAGGCCTAACTGTTGTATCAGGCCTGAGGACGGGCCTCGAAGCCTTTGCGATGTAGATTATCGAAGTCGCTAATTCATTGGGGCGTGATTCCCGCCCATCATTCGACCCTCGAGAGCTTGCACGTGTTCGTGATGCACTCTAGCATATTACACTGCCGCATCATCCAACGGACAGGTGACTAGCCTCAGGATTCTGAATTCACTATATCACAGTCGCGGAAAGAGTGTCCCACTAGTTTCCTCTAGATAGCAGCAGGTAACTGCTTGAAGTTTCTTCAATGGTGCCGAAAACTTGAATTCATGTCACAGTTTACACCACAATCTAGCTACGGCGGTTCTGTCGGCCTCGTCACAAGTGGAACAACAGATGGATGCAAGCCACCTTCCAAACCCAAAGCTACGAGGTTGAGACCTTGATCATGACTGTCTTTGTCTCCGTCCACGCTTGCAAAGCCTTCAAGGAGCACTCCCTTCCCTCTCCGCTTTGCTTGCTCCCTCCAAACGGTAGATCAAAAGGCATCGTCGGCGACGTGCAATTCACGCCGACCATCCCGGACTCGAGCTCTTTCGCGAATCGCAAAGCCCTGTTCAAGTCTTTGGTGAATACGGAGGCGTAAAGGCCGTATTCGGTATCATTGGCCAGTTTCAGAACTTCTTCTTCAGATGTAAAGGTGTTGACACTTGCAACTGGGCCGAACACTTCTTCGCGATTGATCGTGGAAGATTGTCCCGGGTTGAAGAAGACGGTCGGTTCAACAAAGTACCCTTTTTCACCGATCCGCTTGCCTCCAGTGACAAGTTTTGCACCCTCCCTATTTGCTCCGTCAATATAACCCATAATCCGTTCGTACTGTAGTGCATCTGCCTGTGGGGCGTGCGTGGTGGTAGGATCGAGTGCATCTCCTGCTTTGCCCATGATTTTCTTGAGTTCAGCCACATACAATTCGACGAATTTGTCGGCAATCGATTCGTGGACGTAGACGCGCGAACTGGCGATGCAGATTTGGCCAGAATTGTAGGCGATGGAAAAGGCCGCCATCACCACGGCCTGTTCGAGGTCCGCGTCTGGAAAAACAATTAGTGGAGACTTGCCCCCAAGTTCCAACGTGACGTCTTTGAGGTTGGACTCGGCCGCGAGCTTTTTGACGATTCGGCCAGTAGCGGTGCTGCCCGTGAATGCCAGCTTCCTGATGCGCATGTGACTGGCTATGGCCGCTCCAGTCACGCGTCCATGGCCTGGAACGATATTGAAAACACCAGGTGGGAAACCGGCGTCAATGATGAGCTTGGCCATGTACAGAGCCGTCAATGGCGACTTTTCCGATGGTTTCAAGATCAAAGTGTTGCCCGTGACCAATGCAGGTCCAGCTTTCAACGCTATAGCGATCAAGGGACCGTTCCAAGGACAAATGGCTCCACAAACGCCATACGGCAGGCGGATTGTCATATTGAGGAACCCTGCTGTTGTCATGCTTGTCTCTCCGTGGATCTCTCGTGCGAGACCTGCATTGTATCTCAGGACATCTGCCGCCCACTGAATCTCTGCCGGATAGAAAGTGACAACCTTCCCCACGCTGATGGCCTCGAGCCTGCAAAGTTGCTGCGTATTCGCGATTAGAAGGTCAGCGAGTCGGCTGAGACACTCTGCTCGTGTGGTCGAACCAAGTGCTGCCCAGGCCGGGCCTGCCGCTTCGGCTGCATCGACGGCCGAGTTGACTAGGTCAACATCAGCCTGGGATACACGCGCAGTCAATTCTCCATTTGAAGGGTTGTGAATCGCAAATGTCTCTTTAGCTTCCACGAACTCATTATTGATGAAACATCTGGTCTCTATGTCGGGTAAGGCCTGGGCACTGTTTGTCATCTTGATTTACTGAGCCAAAGAGAGTAGTCCAATGATTATGCAGTGTTGGCGGAGAGGTCTCGATACTGAGATTGCGAAGTCAATATAAGTCGGCAGGGTTTTGTGAGAAGCATGGACGCCGTGCCATGATCGAGACAGCCGCAGTTCCAAGCATCAAAACTAAATCCATTTCTTGCTAGTATCCTATTGGCGTCATCCTCCGGCGAAGCGTCACCGGTTGGTAAAGCATCCCCGTTGAGGCATCACCGGCAAAGCAAAGCCGGTGTAGCAGGTCTAACGGCTGATAACCAGTCGCTAATCCAAGTCATTGCTTTATGAGATTGAATCCTTCTCGCCAGGATTGTGTGTTCGTCATCTTCATGAACCTCTTTGCAAGATGGGAGAAACTATGCGTGCGGCAGTGATTAGAAATCCGGGCCCGGATTTCAGTCTGGAGATCATCGACAAGCCCAAACCTCAACCTGGCGATGGCGAGCTTCTTATCCGACTTGAAGTAACTGGCTTGTGCCATTCCGATCTTAGCATGATGCTGCGCGAATGGTCTGGGTTCAAGTCGAGGATGGATACTCCTGGCCATGAGGGTGCTGGAGTGGTCGAATCCCTCGGAAAAGGTGTGACAACATGGCAAATTGGAGACAAGGCCGGTGTCAAGGGAATTTCATGGGTGTGCCATGAGTGCGAGAGCTGCATGAAGGGCCGCGAACAACACTGTCCTCGGGCAGAATTCGCTGGCCTGACCATGGAGGGAACATATCAACAGTATATTGTCGTCGCGGCCAACTACGCAACCCGAATTCCGAATGGAGTCGACCTTCACTACGCGGCGCCCTTAATGTGCTCAGGGCTTACTTCTTACTCTGCTCTTCGAAAGAGTGGCGTTCGCGCGGGAGAATGGGTGGTCGTGCTTGGTGCTGGAGGAGGATTGGGCCATTTCGCCGTCATGATCAGTAAAGCCATGGGTGCTCGTGTGATCGCGGTCGATCAGGGCGAGGCCAAGAAAGAACTATGCTCGTCTCTTGGAGCATCCGAATTCCTTGACATTTCTTCAGCTACGGACCCGGTTCAGCGCACGTTAGAGATAACGAACGGTGGAGCGCACGCTGTCATCGTCACTTCGGCTCATCCGTCGAGCTATACCACAGCGACAAACTATCTACGTACCGGTGGAACCATGGTTTGCGTCGGGTTACCTGCCACTGGCCAAGCTATCGCTGGGGCAGATCCGCACGATTTCGTGACCAAAAGCATTACTGTGAGAGGTACTTTTGTGGGAACACTGAGCGAAGCTGCAGAGGTGCTGGACTTGTGTGCGCAAGGGCTGATTACCCCGGTCGTCGAAAGATTCCCTCTTGCGCAACTCCCAGACGCGGTGGGGCTTCTGAGAGAAGGAAAAATAGTTGGTCGAGCCGTGGTCGACCTATGGTCGTAGTGACAACAGCCGCGTTTGGTTTTCCTTTGTTTGGTAGAAAATGAACCCCAGAGTATGTTTAGCACCTCGTAATCCTGGTCGATACATACGGATACAAGATTCTTTGTACGGAGTACCTCGGCCTCGAATAACCAAGTGAGAATAGGTATTAGCGGAGCGGAGACCGAACCCACTAGGTTTGGAGCGTCATTTCAGGGCCGGGTGGTGCTCATGCTATTGGTGCACTAACTATTGGCTGCTCTGCCGCCTGGGAAGATGTCAAATGTGCAAGGTCGGGGATGCCAATCACTTTTCTAGCCCGTCGGTATTGCTTCTCCGCGCTTAATAATCTGAAGCAGAATTCACACACCAGTTACTGTAGTCTAGATCTCACAGTGGTCATTTCATGGCCTGATGATTAGTTCCCGGTCTCCCACGGGGTCTCCAGTTTGCCCCGCTCAACCAGCCATACTGGTCGTCGATACCTATGTACGTAGTCTCATCAGCCAGGGGATCGATCCAATCGGCAGCCAAAAAGCCCTCATCCTCTTGGCGGAAGGGCTGAGGAAGTTGCTCTAGCTTCACCACGCGACCTCTGAAGATAGACGACTTCCAGAAACTGCGACCACGTAACAAACAATGTGTAGTTTCCATTCTAGTCTCTTAACACGGCACTGTTAACTTCATGAGATACGGAGATCGATTCACTGATCAGCCGTTTGCCTTGTTGGCCTGGTCTCGAGCTTCGGCGGCCCAGGTTGCCAAAATCAACCCCCGAAACCGAAAAACATCTGGAGCTACCGACGACCGTCAATGCCGAAGCAACAAAAGACTCTCAAGGGGCTGGCGTGCCTCAGCTGCCGTCCCAGGAAGATCAAGGTCGGTCTCTTTGAACTTCTGGCGCTCCTGCGAGTAACATCCGAAATAGTGTGAGCGCGTAGATGGTTCCTGTGAAAGGTGCAGGTCTTTGAAGATACCCTGTCGGTTTCCCGAACGCGATGAGCGGCAGAGGTATGTATGAGGACTCAAATGCTCACATTTTGATTTGACATTGGCTCGTAGGCGGTTTTCCAAGGAATACATCGTCGACCTCGAAACCCAAGTGCGAGATTTCAAAGCTATCCTCGCAGACCTACAGTCGCAGCTTGAGGCACAACAAGCGAGCCTTTCCCGTAAATCATGTTGCGAACATAACATTGTCTCATCACAGGACCAGCCGCATCCCAAGCCCCAAGGGTCACACGATATTGCACCATCCAATAACTTCGAATCATTCAAATATGCGGACAAGGACCCGATTGCGAATACTATCGATCTCGGCAACAAAGACGGTCCAGAACTGGCAGACTCCACGGCGAGTTCAAGCTCCGGCGAAAGTATCATCACCCGCTTATGCGGGACGAGGAATCGCCTCAATAGTAGTATCGATAATGGCCAGTCAAGGTATTTTGGACCAACGTCAAGTCTTCACCTCACGGAGAATGTTGCGTCGATCCTCAGCTATTGCGAGAACGTCTCTCGAACAGGCTCAGACTTTGAGAAAGAGATTCCCCAGGCGATGCAGCAGTATCTACTTGGGCTGTACTGGAAGTATCAGCATAACGTTATGCGGATTATCCACAAAGAGGCTTTCCTGGCAGGCTTGGAGGCGGCCCAAGGTCCCTACTACAGTCATTGTCTACTACTCTGTATTCTAGTGTCTGGAGCGCGAATCTCGGCCAATCCAGAGATCCGAGCGTTGTCGATCCCATCAGTGGACGAAGAACATACCGAGACACCGGCGCTTTTGAAACTTGCTCAAGAGGCCCTCGACAAGGAATTGTTGAACCCATCGATAACCACTATACAATCTCTAATGTTGTTGAGTGTGCTAGACTGCATACAGTCCGATGACATGAAAGGATGGTTGAAATCAGGTAAGCTTGAAAAGTATTTCCACTTTTCTGCTTTCTGACATGGTATAGGAACCGCATGCAGGCTAGCTTTCGATTTAGGTCTTCATCAAGACTGGTCCCATATGTCGCAAAGCAGATGCAGCCCGATTGACATCGAAGTCAGGAATGTCGTATTCTGGGGTTGCTTTGGACTTGACAGGTTTGTCGACTTGCTCCCTACGCCAGAGCCATCTCACTGATCACCGATAGGCATTGGGGATTGTACCTTGGCCGCCCCCCCATCATCAAGCTCTGTGATGTATACGTTCAAAAACCTGCCAATACTGCCACGTCGTGGGACGCGGTAATATTTGCTGCCTGGACAGAAATCCTCGATATAGCAGGCCAGATCAGTGAGAGATTGTATGTGTCGACTGACCGGTGCTGTGGTGCCATTACACTAACACCTTATAGGAATACCAATACATGTTCCCAGGAGCAGATTGACTTCTATATGAACGCGCTGCAAATCTGGGATGCCAACGTGGACGGTACATTGATACCCTCTGCCACATCCCCACCCGCGGTCTATCAATTGCGGTAGGTGGAGTCATAAATTCAGTCTGATGCATCTATCTGACTTCCGGCCGTAGCATTCAATATTGCGCCCTGTTCATCCTCCTCAACCGACATAATGCTGGTCTGGGGAACTGCGTCGAGAATAGCACTTCAGAGATGCTCAAGTCGAGACAAAGTTGTGTCGAACATGCCCTACAGATCTCCAGGCTGATACAAGAGTATACAGCACATCACCAAGCATATACTATGATTGGCTCTGCTCTTTACCATATTACTTTGGCGGCGACGACGCTCATTGCCGAGATTGCAGAAAAGCAGAAGAATAACGTCGCAGCCGAATTGGCGGCACTGACAACTTGCCTTAGCATCATGAAGCAGATGGAGAGTACCGAGATTGTGGCACTCCACGTTCGCAAGATTGTCCAAAGTATCATGCGAGTGTGTGATCTACAGAGATTCCCGATGGACATGGCCCAACCTATGTCGTATAGCAGTCAGAAAATTGCCGATGAATCGCTGGACGAGACGTGTCAATCAGATGAGACCATGGCGGACACATCATTCTTGGGCAGGGCGGACGATAACGACCAGTCGGCTTCCCTCCAAAACGATACATTCTTCTCTAACAGCGTCTTTCAATTTCCTTTCGAGGACGCCCTCATGGATCCTTACCTAGCGAGTGACTTCTTCGAAGAAAACCCGGCAGTGATGGTGGATGGCCATGGGGGACAAGGGCTAGAATAAGCCTAGAATTGCCAGGCCTTCTTTTGGGTTGTACTTCCGGCTGTGCGACCCATGCATATCGAAAATATCCTTCTGCCACACGGAATCAATATTAGTGTGAAAGGTCTTTCCGTATTGACGATGAGTGTAAGCTTGTATGGGATACATAAACTTTGGTAACGTTACTATTGGTCAAATGTACAGAATATTTTTGTCGAGTATACTGCTATGGCAGATGGTGAGAGTAGCCCCGCCCTATAATGCACTACGCTAGTTATTGTGCTTTTCAAAAAGCCTGTAAAATGTCTACGCAATGACTGAACTCGAGCACGAAGGCCGCGACGACATCGCCTGAGGGGTTTTGTTGGCGGAACTAGAGGACCAGGACGAGGACATCGAGACACAGGGGCAAAAACCGTAACTCACATCCAGATTCCATTGACTACCCTTCTAGGTCTTTTTCTACGCAGGTTTACATTCATATAGGAGGAGTACAAGCTTTCTGGCGCAAGGACGAGGATGTAGTGAGCACTCATGAAGCAGCCACGCCAGTGTATCCGTTAAACTCGCCAGTTTCTTGCAGCAGCAGAGGGATCTCGTCATCCTGGAGCGATTCGAGCACCCCCTTCTCCCTCGGTTGCCAGCCCAACTGTCTCAGGCGGGTGGCACGACTGCGACAATTCGAGCCCACCACCAGGGGCGTAAACTCACCGAAGAGGTCCTTGTAGTCCTGTTCGGGGATGGTCCTCGGGGAAGGATCCTTGATGCGTCCGGCGGCATGCAGCGCTTGGCCGATGACCGCGACGGGCTCTTTCCACGCAATGTCGTGCCCGGACTCGCAGAAAAAGTACGGGTTTTCCATCACCTCTCCCGCCGGCGTCTGCTCCAGCCAGCGCAACAATGCGATGTACCCTCTGGCCAGATCCAGCACGTGTATGGTCGACCATACGGACGCCCCCCGGCCAACTTGTCCGGCATAGCCGTGTTTGAGAGCAAAGCGGGTCAGCGTGGGCAGTTGGATCGACAGACGTCTGTACTCGTGCTGGATCCCGTAGATCAGCGGCGGGATCATGATTGCTACCTTGGCTCCATGGCCGAGCTCCTGGCGCGCCCGGACAATGGCCAGGTCAATTGCCCGGTGTGGCGCCGTGTCGGGCAGGGCGTCGATGTCCTGTGGCTTGTCGTCCGAGTAGACTCTGTCGGCTTCGTATTGGCCCTTTGCAGCGTCGCCGAAGAGGCCGGTGCCGCTGGTGTGAATGTAGATGGTCTGCTGGCCGTCTTGTGCCCGCCTCTTGACGCCCTTGAGGACGGCTTGGACGGACGGGAGGTCGTCGGCCGTAGCGACGTGCAAGACAATGTCGCAGGCAATGGTCTGTTTGGTGATGATTTCACTGTCGGCCAGCGTGCCGAGGACGGTCTCGACACCGTCGTTTTGCAGCTCGGCGGCTGCAGATTCTCGTCGGACGAGTGCCGTGACCGAGTAGCCTTCTGCCAGAAGAAGATCGATGACATTGCGACCTATGCTGTTGGATGATCAGTAGGGTCACGATACGTGAGAGCCACGGGAGATTATTTGAGTACTCACAGGCCTGGTCCGAGTAGGAAGACTGACTTGCTGGGTGCCGACATGCTGAATCTGGAGAGATATAACTCGCAGGAGTGTAGCCTTCCAAAATAGACATGGCCATAATCGGCAAATGTCAATGGGGCGAGGAATTTATATCTCCCATCAATGAGTCGTCTAAAATATCATCGTCATTGTCACGAACATCCTGCATACAACCTCCATCTGCCAAATGATGTATCATTTGTCAGCACTACTGTATACCGTTCCCGGTCGTTAACAACATGGCCGTTGAGGCATGGTCGGCAAAACATCGCCGGTGTGGGCGAATGTTCCCTATGCAAGTCATCAGCACTATGCTGAAGACTGTAATCTCTATGAATCTACTGTAGGCTTCAATCCCCGTGGGTGTCATTCCCCCTTGTACTGTAGAGTCATGACTTCCAAGCAGCTGCTCGTAATAAACCCGTTCATACTATGTACTAGTCGCCAGATCACTAGTGAAGAGCATGCAACAGTGATCACCCCCTTTAAGCCAATGGCTAGAATCGAACGGCATTGTACGATGAACCAACACTTCCTCCCTCGAAAAACCTCCTCTTGACCAAGCTCCAGTGTCACTTGTAATGGTAAGCTTCCTCGAGGTGCCAATTTGCACCAGGCCGGTCCCTACATGGCGCGACCGAGATCAGCTGCGTGACCAATTCTGGTGGTCACCGTGCTGTTCTCCATGTCCCAACTGTCATACTCGTCTCTATTACGTTACGCTATACTTCCAGTCCTCTCCTTCTGATTCCAAGGCTTTGAATCTTCTAAACCGAGGTGGAAAAGGTATTCGCTGCTGGCCCCGGATCTTTCAACATACCAAACAGTCTTCGACCGTTGGGCCCTGTCACTTCCAAGACAGTCCCTGATGGACACTGTTTCCGATCCATCGCCACTGCCATCAATCCTTCAGCAACCGCCTCTGGTGTCGCAAACCTCTCTTCGTCAGTTTCAGGATCGAAAAGCTTCAACACCGCTGAAGAGCCAAACAACATTGGTGATGATGTTAGCCTTGGAGCAACGGCGCAGCTTCGCAACACGCATTCATCTTGCAGTGGCACCATGGCTCTTGGGAAGCAGCTAATGGCATGCTTTGGGTGCTGGTACAGTGGAATGACAATGGCTGGCCTTCTGTGTACTAGCACTGGAGATGAAGCCCATGATTCCTTCGGCACTTGCACCTAACCACTCTCTAAGAGCAATCCAGCACAATTTCCTGGGATCCACACGGGATAGGAGGTAACTGTCGTCGTCGAGCTTTTCATCCCACCACCCTCTTGTCGACTGGAAGGAGTACGTTTAAGCGGACCTGGTATTGTAGCATGACAGGCATCTCGGCTACCGGTTCGTACACACCTGCACCGAAGCACACAATATATGGAACGCAGTCAAACTTTGAATTGTCTAGGTCGAAAAGATGTTCCAACGCTTTCCCTACCATTACTCTCGTCTTATGAAAGACGATGCGAGGACCGTCAGCGCCAGTTGTGGTGATGCTATTGTGCAAATCGATTGAGTCGATGAATTCTTCAGCCTCTGAGTGAAGCCTTAGCTCCACAATCAGCACGTCGCAGCCTGCCTGAAAGCAGTTGCTGAGGAGGCACTAAAAACCAATCAGCGGGCATAATTTTCCGAGCCTGACCTCTGCTCCCACGACGTTCACTACCCGATTATATCATCTTGACGGAAGATACTCGCCGATCTACTGGGTAAAGGCTTTGGAAGTGTCCCTATCTTCCAGAAGTCTGTCTAGATTTCTACAACAGTTCCATTCTCTCCCATTCCCATGTCACCACTGTCCATCCTTGGGAAATCTGCGTACGACGTGGCTGCTCTTGTGGTCCGGAGATCGTTGGCCAAGTCTGGCAATGGTCTGGTCTCGATGTGACTGATGTTTCATGTTCTGAGTCTTTCTATTGCCAAGTCCCAACAAGGATAGGAGGGCTTGACTTCGCCCAGCGTTGTAGTATAGGCGCACCTGGTCTGGCAAAAAGCAAGAATGTCGCGGTTGTATCACAACATTTTGGGTTGGCCTGTATTTTCATTCCCCCGTAGATTCGCGAATACTCCTTCAGCGCGCTTTTCAGATTGCCCAGAAGTATCCCGAAGATGCTGGGTCCTAGCCTTTGGCCTTCAAACCACGACATCTTCCTCAACGACGTGGTTCCCCGGTTTTGGCCCAACCCCGGATTTTGAGTTCGGGTTTTTGGCATGGAACATATTGTACGTTATCTAGGTAGGACATCATTTTAAGCAGAGTGTCGTGTTACGACGGGAATAGTCCGCCGTCCTACTTCCGTAGGTCTTATGAATCGCACTTGTTTCCGGAATCATCCAGCCTGTTTGATCCCGAGGGTGGCTGATCGAAAACGATGTGCATTCCTCGAATCTGTATAAAGGCTGACACCAGATTTCTGTTAAGATGACTAGTCAGCCTGCCGTATGTTCCAGGTCCCTCACTGTACTCTTCACCTTCCATCAACATATATACTCCAAAAATGACCTTTAACCACGTGTTCAACCATGTCGGGCTTTCCGTCATCGATCTCGATGCCGCCACTGCCTGGTATACCAAGGTTCTGGGCTTCCACCACGTCCCTAAGACGCTCGAGTTCGACCGAGCTCAAGACCCCAACTCCCCGATATTCCCCATCTATGGGGCGACATTACACAAAGGCAGATTCGCATTCCTCGTCACCGGCAACGGAGTAGGTCTTGAGTTATTCGAATTCGAGAACCCTAAATCAGAAGGGGTCGCGAAACCATTTGACTACAGCAAGGGCGGTTTTTTCCACATAGCCATCACGGATCCGGATCCTCACTCCAAGGCCAGAGAGATTGAGGCTGCTGGAGGCAAGATCATTGGTGAACCCATCACAATGTTGGAGAAAAATCATGCCTACTGCGCCTACGTCCAAGATCCATGGGGCAATGTCATTGAGCTTCTGAACCTGAACTTTGCAGAATTGGGGATAAGATTGGGCGGCGTGGATAATCTCTAGGAATCGATTCCGGTGGTGATGAAACTTTGGCAGTCGAAGCCTGTTGCTGATAGGCAGACGTGGTTTGAGAAAGGATGAAGGCTGAGGGGGGGGTTTGTAGGGCGAACATCTGGGCAACGTTCAGCAATCATACTAGCACTGTTACTGACTCTGATGTCTCTCATTGACTGGACCTTGCGTGCTAAAATGCAAATTCGGTCCAGATCTTCGATCAAGACGAAGAAAGTATGGGTTGTAGCGGCAGCAAAGAGGATTAAATTGACTAATTACAAGTAAAGAAGAGACTGATCAGGCACTGAGGAACGTGTCGAACGCCGATTTTCAGCCTCACTATTCCGCAATAGGACTAGCACCAGAATGGGCCAACTTCGCGATTCTGCCTTGTCTTCTTCTCTCTCGCCGACTCTGGACTATCTCAGCCTAACAAGTATCCTACAATCCTGTCCGATGCATGAGATGCCAGCTTGGTTATGCATGACCACCCCAGCCTGCCCAGTCTGATCACGACGCCTGCTAGGACGCGTCCCTTTTCAGGGATAGTCCACCTTTAGGTACCGAGTAGGACTGGGGCGCACACGGCATCCATGGCAAGGGTAAGCGCGCCTCGGGTGTTTTTCTCCACTATGAAGTTGACAGTGGTGGCCATTGCTTGCTATTTTTCCTATAAGAGCGCTTCTTTTCTTCTGCAATCATATTCCACTGCCCGAGGCAAGGTGTGAACAACATGCCCTCGATACAACGCCACAGCCTTAGCCTTCTGCCCCTACCTCACATCTTCCGTTTCATGCAAAGCTCCCACTCTCCCCTTTCCACCTGCACCTACTGGCTGAGAGTGGTGAGTCCCCGGTCAGAACATCTCCTGATTATTTCGGTCGGGCATGTCAAGCTTGTCCCTACTCCCTTTCGATATTCTTCATCAGGTGGCCAGCCAACTCGACGTTCTTTCCTACGACCGTCTTTCCAAAACTTCTCGTTCACTGCATGACCAGCTTCGGGATGAGCATACGGCGAGGAATACAGTCCATGTGAGATCATTGGGGGATTTTTGTCACGTTTGCATGACGTGCGAGTATCACCTGCTGACTCGGTCAGGCGAGCATTCTGCATTCTCCATGGACCCAATTGGCCCTGTCAGCACCCGACGGCAGCTTTAGGACGACAATTGATCGGGTCAGCTTGTGTAACGATGCGTTTCAAACAGCGTTGCCCTACTCTGTTAGTGTCGTAGGCCATGCCACCAGCTTTTCCTACCACGGCGGCATTGTGTGTTACACGACAAGTTCTCAACTTCGCATTCTTGATCTCAATCACCGTCCTACTTCGGAAAAGGTCTTCGGTCACGCATTCTTCCGAAGTTTCCTCGCTTCCCCGAAACGAGGCGCCATCACAGTTGAGCTCGAATGTTTTAGATCGCTGCAGCTTCAGGGCTATGCAGACAACGTTGCCGTCTTGACCTGCCATTTGGGGGTCTACGGGCCACATCTCTTCGCCGTCAATATCTCCGAGGACTTTAATGAGTCGTCTCGGGCGACCAACAACGTCCGTCGCTCTCGCATCGTCTTTTCGACACCGCTAGTCTCCAACAAGAAGCTCTTCGTCACGCACAACTCGAGACACATCGTCTGGGGAACCCATTCGGCCACTGGAGATGAAGGACACCGCGAATGGCTGCTATACCGACATGAGTTGGCGACTCCAGACGTTCCGAGCAAGGAGCCGCTGCAGTTGCGGAACTTTTACGGCAGTGAGATCGGGTCGACGGCGTCCTTTACGATTCACGAGAATTATTTCTATGCCGTCACGAACCAGACCAGCTTCGAAACCGAGGAGGTTGACTGGACAAGTTACTATCACGTTGTGAAATTTCATCTAGACCTCGTAGACCCTGACGTAGTGCCTAGAATGGTATGGCGACGGCAACATCTCGAGGGACCGATCAACGACGCATGGACAGATCTAGGGTTTCAGGTTGATCACTGCACAGGCGAGCTGTTGATCGTCGAGTGTCGAAAAGAATGGGTTGACGGGGGCAGTCGTTGCGTCAGGACGTACTATTCTCAACCTTTACAGCGGGCGGTTCTCTTGGACGCTCATGCCATACTGCGCGCCCCTCCCGATGATCCCCTCCGGCGGACTCTGGACGAAAAGAACAAGAGCCACTACGAGGACTCTCATGTCAGAATCGAGAGGTATGTGCACTCCGAGTACGCCAGACATGGTGGTGATTGTGGCGAAGATGCCAGGGACCGGAAGAAGGAGTACCTCCGCGCCAAAACCAAATGGAACGGGTACGATTTCAACCGGCAGTGTTTTGTGGACGTTGTGAGTGAGGAGGTCACGGATGAAGGGAGCTGGCGACCACGGGAGAGACTTCGAGTTCGGGTCGTGAGTAGGAAGGGGATCGGCCCTCTTGTGTTGGACGACGAAGGTGACCACGGACGTGGGAACGAACAACACGAGGTCATGCAGAAAAGTGGTTCGAAATACTACCGGGTGCGCTCGCGGGTCAAGGACAAGGACGGACTTGACCTGAGGGACGGCGAGGAAAAGTTCACGCCCAGTGAGATTGTCCTGTGGCCTAGAGGTGGCGTGGAGGTTCCAAGGGATCTGGAGGACGTACTGTGCCCCGGCGGCAAGGCCGGCGAGGTCAAGGCCGTGCTTGGGTACGAGGGGATCGTCTACCTCTCCGGTCCTGCAGACTTGACAAAAGGAGGCGAGAGGGCCCTCGTGTTTGTGTGTTTCGATCCCACCTTTGGGTTTGATGGCATGAGGCGGGTAGATGGATCGATGGTGGCGCAGAGAGGAGGTGGAAGCGGCAAGGCGGTAGGAAAAGGAGGAGAGGGAAGAGGGGACTCTGGTAAGAAGAGAAAGAACGAGTCAGTGACTTCGGTGGTCGTTGCCGCTGATGGAGGCGGAACGAGCATGGTGGGCCATGGACTCGTCGTTGAGAGGGCTAAACGGGTCAAGAATGAAAACGGCACAGAAAGCGATGAGGCTGGTTTTCGAGGGGTCGACGAACGGCGGCAGTACACGACTTCTGTTCCTCGCATGTCGGTGACGAGCAGTTCCTCCGCCTCTCTGATCATGGGCGCATTGGATGATGGGCCACCGTTTGTTACGGCGACTTCTACCCCGACGCGCACTCCAGACTTGTCCAGAGACGGCGGTGGAGATGTGATCACCAGTGGCGATGGCAATATCAAGACCAAGTCCAAGTCCACCGCCGCAGCCACCACCACTGCCAGTGGTACCACGAGGTCGACGTGGCGTGAGAGAGCAGCTCACATATCCATCGGCAAAGGATTCTGGTTGCGTTGAGAGAGGCTTTCTACAGGTTAGGCGGCCAGGGCCAGGTAGTCAAGGAAGACCATGTTTCCAGATGGAAATATTCGTATACAAACACGCACACAGACACACACTCTCTCTTTTCTCTAGGTCACCGTGTGTCGTGAAGGAGGTAAAAGGAGACATTCATCGATATCAAGTAGAGCAGCCAAGGGATATAATATATAAACAGCAAAGACACGGCGGGTTTTGCGGGTCTCTAATATGCAATTGCAATTGCAATTCAATTCGCTACTTCTTTCTCCACTTCCAACCCTCTTGGAGCGCGAGCAAGGGATCGAAACGTGCACCTCTGAGGCCACTCTCCTCGCGGAAGAACTTGTACAAGACCGCCGGGTTGTTCCTGGGTCTCGGACTGCCAGACGACCGGACAACGTCTCTGTCGGTTTCACTTCCCAACGCGTCTCCTGTGCCTGCACCTTCACGAGCGAGCCGGAGCAAGTCGAGAGCTTGTCTGGAGAGTTGTCGGGGAGGAAGAGGCTGAGAAGGCAGGTCCGGTGGGGTAGAGAAGGCAGCGGCCCTCGGTTCATTGACTGTCGCCCCGACATCATCTCGGTTTGTCAGTATCGTTGCTCTGCCGTCGCGACGGTGCTTCTCTCTCTCCGCCGACGAGGACGAGGACGAACTTGTCTCCGATTCCTCCCAGTCGGGAAGTTCGGGAGATTCCAACGAAACAGTAGAATCATTCTTCTCCCACGGCGCGAGGCTGTTGGGGACTGTGGTCTTTTTACCGGCAGCGGCGTTTTCCAGAACGACGGCGGCCGACTCGGCGAGGTCCACGTCTCTCGTCCTGGCGGCGATGGTGAGGACGTTGAGACACAACCCCTTGTCCGGGATGACGTGCATGTTCTCCACGTACGTATACCAGACCCATCGCGTCACCGACGCGGCCGCCGCGTCGGCGTCCTTTTGGTTCCTCGCGCTGTACCTGCTCGCGATGCGGAGCACGTGGAGCAACGTGTGCCGCGGGAAAGGGAAATTGGAATCGTACAGCTTGTAGCACAGCTGCAAAAGATCCTCAAAGGCATGGTGGTCGCAGAGGGCGTGCATGTAGATCGTCCATACCCACGCGTCGATGTGCCCGCCGCCGCCGTCTTCTTCTCGTTGCAAGTTTTCCAGCTCGACCGTCGCGAGTTCTAATTGACCTTCGCGAATCATGGCGACAATATTGAGCTTGACGTACAATGGAGGGATCGTGACCCATTGTTGTGCGAGGCGTTGCAAGATGCCGGTCCGGAGGTAGGTATCAGGGTGTACCGTCAGAGCCTGGGTGGGGGGGGAAAAGCAAAGGTCAGAAAATCTCTCTCAGAGAACCAACTCACCAAGAGAAAGGTTTAGAACTCACCGTCAGGGCGGCATAGTACACAGAAGGATTCATCGCGATACCTTCCCGTTCCATCTCTTCCAAGGTGGCACGCACGTTGTCTGCAGACCCATATTCCGGAGAGCAATTGCTGAGGATGAGGGCCTCGTAGAGGTCTGGTCTGGGTTTGATCTTGCGGTCCGCAATTAGGATGTTGAGAATCTCCCGGGTCAATTTTGGCTGAGGCGTTGTTTTTGCGATCCATTTCAGTTCGTCTTCGAGAACCTGCGTGCTCACATCTTTCCGATCAACCAACCTGTTCAGACCGTTCCTGTCTCGTCCGATGACTTTGCCAATTCTTCGGACTTCTCGGAGAAGAGGGCGAAACTGCGCCGGTTTCGCATCGAGTCGCTTGAGCTTGAGCTCAGCGGTCAAGTCACGGTCGTCTCCGTCTGCGTCTGCGTCGACGCCTTCTGCGATAGATTTGAGAGGGTCCGTGTCCAACAAGTCGCCGCCATTGCCGTGTTTCCCTGAGAGTGCATGCTGACGGCCTTCTCGTGCTGATGGACTCGGTGTCTCGCTCGAGGAGGAAGATTGCCTAGGCTCAGGGACGGTACTCTCCAACGATGCAGTCGACTTTGAGGCCCAAGCGAAACAAGCGTCACCGCTTTCGGTCACCTTGAGCGCTTCTTCCTCTTTTTTCTTGCCTCTCAAGACTTCATGCTGCTCAGCGACAGGTTCCCCAGGTTGTGTCAGACCGTGATCTGGTCTGCGCCAGGCCGAGGGTCCTTTCGCTTTGAAAGGTCGGGCTCGATAGCAGCGAAGTGTAGGTGAACGACGGATCGCGAGGACAGGACATTTTTGTCTCAGTGCATGACTTATGAGGGTTCTATGCATCAGCTGTTCATACTTGGTGTGGATGTGTCGACGACGACGAGGTGCTTAAGATTTCAGGGCCATAGTTTGTACACACTGCAATGTTATCGCTCTCTGTCGTGTTTCTTTTAGCACGGGTCTCGGGTAACTTACCTGATATGGCGTGGGTACCACTAACGAGTATTGGTGTGGAATAGTGTACTAGTGACAGAGAGACTCGAAGGATCTGGTCTCTCCTATACCTGTTGATAGGAGTGTTTTACTACAATCTAACAAGACTTAATATAGGACAAATAGATAATGGGGTGAGTAGAGAGATCGACGCACTGAATCTCGAAAGGTAACAAAAGGGTCTTCATTTTTCTGGCACTGCCTAATCTCAAAACGGCTGCTACCACCGTTATCTTACCACTATCTTCTAATATATCTTCAAGCTGTCTTAGACTCCCACCTTGACACCAGCGTTTGCGTCTTTGGCTGCCGCCGCAGCCGCCGCCTCACGACCAGCAATACGTCCAAAGATGGCGCCTTTCGTCAAACCCGCACCTCCGGGATAGTTGTGGTAGAAAACTCCGCCGGCAATCTCACCCGTGGCCCAAAGATTCGGCATGTGGTTGCCTTCATTGTTGAGCACGCGCGCCGAGGTATCTGTCGCGATACCACCGTACGTGAAGGTGATGCCGCATGCCACCCCATAAGCCACGAACGGGGCCTTCTCAATTCTCAGGGCCCAGTTGGATTTGGGGAATTTCAGGCCTTCGCTCGCACACAGTCCGTCCAACTTGGTCGGTTCGAAGCCACTGCTGTCTCTTGGACAAGCGGCGTTGAACGCGTCGATCGTCTTCTGTAGGCCCGCCGGATTGACGCCCATGAGAGTCGCCAGTTCCTGGATGGTGTCTGCGTTGATGGGCGTGGCGGTCTCGTAGCGCTTGGGCAAGAGGTGTACAGTCTGTTGGTCGAAGATCTGAAAGGCCTTTGCTTCGGGTTGGTCGCCAATCTTCTTGCCCGTCTGTGCGTACGTCTTTCCAAAGTTGTCTTCGCCCTCGTCGAAGAACCGTTCGCCGTTTACGTTGATCGTGATGCCGTAGGGGTACGCGTACCGCGGCATGTGCGGAGAGACGTTGACATCGCCCACCAGGGGTGCATTCGCATCTTGGGGGGAGGCGTGAGCGGCACCCCAGTGTCCGACGGGGCGGGCTCCGGCCGCCACGGCTCGGTTGAGCATCGTGCCCATGTTGTACTTTGTCCCGCGGACCACGACCAGATCCCACCCCTCTCCGAGGTATTGGCGACGCATGGCCGGGTTGGAGGAGAAGCCACCGCTCGCGAGGATGACTTTGCCGTGCACGTCGATGAAAGAGTCTCGACCACGGACGCGAACGCCGTGCACCGTGTCCCCCGTGGCGATGAGGTCGTGTGCAGGACTGTCGTACCAGACCGTCATACGACCGGTGTCGATCAGGCTCTCGACCGCGTCCCAAAGGTAGTCTGTGAGGCCCACCCCACCACCGACGGCCATCACAGGGCCCCCTGGCTCTAGGTTGATCTTCTGGTCACCCTTCTTCAACCCGCTAACGTTCTGGTACTTGCGAACAATCAACTCCCATTTGACACCCTTGGACTTCATCCATTCGAGTGTTTCCCAGCCGTCCCTGACCATGATAGCCGAGATGTCCTTGTCGTTGCGTCCGTGTGAGGTTTTGGCCAGATCTCGAGCGTAATCTTCATTGGTGTATGGTGCCATGTCGCACAGCTCGGCGTCTGCCATCGCCTCGGGACAGAGCAAGGTTTTGACAGCATCAAAGCCCTTGTGGCTGGCGCGGAAGACTGTTCCCGCGAAACGGCTGTTTCCTCCCCGCCCATCTCGAGGGGCCGCTTCAAGGACGAGCACATTGGCACCGTGGTCGTGAGCAGCGAGTGCAGCACAAAGAGCTGCATTGCCACCTCCGACAACTATAACGCCGAAGTTGTGGCTTGCTCCATTTTTGTGTGATATGCTTCCCATATTTACGGTTGTTGAACAGGATATGTGAATTGTCCAAGTGATAGCAACTCACGACGAGTCCCTTCGACCATGGGTCATGCTGTGATTTTAATATAGAAGCCTCTACCCGAAAGCGGAGGGCAAGATCATCATATGATGTTCCTCTCCTTTGAGACCGGCTTGATTAGTGGGAAAGGACTGCACTTTGGCCCGGAGAATGTTCTTGTGCTCGCTTGCCACAAGATCATATCGCGAACCTGGAACTCCTCTTGGTTTGCCGCTTCAACTGACTGTGTCGAGGTACTTTCAGACTTTATTCCGCACTGCGGAGATGAATTTTGGGGTTCAAGACTGGACTCTTTTCACATTTCGGGCCGTCAACCGGAGAGAATAAAAACCGCACTTTGATTGGCCCAATGGAGAGTATCATTGCTTCTCCGCAACTTGTAATGTTCTTTGACACCCCGGACTTCACTGGCAACAGAAAACCAACAGCCTTTCAAGAGAGCCGTACTGACGCGCCATGACCTACGAAATTGTTGTTGGTGTTGAAAGCTTCGGGGAGACACAAGGCATCAAAATCAGTAGTCAGCAAGCTTGAGAGGCCAGCCTCATTCCAGAACCAGTCATTGTTGAGTTCGCTGTCAAGATCAAGATCGACCATGTCACAATTGCCAGATAATGGTGCCGATTGTTCGTGGTGAGGTTGCCCTATTGAAGTGGTGGGATGGCTCACATCATTACGGTGGCCTTGTTCGTCAGGGGAAGCGCCAGGCCACGTTCTGTTTGAGCTGGACGGGGCCGAAGTTCTCGGGCCAGAGAATGCACTTACTTGGGGCCTTTGGCCGTCGGGTGCTTGTCCGCCGAACTTTTCTCGCCATGTCCAGAGAGTATCGTGCAGAACACTGCCACCGAGTCGACTTGTCACATTCAACCCTCTCTGAGGAGAGGACTCTGGAGGGGTTGCACACCAGAGCTGTGACAAGATCTTCGAGAACCTCCCCGGCAGGTCATTGTCCTCGATTGAACACTTTCGTAGGAGGCTGAGACTTACATTGAACGCTCTGCGACCTTCCTCGGCATCGACCAGTTGAGAATTACTGCTTCTGAGTGTTTTGAGAACGAATACCGAGGCAATGGAAAGAGCGTTGCGAAATATCACAGGGCCCCTTCTGAATAACTGCGTGTCTGTGTCTCTTTTATGGCATCTCCATATGACATCCACAGCTGAGCGATACGCTTTCAAGATGCCTTCTCGTGAAGAGGCTCTGGCATAGCTTTCTAGAAAATAGTAGCATCTTAGCTGTAGAGAAGCATAGAGAAACATGATCTCGTTGTCATCTATGCTGCACGTCAGCGACAAGCCACAAATCCGCACTTGGGACGTCCTCACCAGATAGATTGTCACCCAACTGTTGTCGAAGCTGCACCAATTCAATCTCATAGAGAGGCAGAAGTACTCCACTGTCGCTCTCACCAAGACTGCCGACTCTTCTTTCTCGGCTGGCCATGACCCTGTTGAACTTGTTGCAGAAACGCCAAATCAGGACCAAGTGGTACATGTCTGGCGGAATCCCAACATCGTTCCTGCCATTGCAAATTGCGTCAAGAGTTGCATCTGTGACAAAAAGAGGCGCTTGGCCAATGAGACTTGTTATACTAACATGAATGTAAGCCAGGTCTATTGACGAGTTTTTTGTTGGGAGAATATGCCTACCTTTCAGCAGCTATGAAGCATGCCGACCATGTGATCAAGGCATCTTTTACCTCGTCAGGGCGAGGAGAAGTACGAATTCTGGAAAAGTCCTGTACAGAGTAGGGCCTGTGTACACCTACATGCATGGCACTGCTCTTGCAAGCAGAGGCAAGCACAAATGATGAATCTGTGGACATGGAAGATGTCGGCATTGGCCACAGGCAAAGCAATATCATGGCCTTTAAATCGGAACGTGTGTGTGGAGGAGATCCTATTGTCTGCCATAAAAGCGTCTTGAGAAATGGTGCAAGACTTCCCACCACGGTGGGCTCCTCATCATCATGACGGGAAGCGATGGCAATGATGGTCCAGAAAAGCAATGGAGATTGCCCATGGTAATTGTCTGGGGAAATACCCTCTTCGATAATAGGCACATAGGGATGGTTTTCCTTAAAATATCTACCAAACCTTGTCAACATCCATCTTTACGTAATTGTGAAAGCTTACCTTCGAAATAATCGAGTGACTTGAACGGCTGTTAGACTGGTGTTTCCGAGAACTTGAGGGTGATGCGCCTCGCAGAGTGACGCGTATGTATTCGGCACCTCGTCGCAGGAAGCAACTTCAGGTGCGCATACTGGCGACTCTGGGACAATTCTACCAGGAGACAGCTCAGTTTCAGGTCTTAAATGAAGCTCTGGACTTTGGTGTGATGGTGAAGTCTCCTGGCTGACTGACGAAGTTTGTTGCGTGGCTCTCAACCTCTCAACCTCCTTCGTAAGCTCTTGCAGCTTCCTTTCGATAAATCAGATGAGCCATTCTGTACAAGAGAGAAGGTACCTTCATGGTAACTTACAAGCGTTTGTTGAATCTTTTGTAGTCATTGTCATAGACACACGTCAGACCCAACAATGAGCATCGCTTACATGACTGGCGGCTAGTGCCTTCACAACGAAGCTGGTAGTCGTTTGTCAGCCAAAAAGATTCCAGATAGACAAGAAGCCGATACACACCTTGCCTTGTCGGCACTCTTGACAAGCGATCCTCTTGCGCTTAGAAGTCTGAGGTCGCACCTCAGCCCGTGATTCGCAAATGGGAATTGACGTCACAAGTGCTGGACGTGGTGCAATGTTAGTCGAAACGGGACTCTTCAAAAAACTCCCACTATCCATGTGATATGCGTATCATCCAGGTAGGCCGTTGTAGAGCGGATTGCGGGATCAATATCTGTCTTTGACGCTCTCTACTCGGCACGGACTCGACATGAAAAGAGAAAGACTGATGCAGCAAGTCTAGTGCGACAGTCACACGTTCCCGAAAGGGGATGAACCGGTCGAATGCGAGGTGCGAGCTGTAGCGTGTGATGATACGCATCACAATACGCAGTATGAAGCGAAATTCGCTGCTAAGAGCGAATACTCTCATACTGAAGTGAAAGCCTGGACCAATAAATGGCTATGCCGAGAACCGGGCCGGTTTTCGCTCTTGGGCGTTTTCCCATCAAACAAACAACCCAACTTCCTCCAGTCTCGCCTCGTTCCGCGAAGCACGAAAATATCAGGCAAGACAAATCTAATAATGGGCTATGACGGCACAGAATGCGACCTAGTCGCCGAGTATTTGAAGTTGATGAACCTTGAATACAACACAATATGTCATGATGCAGGGCACGACCCCAGCCAGCCTTGCAGGTAAGACGAGGCTGACGTGGTCAAATTCTTTCTCTTGTATGGAGTATCAAGCCAGTCTAAGGGCATTGTTCATCAGCCGCAAAAGCCAAATACATACTAATTGTATATCGCTACGAATACGCTCTGAAGACGGGTCTGATGGCTCGGATGCTGACAATCCCAGTGATTCGATTCCGTGATGATGTATGTTGCTGTTTCGTCTACGGGTAAGATATAAAAGAAATGGCATATCATCATAGTTTGGCGACCTATACTATTGTATCAAGAAACAGAAGACCCCCAATACCTTCAACAACGAAAATCCTCTCTCAAATTGGTCTGGCTCGCATATTATAACACGACGATGCGTTCATCAATGCTCCTCGCCGCCATGGCCAGCGCGGTACCCATCCTCGCCAATCCCGTGATGAAAAGAGACACCACCTCAACCGACGACACCTTCAGAGACGACCCGACGGGGTACATGTCAGGGTTCAAGAACCCCAGCATAACAACGTCGGTCGGCAACAAGGCCATCTGCGTCCAAGGCATGATTGACGTCACGGCGTCGGCGACCAACTACCGAATCAACCTCGAGGAGCCCAACAGCAAGAGCGCCGTCGTCGAGATCGCCGTCGAGGCCCTCCAGACCAACTCGACGGCCAGGAAGCAGTACGTCGGGGCCGCGACGCCCGTCGACGGCACCTACGGCATCTACTCGCAGCTCTGCTGGCCCCGGGCCAGCGACGCCATCAACTCGACCACGGTGCAGTTCCTCAACCACGGCGCAGGCTTCGACCGCAGCTACTGGAACGCGGCGCCGGGCTACTCGTACGTCGACTTCGCCGCGGACCGGGGGTACACGACCTTCCTCTTCGACCGCCTGGGTACGGGCCTCTCCGACCACCCGGACCCGCTGCAGGTCGTGCAGTACGGGATCCAGGTCGAGATCGCGCACCAGCTGATCCAGATGCTCCGCGCGGGCCGCATCTCGAACCACGACTTCTCCGAGGTCGTCGCCGTGGGACACTCGTTCGGCAGCACCCAGCTCGCGGGCATCACGTCGAAGTACCCGCGGGACGTCGACGCCGCGGTCCTGACGGGCTTCACCGCCGACCCTTCGGGCATGGGCGTCGCCTTCGCCGGCGTGGGACTGACCCCGGCCTCCGTCTCGGACCCCGTGCTGTTCGGCAACCTCTCCACCGGTTACCTGACCGCGTCGTCCATCGAGGGCAACCAGTTCTTCTTCTTCCGCTACCCCAACTTCGACCCGGCCGTGCTCGACCTCGCCCAGCGCTCCCGCCAGACCCTGACGTTGGGCGAGTTCTTCTCCCTCGAGGGCCTCGAGGCCTCGCCCAGCTTCACGGGCCCCGTCGACATCGTCAACGGCCTCAACGACCTGCCCAACTGTTTTGGCAATTGCCTGCTGCCCTACGACAAGGTCGCCGCCGCAAAGGAAAAGCTATACCCGGCCGCGAGCAACGGGTCTGATTCGTACCTGGCCCCCGACACCGGTCACGGCTTGAACTTCCACTACAGCGCTTCAGAAGCCTATGAGCACATTCATAATTTTCTCAGAAAGAATGGATTCTAAAGGATTTTGAAAGGCACAAACTAAACCTACCATATTGTGTGTGTGTGTCAGAAATTGTTTGTACAGTTCGGTAAAGAATACTTTGAGAAACGGATGGGGATTTGAAATTTAGAAACTGTAAAAAACGAAAATGAGATGAGAAATATCAAAAGATAGACTTGACATTTTATATCATGAAATTCCTAATACTATAATTACTACTTTTATCATTATAAACCTAGGTAGTCAATGTTCAGCTACGGGAATCAATGGTTTTGAGATGGTACTTTTTGTGCTACATGTCGGTTGAAAGAGAGCAGGTTCGTCGCGGGTTGAAAATGTCGAGTTGCAAGCCGATCTCAGATCTGGCCTCCTTGTACAGGTAGTAGAAAAACACCATCACAGAGAGAGAGAGAGAGAGAGAGAGAGAGAGCATCGAGATTTGGCAGGCAACCCTTTTGACAGGTCAACTTTGCAGATATGTGTGTCCTCGTCAAGGTCTTGGGTTATGGTGTGTGATCGGTAGGCTATACAAGCAAACAATTATTACTCCGTACTAGAGGGGGTTTCCTTTTGGTGAGGTTTATTACGGAGTAAATGGTGGCCCAGTCAATAGATATTGCTACGTGTACGGAGTATATGAGAAAAAAGAAAACCCCCACGAAGCATTTGCCTAGAGCCGCATAGCAACTTGTGCGTGGGGTCTTCGTCAAGGGTACCGTTGCTTCGTACGGAGTACGTCTCCTGGCCAGCTGCCTGTGGTGTGTCGAAAGAGGAAATTCGCAGCTTACCAGGACGGTCGTGGACGCGGCAAATGTCTCAACACCCTTCACAAAAGGATCAATCAAGGAAGACTGTTGGAACGTCTGGCCAAAGGAACACCTAGGTATATTTCCAAAGAGCAATTCATTCGAGGTGTCCGTCCCGACTGGTATTTCAATTCCCCCGTTCCGCCCACCCGGCTCTCCGAAACACACAAGACATGGGCATGCTCCTCCATGGCAAGTACGAGCGAGGTTTGATTTGTGAAGGGGGAAAAGGGAAGAAGAATGTCTCGAGGTGTGAAAGCGCTGCTCCCCCTAAGTTGGCGTCACGAAATATGGGAAAATTGACGTGTATTGTTTTCTTTCTTCTCTTCTTTTCCGATAGATCTATGCAGAAGATGTAATATCAAGCGGCATCCACGGTGGGATCATTAATCCGCCCAACACAAAAACAAAATTCCCCTCTCACTCCCGCGTGCATACGAGTAGGAAATAAACCCCCACCCCCTCCCAAATATAGGAATACATGGAATGTAAAACAAAAAGCGTCTCGATCGCGGAGGATATCGCTCCGAAAACATCTAACCCCGAGCATCTTTCGTAAGAATCGTGGACCTTCCGGTCTCGAAGCTCAGTCTCGGGCTGCAGTCAACGACACTGCTCTCCGAGGTACAGTCAGTGGCGCTCGGGGTATAGGTAAAGCCATCCACGACCGCAATTTCACCGGCAAGTTCCTCCTCGTATCGAGGCGGCGGGGCAGAATATGAAGGTGGCACCTCGGACAATCGGCTCGAACCCACACCAGCTTCAAGCTCGGCGGGTGTGAATGCTCGTCGATGGGCATGGTTTCGGGAGTAGGTGGCCCGACCCTCCTCAGCTCGAATGACGTCTCGCAGAAAGTCAGACGTGATTTGTAGATCTTGAATCTCCTGCCGCATGGCCTCTTCCAGTACGCCCTCTTGTTCAAGGATCATCTGTCTCTTTTCCTCATAATCATTGGTTGAAGTAGATCGCTTCCACCATGACAGGAACTTGTGCTTACATGCGGCTTTGCGGTATAATTTCTTGGTGCGTCGCTCTTCCCTGCGAGCGGCACGCTCGGCTCGTCGTCGTGGATCTCGGTAGCGTAACGTTTTAGCCCTGATGAGTTTGAAGAGAAGACCTGAAACTATGACTAAAAGTAAGAGTGCGAGGACCGCCAGGCCGAGTTTGTATTCAAAGCTGTGTTGTCCACTTGGGGACAAGAAACCTGGCTGTGATGTTGTAGAAGCTTCCGAGGGACGTCCTCCTGGTCCGCCGTGAGGTCCGAATGCCCAAGGTGGGGGCCCATGCCATCCCGGGGGAGGACCATGGGGTGGTCGAAAGTGAGGGCGAGGTGGCCCCGCAAACGGTGGTCGGCCGGGGAAGGGGGGTGGGCCATCGAAGGGCGGGTTCGGATGGTCCTTATCTCCCAACCACGGCGGATGATGAGGGTGATCCTTGTCACCTCCGTGAAACCATGGGGGAGGATGAGGATGGTTTTTGTCATCAGGGTCGAACCACGGAGGATGCGGATGATGACCCTTATGATCTGGGTCAAACCACGGAGGAGGGTGAGGATGGTCTTTGTCGCCCGGATTGAACCAAGGGGGATGATGTGGCGGACCATGACCTCCAGGCCAGGCGAACGGCGACCCGTGATGACTATCGGGTTTGTGCTCAGCTTCCTCGGATGGTGGCTGTGTCTGAGGTTCATGCTCAACATGTGAGCCTTCAGCAGATGGCTGTGGAGGATTAGAATTGTCCTGATCATGCGATTCGGTTGCTGCTTCAGTTGCTGCTGTCGGCGTCGGTAACGAACGGGTGGTAGCCGCCGCTGACGTAACCACAGGTTGCTCGCCCTCGAACTGACCGTGTTGGATGGAGGGTACAGCATCAGGAGCGTCTTTGGTATCTGGGCTGTCTTGGTCTCCAGCATGCGTCGAGCACGCAGTCTGGCTCTCGTACTGCTTACAACCATCGCGGTGATGCTTGTGATGCGAGAAATGAGCAGCCACAAATTTTTTGATAGCTGGTAATTTCTTGAGTGCAGTTTGCCACAGACATTTTATGCTTGAACACGCCTTAAAGTCTTGTTTCAAGATCGACAAGACCTTGCCTTCGGCCTTGCGCATTTGGTCGTGGAGATTGGCCATTTCTTCGCCGAGACCTTGGAGCTTATCGGACTCAAGTTGTAACAACTCATCAAGAGACATGTTGTCATCATTCATGACTGGGATCACGGAAAGCATTTGGTCGTTGGGAAGGAGCCAGTCATCACAGATGTCATCGAGCGAAAGGCGGTCAACGGGCTTGTCCTCAAGTCGAAGCACGGTAGGGCGGCCCTTCTGTCTGAAGGAAGTCGTAAAGCCAGAGGTATTCTGGACGTGATTGTGTCCGACAATGTCATCAAAGCGAACAGATACTATCGACGCTTGTCCCTTGAGGCATGTCGACTGCCAGCTGGCATGGATTTCTTTCTCACCCAGGCCATTCGAAGCCTTGGACTTGAAAGAAATTTGTCCATGACCGACATTGTTGCCTTTGGGCAGGACGAGAGGTAGACCGTTGAGTCGAGGAGGAGCACTGCTACATTCCTCCTCGGCTGAATCAATCTCTAGGGTCAGTTCCTATTGACGGAATTAATTGATAGCTAACAAAGAGCAAAGGTTACATACCAGGCCATCATCTGTACCTATGAAGCAGCCCTGGCAAGGTGCACGGAAGTGTATAGAGATATGATTGGGACCTAGCAGCGTCAGCAACGATCACCCGTCCAGACTGGTATATATCTTAGTAATACCTGTTGTACCTGCAACGGTCTCGATGGTTTTAGGAGCGGTACTGGCGATAGAAGGAGGGGGAGGACGAAGAGCGGCGGTGACCAAGAAAATAAAGAGTGTTACGCCCTTGATGGAAGAGGCCTTCATATTGGAAAGCGCAAGTAGGTACGCGCCAAAAGTCTACGGATCCCGGGAAACGGAAATGGAGAATGAATTGATCAATGAGATGGCATATTCCCAATAGAGCCAGAGGGAAGAGTTTCTGCCTCAAACCTCCATTGCCCTCAGCCCAGAGGAAGGATGTCTGAAGAAAAATGAGAATAGGAAAACGGAAAGGAAATGAACCGGATGGAACGAGGCGTGTCTCTTTTTTTTGGCTGGAGCCTGAGAGACTGGGAAAAGCAGAGAAGATGAATGAAGATTAGGCGGGAAATGGGGAGGATGGATGGAGTGAGAATCCCTTGGTCCCTTGGTCCATTTTTACGGCTGGCACGGAGTACGAGTACGGAGCAAATACGGAGTACTGGCCTCCTTAACGCTCCGTACCAAAAAAACAGGACTAGGAACAGGTAATTTACTGTACTGTAACGACAAGACGCGATGCACACAGCCCCATGCCGTTGGCCGCGTCATCAGGCACTTGGAAGACACCAGTCACAATCCTTCGTCCTCCGTACCCTGTAGGCCCCCTAAGGTAGTCGGACAATGTACAGAAGCTCAGGGCTTTTGGTGAGGCCCTTTATAGTCGTACACGATCCTCGCCCTCACCGTCTCCCCACGATTCCAGATGACAACGCGTCTGCTGTACCGCCGTACTCCGGAGACTGCTTCGAAGCCCCAAACCTGTTCGGCTTGCCAGCCTTTACCCTCGACGTTCGTCGCCCAAGTCTGGACATGATGCTCGTCGTCGTTCAAGAAGCTCGACTCGATCTTGCCGTCCCGTAAAGTCTCTGCTCTGAGAAACGCCGCATCTTCAACTGACCCGGGACCTTCCATATCAAACGTGTCGGCCATGTTGAAAAGTCGCGATTTGTGGCGACATTTGCCAAAGATCTTGTCCTGGTGTTGATCGTCTTGCCAGTCCATCACCCTGTTCTCCTGGGTCGTGGCAAGCCCTGCAACGACAGTGGTAATGTCGATATGCTGCACAGCGGCACCTTTCGTGTATCCCACAACGGTGAGCTAAATGTACCCGGCTGAAGGTCAATCACTGGCAATACGAGGTCGAAAGGTCCGCCGTGAGGGAGAGGCTATATTCTGATTCTTCCACGTACCGCGACAGGAGTCAGTTCGACTGCTTTCCGAGCAACCCAGGTGACACGTTGAAGGGCGAGCATATCGTCAACATGGTCTGAGAGAGATTTGTTCTGGGTTTCCCGGAGGATCGGGCGTCAGCACAGCCTTGGTCATGACTTCAAACGGCAGGTATTGCTATGCCGCCTGGTATCTGCGCATCGGTCTCAGCAGGACTTACCATGACAAATCTGCCCGACAAGTTGGTGCATGTAACATGGGCTGGTGCCGCCATGATATACTGCTTTCTTGTTCAAGAGAACCGGACGTCAAGCTACTATACGTACGAGGACGAGGGCCGTAGAATGAGTACCTAGTCTTGGTATCTTTTCAAGATACTACTACAGTAGAAATTCCTGAAGAGTGAACGAGTATCATGTCGAGGTCTTTTGGGCGTGAAAGCCAGAGGGGCTATCGAAGGCTTTAATGCAGTATCGAGATTCATTCGTCACACGCGGCTCTAGTTGGTAAATTTCTACGTAGTAACTTTTGAAGCTGAACGAACGCTTTCCTCTTTGGAAAGGAACCAGGCTTGAAGAGCCTCAGAGATCGAAAGCACCGGCATGCCACCTAGGTTGGATTTGGTACTTGGGCAATCACAATGTCTTGAGTCGCTGCCACAATCACAACAATCTGTCAATCCCTATGGCTGTACTCATTGCTATCGCTAGACATGCCATCCACTTGTTTTCCACTCGATGAGTATATTTTCAATTGTCATTCCTCGAATTTTCTAGGCGCGCGCCGCGCTGTGTTGAAAGCGGAAAGTCCTTCAGCTGGGAAAACGCGAACGCGGTTGCGACATACCCTCAAAAGAATGTCACGCTCAGGTCGACTTCATGGGGACTGGTTTTGTTGGTTATGACACTCTACCCTTTTGCTTTTCCATTACTGTACAGAATATCTCGTGTACTTCTTGTAAAGTTCTCGTCCCGTAAGAGTACAAAACTTGCGTAATAAAAGACTTTCGTTCCACAATCACCCTTTGGACCTTCAACTTCCCCCTGACGAGGTAACCTGTAATGTGTATAGGGGGTTTCGAACTGCTGGTTACTGCCACTCTAAAAGTTCCACAGACAACCAAACACAGAATTCTTCTTCTAACACAAGACTTATACGAGTCCTTTACAATAATTCCACAGCAATAACAATCCAGTGGCGCGGTCAGTCGGTGAGTACCGAGGCCGTAAGCCGAACAGCCCACTTTGTACGGAATACGAAGTACGAGCTCCCCTTCGGTTGCCTGCTATTATTATCTAATACCAACACGGCTCGTCATCTTCTTCTCCTCCTTCTCAAGTTTTCTGGGGTGAGATGGCAGCCGAGCTTGGGCTCACTAGGCAGCTGCAGCCAATCGAAGTGTCCCAACCCTTTATTGAAACAGCGCCAGGGACTTTTTTTTTGTCGCCCATCCAAAAACACTCATGGAAGATCTACCGCGTAAGGTAGAGCTCAAATCTTCATCTCTCCCTCGCCTGCTCGTCCCACATATTGCTCTTGATCTCTCTTCTGCCTTTCCTTGCGCCACAGTCTGGACCGTTGATCAGTCACGAAACCCCCGTGCTTGGACTAGACACTCGCGACCTGGAGTCCGGGGAGCGGGCTTGGGTGAAGCTCCCGTGCTTGACATCTTAGCGTTGCGCCAAACGTCGCGGCTAATGGAAAAAGAACAACTTGCTGCCTTCATCCGCCACATCCGTCGATAAAACTACTCCTTGCCTGCTTTCTGACCGACTTTTGCTTCAATCCTGTGTCTCGGTCTTCTCACTGCACCGTCACTCACTGCACTCGCTTTGCCAGGTGGTGATACACCCCAAACGCCGAGTTAGACCATCAAACGCGTCGCGGAGCTCGTCTACCCAGCAGGATTCTCAACTATTGAAACGACAGCCACGATACATATGACCCGAATGATTGTCCTGGCGGGTGCACCGGAGCCTAACAAGCTCGATTGGAACGAAAAGCTTCCACTACCGAATTCTACGCACATCGAAACCGCCACCGCGAATCCGAGCTGCTCGCCACTCTCTCCGACCTCGAAAGCATTTGGTGCGCAATGGAGGCAGATGACTACTCAGAGGCTTCAAATGCGCCCAATCCTTCCGAAACTCAACATTGACGCGAGGCCACCGCCCGAGAGTTTTGATCCGAGCGGCGCCGACTTCTTCAGCGCAGATGAACATGCCGGGTCTCAGACGCCAGGTAGCGACGTGAGTTGCAACGAGTCCCAGCCATCAGGGAATTCCAGCGAGACCACTTCCGAAGCGCTATCGGAGTACTATGAGCATTCGTTTGCGATTCACGAAGCCGTTCCTTCATCGCAAATCTCGGCATTTTCAAGCTACACGCCGGGCACGCCGACGTACGAAAGCAGCGAGGAGATGTTTCCTCAGACCCCGGGGGGAGGTATCATCCGAACGCCGTCACAAAGACGACTAAGCCAGGCCCCACGGCCAAAGCACTTGAGCGATCTGGACGACATTCCCAATGCAAGATATCTGACATCTATCGAGCCGCAAACTATGACGGTGAACCTGATTGTGGGCATACTGTCAATATCGCCAGCTCGGACCGTCATCACTGGGACAAGGTACGGCAGACCTCGCGAGACAGAGTTAGTGGAAATGGTTGTGGGGGATGAGACCAAAACCGGCTTCAGCATCAGCATGTGGTTACCGCGAGAAATGCACGTTAACTGGAAAGACGGCGCCAAGGCCACCCCCGAAGGATCGCGGAGTGTGCTGCGAAGGTCCCTGCGATTCATGAGACCGCGCGATGTGGTCTTGTTGCAGAACGTCGCGCTGAGTTCGTTTCGTGGGAAAGTGCATGGGCAGAGTCTCAAAGGCGATGTGACGAAAATCGATCTATTGTTCCGTAAGAAGGTCGACGACGATGACATTAGCGGAATCTACACCATGTCGAACCTACGCATGGCAAAAGACCCGCAAGTGCTAAAGGTCAAGCGGGTCAAAGATTGGATGATGGACTTTGTGGGGGATCGAGACGACCGGGCTCGTGCTGCGAAGGGCCGGCAGCGAGGGAGGACCGATTACGGCTTTCTCCCTGACGATACCCCATGATGAGTTTTTGATGCGACCATTCCTGTTTGCCTTTTGGACAAACACTACGAACTCAGGTAGAAGGAAGAATTTCAGGATACCCGTCATGACCTCTTTGGACACCAGGGCCAAGAACATCCCAAGAGAACGGGAGGTAAGATTGTACTCGTATCACCCATGGGCAGAGCGAGAAGCGAGCGAATTCCGAAGAGAGCAAGGGATGCTAAAGCCTTGTTTTGTTTCTGTTTATTTCTTATTTGTACGAGTATTCTAGCATCGATTGACGAGATACGACAGCGTTGAATGGCCAGTACTTATTTCTGACAACTTGCCACCGAGCTTCTGTACAAGTACATGGTATAATATATAGTATATGCTAGTTAAATTTTAGGGTACCAAATCACTTGGTGAGACACACCAGTCCATTACTTACACCCCTTCAACATGACTCTGTGGTTTCTTCGTACCGGTTCCACATGGATCGTGACCAATTGATTTTCATCCAATGGAAAATCAACGAGTACCGAGTCACCAGGTGTAGATGAAACGGGAAGTCTTTTGTGTCCTTTCTTGTTGAAAAAGAACCATCGAAATCTACCGTAGCTACTCCGTCTGTCTAATCTTACTACTCCGTACAAAGAATTCTTATACCTTCAGAGTCAACGGAGAAATAAAGGGGATGGGCTTGTTCGGCTAAGGTCTAGCCGTTCTGGCTCCTATCTACCTACCTAGAGGTGCTTCAACTACCTTGTTACTTACCAACTGCGGCACTGGGATGCTTCCGCTTGCAGAATACATCTGACAGGACAGCATAAAGAAAATAAAGAATGTCGGCATGTGACTGGAATACTTCCTCCTACGAATTAGGTCCGACGGGGCAACACAAAGAAGAGGAATGTCGAGCTGTGGCCTCTTTTTGCTTGGAATGCTTCTGCTTGCGCAAAGAGCCCCTCACATTGCCAGTTTTTCCAGCCCCATTCACGTCCGTCAAAAGGTTCCTGTTGAAGGCTATATAGTTCATGGCTTCGCAAGCTTCCCCTCCCATGACATTTTGTGAAGAACTCCCTAGCCTACCTACCATTCTCCCCAACCAGCATATCAAAACGTTGAACGATGATCGACTGGGCCAGTGGGAATGTTCCCGTCGAACATGACTACACTCATCCAGAGCGCCACTTTGAGGGCCTTGTTGCCGACAGCAGGCGTCCCGACGAGGTGAGAATCCCTCTAGAGTGGATTAAGCAGGGTTTCAGGAGCAATTTCGACGAAACTGTATTACTATGTTGGGCCTGTGGTTGGACCGCGGAAGATCAGGCCGGGAGCTATGGGCCACGGATCCAAATGATGCATTCCCGGAACAACATGGGCATATGGTCAATTGGAACCAAGTGGCTTATTCTGGATCAGCCTAACGATCCCAACATGGGGGCCGACTACATGACCTGGAAATTCTTGAAGGAACAGCCAGGGCTGACTATCCCGCTGCTTGAAACGATGCAACGCCTGAGTGAGCCCAACGACCCTATACAATTCACACTCGTACCTCGGGCGCAGGGCTCTACACTCCATGCAGTTTGGCACAAACTGACTCCCGAACAAAAGGACAGTTACAAGGACCAAATGGCTGACATCCTGAAACAACTCCGACAATTCACAGCACCGTATCCCCAGAGGGTCAACGGAGATGAGCTTCCCGACATCGTTGTCGGTGTCTGCCATGGGGGCCATGGACCGGGCTGCATAAGCCTAGGCCGCACCAGGGAAGAATGGCTGGAGAATATGGCCGACGACCTTCGCTTTGGCATCGCATTCAAGTGCAGAACGACAGACCCGGACGTGATCGAGCCGAAGCTCCAAGAACTCAAAGACAGCTTTCCAGCTGGAGAGCCGTACACGCTGAGTCATATGGATCTGAACCTGACCAATATCATTGTCAAGGATGATAAGATCGAGGCAATCATCGACTGGGAAATGGCCGGGTACTATCCGTGGTGGGCAGAGGTCTACACTCTTCTCCACATGAGAAATGCAGAACACGACTTTTTCTCAGGCCCCGACGGTGTCTGGTCCAGAGTTCACCCAGAACTGGCGCCACTCGGCCCAGCCTTCCAAGCGATGTTCGACCGGATAGGACCAGTTGCGCAAGCTTTCGACCGCGCGAGTCTCCGAGCAATTCACGACGTCCCCGCAGACGCGCCCCAGGTCAGCTTCCACCGGCCCGTGTTTTGCAAATGCAAGCCCCGTGGTGGATTGATCCAGGCCAAGGACCTTGGGGCTGTCCTCAAACATACGGCGGGGGATTGGAGGGATGCGCTTCAACATGATGCTCGCAAGCTTGCATTGGTGGACAGGGACTTGAAAGAAGCTGCAGAACTTAAGGCGTGGAGAGAAGAGAACTCCTCACCGCCTTCGCCTCCTCGAGATTCAAAGAGTGGTAACACTGACTAGGGGTGCCAGGCCCAATGGCGCAATGTTGTCCGCGGGGCTGGGGCGGTTCGTTAGATAGGTAGCGTCGCGAAAGGCAGTATCTAGTCATGATCGGTGAAACCGTGACAGGTACATTTATCTACTGACTGATACTTGCCTCAGAGGGAGTACTCGAGGGGAACAGTATCGTAGAATGGTAGTAGGAATATGAGAAGATGAGGTTTTCTATCTGAATCATAATGAAATGAAATCCACTCGCAATGCCATACACAACCAGCGCAAAAATCCTCCCTGACAAAAGAAACTTGGAGTTCACAATTTTCGACCACCGTTCCATCCCCATGCAATTCACCATCACACCCACGCAGCTCATCGCAAATCCCCCGGAAATCCAACTCCAATCCATGCAATCCGCCTCCAGCCTCCATGAGATTTCTTTCTTCCATCATTTCCATCGTGACCACCCCGAGATTCCGCAAGCCATGCCGCGTTCCAATTTCAGGGCTGAGGAGGGTGGTAATGGGCATTTGCGATGACTGCTCAATGTTAGCGTCCAATCATAGCAGCAAGACGCAAGTCTCGAAGAAGATGGATGAAAGGGTCAAGCAAACTAGAAAAGCAAGACAGGGGGTTTGTGACTCGATCGAGGCATAATCTGTTTGTCCTGGGATGATCTGCTGTACGGCTTGACTGAGCTGGGCCTCAGTGACGGGATCCCACTTCATGGTTCTCGGTCGCTGGACACCTGTCTGGGTGGAGAACGCCACTTCTCCTCCTGGCTTGATGATGACCAGGACTTTGTGTTCGGAATTTCCGACAAAGATGGCAGCTCTCGATTGAGGACCCAAAACTGCAGGATACTCTTGATCAAATTATGTTTGCGTGTGAGGTTCGAGCGGAATGGGGACCGCTGGCCCAAATGCAAACTTGGTCCACTTGAGCTCCTCGGAATTTTGGTCTCTTGTTGGTATAGTCACGCCGCCGCACTTCTCGCAACGCTTTTTCCAGCTTGGATTGTTTATGTCGCAGAACACACACCGATGGACTTCGAATGATGTTGTGAGGGCTGACGACATTGTGTTTGATTTTTCTGGGTGTCCGTGCTAGGTCCAAGGAGTGGATAATGACGCTGATGGTGATGGTGTTTGTCAGAGTGTTGACGGTGATGATGTTCTTCAGAGTTGTTGATGGTAGAGAGTAAAAGTGGTCAAGTGTCTACATCTCTCCCTTCTTATACTCTCTCACTCAGATAGTCTCTCTCTCTCTCTCTTCTTTCATTTCCTCCAAAGAGGGGATCTACTTACCTTGGAAGAAAGAGGCGAGCTGGTTGTTTCTGATCTTCTTTGTTCTCCCAAGGGCCCAATCTGCAGCTTGCCTGCTGCGTAGAGTTTCTTACCTTGCATTTTGCGTCGGAACATCAAGATTGTCCCGGGGGTCGCAAAGGCTGGAAGGAGACAAAAAAAGACAGTTTGATTGCGGCAATAAACAACAAATGCACCTTGCGTGTCAGGCAAGCCGCGGGAAGAGACAGTTTTCAGAATGGCAAACAATGACATCTCAGTCAGGGGCAGCCGGGTCGGAGCCCGGCGACGAGACAAGCTCAACAAAGACCGGGAAAAGGAGATAGAAGACCAAGGCTGTTCAGGACAGACTCAGCAAAGAACCAAAAAAGGAGAAAGAGATAGAAGACGAAAGCTGTTTAGACCAAAAACAACAAAGAACAAAAAGAGATTGGGAAAAGATGGGAACGGTAACATCCTGGTGAGAGGTGTATCCCCGCCTCTGAGACAGTCAAGCGTCAATAATCTTGCAAGGGCCACCAAACGATTGAGTGGCCAGATGCACTCAGTTGAAAAATGTCCTCGAACCTGTTGAAGCGTCTCATACAAGCTGGACTGAAACCCACAAAGAAATCAAGAGAGAAAAGGAGAAAGAGACAATTTTCTCATACTCCCTCACAACTTTGTGTTGTTACGGGGAAGAGTTCATGATCTGGAGCGAGGGAGAGAGAGAATCATGGTCGTTTGAAGGGAATATGGGAGTCGAATTTTACTTTGTAAACAGTGCTTGGCGATCCCCAAATCTCATACATCCGACAACTCTCTAGGAAATGAGGGTGTGTGGTAACACAGAAGATGTAGATATCTACCCAGGTACTCTGCTTATCAATTGAGAGAATGAATAAAAATCTCGCTCTCAAAAGTCTTTGCTCCCATCAGCGGCGCATTCGTCGACATACGTGTCGTTGTCGACCGTTGTCGACCGTTCTGCCGAGCAAAGACTTCTACCGTTTGGCCGTTGACACTCGCAGGAATCGCCGCTTCAACATGAAGTCATGAAGCATTGTATCTACCGGGGTTGATGGCATGCAATCATGGAGTTGGAATTTGCGAGGCTCCTGCGCAGCGCGCTCATCAATCACTGCCTTCGTGCTGTTCATTTAAGAATGCACATACCGTAAATATCCCAGAGACATTCCTGCAAACATTCCTGCCAAAAATTTACTGCTATGGTCAATTTCAGGGATAACTTGAACTCGGCTACAACAAACATAAATAGTCAATCTACCACAGTCTTGATCCAAGAAGCTGATTCTTCCAGAAACTACTTTCTTTCTTATTCCGCAGTCGAACGGGAACAAAATCTCACATCATGAACAAAGGTCAGGGTGATGGGAGACGTCAGTCTCCGCGAAAGCAAACCAGAGCAAACCACAATCCTGCCGAAATCAAAGACTCTCCTGGTAAACCAACACAGACATTTTCAATCTGAAGGGCATTATATACTGATGATGTTTTCGTTTAAATGTCTCAGTGTTCTACGCAAGTACCTTCCCTGCTATATGCCGTCAGCAGCCTTCTGCGAGACATTACAACATGGTTGGGCAATTTGGTGGACCGTGTTTCGATGCGATATCCAACCAATGGACGGCTAGTCTCCAAGTGGAAGCCGATGGGTCTATCGAGATTGATGACGAGATAGTCAAGCAACTCCGACACCTTGCACCTGAACGCGAACAAATCCTTGCCGTAAGTCATCTTTGCCGATCTCACCGTCCAGCCAAACTAATGACTTGAATTCCAGGCATTGGATCACGTCGGCCAACTCGCGAAGCAAGTCACCGGACGAATCTTCATCACCGTGCTCCGTCCTAGGGATGACGGTATGAGCAAGTCGGTAGACGACCTCGTGGAACATGAATACGCCATGATGTCTGGCTTCTGGCTAGATAAGACGAAGTTCGTGACATGTGCACACTTCCTCAACACGATCCCCTTCACAAATGTCGACGAAACAGAGAAATACTTGAAAGTTACGAACCCTGCGCGACCGCGAGCTTTGGTCTCGAACAAGAGACGAGCTTCTGGGGTGACTCAGAGCGGTAAGTGCACCATCCCTGGGGACCCGTGAGGTGCTGTTCCATCCTAGACACTGACCACTTTTGTGAAATAGGACCCGAAGTGTGGCCAGTGTACTTGGTCAGCTTATCACGATCGTCGGACATCGCAGTGTTTGAATTGAGTCAAGCCGCAGTCACGAGTGGGAACTACCCACCCGATTCAGTCCCATCAAGTGCCTTGTCCTCATCACTCACCGAACCTACCACAAATACGTCGGGCAGGTCTTTCAAGGACACTGATCAGTCATACCTGCGCCTCTTTGCAGCGTATTATCCTGCGAACAACATACTTGTGGAGCGCACCGACCTTTCTCCCAAACGAAAAGAATTTGCGAGACAAGCCAACATTCCGTTTGCCTGGGATTTATGGTGTGAAGAGAGATCGAATCTCGACCCTGCTGCTGCGAAGAATCCAGGCGTAAGTCTTGATATGTCCTACTCAGTGTCAAAAACGAGGACATAGGGATCATCTAACGTGTTGTGTCACTGCATTAGGATTTTTCTAGGACATTCAACCCCCATTGTCGAAGCGTAGCTTTTGGCCAGCTTCAATCAGATCACCGAGGCAATCCGGGGCATGGCAACAGCGATTTCGCGCAGATCAGAGAATGTAATCTTGTCGGAACGTATGGATGTTCTGGGGGCATGGTGTGTCACTTGTACCGAGAGGCCGGCAGTTGGCGATCCGTGGTTGTAGGCATCTGTAAGTTGTCCGGCCCTTTGGTTATGTTTTGTTTGACCGTTCAGCTGACCAGTTGACAGTTCATGGGGAGAGTAGCAATGATCCAAGATACAACGAAATTGTGGCTTTCAAACAGCAATTTGTCCAAGCGATTCAGAAGGGGACATTTTGAAAGTCACAAGGGTTCTGCGTCATTTCGTTGGGATTCTGTTTTGCTTTTGATTACTCGGTTGGATGATTGAGGTACCATTGGAGGCTGGTGACAGTCATGGCTCAGCAAAGGTACAAGGACACGGTAAAGAGTGAATGTTGCATTCCAGGTCTACCGGTCAGTGCTGGCTTCAAGCGCTGAATCATGGCACTCCACCCAAAAACGAAAAGAAAAGAAAAGCCCAAAAACATGGCCGTGGTACGGGATGCAGTGTATGAATTCATATCGAAGTCTTTTGCAATTCGCGATTTCGTACTCCGTATGTTGCTTTTATCTGGAGAGAAACTTCGTCTGTATTTGTATTTCCGTACACCGTAATAAAACCAAAAAACAACAAGAAAAATAAAAATGAAAACAAACGGCGCGTCAACCACGGGGTTATCGTGGCTGTGTAACGCGTCGTCTGCCCACACACCACGCCTCAGTGATCTACACGCATACCTGTCAGCGAAAGACTGGGGCCTGGAACAAGAGGCGGCGTTCCTTTACTGACCGAGTACTTCGAAGTATGGAGTACCTACAGAGTCATTATTCAGAAAGGAAAGTCCATTCGAGCCCATGCGAGAAAAGAAGAGCTGAGATTTTTCCAACGGGACCTTCTGCAAGCCCGGAGGCTAAAAAACCGTGCCCGAGGAATTTGTGGACTGGCTGTCACTCCGTCCTCCGTGTGGTACATTACATACATCTGAGCTCGAATCCACCACCGGGGGGGGGGCTCATGATACTGTACAAGAAACGCCTCCCCGTCAAGCGGAAACAATACTGTACAGTACTGTATTAAAATCTCATCAGAAGGACAGACCAATCGAGGGACAATTTGATGACAGTCGGGGGGAAGGGGGGCGTGTGTGGGTTGATAGAAAGGAGAGAGTTGTCCGAGGAAATTTCATGCATGTCTGACATGAAGACGACCGAATAGAATTGGCCTTTGTATGTGTGTGACAAGCGACGTCTGACATGTTTTCTTTTTAAGCCACCAAACGCCAGTCTAGGCCATTCCGCTATCGATAAAATTAGCGTTGATGTACTAGTGACTAGTGTCTAGGTAAAATAACTTGACACTAAACTTTTCGAACACTGTGGCTCGACTTCAGAGTGACACTCACTGCACACCACCAGACACCGACTTCTCAGTCTTTATACTCCCCTATCTCACACACACACACACACACACAGAGACAAAGACAAAGACCTCTGCTCCTTTTTCTACTCCCACTCCTCTTTTCTACTCCGGATTGCTCTTTGACCTTTCTTGAACCGTCCACCGCTTCCACACGGTAGTGTACCTTACGCTCGCTTTTCAAAACCCACCCGTCGCTCGCGTTTCATCTTCTTTCACCCTCGACCAAAGATCTTCGCCTTCTTTCACTTTTCAAAGAGACGAATCGAGAACAAAGCACTTCCTCGCAAGGATGAAGGGTATGTTGGACTCTCTGACTGTGAACGTCGGACCCGCGTGTGCGTACGAGAAAGGGAAAACCAATGCTAACACGGACGTTTCTCCTCCTCGACGCAGCCCTCATTCTGTATGTAAAAGCCGCGGCCGTCGTAGTCGCCGCCTCCCCCGCGACGGAGAGAGACGCCCCCCTCCTCCCCCCCAAAATGGCAGAGCACCTTACTGACAAGACATTGGCGGCACCACAGCGTCGGTGGCTTCGGCACCAGACTGCGACCTCTCACCCTCACCCTCCCGAAACCCCTCGTCGAGTTCGCCAACCGACCCATGATCCTGCACCAGGTCGAGGCCCTGGCGGCCGCCGGCGTCACGGACATTGTCCTGGCGGTTAACTATCGCCCGGAGGTCATGACCGGGGCCCTGAAGCAGTACGAGGAGAGGTACAACGTCAAGATCACGTTCTCGGTCGAGACCGAACCCCTGGGCACCGCGGGCCCCCTGAAGCTCGCCGAGAAGATCCTCGGCCGGGACGACAAGCCGTTCTTCGTCCTCAACTCGGACGTCATCTGCGAGTACCCCTTCCGGCAGCTGGCCGACTTCCACGCCTCCCACGGGGACGAGGGCACCATCGTCGTGACCAAGGTCGAGGAGCCCAGCAAGTACGGCGTCATCGTCCACAAGCCCAGCCACCCCTCCCGCATCGACCGGTTCGTCGAGAAGCCTGTCGAGTTCGTCGGCAACCGGATCAACGCGGGCATCTACATCCTCAACCCGTCGGTCCTCAAGCGCATCGAGCTGCGGCCCACCTCGATCGAGCAGGAGACCTTCCCGGCCATCTGCAAGGACAACCAGCTCCACTCGTTCGACCTCGAGGGCTTCTGGATGGACGTGGGCCAGCCCAAGGACTTCCTGAGCGGCACCTGCCTGTACCTGTCCTCCCTGGCCAAGAACAAGCCCAAGGCCCTCGTCTCCAACAACGAACCCTACGTCTTTGGCGGCAACGTCATGGTCGACCCGACCGCGAAGATCGGCAAGGGCTGCCGCATCGGCCCCAACGTGGTCATCGGCCCCGGCTGCGTCATCGGCGACGGTGTCCGACTCCAGAGATGCGTGCTGCTGGAGGACTCGAAGGTCAAAGACCACGCATGGGTCAAGTCTACCATTGTCGGTGAGTTGACACGATACGACACGACGTCACTTTCTTTCTTTCTTGTTCTTCTATACTACCACGTACATCAGTTTACTGACTTGTTTCTTTCTTCTCCCTTGAACAGGTTGGAGATCTACCGTCGGCCGTTGGGCTCGTCTGGAGAACGTCACCGTCTTGGGTGATGACGTCTCTATCGGTGACGAGATTTATGTCAATGGTGGTAGTGTTTTGCCCCACAAGAGTATCAAAGCGAACGTCGAGGTGCCTTCTATCATCATGTAAAGAAAAGGACCGACAACCCCACACTTGTGTGCGTGCGTGTGCCGGTGCATGTGTGTGTACACACACATGGTGGTTGGGCATTATTCTTTTTTACTCTCTCTCGGAAGCCTCCATTTTTATTACTTTCAACCAAATCTTCACTCTGCCGTTTTGTCTGTTGCAGGGGGGAGGATGGAAAGCGACGAGGATTTCCAGCAAATGCATGCTGATTTCTGGATCGGCATTTTTCTTTCCCTTTTTTTTTGCTTTCCGTCTTATCCATTGCATGCGTGGGCGCGAAAACGAGTCAAGGCCAGGTAAATACGGGAGATAGGGGGGCGTTATGCGGAGTCGAGAACCAAATGAGATAAACCAAGAAGAATAAAAATGGATTTCGGACCTATCAGTGTGAGAAGTTGAATACATTTTTTTTGTTTTTCCAAAATGGAGATGACGTTGATGTTTTCCCTCCTTGCTCTCTCCCATTATTCATTGTTCAGCTAGCCAGCGCATAACAGCACCCGCCTTCAAAAAGGGGTCATCACATCAACATTGTCAACATGAATATCAACGGATGGCACTGATGATCATCTGAGTGGCATCGTTCTGTGGGTGTCTCCTCCTTCTCCTGGGCGATTCTACCCCCGTGACCTTTAGCCAGTTCAAGATCGTCTCCAGCTGCATTTGCGGCCTGGGGAGAGTCCTTCGGGTGGGCGTAGCGGTAGCGGCAGCGGCCGACGACTCTGGGACGGATCGCCTTTCTATCCTGGGATATCTCTCGGTCGATCGACTTGCGGCGAATGATGTTGGCGTTGCTGGTTGACAAGGTCCGAGAAGAGGTTCGTCGCCGGCCTTTGATATGCCATGCTGCTGCTGTGGGTGATTGTGATGGTGGTGACCCGAGTTTGCCAACTCGTTTGGGGTAAATGTTATCCCGTTTCGTTCGACTACAATGAGGTATTGACCGGCTAGGATGACCATGTCCTCCGATCTGATCTCTTCTTCGTGCTCTCCGTCCTCGATCTTTGTGAGAGGGGTGACAAAGTATTTGGTCTCGTGCCCGTGGAAGCTGACCTCCATGGTCATGCCGTCGTTCAACAGCGTGACCGAGTGGACCGAACGACGTTGGGCCTCAATGTAGATGACGTCCCCGTTGCCGCCGCCGCGCCACGCCTTGTACACGTTCCAGACGGCGATGGGCGTCTCCTCGGCGCCGATCGGGTAGAGGACCTTGGAGATCGGCTCGTCCGCCAGTTTGGCCGAGTACTTTTCCATCTTCTCCTTGTTCTCCTCCGCGAGTCTGTAGAGGCGCCACACCGCGACCAGTCTCGCCCGGATGCCGTGCACCGTCTGTCGAATCCGCTCGTCCAGCCGTTTCTCGTCGAACGTCTGCTGGACCGTGATCTCGATGGCCTCGATGGCAGCGCGCATCTTGCTGAGGTCCGACGCCAGGTGCCGCACGAGTTCTCGCCGGGTGATTTTCCGTCCCTCGACTTTGTACGTGACAGCGAGCATGTGCTCGTTGAGCGAAGCGACGTGGTACGTTAAACGGCCCGACCCCTTGATCTCGGGAAGGAGTGATTGTTCGCTAGGTGACCCGCCTCGGCTCAGCCTCCGGGATATGGGAAGCCGCTCCCCGATGATGCTGTTGAGACGCGCCGACATTGTGTGCTTCGGTCGAGCTGGGAGGATGCTCTTTACGACATTAAGTGTCGTATTGATTTCCCATATGGCCCTGTAAAGAGGCTCATTGACCTGGACGTCTGTTATGTCAAGATTGAAAGACCTGCCCTCGGGGGTGGCTTCAACGACCGCGTACCGTCGTGGCGTCATGCGGGTGATGTTTTCGAGGTCTTCCACCGAGACAATGTATCGACAGCCATTAGTAAGAATAATGGTGACTTCATTCGAGGTGTACTCCGCAGTGAGATTGATCGGTGGTATCTCGTTGATGGTCCTTGCGGGCCCGGCATATTGCAGGTGCTTGAAAATGCCGGAATCTGAGTAGCCCTTTTCAGGCCAATTGATGACCCACGAGCACTCCGCACTGCCTACCTGCTCGATAGTGCCGGGCAGAACGTACTGATGGTCGACCAGGTGGTGAAGGAACATGCTCCAGAGCTGAGGCTGATCAGACAGCTGTGGATCAGGGTTTGCCAGAGGGCCATCGCAGGCAATGATGAGGGACCGCAGAAAGATTTTGGAGTTGATTGACATGAGTGGGAGTACTTTGAGGATGAGAAGTTCGATGTGCTGCCGGTGGGCCTGGATTGAGTAGGTCACTTCGAGGAATTCGGCCAATTCACTCAAGTCATCTATTGGACTTTTGTGTCAGTTAAAAGCGGTGGTCTGAAGGGGTTGGTGGAATCTGATGTACCGTCATTCAGTAGAGATAACAGCAGAACCAACATCTGGAGAAACCTTGGTCGGATCAGTTGTTGCTCTTGTCTGTTGTAGGAAGCCAGCGAATTGAAATAGGCCGCGCTGAGGGAAATGATGTTTTTGATCCCGCTGCTCGTGGTCAGCGTCTGGAACATGGTGCCGTGGTCGACGCCATAGCGTGTGTTCTTGGACGAGATGATGTGTCTTCTAGTAGACATTCGGAACAAAATAGGACTTCGAATGCAGAGTCTGCGAGCGTCCTCGATCATGTTGTCAAGCAGTTTGATCTAGCAGACTGTCAGATGGAAAAATTGAGCAGGCCAATCACTCACCGTTTCTCCACAAGACAGGTCGGAACCACCACGATTGATGATGTGCCGATAATTCAGGATGACCGCCATCAGGCTTGACTGGTCTACTTCAACCAAGAGGCCTTCAAGGTCCCATTTCTCGGAGAATAACACGTTGACGATCTTGACATTGTCACTGCGTATTGTGACAATGCGATCTTGGTGCCGGCGTAGAGCCAGGGCTCGATGATTCGATGTCGCATTGGGATCGGTAAATGGGCCAGTGGCATTCATGCGCTGGCGTGCTGCAGCGATCACCGCAGGGGTATTGTCAGTAGCAATGATGGACATGGACTTGTCGACGTCGAAGTTCTTGAGAAGCGCTCCTGCAGTATTGACTCGCCAAGAAGCGTCCTTTTGATCAGGCTCCTTCTGTGACATTTGGATCTGTTCCATTTGTGTCACTTGAGGGGTGTCGGCGCCAGCAAGGAAAGCAATGCCGATCTTCGGTTTGATTGCATCTTCAACGACTTCGGCCAGTCTGATACCATCTTTGAAACTCGCCGACAATCGACCAGTTATCGTCTTTTCAAAGGCCTTTACGAGCATGTCATGGGCTTCAAAGGAGGTATATTGGCCCGCAAGCCTCTCGAGGAGATCATCCTGTTGGTCCTGCAGGTCATAATTCTGGCTCGTGGTAAATTGAGGAGAGATCATGCTGGAAGGACCAGGTCTGGGGCGTTGAGGGTCTTGACCGTAAGAAGCAGCAGTGTTTGCATTGTTTCGACGCCCCTCATAGTCTGCAGCATTGTCCATGTTGAAGATTAGGAACAGTCGAGTCGAGACCGAGATAATGAATCCCAGAGTTCAGGGAGCAGGACTTGTATAAGTCCTAGCCTGTATTGGAGAAGTTGGAAATAATTCTTCACGAGCAGTGAGTACAAATAAAGAGTGGACCCTGCCTTCCTTGTGACAACGAGAAGCATACCGAGAAGGCAACCCGTGATCCATGCAGTCGAATGATTGTAGATTTATGAGAGAAGAATTCTCTTTTCCACTCATGCTGCTTGACGGAGCTCAGTACAGACCAAGTCGGATCACCGTGGCGAGCTTGAGGGGTTTCCGGTTCGTTTCTTGACTGAGACTCATTGAGGTCGATGCCTATCGCCCAGGATGTCTGCAGAAAAAGCCACTCGGTTACAGGAACGAGCCATACGGAAGCCTCACCGGCGGCAGCCGAGTGTCGGGGTTGAAGCCATAGTTGATAGCCTGGAGGCGCTAGGCGCAGCCGCAGCAAGTTGCCTTGCGCCTTGCTCCAGGGCAACACCAGCGCTGTAGAAGTAAAAGGGTAATAACGAGACCATTGAGGGTTAGGCATCGCTGCGGGGTTCTTTGGGACAAATGCAAGGCAGACGAGGTGACTGTGTTCTGTTGGGGGGTTTGAGACGAAAGCCAAAAGGTGAAGCAAGGGTCCTGTATTCTGGCTGTGCCCAATGGTTGCCTTCCCATGAAAGATCGGCTTCTCCTAGTAGCCTTGTCGAGGCGCAAGAGGAACAGAGCACTGCAGTATGCAATTCGAGCCCGGGCGCGCCCGCAGTGCTTACCAGCTCGACGACGTCTAGGACTTGATAGAATTGATGTAGGGTAACCAGGTACGATGGGGTGTTTTGATATCTAACAAGCTGTATGAGACTTTCTCGTCCGACGACACCCAATTTTGGCCACACCAGCCTGGGCGAAAATCAACACTATCTGCGTGGTTTAGAATTTGAAGTGGTACACATACACGAAACAAATTCAAAGTGCCGAAACTAAAGCTTCCGTTGAGTCGCTCCGTCCGTCATCTCAAACCCGTCGTCCTTCGGGTTCTTGTACTTGGTTCGACAGATAGTTCGGATTCCGAGGATACCCAACCAATAATTTCCCTGGGGATACTCTGGTGCAATCTGATATAAGAGATCGCTCTCCCAATTGATGTTGTTGTAAACGTTCTGTATGACGGGGGTCAGTGAAAGCTTTTTCATGACACAAAACTCGGGACATGTACTGTGCAGAACAGGACAAGGTCAAGCAGAACAACAGAAAGGGAGCCGGTATATCTTGGACGTACCATGATACACAACACGGTGTCCAGGATCCACACCACAAGCCAGATAATCCAATACGCCTGGCTGGAGGCTTTGCCGCGAAAGCGATATCCCACGGCCCACGTGATCATGCCGATTAAGGCGGTAGGCTGATGAAATGGTCAATGATTAGATGAAACCGGCGAATGCAAACGCGACGGATGTGCGATGGACTTACCGCGCAAAGCCGTTGAAATCGGCATGCAAGATTGAGGTAGGCAACTCGATCAGCAACTGTGTTTCGTGATGCGGTCGCCATCAACCAGCAGGTCTGGAGAAACGCCATCCTGTTTTATGGGGGAAAACGTACGCGTCAGTCAGGAATCTCGAAGGCTTGTTATGACAGCACAACAGGCTTGTGTGTGCAGGTGGGTAGCTTACCAGTGCGTGGCTAGAAATGGCGAGACCGTCGCGATGAAATAATGGCTCTGTGCTCCGTAGAGAGAGCCCAGGCATGCTGATGCGATTTCCAGACCCCATGAGGAGACGGTCAAGAAGTAGAAGATCAGGTATTCTTGATTCCGGGCAAGCGGACCTCCGGTTTTGAATGGGAGAGCGGAGGGTTCGTCGTCGCACGCGTTGTCGATCGTCTTTGCCATTGCGACGACTTTGTTAGACACAGAGAGTTGATCTGTCCTGGAGTCGGATCTGAAAGTCTTCTTACTAGATTGATGAGATGAATTGAACAGGATGATATTGCAGAGTAAGCATGACGATTGTTGCGGCGGGAACGACGGAAATGAAGCTGCCAACAAACTGCATGTTTTAGGCAAGTCACGTGCGATTATCTAAGCCATTCCCCATAGACCCTTCTGCCCTACACTGTACTCCGTACTTCTACTCGTACTCTCACTTGTACTTCTAGGTATATGGGAGTCCCTGAGGGTCGCTATGAGGGTTGTTTGGTACGACCTTGCATCAGTAGCAGAAACAGACCGATGACAAATGAACATTGTGCATTGAGTATCGAGAAGCATTACCTCGAAGGCCTAGTCTATGTATCTCAGCACCGCTGGCTGGCTGGCAAACAAAACGCCGAATCTCTCTCCCCGTGCTCCCTTACACTGTCACCCAACTATCAGATTCTTCGACGGTCCAACCTAGCCCCATCTCAAGAACACAAATGGGTCCTATTACTGCGTAGCTAATGCCGACTCCGTAGATCGAGCCAGGTAAAATAATAAGGACAAGATCTTGGTTTCTTCAAAGGAAAAAAGAAAACCCAAAGGACTAGAAGAAGGGGAGAAAAACTAGCGCACGCACACAAATATCGTGGGCTTTTACCCGGGTAAAAACACCTTTGCGCAGTGGAAGGCGCCACGGCAGAAATCATAGGCCGCATATTTTCCACCCCTTCAAAGGTATGAGAAGCATTTGCACGTTCGTTTCATGGTACAGAAGTATCGAGGCTTGAAACACTATGGCATGGGTCGTCACCATTCGGCATCCGAGAGAATGTCCAATCGCGTTTCTTCACAAGGCAGTGCCTGGAGCGGACGGGCCAGGACCAAGCTTGGATGGCCCGATCGGCGAGTTGCGCTTTTCTCGAACAACGCTGGCCGAGTTGCTGCGTCTCCGGCTAACATCCGCCATGGGTGATGATCGAGATGGTCCGGGAGACATGCTGCGCTTTTGTTGAGGTCGAGGGCCTGGAGAGAGTGGTCGAGGGGCTTGGTTGAACTGACCGGGTCCTGGACTCATTGATCTCGATGGCCTCATTGAACCCGCGGGGGACATTGGTCCAGGGGACATTGGTCGTCGAGGGCCGCCGGCGGGACTCATGGGTCTGCTTGCAGGTGACATGGGCCGTCCAGGAGGAGTCATACCCGCTGGGCGAGGAGAGTTGAAGTTCTGGCTTCGAGGAGTGCCTGCAGGCGACATCGGGCGGGAGGCGGATCCGGGACCATGTGCAGGAGGTCGGGCATACTGGTTCAGATGTGATGGCTTCGGCTTGGACGGCTTCGTCGCGAGGCACGTGCGAGGGACAACACCTTGTTGAGAGCGATCAAGTCTGATGCAGAGGGCCTACAGATGTGTTAGCTTGCGTTGATCTCACACAATAGCGATCAGTAAAAGACTTACCCATCCGTCGTCGTATTCGTGGAGCAGTCGAACAAGTTGTCCGTTCTTGAGTTCCAGCTCGTCGTCCATTGAAGGAGTGAAGTCCAGCAGAACACGATAAACATTGCCTTGAGGCGGTTCGCTAGCCGGAGATGCGGCAGGAGCGGCGGCGACAATTGGAACCGGGGTGACAGGAGTAGATGGACCAGATGCAGGGGCGTCTCGCGGGGTCGGTTGAGGCGAAGCCATTGCGACAGGAGGCTGAGGTGCAGACTCATCGTTGGCCGCAGGCGCTTGTACAGTTGGCAGTGGTCGTGCTGCAACGGGCTCTGGGACAGGCGCTGGGCTCGACTTCGGTTTGAAGGCTGCCGCAGTTGCAGCACCACCGAGAGCCGCGGCAGCAGCAACAGGAGCAACAGGGGCGGCAGCAGCAGATGGCATTGGCATCATACGAGGGGCTGGTTGAGAAGTTGGGGCAGCGTGGGCTGGGGCAGAAGGAGCCTTTTCAGGATCAGCAAATGGATTCTCTGGATCTGCAAAGGGATCCTCTCGCTCCATGGGCTTGCGAGTCGGACTTGGTCCACGCGGTTGGCGAGCTGGAGAAAGGTTTCGAGCTGAAGCAGCACCAGGCTCTCCGGCCGTGTTCAAGAGATTACCGCCGCTCAGTCGTGCTTTGTTAGGTTGGCCGAACTCTGGAAGCATTCGAGATACAGGTCGGAGGCTCAGTCTTGGGGCAGTGGTGCTGGAGATGGTGGGACTTCTGTTAATCATCTCCGTGGCAGCAGGGGCACCAGCTCCATATGTCGACTTCTCGTTGTCCTTGTTGGCTTGGGCCTCGCGTTCCCTCTTCTTCTTCCCGAGTATCCAGAGAAGGAAGACTGCAATGATACCGACGACGGCAATGACGCCAATGGCAATACCTGCTTTTGCACCTGTTGCCATGCCGCCGCTTGAGCTACTGGAGCCGTCTTTCTGAGAAGCCCCAGCGGTTGCCGAAGCACCAGAACTGGTGAGTTCTGCAACATTGTTGGGGGAGAATGTCGTTGATGCAGAGGCGTTGGCAAGCGAGTTTGGGGCTGTAGTTGCTGCCGCCGCAGCAGTGTCAAAGGAGTTGTTCGCATTGCCAGAGGCGACGACTGTCTCCGCTGGAGCAGTGCTGAATTGGACCGATGCCCCGGTTTTTCCACCAGCTTGACCACCTCCTGCGGTGGCAGTTGCTACAGCTGGTATGCTGTTGGATCCTCCTCCACTCAGGGTTGTGTAGCCTCCGATGACACCAGTGAAGGTTGGCTCGGCGGTCACATAGACAACTGAGTAGACGGTGCCTCCTGCTGTGCTAACGCCATCGTCTCGTCGCGCCAACTCTACCATTCTGTCATGGAAGTGCTGATGGGCGTGACCCATCTCTGATATGTATTTCACACCGGTGATCACAAGTCTTGTTGTTCCTCAACCAAGAGCTTCTTTTTTGGTTGTTTTAATCCTAAGTCGGAATAAGACCAGCGTCGCCGGCACGAGTCTTTCTAGTTCGAAGAGAGTGACTGAGAAGGTAGTAAGGACTGATCGGCACAATTGTCGATAAAAGAAGGGCGACAATGGCACTAAGTTGTGAATAGGGACAATAGGATGGATTGAAGAATCGAAAGTCGCGCGCGACGTGAAGGGTGTAGCAGCAAAGTCAGCGCATGAGGAAGTGAAGGTAATCAACAAGCTGGAGAGCAGCAGTGACGCGGTGACAAAGGCTGGATGGAGTACGGACCTCACTTTCTCTCTCTCTGTTTCGCACTCTTTCACTCTCGTGAGAAAGAATAGAACTGCGGTGGAGAAAGGTGGTCTACTGTGGGCTATCTAATTAACCACGGAGTGGTAAGTGAACAAGGGAGAATTTCCACTCATTGGTGTTCCTGGATTTAGTTGCAAGCCACACAGGCGCCTAAACACCAAGTCAGTTTAGACGCTCTGGTACCTGCAGGCTGGTGGATGATTGACCGAGATTGCAGATTTGACACGAGAGGCCGCTCTGACCAGCACCTTGTACGAGCGTCTGCGTCTGGACAAACCGACTCAAGAGACCCTCGAGCACCCGGAGAGTGACAGGCCCATGACATTATTATCAGATATCATCTTCTTTGGATAGCCAGCCCAGCATCAAATTGGCCAGGTCTGGCAGGGCGAGAAAGAATTGCCGAGCATCGCTGCTGGCCACGAGGAACTTGACTCAATGATTCAGGGGGTTGAGCAGGTCAGACCAAAACACCGCGTCCGTCTCATGTTTTTGTTTACCAGGATCCATGGGCAAGGAATACAATACTTGTACTCGCCTACAGACACGAATTCTACATCAAACATCACCCGACTAACGATCCAACGATCAGTTGTACTCCGTACTGTATGCTCTTATCGGATTCTAGATAGTCTGATAACAGCGCGAGAGATATAAGACAGACCCGCGCAAACAAGGCCGATGTCATCCAAGTGGTTCGCTCTTCCCTGTCAGCCACGGGCCGTGGAAATTGGGCTTGAGGCATCTCATGATTTTTCTCACCCACCCATTTCCCAGCAAGTTCCACCTTTACATTCGCCAATCTAATGTGTATCAGGGACTCCCAATCATTTCGCTTCTTCCAGTCTGCTATCATTTGAAACCATGAGGAACTTTTATCACACGTGTACTCCATAGTCTTGCTATCGTTTGATGCTATGAGGCAGTGCTTGTCTCGGTCCCTTACTAGCCTTTCGTGTTCTTCGTAGAAAACAAGAGAGTCATGCCTGTGCTCGCCCTCTAGGCCGAGAATCTTACGTTGCTCATGTACAAGAGAATGGTCGAAGCAAACAGTTACAAGCGACTTGTGTCAATAAGATTATGGATGTGGTTGAAAGTACAAGTGTGTACATTGTGACTACAATATTACTTATCAAGACGGCTCGAAAGATCAATGCTTGTCTACTTTTTGCGGCAAAATCCTGTCACTCGAGATAGTGACGGCCAGTTGTGTCACCTGGGAGATTTTACTTCCGTCACTCGAAGCACCCCAGAATTCTGACATAACATATGGTGTATTACTGTTCAGGCCTCATTTGTGGGAGCTAGTCCCGAGTATTCAACGTGTTGGGATTTGTTACTGTTACATTGATGCGTCTTGTATACAGCCGTGGCATGTTCACGTTTGTGCAAAGTCCCAACGATCAAGTCCATGCTTCAACGCTTGACTTGCACTCAATCTTCGAGTCGGTTCGTAGCACACCGTTGTGCGCACAAAGTCAATGGATCGGCTAGTTGTTCCAGGTAGGATGTCTTTCCACGCTTTGCCTGGGTATTCCTGGAACTTCATTTTACCCCAGTCGGGATAGAGACTAGCAGAAGGCCATATCTCGTTGTTGGGTGTACCCAGTGTGGTGAAGATCGACTTGATGAGCCCAAGTTCGCTGCCCACGGCACCACCATCAAAAAGTGGTAATCCACCACCCCTGACCATCTCTGCAACAATACATCCTGCAGCCCACATGTCCAGAGACGAGTCGTATGAACGATAACCGAACAACAGCTCAGGTGGTCGATAACATGTAGTGCCGACATCCGTGATTTTGGCATTCGCGGGCTCGCAATCCTTATCCTCGGCTAACCATGTGATACCAAAATCGATCAGATACACGGGCCCCTCCATCGAGGCAAGCATGATATTGGAAGGCTTCACATCTCGATGGATCATGCCCAACCCGTGTATGTGCTCCAAGGCTTGAAACAGTCCGTCAAAGACCATCTTCGCCCGTCGCCTATCAAGCCACCCTGACCGGAGTAGGTTTTCAAGGTCATATCTGAGGAAAGGGAACACAAGCATGAACCTTCCTGACGGCAAATGCAGTGTTTCTAAAAGGGGCACAACATGCTCGTGGCGTGCTTTGACGAGAAGACGACCTTCTCTCTCGACATTATGCGGAGGATGCATGATTGAAGGATAGGTGACTTTCAACGCGACAATTTTCGAAGGTCCATTCTCATCCTTGGCCGCAGCTTTGAAGATAGTTGCCGACTGGCCGTCAGCATGGAAGGTTGCGTAACGATATTCACCATAGGATGGACCCTGGTGATTGAGAATTTCGTTATTGCTGGGTTGCTGAGTTGCCTCTGGTGCCGACTCTATTGGCATCAGGAAGGCGTTGAGTGCTTGCTGGAGCTTCTCTTGATACTCAGTCTACTCTTGTCAGATTGGTCTCACCAGTACGGTGTGGTATACGGGTTTTACCATAGAGGTGGCCTTGCCACGAATCTCCTCTTCGAGCTTTCTGGCTTCGTTGCGAGCCGAATCCATAGGCAAGCCCTGCAGAGCAAGAGCATTCGCCCTGTCAAGGGTTAATTTGAGCTGTGTAAAGGCCTGGCTGGATCCTACAAGAGCATAATGTGACTCAGCCGCTCTGAGAAGCTGACATCAACAGACATCTTGGATAATGAGTCGGAAGAAGTTCGCAGTCGAGAGTGCGAGAAGTTTTGCCCTGTACTAGATTACAGAGGGATGAGGCTCAGGAAGACCTTACATGAAGCAGTCGAGTACATCGCTAGACAATACGCTCCCACGCCAAAGCAACGACTTGTATGCTGGTCCTCCGCATCTGCCGTTCTAGTATTACCTTGTGTCGCCGGTTCGTGGAAAGTTGACGTTTCGTGCAACCCAAGACAAGCTTTCCCAGGAAGATAAAACGGTCTGGCCCAGGGCAAGAAAAATATCCGTATGATCGGCCCGTTGCTTGCAGACTGTGGAGGAGCAATCAAGATGCTGGGGTCGCTGGACTAGTCAGCTTGGTGCAAGATGTGGCAGACGCAGGCCAGTAGAATACGTAAGCGGCGAATCAAGCACCGCTTTCAATCCACCCCGGGGGGCATTGAGCCTCTCACTCCACGCATCTTTATTTCTGCGGTGGCTTCGTGTCGTTCATTCCTCCCACCACCACTTCCTCATGCAAGACAGCCGGATTCGACAGGCTTCGATGCTTTATTGACAGTTAGGAAGCTGCCACCATGGACTTCTCGCGCACCGAGTATCCGGGTCTTCTGGTAAGACCCGTCTACCGCATTCCGCAGCCTCCGGTTCACCAAACTAACTCTGTTGCGCCAGACTTCACTGCAACCCGAACAGGCAGTAAACATCCTCAATGATCGTGTTGACCTTATCAAGAAGATCAACATCGATATTGCCGACTGGCTTCAGGTCAGCATTGGCCGCATGCCTTTACTAGACGCGAGCTAACCTGTCGTCAGGAACGCCGAAGAGTCGAAGAAGCCTATGTCGTAGGCCTGCGAAAGCTCGCGCGAAGGCCGCAACAAGATGGAGCTGCTGCTCTGGGGTAAGACTGACCCCTGTTTCATGGCGGCTTGTAGTTGACACACACCCAGTATCTTCCAGATGCCGTGGCAGCGCATCGTCTCTGGTACAGAGAACCTCGCAGCCTCCCACGAAACTCTCGCCATGAAGATCGAGACAGATGTCGAGACCCCCCTCAGACAGTTTGCGAGCCGTAATCGGGAGATGCAGACACTCAGCACAACCCAAGGCAACCTCAACTCTCTGGCCAAGGAGTTGGTGAATGCGCAGAGAAAAGCAGCAAAGGGTGGTCGGAAGGCGGACAGTGCAAGCTCCACGGTCGAGGATGCCTCTCGGCAATGGGAGTCACAGGCACCTTATGTGTTTGAGCAATTGCAGGCACTGGATGAAACACGAGTGAACCATCTCAGAGACGTCCTCACACAATTTCAGACGCACGAGGTGGACGCCATTGAGAAGAACAGGCTCAGTGCGGAATCTTGTCTGAATGCTCTTCTCAACATTGAAACTGCAGATGAGATCAAGACATTTGCAACAAGAGCTAGCAGCACACGCAACAGTCTTCCCAGACGTCGCAGCTCGGCAGCAGCGAGTGCGAGCGCAAGGCCGCCGAGCTCCCATCTACGACCTCCTCCTACTCCACCTCCTCCCCGTCATGCAGATGACAGACAAAGCCAGCGTACTAATTCCTTTGCTGGCCAGGATAGATTGGCCCCTTGTGAGTTGTCTATCAGTCTACAAAGCCAGTGGTCTAACGTGATTCAGTGTCTGATGCTACACCACACAAAGAGAAGAGCAAACTTGGTGGTCTCAAACGACTAGGTACCGTAATGGGCAGGAGAAAGAGTATGGTGCCACCGGTACCTTCACAGTCTACCGAAGAGAAACGAAAGACTCGGTCCTTTGTTCCTTTTAGGAGAGGAGACTCGTCGCGAAGCTTCCAGGACCTGGAAGAAACAGGACAGGATCTGACACCTAGCACCACTCGAGACCAAAGGCCAGTGTCCTCGATCTCGCGTGACAGGCATGATGACTTGCCTTCCGTTCCTCAGCCTGAGCCGCCGTTACCAATGACAAACGGAGCCGGGGCATCGCCAGCTCCTTTGGAAACAATCCAGGACGCGGCACCACTTCAACCAGCCCTGCTTGATACTGTCAGTACGCCACAAAGCCAAGCTCGCTCTCCAGAAAAGCCTCAACCTCCCATCCCGGCCTCGAATCCTTGGGCTCAGGAATCGCAAGAAGTACCAATCACCGCACTCGCAAACGATGAGGCCTCGCGCAACTTCATGATACGTGATAAGCCGATTCAAGAGGATGAGAGCGAAGCCCAGAATGCTCTTTCTACAATGGCCAACCAGCTACGTACTCAAGCACAGAGCTCAGGCATTAACCGCGTTCAAGGCAGTGTGAGAGGACGACGAGATGTTAGGAACACCATGTATGTCCCGAGCGGCACCGAACCATTCGCAGCAAGTCCTTCTATGCCTCGAACAGGCCCGCCAGTGACTATTCCTTCTGGAGGCAATCCTGCCGACAATATTGCATCTCCAATACAACGACCGCCCCCGGCCGCAATAATACATGAAGACCATGGTCTAGGCTCTGACACGACCTCTATCCATTCTTCTCGTAGTCTAGCTGGGCCTACCCATCATGTCGACCTTCATGAGCCCGGGCTGAACGCTTCAATCGTGGAGAATGTGCATTCTTGGTTCACTGAACAGGGCATCACCAAGTGTCTTGTACTGGGAGAAGTGGCATTTGCGTACAACCCTCCGCCTTCGGGTGAGTCTGGCCAGGAGATTATCCGTGTGCAGCACTTTGAATTATTGGACAAAGTCGCTGCAAATCCGATATTTTTGACTCAGGTTAAGCCAACCGGAGATGCTCTTGCAGAGGAACAAGCGGGATCTTACACAGTCGCGACTCCAGCCATTCGCAGACCGTCTCCGATGATTGGCTTGAAATATCAACTTCACATCGATACTGCCAACCTCGGTCGTTACTGTCCAGTACTTATCACTCCAGCCTGGCAGGTCATCCAAGGACAAGTTAGCGTCATTGTCCTGTATAGTCTCAATCCAGTCTTTGGAAATCAAGCCATAACCTTGAAAAATGCACAGATCACAGTCAACCTGGATGTTTCAGGGGAAGGCACGGGCAGGCCAGTCTCAGCGATGATGTCTCCGACCGAAGGCGCAGTGTTCCGCCGCAAGACGTCAGCCGTGGTATGGCGACACGCCGACCTTGAGGTCAAGCCTGAGCAACAAAGACTTCTCGTTCGTTTCATGACTGAAGGAGGCATGCCGAAGAAAGGAACCATCGAACTCAAATTCGAGATCCCAGGGCGGACTGCTAGTGGGGTCGGCGTCGAGAAAGTTGTTACTGGGGGTGAAGAGAAGGACAATGATCCATTCGCAGATGATACCGCTGGCAGTAGTGCAAGAGGAAGTGGCGAGGAAAAGAGATGGGAAAGCCTACCCACGAAAACGAAGTTGATCAGTGGCAGATATACTGCCAATTGAGACTTGTCGGACAGCTTCTGCCTCAAAACCAAAAAGATTTGGATGTACAGCAGGACTTCTTGGCTTGGACAAAGCATCGACCAAACAAATCGACTTGGTTAGGAACCTGATCCTGGACATTAACCGTTAGTAATTATGCCGGGTTGCAATGATTGTGAATAGCATAGAGAGGAACTCGATATGAGTGCACCACAGCGAAGGCGTATTTGCGTCTCTCGACTAGTACAGATTGCAGACAATGATGACTTCATACTGTTATCCCTTCTTTTAGCCTATCGAATAGCAGAACAATCATGTCAAAGACAGGTACTCCGTACAAGGACTTTTACATGCATATCCTGAGGGCAACCTCTTCCAGCAGTTAACGTCGAAAGACAAGGCACGTGATCGTAGGCGTTCCAGGTTGGTAAGTCCGGTGAATCATCGGCTGTATCTTGTAATAAAATAAACTGTTGACGACATATAACCCTACCCCGGTGTGCATGCTTGCCTCGTACTTACTAGAACTTTCAAGCTTTCTGAGTCTTTGAGTGTGAGCTGGCTGTGTGTGAGGAGGAGTAGCAGCAGCAGCAGCAAGAGCAGCAAGAAGAGCCACCACAATATATCATGAGTGGGCGTCGGTTTATAGGCTGGGCTCTGGTCATTGGCTTTGGGGTTCTCAATGGTATGTTGTTGCATCTCTCAGCACAACCACCTTTTCAGAGGGACTCCGGATGTTGTTCAGTCGACTGACGGCTGGCTAGGCTACACGACCTTTAAACCGGCCTTTGAGGATTTGGAACTGGAGAAGTTGAAGAAGAGGTAAATTCTTGCTTTGGTTGACCCCCTCCCCGCCCACCACCGACCGTTGTCAATGTATATCTCTCGAGAAAGGACTGGAGGGGAAAAGTGCTGACTCAAAGATGCCTTGTCTGTGATTTCTAGGGAGCTCGACGAAGCTTCAAATTTCGGTCCCAACGTCGTCGAAGTTTCAACGACGCAAAATGTCGGTGCCGCGGTTGCGCCGCATCCCTCTCCCGTGATTTCCCAAGCCGCCTTCAAATCGAGTGCGAGCGCGAACACCGACGGATGAGTACGGGTGTCATCGTTTGCAAACTGTGTTGTGGAAAGAGTAGGACGGAATTTCCCAATAATGGTCAAACAAAGAGGACGAGGGGTTGGTTCATGAATTGTGCCCGATCATGCTTGCGTCTCCCCCCCCCCCAAAAGAAGGACGACTGGTCTTGGGGGTCGGTGCCATTGGATCGGTATCATCAGGCGAATCACGTTCCCCGGGTGGCCTCGTGGTCTTGTATAAACCGGAAACGACGACCCTCCGAGAAACGATGGTGATCGCGCCTCTGCTGGGTCCCGCGAAAGGAACAGAAAATAAGGCACACGAGAATGAACACACCGGCAAGGAGGATCATGATTCGGTTGAGCAGCTTTTTTTGTTCTTGTTCGTAGAGAAGAGCAGGAAATCCCGGGCCAAACATTTTCGGACGAAACCCACACTTTCAACCACCTCGCAAGTTGAACTGCCGTTGCCAGGTTGTTCTGAAGTCCCCGCTTGAACCCGATGAGACGGCGACAGGAACAACTCGCCGTTGGTCGGCATGGCAAGGCAAATAAAAAGTAAACAAGGTCAGATCGGCAGAAGCCAGAGCCAGAGCGAGAGCCAGAGCAGATTTGCCCACCTGACGGGTAGAGCATCTCAACTCATCCCATCTCAAGGGATGGATTCCCCCCCCCCCCGCCTCGGTCAAAGGATGAGAGTTTTTCCATGGCGGCAAAAAGGAGACTCGCGGTCGTATATGTGATTGTGAGAACACAACCATAGACAAAGAAAAGACCCCTCGGCCGGCCCCAGGAAAAAGTCGCGCGGCCTTGTCCCCCTCCGGCAGAGGATCCGCTACGCACCATAAAACCGGAACAATCACATACCTAAAGTACCTAAATACCTACTCCGCATACTCCTTATAATCGTGAGGCTCAACTTATCTTGGGTTATCCAAAGTGGACGAAGGGAAAAAGAAATGTCATGTCATCATGACTACCAAAAGAGCCTCGCTGTCATTCGGATTTGCTGCACCCAACTCCATAAGTCAAGTACGAAGTAGGCCGCAGCGAGAAGCTCGAGATGAGAAGAGAGCTCTCAGAAATATGCATACTTTTTTGTTGAAAAAGTCTCTCTCTCCGATTTATCATGCTGATGTGTGTGTCTTAAGGATATAGCGCTATCTTGTTCTCTCTGGTCCAGGACCACCAACTCCATGCTTTTCGCTGAAAAAGAATTACCCGTCCCCAATGCTTCAAGGATGCATTTGCATTTTTGGAGAAAAAGGAGGAAAAAAACCACAACCAACCGTCACCATCACCCATCATGACTCGTTCTCTCCATATTCGATGTACCCCTTCGCTTTGCCCACGCGGTAGTACTACTTTGCAAGTAAAATCAGTCGTCGAACTTGAACGCTTTACCACCGCTGATGTCGATGGCTCCTCCACGATAACTGCCACGCTTCTTCTTGTTCTTCTCCTTGGTGAAGCCTTTGCCTCGAGTCACGGAGAGGTCCTTGTATGCACGATCCGCATAGTCGTAGCTTTGATAGGCATTGCTGATGTGACTATCCACCGTAGCTTGAGCCGAAAGTTGTGCCAGTGGGGTCGGTCTCGCACCGACATGCTTCTTAGGGGGCTTGGTCGAATCCGGTTTTGAGTCGGCAGCCATGTTGTCTCCCATCACGGTGTTGGACGAGTCGGAGTTTTCGTCTGGTTCGGGCGTCAGCTTTGCGCCGTGGGTTCTGTCATCGGCGGCCTCGTCCTCACTGGAGTCACTGTCTGATCCTGATGACAGTTCCCTCGAGGATTTCTCGGTGGCTTTGGTAGTTGGGACCACTTTTGCTCGTTTCACAGGGTGATCATCGTCCGAGGATGAATCAGAGTCGGAACCGGAATCCGACGACGAGTCTGAGGAGCTCAAAACCTCGACCTTCCGCTTAAGATTCTTCGTGGCGGTTGGCTTCACGGTTACTTCTTCCTCGCGGTCGATTGAAGACTCCGAGGTTGAAGATGAGGAAGAGGACGAAGAAGAGGTTGAGGCGGAGCGCTTGAGGATCTTCTTCTTCTGGCTGGCCTTTTGTGGAAGTTTGTCTGATGCAGATGACTCGTCACTACTGCTGTCATCGCTGTCATCACCGCTGTCGCTGTCGCTACTACTGAGATCATCTTCACCGTCGCTGTCGTTCCCCGAGTCGTCTGAGGACGATGTGCTATCGTCACTGTCGGAGGAGTCAGAGTCTTCATCAGTGTCATTCGATGACGAGGCATTGCTCTTCATCGCATCTTGCACCATCGACAAGAGGCCAAGTTCAAAAGCTGGCACCAGATCGCTGACTGTCGCGGCATCGGTCGGCGCAGGCCAGCCCGAGCGTTTCTGAAGCGTTTTCACTTCCTTCTGGAACGCCTTGTGCGTGGACTCGAGGCCGAATGATGTGAGATAGTGTCCAACCAGTCCAAGGATTTCCGCCGAAGGGCCCGAGTCACTCTTTGCGGCTTCTTTCTTTTTGACAGCCATGTTTGGGTAGGTGACTGTCGAGTGATGAAAAGTTGGTATGGGGAGGAAGTTTGAGGTTGCAAGTGAGATCTGATCTAGGGAATCGTGGAGGTTCGGAGGGAGGAAGAAGGTCGTTTGAGGGTCTTGGGTTATGCCACAGAGTAAAGCATGAGTGAAGTAAGGTAAACCTGGTGAATCTGGCGAATCTGCCAAATGTTGTACGAGGATGCGATCGTTGCAGAGGAAAAAAAAATAATTTGGATCTGCGGAGAAGAAAAAAGATTGCGATTGGTTGTAGCCATGAATGAAGCAAAAGGCACTTTATTTATTTAGTGGGATGTCAGTCTTAGATAAGGCAATCGATACTCCGTCATAGAGAATTAGAATCTCTCGGGTGATTGTTGTGCTCCGTATACATAGGTCACCTGCTGGATTCACTCTCTGTCCTATCAAGGAGGTTCACATTCACCCAACGCTTCGATACAGTCTTTATCCATACAAGCGCGCGCCATATTGCTAACAGCCTATTGAGGTGATGACGATCGATGATACTCTTGTGGAAAGCCTAGTGCAAGTGAGGCCTTCCACAGACATGACTTTCGTGATCTTACATATGGACAAGTCGCAGAAATAGATTGACACTTGCACTCTCGGACGAGGACGAGCGTCTATCTGCCAGCAAAACGTGATGACTAGCCTCTTAGACATTCGCATGGCTTAGATTGGTTATACACATCGCTATGCGCACGCTTTGCACGACGAGAGCCAAATCGCACAGAAATAGCAATCTGACCAGCAGCTGTGCGGTTGATCTAGAACGTCTCGTCCTCGATATTGGCAGCTGCGCGTACCACACTAGGACTGGCCACACCAACATCAAGTGCCTCGGTCTCAAGTTCGCGGGAAAAGTCGATCTCTTCATCTTCAAAATCCATCCCAGCTCGGGTAAGAATATCATCCACTATACGTTGCGAGGCTTCCTTAGCTAAGCGAAATCGGTTAGCATGCGCATTCAGTCAGACTCGTAGCTAGAAAGATAAATACCTGGTGTCTTCAGGAGACGGTTCTGAGGAACATGAAACTGCATGGTCTTTGGGGGGCTTTGGCCGAAATCGATTTCGTCGTCCAGATCATCGTCATCACTGTCCCATATGCCGCGCGTACGAGCAGGGGCGCTCGGTTTTTCGCCCTTGTGCTTAGATGGACTCAGCACACTGACTCCCGGGATTCGAGCCTTGCGCTCCGGAGACGAGAAAATTTCCGGATGTAATTCGGGTGGAGCTACAGGACTAGATGACAGCGTAGGGTCTACATTTGTGTTCTGGCGTCCTGTTGTCGTGAACAATCGTGCCGCAGACTTGGGTTGGACATTTGTATATCGGCTCGCGGTCATCGGAGTGGCTTGCACACGATAGGTCCGGTCTAAAACGTGATGGAGGACCGGATCGGTCTTCTTCCGAGCCGTCGAAGGGCGAGGTATAGAAGTCGGCTGTGGGGGGAGGTATGGTGAGGATTCGGGGGTGCGTGCGATAGAATCGATCGGAAACACCGGTCGTCCAGGGGTTTCGGGCATTGCGGTTTGGGTCAACGAGGTGGCATCGACGACCGTGGTGCTGTTCACTTCTCGACGTAGCGCTTCATAGGGGGAGGGGTAGTCGGCAAAGTTGGGTTGTTGAGGTCGCGGTGGTCGTGGTGTACTGTGAGACGGTGACATGGTCAAATTGGACAGGTCAAGATCCTGTATCGAGTCCGTCGAGATGTGCTGTGCCGCTGGCGTCTCGTACGATTCCGACGTTTCGAGTGTCGTGTGGGTCGTGGCGTTGGACTCTTCGGTGACGGTGTTGTCTGTTATTTCCTCCTCCGTCGTCTCGAATTGTGACGGTCGCTCCTCGTATCCTGAAAGAGAGACATTGGCGCTGGACTCGAAGAATTGCTTCCAGAACTGTGTCATCTCAGTACCCTGTCCTCCCAGTTTCGGGGCATCACGTTTCTCACCCTCGATCCTTCCCAAACGTCCTTCGAGTGGGTGGCATATTGCTCGACGATGGGCAGGATACTTGATGTGACTATTCGGTGGGCGCGACTGAAGTTGTGGTCGATCTCTGCGAATGCGATGATTAGTGTGACTGGCAGAAACAATTTCTCCTGCGCTAAGTTGTTTACAAACCTTGCAGTGTCAGCGTGATGGATTGTTCGAGTTTCTCTAGCTCTTCGGTGAGGGTGAGTGCCCTTGGCTGGGCTGTAGAACTTATGCGCGACATGGTCAGTTCATAGTAAGTACGGAGTTATTGATGCCCGCCAAATCTCCAGCGCATTTCGTCGTTCGGAATTCTCGAACACGCGCGCCGCGTCCCTCTTTGGCACGTGACGTCCACCGCGTTGAAGTTAGTCATCCTTGAGATATTCTAGCATAATGCCCGTGAGATACTCCGTACACATCACTGTGAACGCATCTTTCCCCTCCATGCAATCTCAAGTACGGATACGAGTAGGGTCATCACACTCCGTCCGCCTTCTCAGTTACTACTTGAATTGGCCCAAGAAAAACAATCAGGCGAGTCTCCGGCAACTCACAAACACACCACAAAAATGAACCTGGGTACAGTTTATACCTTATTACTACGTGGGAACAACCCAGTGTTTCCGGTTTGTCATCTCTTCGTCAGTGTCGGTCTCACATAAATACGACCCTGTAACTCCGTTACGAGATCACCACTCGCCACCGTCGCTCTGACTCTCTCTCGGAAGTTATGTCTAGGTAGAGAAGTCAAGGACGAAGCAACTCCCGTAAGAGGCTTACATCTTACGGAGTAGATCCACCGGTTGTTGTGTGCTCCAGAAAAAAAAAGACTGAGGTAAGCCCGTACGAGCGAGAGAGAGAACGATCATCAGACCTGAACAAATCACAACAACATGTTACTCCGTATCTCTTCTTTTTAGCTCAATTGCCATATTTGGAATGGAAAGGCGTACGAGTGACATCTCGTTTCGTGTATGGTCGTCGCTCACGATGGATACATTTTGCAGAATGCATTTGGACATGGGTTGGCTGACTAGCAGGTCAAGTATAAAGAAAGGGGGACTCTTTCTCTCGATTTTTCTCAATGATGTGTTCGAGTTGTTCTCCTTTATTTCATACTTTATACCTCAGGCAACTTCTATTTACTACGAGCCATCATCATGACTTCACAAACTCAAACCCAGACGTCTTCCGTCACGGCACCACCACCACCACTACCAACAACAACAACAACGACAACTCAGGCAATATCCATTGAATCAGTCCAGACCACTATGAACTTTTACCTCGACCCTTCCCAGGGTGGTCACGACACCTTTTACCCTGGCACGGCGGCTTACTACCGTCGTAAATTCGACGAACAGCCAGTCACGGTGTACAACGTCAGGGGTAGAATGTCGGATTTCTCCTTGGACATTCACGGCTTTCAATACCTCACCCACAAGACTGCAGTGACCAATCTCGAAAACGAAAGCATTACTACCGTCATGTACGATGAAGTAGCCGACATTTTGAAAAAGGCGTAAGCTTTTTTTCTTCTCTTCTACCAGTTCTGTTATTCTGTTGTTGTTGTGGTGGTGGTGAAGCAGCAGTGGCAATATTGTACCACTCCTTCGTCCTCGGAGGGCAGAGCTCACATCTTCTTCTTTCAGGACCGGTGCCACCAAAGTACACACCTTCAGTCACCTCAACCGGCGTGACAGTCGAGACGCCGCCGAGAGAAAAGTTTCCACCGACCCTCTGCTGGAGAGCGACACTTCCGCCATCGACCTGCTGACTCCTGCACGCTTCGTCCACATCGATCAATCTAGAGCCGGAGCCGTGGAGGTCCTTCGTGATGAAGGATCGGGGGGACCGCTGGACGCCGATCTTGTCCGTGACTGTATGTCCGGACGTACTCGATGGGCAATCATCAACGTATGGAGGCCACTGGACCGACCCTCGGTGACCAAGGACCCCCTGGCGGTCTGTGACTCGAGGACGGTCGAAGATTCGGACTTGGTCACGGTCCGGGCCACCACCCCACGCCGACCCGAGACCCAATACTCGGACGTCACAAAGGGTGACGGGTTCGACGTGTTGTACATGAGACACAAATCCCCGCAACACCAACACCACCACCACCGCCAACAACAACAACAACAATGGTACTATTTAGACGCCCAATCTCCGGACGAGGTCCTTTTGATCAAGTGTTTCGACAGTCAACCACAATCACGACACGGTGGTCGATCATCATCCGTCAGGACCCCTCACACTGCCTTTGTGGACCCTAGGTACAGTGGTTCACCAGAGTGGGATGAAAAGGTCAGGAACAGTATCGAAATCAGGAGTTTGGTGTTTTGGGAGAACAACTAGTCATTAGTTGGCCAGAGGAAAAAGTGCCTTGGTTTTTGAGGGAGAACGGATCAACCTCCTCTTTCTCCTTTTTCTTCTAAAAATCCAACACTATAGTCTGTATATGGGAACAATTATCTGATCTTTTCTTTTTAGAAAAATAAAGGGGGGGCAACATACACATACATGTTATTGTGCACACTCTTGATCAAACCCCCCTCCGGCCGTACGCAGGGAGCGTAAGAAGTGTCTCGTATTCCCGTCAGTGTGATGCTCCGCTCCAGGCCACCTGGATCTGTCATAGGCTTGTGAGCATTCGGTGCCTTTTCCTTTTGCATTGTCTAGGCCGCCACCGTCCTAGACAGGAGACACTTGAGAGTTTTACCTGGTCAGTAGGTATGGGTGGGTAGTGGAGATTCTGTAAACCGACAAAATAAACATGGACAACCGCAGAAAATGTTAAGTTACGTGAGGATGATTGGTGCCGTCCTTGGAAGGGCTCGATTTGTGACGTAGAATGCTTTTGGATCTTGTCTTTGTGAGTTTTGAGAATTTTTCAATATGCTCAAGCATATTGGGTATTGTATACTAGCCCTGTGCTTGAGAGACGCAATCCAATCTAAGTATCTTCACAGATGAGCAAGGTTGTAGGAAATAGCAATAAATGCAATTAAAGATGACAATTCGAATTCGAGATGTGCTTTTAAGAGTACATAACCAAATGCATTCGCACCTCTCCAAGCGACCCAACTAGACCTGCTCATTGACAAACAGTCCAGCCATGCCCTGGCCGGTACCGATACACATGCTGGTGACGAGAATCTTCTTCTTCGTCCTCCGTGCCTCACTGAGAATGGTGCAAATCTGTCTGGCACCGGTGGCACCGAGAGGATGTCCCAGAGCGATGGCACCGCCTCTGGGGTTCATCTTGGAGTGGTCGAGACCCAGTACGTTCAGGCAGTACACGGCCATAGAGGCGAAAGCCTCGTTGATTTCGAAGATGTCAATATCTTCCTTGGTCAACTGGAACTTGCTCAAGAGCTTGGGAATAGCGGCGCTAGGTCCGATGCCCATGATTCTAGGAGGCACACCTGCGACGGTGGCCCCGCAGAATTTGGCCATGATAGGCTGACCGAGTTCAATAGCCTTGGATCGCTTCATCAACAAAATGGCAGCCGCTGTAACGGAGTTAGTGTAAGTAAACAGTTACTAGAGACCATGGGGAAAACCGCGGACGTACCTCCGTCAGTGACCTGACTGGCGTTGCCACCAGTGGTCTTGTCTCCAAACTGAGGCAGGGCTGGCCTGATCTTGCCCAGAGCCTCCGCCGTGGTTCCATATCTCGGGCCCTCGTCCTTGGTGAGGGTGACTTCGGTAACCTGACCGGTCTTTGGGTCCTTGATGGTGGTGGTAATTGGGACGATCTCATCATCAAACCAACCGGCCTTTTGTGCGACCTCGGCTCGTCGGAAAGATTCACATGCATACTCGTCTTGTGTGCGTCTCGAGATGTTGAAGTCATTGCCGACGTTCTCGCTCGTCTGGATCATAGGCTGCGTGCAATCGACGGCTTCTTGGTTGGCCATAAGCGACTCAGAGAAGGGCAGATCTCGGCCTCCATTGTTCGACATGCTTTCACCACCCAGAGCAATGCCGATATCGATGCTACCACAGGTGATCTGGTTGGCAATGTCCTGTACGGCTTTCAATCCCGAAGAACAGAACCGGTTGACACTGTTGGCGCCTGCAGTGTGAGGGATTCCGGCAGCCAGCGAGGCGGCGCGGACTTTGTATGCAGCCCGCACGTCACCGACCTACAGAAGCGACGTTAGCAAGCAGACTCACAATACCTGGAGGTGAGATATGATTGCAAGGACGTGGACAAAGGCAGCTCGAGAAGGACTTGTGACAGGGTGCGGTGCTTTACATTTCCAAGACAAACATCCTCGACCAATGCAGGATCAATCTTGCTCTTTTCCAGCACCTGCTTCAGGAGCGAGTATACAATGTGATCGAGATCGGTATCTTTGAAACCACCCTTCTTTCCTTTTGCGAGAGGGGTTCGAACGGCGAGGGTAATAACAATATCGTCGGGGTTCTTCTGGGTGCTTCAGAGGAATCGTCAGCATGTCACAGGGAGCGGGGAAGCGTGGAGTTGACCTACATTCCAGCGACCCCTGTCTTTGTCGAGGACAGATGGGAAAAGATTGAGCCTAATCTTTGGGATGCCATGTTGGAAGATGTTGTGAAATCGTCAAGGGAAGCGAGCGAGGAATGCGAGGATGCGAGAGATGTCTGGAGGAAGAGAGTGAGAAAGCAGTCGGTCGGGGAATCATTTAAAAGGCTACGAACTTTCCCATTATGGCCAATACCTCGGCATTTTGATCGCGGGCGTTGCCATTGCTCTTTTGGCTGCTTAAGCGGTGATAAGTCATCACTATTCTACTAGGTACGTGCGTCTAATGGACATGTCGGACTTTCTCGGGCCTTTGATAGAGTCGTTTTATGGAGGAAGAGGCCTGTATATCGGAACCCCAGGTCGAGGTTGATGCGTGGAGCCGGCTACGCTTCGGTTAGAGCAACACCGAGGATTTCCTGGACTTGTCTTGGTTGTTATGTGTGAGGTTTACTTCACATGGAGATTGTGAATAACATTTTCGCAATTGTGATTCTTTTTTGTTTGAAAGAAAAAGTAAAGAAAAGATCCGCAGAAGGGTTTCGAGGGACACGGAAGCATTTTACGCTTGTTGTAGCCGCTGAAAGTGTCAAGAAACACCTGTTATTAACATTGGCGTTGAGGTTACAGAACGTATGAGAAGGGTTAGGAAGATACTCGTACTGTAGGTACCTAGTATGTGTTGTTGGTGATGAAGCTCCATGCGAGGATGAGATAACAAAAATCTCATCAGTCGAAAGGCATTGAATAACTGTTACGTCATATCCTTGGCACATATTTTTCTGACTCTGGGCAAAGAGAGTGTGAGGGTGAGAGTGAGAGGATGAGTAGGTGGTGGTAAGAGACAATGGACTGAATATCTGAACCATATTGTGTTCTACAAATATTATGGTCACTTGGTGTCTAGGTAGATAAACATATTGTATTGGAAGCATTGGATAGTAGTAATACTGCCTACTGTGAAGGTGAGGCTGAGACTGAGGCTGGTACTGCTGGCGCCAAGAAGACCAAAGACACTGAATGGCTGAATTGGTCCAATACGAAAACGAAGATCAAATGAAGTTTCTAGTCGCATCTAGAAAAGTGCAGTCGACAAAGCCCGCGACGAGGCGACGAATCCAATTTTTTGCCCGTTTACAAGCATTCGTTGTAATTGTACACGTTGCTCTTCTTCTGACTTGGTCCACGTCCAGTTGGTGTCAAATATTCCCATTGACATTGCAACTGTTTTCCTCACTTCACTTCACACACCGTTCACACCACCAAATCCCATAATCTTCGAGCCCTTCCGTCCTACTCACTCACCCACCGCATAATCACCACTACAACTCTACCAACTGCAAACCACCCACAATGAGCGTCGTCGGCATAGATTTTGGTGCTCAGAGCACAAAGATTGGTGTTGCGCGAAACAAGGGAATAGACATTGTAAGGCTGCATCCATCCCCTTCCGCCTTATCTTCCTTGATTGCGCAGGCTGTACTAACAACATTTTGATAGATCACAAATGAGACTTCCAATAGATCGACGCCGTAAGTACACTGACAGTCTTATACAAATCTTAATCGTCACCAAACTGACAATTTTTCTTCCAGATCCCTAGTTGGCTTTGGCCCCAAAAGCAGATATTTGGGTGAAGCGGCCAAAACTCAAGAAATCTCAAACCTGAAAAACACAATCTCTTCACTGAAGCGCCTCGCCGGCCGGACGATCGACGATCCCGAAGTGGCCATTGAACAACAGTTCATCACTGCACCTCTCGTCGATGTCAATGGACAAGTCGGGGCCGAGGTCACATATCGGGGGGAGAAGCAAAAGTTCACCGCGGTCCAGCTGATCGCCATGTACTTGGGCAAGATCAGAGATACGGCGGGTCACGAACTGAGACTGCCGGTCTCCGACGTGGTCATCAGCTGCCCACCGTGGTTCACCGACGCTCAGCGCAGAGCCATGCTGGACGCCTCGGAGATTGCTAACCTCAAGCTCCTGCGTCTCATCAACGACAACACCGCCATCGCGCTGGGCTACGGTATCACAAAGTCGGATCTGCCGGAAGGTGATGCCAAACCCCGCCGCATCGCCTTTGTGGACATTGGGTACAGCGACTACACATGCTCCATCGTCGAATTCCGCAAGGGGGAGCTGTCCGTCAAGGCCACCACGTTTGACCGACATTTCGGTGGTCGGAACATCGACAAGGCTCTGGTGGACCACTTTGGCGCCGAGTTCAAGGAGAAGTTCAAGGTCGACATCACGACCAACGCCAAGGCGACCACCCGGGTCGCGGCCGCGGCCGAGAAGCTGAAGAAGATCCTGTCCGCCAACGCCCAGGCCCCCATCAGCATCGAGTCGCTCATGGACGACAAGGACGTACGAGGCATGCTGAAGCGGGAGGAGCTCGAGGAGCTGATCAAGCCTCTCCTCGAACGCGTCACCGCGCCCTTGGAGCAGGCCCTGGCCGAGGCGAAGCTCAAGCCCGAGGACATTGACGCCATCGAGATGGTCGGTGGTTGCACGCGTGTCCCCGCCATCAAGGAGCGTGTCAGCAAGTTCTTCGGCAAGCCTCTGTCCTTCACCCTGAACCAAGACGAGGCCATCGCGCGCGGCTGCGCCTTTAGCTGTGCCATCCTCTCCCCCGTCTTCCGCGTGCGTGACTTCTCCGTCCACGACATCGTCACCTACCCGATCGAGTTCATCTGGGAGCAGTCGCCCGAGATCCCCGACGAGGACACGAGCCTGACCGTCTTTAACAAAGGCAACGTCATGCCCTCGACCAAGATCCTGACCTTTTACCGCAAGCAGCCCTTCCACCTCGAGGCCCAGTACGCCAAGCCCGAACTGCTGCCCGGCAAGATCAAGCCGTGGATCGGCCGCTTCTCCGTCAAGGGCGTCAAGGCCGACGACAAGGACGACTTCATGATCTGCAAGCTCAAGGCCCGGCTCAACCTCCACGGCATCCTCAACATGGAGAGTGGGTACTACGTCGAGGACGTCGAGGTCGAAGAGCCCGAACCGGAGAGCAAGGACCCCGACGCCATGGACACGGACCAGCAACAGCAGGCCAACGGTTCCGCCGAGAAGCAGCCCAAGATGCGCAAGGTCAAGAAGCAGGTCCGCAAGGGCGACCTCCAGCTCGTCGCCGGCACCACCGCCATGGCCGACACCGACAAGGTCGCGGCCGCCGAGAAGGAGAACTCCATGTACATGGAGGACAAGCTCGTCACCGACACCGAGGACAAGAAGAACGAACTCGAGGCCTACATTTACGAGCTCCGAGGCAAGATCGACGACGTCTATTCCGAATTCGCCAGCCCCGAAGAAAAGGACAAGATTCGAGACAAGCTTGAAAAGTCAGAAGTAAGTTTTTCTTTTTGTTTCCGTTCGGTTTCATTGTCGCAATTATAAAAAGAAGATGACATGCTGACTTGCCTTTTTCCAAATCAGGACTGGTTGTACGACGATGGAGAAGATGCCACCAAAGCCCAGTACGTCGCCAAGATGGACGAGATCCGGTTCGTGGCCGGCCCCGTCATCCAGAGATACCAAGACAAGATCGAGGAGGAGCGACAGGCCGCCCAAAAGGCTCAAGAGGAAGAGGCCGCCCGCAAGCGAGCCGAGGCCGAAGCCAGGAAGAAGGCCGAGGAAGAGGCGAAGAAGGCCGCCGGCGACTCCGCCGCTCCTGACACTGAGATGAAGGATGCCGACGCTGAGGCCGTCAAGCCCGACAGTGTCGAGGAGAAGTAGAAACACGCCCGACACCCATTATTTTTTTTTTTCACACTTGACTCTTCACGAAGCCATGCCCTTTTGGGGGGTGGTTTTTTAAGAAGAAAAAAGCGCCCCAAAAAAGGCTTGTGCTCCTGTGGAAAGAGAAGAAAAGAATAAGAACAAATAGCAAAAAGAAATCTTGACAAAAGAGAGGCACGGAATATTGAATGAAGGGGAGGTTATCTCACAACCTCTAGCTATGAACATAGGGGTCTTGGTGCGCGGTGTGAAACTATGCATAGCGAATGGGAAACGTTTTCGGGCGTCGCGATTGCGGGCAAATAGATAGACAGCGAATTCTCAGTCGTTTTCTTTTCTTCCGCCTTGATCTCACCGAGTCCTTGCGCCTTGCTCGTAGTGCCCTATCGATGATATTTGTTTTCTGCCTGCCTAGGATTGTGATGCCGCCGCCGTCGTTGTTGATACGGATACGGATATGGATATTGTCAACGATAGAACCATCCATTCCCTGCGCCACACCCAACACCCAACTTGAGCGAGTAGCACCAAACCATTCTGAGTTCCTTTCGACCCGCTCTTGTCCCAATCTCAACGTCTTGTCATCCCATGTGCACTGAGCTTGGGCTCCGTTTGTGGAAGGACTTTCTCCGAGGCGCTTGATTCGTGTGAACATCAGCACTGCCATCTTCCTTCGTCACCATGGAGCCATGGCCTTTCCCGGGCGATGCAGAAACATTCCCATCCTTCGCTGCATGACCTTCACTTGTACTTCGTTGAGCAGCCAACATCAGGCTCAGTCGCCTGGACAATTCTTCGGAAGTGGCTCCACTTCCACTTGAACTTGTGGACCGTCTTCGTCTCCTCGACCGGCTTCTACTTGGTTCTCCGTTTGGTATCGGCCTCCGTCGAATAGCCGTTATGACGCTTTCTTCGGACGAATTGTAGTGTTGCGGCCAGTACCTATCTGCGTCGCCGAATCTGATAGCGAACGGACCGGATGAGGCTCTTCCTCCGACGGTTTCATCACTCGAGACACTGGTCACTCTTTGTGGACTTGGAGTATAACGTCTCTTCCCAAAGGATTGATCGCTCGAGACACTTGCCATTCTTTGTAGACTTGGAGTACGCCGTCTCTTTTCAAAAGATGGTTCGTCGCTGGAAAGACTGGCCATTCTCTGTGGAGTATGGACCGAGATACCCTCAGAGTCACTCATGTCTAGAGAATCGTGGCCAAAACGGCGTGTTCGTGCCTCCAGGTCGATTTCCGAAGAATTTGATGATCTCGCGGCTTTCACAGCCACCTGAAACGGCTCATGCTCTGCTGAAGTGAAGCGTCCTTCCACACTTGACGAGGGGTGCAACTGAGAAGGTCGTGTACGACGCTTTCTGACCTCAATGGCCGGCCTGAAAGTTTCTGGTACAACATTGAGATCATCTCCAGTGGCAATGGCATATTCGATGGCCTCTTGTGGAGTAACTTTGGAATCTGCCGCACCGGCGTCTATCCTAGGCCCTCCCCAGGTTCTCTGTCCGGCTGTGCATATGCCGTATACCATGTAGAGCCAGCTGAGAAAGGGACTGATAGTGAACATAAGCGGATAGAGGATTGCTTTCCACCGGTGTAACTTGACAGCCCAATAGAACGTGAGCAGCCAATTCAGGCCGAGAGAGATGCACATGAACTCCCAAGGTAGTTCATCAATCTGACTGGACGTGCTTGCCACGGCAACAAGCTCGATCAGCATCAGAAGGGCGGTCGTCCTTACAGTCATGGTCATAAATCGGAGGGCACAAAGAAACGGGTACTGTCTCCACAGTCGAACATCTGTCAACATGCAAACCTCATTGCTGATAAAGCCCAAAAACCACCGGCGGCGCTGTTTGAGTAGAGAATGGAACGTCTGGACCGCCTCAGTCTTGCAGAATGCGGTAGTGCTCAATTGGATCTGATAGCGTTTTTTGGCACCTAGCATGAACAAATGGGTAAGCCAGCGATCCTCTCCAAGGTGAGTTTTTGCATAATCAAACAAGTCATCACATTCTTCAGCCTTGTCGGAGAAGTAGAATTTGGCCATGTTCCGGAAGGCTGAGAAGCGGAGAATGGTCAGAGCCCCTGGGAGGCAAGTCACAGCACCACAGCCTGATTCGACCGACCGCTCAAACAGTTGACCATGCAGGTATTCTATATCTTGTAAAATGGTAAGCAAGGAGTTCTTTTCTGTGCATGCAGTGATGATGCCGGTCATTGCCAACATGTTACGTTTGTTTCCAGGCCTCAATTCCATATCGTACATGAAGTTCTGTATGCAGACAGGATCCAGAACACAGTCTGAGTCGATGAATAAGATGAACAGATTGTCCTTCTCCAGCAGATACCTTTTGTACATTTTGTCAACGAGAATAAAGGTGGCCTTTTGGCAGTGACGTTTGCCACCGTGAGGAAACCGAGACACCGTGACTCGAGCGCCGTTGTAGGCAATATCGATTGACTTGGGAAAATCTTTCATTGTAACAGGAATTCCTAGACGATCGATCGTTTTCAAATACAGTTCGTCGATGTCCTCGCCATCAAATGACAGAAACACGTGTATGCATGCAGCCGGATAGTCACACTTGACCACAGAATTCAAGGCTTTCCACAACGTATCTGGGGGTTCTTTGTATATTGGCATCACAACCACCACTTTTGGAGCGTTGCGGTCGTTCAGGGGAGCCTTGATCAGTTTGTCACGGCCGAGCGGTAAGATGAAGGATCGGTATACGCAAAACAACCAAGGCACCATCAGCATGACTGCAAAGCTGTAGAAGGCGAATTGCTGGAAGATGTTGGTCATTTCGCCTGGGAAGTACTGCGTGACACGATGAGGAAGAGGGAGGGTGACCACCATGATCGGGAAGAAAATGCCCCTAGGATAGCAGATGAGCAGTGAAACCCTCGGGATCGAGACCAAACATACCTGGCCGTGATAAAAGCGACAATCATCACAATTGCCATTAACCGTTGCGACCAATGATCCGCCTTTTGGTATGCCTTTGCAAGGCAATAAACGAACGCGGCGACCCATAGGAAAGACTCAAAGAAGGCCAATATGACCAATGGTGCTGAGATCGCTAAACATAAGATCTGCGATAGTCAATTCAGATATTTTGGAACTGGGGCTGTACTCACGTCTGGGATCGGCCACGGATCAGTCAAAGACTCGTAGCGTTTATCGGCCATTTTGCTAGCAGTAGACCAGAGCAGATCCGCTTCCTTGATGTACCTTGGTCTCGGTTGTACAACCCCGGCGTTTTGTGACCTGGTAGGGAGTATTGTCTGGGGGTTGAGTCTCAGTGCGAGTTGTGGACAATATCCACCTGGGAATGGCGTGAAGGAGTAACAGGCATGGGTTGGCTTCTGAAGGGTAACGACATATGCACGCCCTCACCGTGAACGTGAATTGACAACAGCCAGGTGAGATTCACATTGGGATCAGTGAAGAATAGTCATAGCGCGCAAATCTCTGAACAGTGAGATATGATACCCTGTTGGGATGTAATGCAGTCTGGATAGGAAACCGAGAGGGTGGAAGAGAGTAGTTCATCGAGTAAGTGGTCGTTCATTTGCAAGTGGATAAGGCAAGTACGACCAATATCAAAAGAGCCAATGCTGAATACCAGTACGGGTATGAGAGGAAGTCGCTGGTTGATTCGATATGCTGGGGATACGACATTGATCATTCACCTGCGCTCCAAGCACGACAGCCAGCATCGAATCCATTGAGCCCAACCAAATTTAATTAACTTTCATGAAGCAACTCCTCAACACCGTCAGAACTGGGGAGTAAAGCCGCAGCAAAACCAAAATCACGCTTGCTGCACCTTCATGATCTGTATTTCTCAACTGGAGCCACCCCATGACAACAGCTGCCTCAACTCCGGGACACCAGGTAGGTACCAATGTCTAAAATCCATCTCCACTCACAGTCGACCCTACTTCAGTCCAGACGCTCGCAGGAGTACGAATGCCATCACCTATCTCACTGAGTATATCATCAGCACTGTCATCAGCCTCACTTGCGTGGATGCTGCTCATGCTTCCGTCAGCAGTGGGGGCGCGAGACGGAGTGTTTGGGAGATTTAGAAATCCCGGATCCATCATTGATGGTGGACGACTCATGCGTCGACTCTCTGTAAAAGCTTCATGTTGCGATTCGTGATCGGAGAATGTGTGGGTAGAAGTGCAGGCCGATGCAGAGAAATATTGCGGCTGGGCGGAGCGTTGATGAAGATACTCAGCCGTCGGCACTGAGTAGTCCGGATCAGGAGCGTCTTCAGTGGTGGGCGTCAATTCAACCAGACTTTCAGATGGATGACTCCTAGGAAGCTCAATGCGCCTGTCTGATAGTGGGATGTTCCACGCCTCGCGCATTTCCCGTTCGTATCGCGACTCGAAAGCAGTAGAATCTGGCTGCTCGAAGGGACTAAGAGGTGAACGACTGATAGGTGGAGAATCCTCTACTGGTTCTTGGGTCGTGGAGGGTCCCTCATGAAGGTCGGAATGCCTTCCACGTTGTCGTAAGACATCAGGCTGCGCAAGCGGCTCAACGGCCGATGTTTGGGCCTGTGTATTCGATTCCGTGGGCTCGGTGTCTTTGAGAAGGATACCGGTGTCATCCACAAGAGTATCAAAGGAGGGCGTTCTTGATTTCTGGCCAGACAATTTCCTTCTCTTGCGCCTCTCCTCCATGATACGTCCTCGTTCCATGATTTCGGCTATGGCAGCTTTTCTTCGAAGCTCTGCGGATTCTCCTTGCTCTTCGTGCATAGAGGCATCGTTTGAAGGACGGTGTGGTTGAGGTGGGCTCTTGGGGCCAATTTCATCCCCAAGGTTGTGAAGGCCCATTGCGATCTTGTGCCTTGTCCGATCGATCCATGCTCGAACCTCTGGGTTCTCATATGCTGCGATGCCGGCTGCCACCACGATGGTGGCAGCAATTATGAGACCTACAGGAGGGACCATTGTAAGTAAAGAGATTCGCAGTGCTGGAAGCCCATCTCACACACAGCCATCACCGAATTCCATGCCCTTGCTATTGAGACCAGAAACGGACGGCAATGATGTAAGGGAGAGCACGGGCACATTATTGACTTACCTCGAGCGAGAGGTCCTGGCATGGCTTGCTAAGATGAATTGCGTGGCTACTCTGTCAAATGCGCTCTTCAGGTGTATAAAAGTCATGAGAGGAGAGCAGTGCCACTCGCGGGCCTGTTGGTGAGTTGAAAATATGTCAGCCTGGATGGTTGATGAAAGGCGGGACTTGTGTCGTTGGTGTGGCGCAGCCAGCGCTGCGAGTAAAGTATCGTGACTTGACTTTCGCGCACCGCCACTTCCCCGCACTTTAAGAGCGATGCCCATTACGAGTACGGATACGGATACGAGTGAGAGTGACATCAAGGATAACGGGCAAAAGAAGCAAGGCATGGATCAGGGTCAATATTTGACCAGCTCCTAAACTGCTTCGTGGCTGTGATTGGGAGCGAGATGCTCAAGTTTTTAAACAAAAACAGTACTCCGTACGTACCTACTCCGTGGCTGTGGCTCGGCTACTTACCAGGGAATAATTTCCCTGATCACGCCAGCCTTGCCCGGGATCGTGGCGCTGTACTTCAACTTGATGTGTTATGGACTCATTGTACTTGACTTTGTGCAATGGAAGAAGGTGTGGTATGTATTCTGCTTCATTATTATGAAATATACAGGTGTACATGATACTAGACCACAGGCAGTGACCAGTCCAACAAAGAGAATCCATTCACACCCCTATTTGATCTTCAGAGTCTTGACAATACAACTGTGTAGACTGCAGCATATGTCGTCTGAACAGTGACGTTCCACATCTTGGTATAAGAGGCTCCGCGCTTCCCTGTCCTCTCGCTCCGATTCGTTGCTCCGCTTTTGTGCTCCGTACCCTCCTCCATCTCGTTCACCTTCTTTTGACGCGTCGCCTTTTGTGAATTGGTCAAAAAAAGAAGAAGGCGGAGCCCAGGTCTCGGCATATCCACCGGTCTCTTTGACGTTGACGATGAGATCGCCTGCAATTAGTGTACATACATCCGAAGGTGTAGGCGTACACCGTCTTGAGTCTCCAAGAAACAGAATAGGATCGATCGGAGGAGCCGTTGGTATCTTGGACAATGTACGAAGTCATATGAAGTAGGTACCTTGTGTAAGTGCATTCTTTAGACACTTTGAGAGAAAAAGTAGCAGCACCTCCACTACAGGACAAACACATATGGTGTAGGTAGAGCAGACAACTCAGTCCGGAGGTCGTTACCATTCTTTACACAATGAAGGCAACTTCACAGAGTACCAGTACTCTTTCAGTCACCTCACCGATAGAGGAGGAGGATGTATCCATAGGCATGTCTTTTTCCCTGGTTTGGTTTGGTTTGTTTTGTTTTGCAATGGGGAAAATTTGAACTGTCGTCCGGTGACATTGTCGTAAACCGAAGAACCAGCTTGAAAGTGATTGAACAGAGATGGTACTAGATTGCGCTAGCTTGACTCGGTCACAAGGCGAAAAGGGTTCGGATCTTCTCAGTACAGGGAGTACGAGTACCACAGACTGCGTCGTAAGTGCTTGTCCTTGATACCTGGGGTGTAAGTAGGTACCCGGGGGGTGCGGGTGAGCCAAGGTGATTCACAATTAGGCGACACAAGCGGTGTCACAGGTGGTTGAGGGTGCCGGCAGCCCATGGGGCTCGTAAAGGTGGCACTTGAACAGTTTGCTTAGGTACCTAGGCAGGTAGCTACCTAGATGCCCGAGGTGAATGATGCTGACGCTTATTGGGCACCCCTGCCCTGCATCTCGTATTCAGAGCTCGTAACCGTCTGATTACTGACCCTGGAGAGGGCATGATCCCTAGCTGGATGATCTAGAACCACCCGCTGTGCTACAAATGACACTCGAATTAAAACCGTCGAGGCCCCAACATGATGATCGCCCGTTTGCGTTCGCCTCACTTTCGCTGAGTGGCTGGGACTCGAGTCTTTTCCTCGGGATCCTTGTTATTTCGAGAAGGTCGTCCTGGCTCGATGCTGGTAGGCAACGACAATGTGGGTTCGATGCTTTGACCTTTGCTGCCTTTCCGGAAGATCATGAAAAGTAGCCTCATACAAGTCACAGAACAACCAACACACGTATGGTTGGGGGTATCAAAACCAGAAGTCAATAGTAATTCCGCCTTACGAATACATATCATCATTTCCATCGTTATTCGTTTAGTTTGATCATAGCATGTGAACATCTTACACAGAATCCATATTGCAATGGGGGCAGGCCGCGGAGGTCCCACTTGGCAAGTTAGTGACCCCTTTTTTGTTGATTTGATCCCACCAATTTTTCTCATCCTGACATTCTCGAATTCCTGTAGAAACCGAAGACCAATGTCTATTATAATCTCCCCTGTGGCAAAGCGCCTGTCAGTATCTGCGGTATTAGAGGTTCGGGTAGAGACATACCCTCGAATCGAAATCTTGATCTTCCTCCTCTGGCGGCCAAGGTAGACCCGCAAACAGCTTCATGTCGACATCGAACATTTTCACGAAACCGTTTTTCATCTCCTCGTACGCCTCCGGGAATACCTGCGTCGTCCCTAAAGGCATGTAAGGAAGACCTTTGAAAATCTCCTCTCGCACAGTGTGCCCTGCGTTGTACATTCGTTCGCACATGAAATCTGCCGCACCAGACACGAGATCCGACCCCATTGTAAGACAGAAAACTGGAGGCAAACTGATTTTTTCTAGAACCTCATCGGGGATCCTCATGGGATTTTGCACCCAGTTGGATTGGTATGGTACATTGGGCAGGAGGGGCAACGGGAATTCTATGGCAGCGTCGGGACCAGACCCAGGAGGAGGTTGCATATTATTCCATTTGGTCAAGTTTTCCGCCGTCACCGTGTGATCAAGTTGTGCCGGAGCAACCATGACCAAACCCGCCGGCAACGAGAGACCCAGTTCGGCGCGTTGGAGCAAAGTACTGAGGGCGAGGCTTGCACCGCTGCGCATCCAGTCAGCTTTGTGGACCGAGTCGATGTTGGCAAGAATCTCTACTCACGCGGCCACTCCACCCAAACAGATGGTCCCATTGATACCCAGGTCTTCCTGGTTCTGGTAAACCCAATTGTACATCATGAAGACATCATTGATCGAGGCCTTGTATGGATGTTCCCAAACACTGCGGTTGGCCACACTGATGATGATGCACTGAGCATCTGGAAGAAAATTGGATAGTGTCAGCAAGAGATACAATTGATGGCCATCTTGTTATGGGTACGCACCATGACAAAGTCTTGAGAGAACGCTACTTTCGCCATCGATGTCTCCAGGCATCATGTTGCCTCCGATCACGATCAGCCCGACCATCATTGAGAGTGGTGACGTTACCAAAAACTCACCTTCAGAGCACCACACAATGGCGGGAACAGTGCCTTGGGAAACGGATCGAACTCTGTAGACCTTCAATTCGCAGACGCCACAGCTTCCAAAGTCAACGGGTATTGTCTCGTACAGAGGACCATCGTGCCTTAGCAGAGGAGATGGTTGAGTAAGGAGAACGGGTTGAAGGGGGTGATATGTCCTCATTGGGTGATGCTGGAGTTCTTGCTCATGTATCTCAAGATACCTTGGCTCAACGACACACCTCACGTTGGGGTGAGAGGGTTGCAGGGTGCCGGAGAAGAGGGCCATGGTGTTCAAATGTGGATCTTGGCGAATAGCATAGTGGTTGGATTGATGATCAAGGCTGAAGGGGTGAGTGAAAAATGTGAGGATCCAAGAACCAACCAAGGGAGAAAGAAGAGTTATATATATCTGAGCAGGCGTTTGATCCTGAGGGTGCCATGTCACTCATGCAGGACTCTCGATATAGCAACCTTTCGCTCTCTCGACTTCTCAGCTACTTCAACCTCTCGACCATCCCAATTCACTCCGACCGCGACCTTTTCGAATGCACAACCACCCTCAGTATACCCTCATAGACCGGCCTTGTCACAACACATTGGGTACCGAATGAATGGTAACGACGATAATAGGATGATGAAGTCCGATTGAGGTTTCTTGATGGGCCATTTTAAGTCAACTTTGCTTCCTCCAAATGACCAGGTGAGCGGGAAAGACTGCTGAGAAAAGTTCGGATGACCAGAGCGATGGTCAATGCGCCGAGATCGATCGCTACAGCTTTCTCTTCTCTGTGTTTTGCAGGCTGCAAGGAGATTCATTTGAGCTTCAGGCCTGGCAAGCTTCATGTCAAAATTTGCTGGACGCCTTGACGTGGGATGCCGGAGCCAGCCTCTTTCCTGTTTCGGTATCAGCTCCGACCTTTCATGGGTGATCTCGCCTGTTCAGCAAGCATTTGCGTCCTGCCCTGCTCTCGGTTTCGAATCTCGATGGATGCTTGCTGATATTGAGCGAGCATGTGCCTCCTGTCTTAGTCTCAGTCTCGCCCGTTCCCTGGGGCATATTTCGCTCTCACTTTTCCTCGCGCTAGCGGTCAAAGCACCACAGGATTGAGTCCGGAGACAGCTCCTCTCTGGTAACCGGAGGAACCAAAGACAGTGCAATGCGTCGGGACCCTTGCAAGGGATGGAGGGGGCGGGGCGACAGCGTACGGTAATTCACCCCTCTTCGACGCCACAACATATCTGCCCGGCGCAAAAGTACCGGTAAAAGACCAAGGAGGTGTGGCCGAGTTGTATTGGAGGTACTTTCCCAAACCAGGTTAACACTTGTGATAGGGCATATTGGTCGTCTTTGCCTCGGACGGCCGAACCAGTTTTCTGACTTTTGAGCATCCGGGCTCTCACATGATCGTCCCATGGTGCGATCCCGTCGGCACCTTATTCAAACAGGAGAGTTGATGAGCGTCCGGCCACTGACCGGGACAAACAGAGTTGGGGGCATTCCAGTCTTTAATTCGGATGGAGATCCCTTGATGTACCGTTCTCTCGCTTATCTCGAGTGATTGGCTTAGCTAGACTATTGCCCTCGGCTGAGGGCGCTCCGTCACGACTCCCAAAGTCTCGCTTTCGCGAAAACCCGGGCGCCCACTAGATGGTCCATAGATCTCCTCAATCTCCACACATACACACAGTCACACTGGCAAGCATATTGTTGGTAGCCTCAACTATGCAACCCTGTCAATGTCAGCCGATAAACATAGTTGGGTTGACGCAGGAATGTGAGCCATGGGTCTGGTCTGCACACGGAGGTCAACATTAACCCCTTTGGGCGGAAAGTTGAACCCTTCATTACATCATGTAGTGTCGCATACGCACCTCGGCAATCGTCAGAAAGGCACGGAGAGGTAACACATTGCATATGCTAAATCCGGGGGGAGACCACTTCTACCACTGGCAGTCGGTACCAAAAACGAGGCGGTGGGAATTGCACAAGTCGGATACGAACATTTGGGAAAGTAAAAAATAAAAATGCAACCTTGGCTCCGCCTTATCCTCTTTTTGAATACGAGCTTGATGGTCACAAGCACCCGCCAGCGTTGGAAAGACCTACCTAGAATGTTTCTGTTTTTTTTTAGAATTTTCCCTCGGTTTTTGACGGTGCGTCGTGCCCATGATCAGACTCCGGCCCCCGTCTTACAGTAGGTTAGTTCGGTAGATCCCGATCGGGACCCCCCCTCCCCCCCCTCCCCCCCCGTTTTCCCCCAGATTGACGGAGAGGAAAGAACTCTCAGGGTCTCAAGATCGGTAGTTGAGTGGTTTGTCGTCGTCATTTTGGTTTTTCAAGGGCCGTGGGTTGGTGCAAACCTCGGTTGTAACAAATCAGGTCAGTTTGAGGGTCCCAAGCTTGGGTTTCAGTCGTTCTCCGGCCCAGAGTCTGCAGATCCGAAGGATCATGTGGAGGGCAGAGAGAGACAGAGGGGGGGGGAGGAGAGAGAGTGTGTGTGTGTGCCTCTTCGCAGGGATGTAATCACATTTGGAAGCAGACAGTTTGCTTGAGTGTCGCACGCAGCATACCCTTGGTCGCGTCCCCCCCTCCCCCCCCCGGTAAGAGAAGATACCAGATGCCGGTCTAGCACAGTTATTAAAAAGGGACTTTCATGAGCCATTCTGCTTTCTATTTGGGCCCCGAAACTCAAAAAGAAAAAAGCCCTGAGGTTCCACATCACCTTGAACTCTGTACAAGGTCTCATTTTCTCTCTCTCTCTCCACCTCTCTTCGGACTTGGTATGATTCACGGAGTTATTCCGTATTCAGTTTACATTGAAAAAAGTCAAGATCTTCACAACTGATCGGGGTTCCGAAAGAACAAAACGAAGAGGGTAAGCGCAAACGGACCAAGTCACACCGAACCAGGATGTTGAAAACGAGGAAGTTGAGTCAACTCGCCTGAGGAAACCCGTGTACTCTCTGACGAATGGGTTTCTTCTCTTGCTGGCTTCACCACTCTAACCACTTTTTTGGGCACGAGAAAGAGGGGGGGGGAGAGAGAGAGACCCTTGGCCCCTTGGACCAGTCAACTCCTTCCTCCTCGTACTCCCTGTACAATTCGTGACGAGCTTTATTGACCTTGCGAGGTACTTTGCAGGACAATTAGTAAATACTGCCTCAACTACATGTCCCGGGAGTAATCAAAACCCTTTGTATTCCCTGATTTCTTTCCCACCCTTTGGGCCTCGCAACCACCAGACCATCTCTTTCCTTTTCCCCCTTTCTCTTCTCCCTCCTCAAGAGAAAGAACAATGGTATTCACGTCTAAGTCCATGTGTCACGGAAGAAGACCCGTCGTGTCTACTTCAATCAGAAAATCCGAAGACCGGAACTCATAACCAGAATCCGAATACGAATCTTTGCTGCTGCCAAAAATGTCATTCTCCGAAGGAGGGTCACCGTAGTCGATGACGACATCATCCTCGGCGGCGGCAGCAGCAGCAGCAGCGAGCAAGGCCGGGTTGTCACCCAAGGACAGATCAAGATTGTGAGGGTGCTTTGGATTCAAACAATCATTCCCAACATCTTCCACGACTCGAGTCGCAGTGGCAGCGTCTAGGTGGCAATCTTCTCCTCCGCCTCCCGATCGAATGCCCCCTGGAGCACCGGTGGGATCGTCGAGGTTGATGTAGTTTTCCATGCTTAACTGGAGTGCCCGGTCCGCGGCGGTGCCGATATCCTCGGCGTACTCCCAGCTGAGGTCGGTACCGACGAGGTGTGCCACCGGGAACAACTCTTCTACTTCGTCCGGCTGAAAACGTGTCTTGGTGAGGGCGTACAGGCTCCTTCGTACGTCAGAGGCCTGGAAGACTACGACTTGTGGCAGGCTTTCGTGGTCCGGACCTTGTCCCCAGTGGATGATCTTTCCCGTCACCCTTCTCCCGCAAATGTCGAGGTCTAGCACTCTGAACGAGTACAACAACAATTTCCGGGTGAACATTTTCAGGGCGTCCCCTCGTCTCTGTTCGTATTCGAGGATCTCCTCGACACCCTCCTGCAAGCCGTCGAACTCGTGACGGAACTCTTGGGAGTTCCAGCCGTCGATCATGGCCCATTTGGCGAAGTAGTAATAAGCCAGACATGGTGACATGGTGCACGAATCGCTGATGCCCCAGATCAACCAAGTCAAAGTGGGAGAGTACGTGACGCGAGTCGGCCTCCGGGTGCCGCGTACAAAGAATATTGTGAAGCCGTCAGGAGTGGACGGGTATCTGTCCAAACACGAAAGGTCTTCTTCAACCAACCCTTCGCCGTCTTCAATACGCTCGACGGGGAAAACGTGGTGGTCATCGAGCAGATGTCTTGGGGGGTTGAGAAGGAATCGAGAAGTAATGCGATTGTGATTGCCAGGGTAGAAATAGAGATACATATTTAGCCGTGCCTCCCTCTCCTCATCCGTCATGACCTCAGGGTAGGGCCGCCTGCGCGCCGTTCGGTCTGGCCGTTCGTTGGACGGCCGGTTAGACAGCTGGCTGGACTGCTGAACTGCCATGGTGAAGGTAGATCAGGTGAACGAGTAGGATGATAACAAATGAAAGGTCTGATTGGATCCCTGTGCCTTGGTAATCAATAGATTGGGATAAGCGAGGCGAGATGATTCTGGGAACGACTCGGCCAAATGTCGTGGATGATCTCATGATTTATAGTAGAGCAGCACCGTTCTTCCCTGCCTCCAGCCTGACAGGGGCCGACGAAGCCAGCACCGACGAACTCACAATTTTCAAATGGACCTCAGGAAAGTATGTAGCCCAAAGTGGATCAGCCGTAACGATGTCTAGGATGACAATCATGTGGTGTAGCATCGACGTCCCGGGTTCCCCGAGATCGCTGGCCATCAGCTCTGACGCAGGACCTGCATGGTCCAGAAGTGGAGGTTCCTTTAGCTTGGATATTCGACGATGGATGACTGAACAATGTGCTAAAGGCTAGTCTTCAGGGCATCGGTTGCAACTGCACTACTGGTTCACAACCATCACGACTGCCTGGAAAACGAGATGTCATTCAGCGTTCTACCCTGGCTGACAGTGAACTGTTTAGATCAGCTGCACCGAACAGGGCAAGACTAGGTGGGTAGAGTAGTAGACCGAATCGATCAATATGGACCCATGGTAGACTTGGATGAGGAGGGGAATCGCCGAGGGAACCTCTTCGATTTCGGATGGCAAAGGAGTCGCTAGTTTGAGGAGACGGATGCTGGTACCATGATGGTCGCGTATCTCTCAGCGTGATTGGAAGGACCAGAGTTTGCGACCTCGTGATGAGCGGACCTGGTAGCATATGTGCATAGATCGAACAAATGCAAGACAGCAAGCCATACGTGTCGTACTTTCGTCTGATTGTAGTGCCACAATTCCCGGTGATGAGTTCAGCCTCATGCAGAGTCTAGCTGTCAGTGAAAGGTGAAGTCACAACCGGGGATAGATACCCCGGGCATACAAGGCAAGGAGATGTACACCTTTCATCCTGGGTCCGAGAGTCACCTAATATTCCGATGCAGATGAGAACTGAACCCATAAATTGATTCGGAGTCGATGCAGTGCATCAGCTCCTTAGCCACAAATACATGGAGATCAAAAACCTCACCACCCAAAAACGCCTGAGATGTGAGTTCTGTCTGTCGCTCATCCCGGCGGGGAATTGAGTTGGTTAGAGCGAGAGTGTGAAAATCCTTGGGAATCCCTTCCAGTAACTCCTGTCCACATTCACGTCAGGACGTCACTACTTACAAAACTGCACCAACAATAGGTATGGGGAATCCCCTTTCGTTTTGACGCAAGCAACTCCAAGATCCATGTCTGCTGTAATTTTGATAGGTCAGTCTAGAGTTTATGACTACTGGCCTCAAGTGTAGGCGTGGCCTTGAGTGGCAGTTTAGTGATGATGGAGACTAGCTGGGGCCCGTGTATGCCGGCACTTTTCACTTTCAATGCTTCATCCCACCTTGCTCGTAGTTATGACCGAGGAGGAGGAGGAGGAGGAGGAGGAGGAGGAGCTAGTACCTCACATGTTGCATATCATGCTTGAGTCTCCATCATTGCCTCTCAAACAACAGGGGTGGAAGGCGAAGAAGGAGAAAGAAGGGGGCGACCATTAATGCACTACGGAGTTGAGTTAGAGACGGCGAGGCGGTGTACATTGGGATACGAGACATCAATATTCCCCTTGCCTCAACGAGAAATCGCACATGATCTGGTGCTTCATCTTCCAGGACCTTTACACGGATCAACGTCCCGAATCGTCACTCATGTTCAGTCTGAACTTGAACTTGTTGTTTCTAGATGCCACCCACGCCGAGGGCAAACTCATTCCCAGCTCCAGAGCGACCGGGATAATTCAGACAAAGGGCCTTGAAAAGGTGACAGACGTGCTTGAGGCATGGCAAGAATGGCTCAGGACCTCATAGGTGCTCGTAGGTGGTCTTCCCTCCGGCGCTATCTTCCCCTGTCTCGTATCCAAGGGAAGATGCGTCAGACACCATCTCCGTCGTTCCATCTCATATTTTCGCTTTGTCCTGCCATGTATCCCTGCGCCAGCATTTCCGGCACGAGCCAAAGTTGGGATGCGTCTTTGTGACCACTCCGTTCCGCGTCAATGACCTCGACGCATCCTGTCGATCAATTGCCACCCTTTTCGCGACTGGCCTCGTGTCCGTCGAGAGAAGGGCCGTCATCTTCGTTGCCAGGGAGGCTCATCTTTCCTGCTTCCACCAGGCGTCGGTGCAACTCTTCTCTTTCGTTGATCCACATAAGCTCAGCCCGAGCCCAGGCAACTCCACAGTTCCAGTAGAGCCGACGATGGTATTGGGCATCGATCAACTTTTCCTCAACAACACTCATCTGATGCTTCAGCTCGGCGTTATCCTTTGCGAGTTCGATCAGGTCGCTCCGTAGGTCCTCGAGCTGTTTGGATGGTATTATCGTCACCGTACATGTCGCCTTCTCCTCCTTTGCTGGCTTCATTTTCGTTCCGGATTCGTATGGTGCTGCGGTCGTATCAGGTGCAGACCCATGTCCATGTCGGCTTTCGCACGCTAACTCCACTGCCACTCCCTCCTCCTTCTCAGTTTTGATGCGCTTAGCGGCGCGTTGTCTGGTGCTTTCCATGCTCGCGATGCAGCTCTCACGTCTGCTTTTGGGTTTGGCCTTGCCGCTGCTCTCCCGACCAGCGTCCATGTTCTGGAGACCTGATTCTGCGGGTCGAAACGTCGGAGGGGCCATCGAGCCGCTGGAGGCGGGGATGAACTGATCATACAACATCGTTTGTTAGCAATCAATCCAGCAAGCCACTTTGTTTTCTTTGCGTATTTCACTGTCTCCTGAGCCCATCATTGCTGCAGCCGAAAGGATCCGGAGACGTATTCAGGAAGCAACACTGTATGCATACTTTGTCACCACCGTGAGTCACCTTCTCCTCTCTCTTCTCAATCACCCTGAGGCCGCAATTGTTATTCGTCGACGAAACTGCTGATACCAGTGGATTCTGGGTCGTGTAAAATTATTACAGAGCGCCGACAGGGGTGAATACGAGGTCACGCTCAAGATTTCGGTCTTGTTGCCATTGCTGGTTTACGCCATCTGTCACTGTACCTTCAGGCTTTCCACTGCCGCACCACTCGAGCGCCTCAAACACTTCACCATAGGCGGTGAGTGACGCTTCGTGACAACCGAGTTGACCACCCCCAATCCGTCTGCACTCATGAAACGGAAAAAGGTCCGAAGGGTGACCCCGTGTCAACTCAGTTGGGCTGGCTGGAATTGGATTCAAGGCATTGAACCTGCCTTTAGCATGCGAAGAAAGAGAATCAGGTAGGCGTATGTGGTAGCGAAGTCGCCAGTGCACGAGGATTTGCGGACTCTTGGCCGAATACTCCGGACGGACTGCAGAATAGTACAGAGTACCAAATGAATACATGGCCTTTCACTAGAGCGATTAGACAGGCATTATAACAGCCTTGGAGAACAAGAATACGTCTTTCCAAGGTCATTGGCCGCTTGCTTCTGTGCTGGCTCTCTGCCTCGTTGTTGTTATGCAGACAGAAATCATCATTGACCACGGAGGCGCAACAATGCTGAAGAACGCGAGGAAGCCTCCAAGCAAGCAGAGCAAAGAGCAGAAGTGAAGGACCACAAACAAACACTCGACTCAACCCACCTGGTCTTTGATCTGTGACCTCAATCTTTTCTGATAGTCCTCTCTATCAAGAAGGTTGCGCTTGATGAAGTCTGCTGCGTTCTTGGTGAAATATGGGGCCGCAGTTCTCTCAAAATCCACCACCAGACCTCCAAGGTGACAATATATTTATGCTTACATGGGAACAACATTTCCTCCAGCCATTCGTTTCGACAGAACGTGTCAGCCCGAACTTCTGCTCATTGACGAGCCAACGAGTCAACAACCGTGTCGCCATCACATACTTCTGGCGCCCTGGGCTCAGGAGTGATTTTATGAGGAGCGTATCTGGATTCATTTGACATGTGCTTCGTATATCACCTACATGTACGAATACGCACATGGTGTGCTTATTTTTCTTTTTTACTACAATCGTAATCCCCAGACAGGGAGGAACAAGAGCAGATGGTTCATTGCACGGTGCAAATCAGACTATTTGTTTTCTCGTCGTGCCGAGTCAAAGTGCCGATAAATAATCGTTACCGTAACACTTACTACTTTCGTCCAATTCTTTCGTCTCTATCGACGTCGTAAACTCCGTGATTTCTCTACCCCGAAAATCGTCGCAAATGTTCTGGGTTCTACCGAGTACTCTTAGCTTCTCGGAATAACCGAAGTGCAATTAGGATCGGGTTCCGAGATCACGTATGGTGAAGTAAGACTTTCATTTTCTCGAAGGTGAGACTCGCTCGCCTTTCCTCGGGCTCCGTATACGCCCATTCTTACAAATTTGGCACCACCCCATATAGCCCACAACCATTCTTGTCTACTTATACACGACCCTACCCCCAATAAGAGAACTACTACCTACAAAGTATCAAGCTCGACATTTTGTTATTCGTTGTGTCGAAAAGACAACCCAAGAAAAGACGCGACTTTCGGTCCGACACCTCGACACACCCACACTACATACTCGAGGACGACAGGTCGCAGACGATCGTCGGTCATCGAACAATGGCCAGCATCACACAGATCCCGCATCACGACGGCTACACGTCCAGAACCTTTGTGTACAAGGTCATAGACGGTCTCGAAATCAAGACGGAAGTTGCCTGGCCTGCGACCAAAAAGACCTCGGGTCCGGTGCCGGTATTGCTACATTATCATGGTGGATTTCTGGTGCGACAATCACCCCCATTGTCTTTTTCATCTTCCCACCTCTTTCTGAGCTCTCGCGACCGCCATTTTTCGGTTTCGCTCGGCATGCGAATTTGAAAAACCAAAAAACCAGACCAATGTGTGGTCGTGCACTGACATCCTCCCGTACAATTTAGGTCATAGGAGATCGATTTAGCTTCCTACCGACGTGGCTCGTCAGCTCGTGCGCGTCGAGAGGTTGGATCTTCGTCACACCCGATTACCGCCTCATTCCCGAGACGACGGCCCATTCATCTCTCGACGACGCGGTCGATGCGTACAACTGGGTTCTGACCAAGATGGGAGGGGAGATCGGCTTGGACATCGGGAAGGTGGTCATGGCAGGAAGTAGCGCAGGTGGCTATGTAAGTCTCTCTCTCTTTTGCTGTTGTGTCTGGTCACGACCCACCTCCCGATCAGACGACGTGCATCGTGGCGACTGACCCGATGATTCTTTGCCCGTCTTGTTGTAGCTGGCCCTGGGGACGTCGTGCCTCGTCTCCCCCAAACCACAAGCCGTCGTGACAATCTATGGCATGCTCGACTTTGCCGACCCTCGGTATCTGAACGACGGCTCCCTGATATTCGGAATGCCCCCCATCGACACAAGCGGAACGATGAAGAAACTGGAAGACCTCGGTCGACAGGACCATCCGAGCGTCGTGTCCGGATCGCCAGTACCGATCGTCGTGGACCCGAAAGCCGTGCCACGGTTCGAATACATCCTCGCATTGCTCGCCGAGCGACTCTTCCCCGACTACATCACCGGAGTCCCGGGAATGCGCCAGGCGATTGTCGACAAGGGAATCGGAGCCATCCCGCAGGAACACAGGCCCTTGTTCCCAGCCGCCTTCGGGCTGCCGAGCGACTTGCCACCGTTTTTGGTCCTACACGGTCGCAACGACAGCGCGGTGCCGTGCTCGGCAAGTGAGACCGCGGTCAAGGCGTTGAAGACCGCGGGAGCCAGCGTTCAGACGGAATTCGTCGATGACGCGGAGCACGGATTCGACGGTCGTCTCGAGGGGGCGAGTAATCTGGATGCACTGTCGGAAGGCGGTGACGATAGCAGAGCTTTGCAAATTCGAGCTTTGAAGAATGTAGTCAAATTTCTAGAGAGACATCTAGGATAAGAACACGAAGAACAGAAAACGTGAAACTAAAAACAAAAGGCCGCATGAGTTTATTCTGTATGGTCGGTCGACCTCAATCAGTGCTGAGGCCATCCCGCCGCATCGAGAGTCCTGTACAGTGTACTACGAACATCGTTTCGAGTGAAGGAGTGATCAAGAAGCCTCCTCGACAAACGCTCTTTCGTGCACCCATCCAAACTTGCATACAATTGTGGTCGTATCGCCAAGTGCAAACAGGATTGTCCGAGTACTGAAAAAGGGAGGCCCGCTGCCAAGACCCGTCTCAAAACACGTGATTTCAAGGCACCTAGATGCGCCCGCCCGGCCGACCCGAAGCTCTCGATGTCGACGACGATTGTTGCTACAGACCTCTTTCGAACATCCCATTCCGCGACAAAGGTCTTCGGCCACCCCCTCGACGTACACAACCGGTTGATATACTTGCTGGGGTATTCTGTGACGGCACATAGTCTATCTGTCGGCGGCCATGACAGTCATCGAGAGTGTTAAAGAAGCCATTGGCTTTGGCGGCGACAGTGGTATGCGACCCCCCTCTCAAGGCCATTGCACCCTACCACCACCACTACTGTTCGCCCGACCGCACATTGCTGACCTTTCTTCTTGTCCGTTGCTACACAGCCCCGGCCTCTAGAGAAGCCATGTCCGAAGCTCGATTACCCCTACAATACCGTGATAGTTGTGCGAACCTCTTGATTCCTCTGAACAAATGTCGACACGAGAACTCATGGACGCCTTGGAAGTGTGAAGTGGGTTTTCTCTCTTTTTCCTTCTCACTTGCGGGCGCACCAGCCTCGTTGTGCTTGTCCGAGGATCATGTTCGCTGACCTTTTGACCCAAACCAGCACGAGAGACACAGCTACGAGAAATGCCAGTATGAGGAATTCAAAAAGAGAGTGGCAAAGATGGAGGCCCTTCGTGCGGCCAAATCGGCAGAGGCCTAGCTAGCAGTTGGAACACATGCGCCCGCGCGTGCGAGCGAAATCTGTCGAATTTGAAAGAGACTGGGAAAACAATTGACTCTCCATTGTACATATATATCCCTCCCCCAAAATGGCTGCTCTTCAGTCAACTCTCTGTGGCATGCCATGCTAGAGAAATGGGGGCCTTTTTTGGGTTGGGAGTGTGTTGATTGCTCCAAGACAAAGCAAGGGGCAAGCAGCACTGAGGTTGACTTCTAACTAGAGCATCCCTTGCTTACCATAACACGCCTTTTTTCCAAATCACTGGATTGGTATAAACAACCTCCTAGGCGACATGGCCAAGTGAAGAAGGCATAGAAGCAAAAAAAAGACAAGACGTACAGAGTATGTTGTTTGTAAACCAAACCAAACCAAAAAAATATATCATATTACCGCCCAGGGGACTTGTTCTAGACCTCAATGTATTGGTGCTCCGCTAGATGTGTCGATTGGATCGTATGTGAACTTGGTGCCGATGATTCTCCCCATGAGTAACCCGATATCCGATGGGATGGTGGTAGGAGTCTGTCCACTGAGAGAAGTGGTAGACGTGAGGAATGCGAGAATGTCGCGCTCAGTCGTTGAGGCCAAGTGCTGTGTGGTTTCATCCTTATAGACACCTTCCTGATCACCACTTGAAATGGACAGTAAATGATCCGTTTCGGACTTACACACAGACGATACCGAGCTTGATGGTTGATGATATGGAACGGTCATTTAATAATGTCTACTTCGTGCACGACAAGAAATTACTTACCGATGGAACATACAGTACAAATAGCCAGTGGTCCAAAACAAACTCGATTCAATACTTGGAATTCCTTTACTACAACATTTGGACGTCATCTTCTGTCTTTGTGCTGTAGAATCTAACAACTCAAGGCCATAACTGTACTGTCATAGCCTGACCATAGCATCTGTGAACAAGCTCCCTGCTTTTAAAGCCTTCAAATAAAGCAAGAAAGGAAAGAAAGAAAAGATATACATCGCCACCCTTGCACTTTTGATGGCATCTCGTTTTGTTTGGAACGTAGGCATAAGACATCCCGAGGTTTGTACAAAGACTCGCTGCCGAAAAAACCGAACTGTTCCTTCATCCGTGACATTCTGCCCCAGAGGTCGATCGGCCCTTGAAAGGTCGTCAAGTTTTGAAAACAGTCGAAACAGCGAGGTGGCTACTCGTGGCATCGCAGACCCCAAAAAGGGGCAGAGTATTGTTCGTTCAACCGCGCCAAAAAAACCGGACGCTTCCTAAAAATAACGTGGAAAAGAAATAAAGGCTAGCCCTAAACACCCGTGGTATATGCAGTCGTGGATCAATCAAGGATTTTGACATAAGGAAACGCCGAAAATTGTCATGGGGATTCATCAGATGAGACCACACATGCGCAGGTTCTCCTGGATGATGATATCTGCAACATTTAAGGTCAGATCCGATGCATGCCATGTCTGTGGAACAAGAGGGCGTAGAACTTACCATTGACAGCACCCATGACAAACCTTATCTGAGTTGTATCAGTGGCGCAAGTGAAATGGGTGTAGATTTGTTTCGTTTCGGCCTGATTGAGTGACACGAATCTGTTCAAGATGTAGTCGCATGCAGCAGCATAATCCGGGCCACCTAAAAGGTTGGTCAGCATGCAGGCCTCTCGTCTGCAGGGCTCCGCACGTACCTTCGTAGTCTGGAAAGTAGTTTTGCATGGGGCTGACGGGCAGCTTCTCCTTGAATCTGTCAATCTTGTTCAAGAACAAGATGATACTGGTCTTGATAAACCATCTCGAATTGCAAATGCTGTCGAAGAGGGTGAGGGCTTCTTGCATTCTGTTGACGGTTTCATCTTCGAAGAGCAACTGGTCGTACTCGGAGATGGCGACCAGAAACAGAATGGTGGTCACATTCTCGAAACAATGAATCCACTTCTTTCGCTCAGAGCGTTGACCACCCACATCAAACATCCGATATGTGAGGTCTTGAATGATGAAGGTCGTCTCTGTGATACCGGTGGTCTTGACACGAGACCGAAGAACATCTTGATCGTTAGGCAGGTAATCATGTGCAGAAATGCGGTCGATCGAGTCAAAGTAACTAGGGTTCCAAGTTAGCAAGAGCTGCCTGGTCGCGGCCACGGATGATGGGAGGTTTACTATCGTGCAGAATCGTTGAGTTGGTATTCTCTTGACCGCTTGAAGCATTCTTGAACACCGGCATCGTGCCATAGAGCTTTGATGGCGGCGCCGACCTCTGGAGGTAGGCTTTCTCCTTCTATTTGTGGTGGCTGCATGAAGATGGTTTGAACGTGGTACTCGGCTCGTTGATCGTCAAGAGGTAGTTCCAGGGACTCCATGGCCTCTAGTATGACTCGCATCGACTGGACGGTGTTGGAGAAGATGATTTCCTTGAAGGACTCCCGTTCATCGCGTGAGTAGCCTCCCTCGTGGATAAGTTTCATTTGCTTGAGGATGGTAGATTTTCCTGATTCACCAGCACCTGCAACAGGTCAGCATCGGACTTGTAGGAGGCATGCCAACATTGACTTACCCAGCAACAGCATCTTAATCTCATTACGCTGTGCCATCTTATCTCTTTTCAGCTGATTGTCAATCTCATCGTTCCTTGCCTTTCCGGCGGTATCTTCTTTGCTTGCACCACATCCCATCTTGACGGTGGTTTGAGATGCTGGCCCAAAGGGTTCAGAGGCGGCGACGTGAAGACTTGAGTGACGTTGGGCCGGCTGCTATTGCGGTGATAAGTCAGCTATGCTCTGTTCCAGGTCCTGATATTTGCGCGGAGGACTTTGAAGGGAAGGAGCAGGCGATGCGGCGTAGATGAAGTAAGAATGAGACGCTGTGTGTGCTCACCTCTCAATGACCTCGACCAGGATCCAATTCAATATGTCTTACCACTGCAGGATACTGCACAGCAGAGCGATCAAAAAAGGTGGTGGATGGGAGTGATCAGAAGTCCGAAGTGGGATCGGCGCGGGTGACGGCGACAAGTGGAAATTTTGGCGTCGATCCGTGACTAGCTGAGCGACGCAAGTGATAGATCCGGAGCAGGGACAGGGCGTGTCGCGAGTAGGGAGTAAGGGAGTAGAGGAAGTTGTGAGAGGTGTGGTGTAGGCGCAGGTGTTTGCAGGACCGGCTCTGCTGTTGAGGGTGCAGGTGGTTGATGGATGTTCAACAAGTCGCTAGAATGAACGATACGAAACAAAAACAGGAACAGGAACAAAGCAGTGATGCTCGGGTACTGTACAGGGGCACAAGGGAAACGAAGAACAGGACGCTGGTTGATGAGATCGGATGAATTGAGAGAAGAAGGTGGATGGATGGATCCTAATTTGACACACGGGATTGGACGTGAGGCCGGGCACGCAAGCGAAAGTAGGAGAAAAATCGAGATGGCCACTGTGCAGTACGTACTCGTACCTAACCTAGCACCTGCTGGTTCCTAGCTGCCCCCTAAAGCCCTCCCGTACCCGCAACTGGAGAGCCCCCGGGGGCTTCAATTCAGTTAAGTTCCGGCTAGAAATGCTAGCGCCCCAGCGGTGGCTTTACCTGAAAGACACCAAACCAGCACCAATTTTTAAGGCACCGACTTTTCGGCTGGTCAGTGGCTGCTGGCCACCTGCATCCCGCCTTGCTGTTCGCTGCTGGATTCATCAGGCTGGTAAGCTAATGCACCTTCATCGCATCCGATAGAGCTCCATGTCGTATCCTACAGCACAGCATCTGTCAAAACCGACGACTACTCTTTTAGGGCTCCTGATGCCCCCTTAGAGGCGCGATGTGTCTCTTCTGTGCAAGTTATTATCATGACAGCCCGGCACTGAGACGGAGGCTCGAGTAGCACCATTCCCAGCCCCGTCGCTCCCTTGACCATTCCCGCACCTTTTCCCACCCTGGCCCTTGGTGGTGACCGAACTATAGCTTGGCTTGAACGGCGGCTGACACTCAAGGGCTGCCCACTTGGTTGCGCCGGCGAATCTGTTTTGGATCACTGATGCAAGGCCAGTCTTTGCGCAAACGCAGGGGTACATGGCTTCTAGTGAATATTTGCGACTCCTTACGAAGCATCGCATTGGAATCCGGATTATCTAGACGAGAATTCATATTGACAGCAGCTCCCTGTCGTGTGCAGACGACGGAGCACCACGTCGATCAATATTTGACTATCCGCACAAAGATGGGCAACTCAGTTGATATCGATATCACTCGCATATCGGGTCGATGAGGTTCAGCATCTAGGCTCGGCTTTTCCAGCTGCCAGAATCAGACCCGTCTTTTACGGAGGATTGCATATATGAAGACGGAGCATAAGGCGCAGAGACATCCCTGACCTGCTCATACTCTGTAGAGTATTGGACGCCGTGCATGAACACATGAATTAATCTAGTGTGTTCCACGACCCCTTTTGCAATGATCCTTCGACACAATCGTGGTGTTGTCACTCAATCGAAAGTCATGGGTCATGGTTCAAAAAGCCGACAACAAGCGCAAATAGTGTCCTTTAAGCGAGGGATGGCGAAACACTGTGAAAAGCAAAGCACGTTTGAATCATACCCGAACGGCCAGGGTCATCTTCCATCAGCTGATGGCACTACCCGTCCAATTTTACGGGGAACCTGTTTCTCGAACGTTTGCGACAGTCGATACGGAGTACTTGGACGTGCCTGGCTATCCCGTCTCGCAAGGGTGTCTACAGAGTTTGCACTTCCCAGCCGCTCCAGGACCCAAACTCCACCTGGATCGACCGGCAAAGCAGCAGGTAGCACAGTCCCTGAATCTAAAAGCCTTAGGCCAGACTTCTCGGTCTTGCTGGGGCCGGGTGAAGTCTCGCCCTCCCCAGGAACTGGTTATGTACAGCATGCAATGCGTGACAGGTCATTCTTGACCCGATAACCATGAAGGGGCGCTGCACACTACGAGAACTCGCATTTGGCTAAGTGATTAATCAATCAATCATGAATCCCAGTCTCGCGGAAATGATTTCGTGACAGCCGACGGAACCGTCGATCTAGTTCTGTTCTGTTCTCGCGGTACTCCGTTCAGTACAGTACGAGTACATCAGCATAACATAACGATCCGCCCCTTGGACGTGCGGCACGAACGCTGCATTCGCTTCGGGATGCTTGTAACGTTCGACGGAAGGACTCTTACAAGTATAGTTAGTCGTCGCAGAAACAGTGGAGGTGTCGATGTCAAGTAGGGTGTCAAACTGGAAATCCGTCCACCACTGACTTGGACCCTCAACAGCTATGCGGTGCCTTTTTGGTAACCGAGCTGCTATCGAGTCTTGTTATTCGTCCACGTCTCTAGTTTGCCGGTGTTTTGCATGGACGATCAACGCCACAGCATCCTGTCTCATATCTCGCCGCCCGAATCACACATGACAGCACACCTCTTCTCGCCGAGTTCGCTAATGCTTGACTGCCGATATCCAAGCCTGCCCCATCACCATTTATTATGTCTACAGACTCCGTAGCACAGTCAAACATCTGTCAGTCTTGCCTCGAAATAGGAAATGATCACCTTCGACAGGATGTTGGCGTTTACGAAAACGGACACCATGACACCTGTACCAGACCCAAAGAGGTGGTCGTGCATGGTTGAGCCCGAGTTTGAGAGTCTGGCCTTCTCCTCGCATCATTGTGATGTGCGACTCAATGTTTCTCGATTACGGCAGCCTATCGACAATAATGGGGCCTACCGGCTGACTACTTGCGCGTCTCACAATCGCGTTGGGTAACACCCAAACAGCCACTTACTGCATCCTTGCCAGGTTCGGGGACGTCCATAGGCATACAATATGTGCTTGCTGACTTCATTCGGAACGAGCAATCTGTCGAAACACGGTACGGAACCTCGATTCGATCCGCCACCACTCATAAGACATGGAGGTACGGATACGGATACGGAGAACTTCTGATTGAAGGCCGTGTTGATCCTGTCATGAAGGCTTTCAGAATGTGGCAGTACGGCAGACGCCGTCTCGGTCGAACCCGCAATATCTGCTGCCAGCGAGTCCGAATGTTGGTGAGCCCTAGCAGCATTTGTCGAGCGATAATGTTTGACAAACAAAGAGCAAACACTTCGTGAGCCCTTCGGTCAAGGATAGAATAATGAAACACATCAGAATCATGGGGAATAGTAGGACCATGGCCTTATCGCCCATTCCGCAAATTTAGGGGACAGTTGAAGCGAACCGAGAACATACAAGTACACTCCACGTAGGAAGTTCGAGGACTTTGCTATGGTGTACTGTGCTCTGCTATACTAGAGCTCTATATGAGTCAGGAGTATAACTGGGAAGCTGGTCTCTATGCTTTCGACCACTTTGAAACCCATCTTCCAGCAAACATCGGGATGTCGCCGCCATCTCCTCACTCTTTGTAATGCTGCATGCATAACACCGGTCCCCGTTCATAAAGCGAAGTGTGAATGAACAATGCAGTACTTGTACTCGTACAACTAAGAGCCTCGCAGCCCCACGTCAGCCTTGAACTCCCACTTCTCCGCTTATCACAGTTATCATCGTATTCGTTGTGTGCATCCAGAGTACAGTTACAGTCCCCCTCATTCACTCATTTGGGACAATGTGGGGTTGGTTCCTCCCTTTGCTGCTCCGCGAGGGTCTGGGCCTAATGCCGACGACGTCTCTCCCTCTCCCCCACCGATTAGGATCTAAAAGAAATCTCCAGGTGGACAAGATTTGCATATCCAATCGGGTCTGGGGTAAAGTCTGGTCACCGAAAGGGCCCTTTAATGACAACGCAATGTCTCAAAAAAGTGCTTCTTCAGTAGGTAGATAAGAAACCCGAGGTTGTAAAAGTGGTGTTTGTTGGTGAGGGCATATCGCAGAAAAGTACAAGTCACTGCTCGATCTGAGCAAAAGCCATGGCGTTCACTGCTGGGCTCCTAGCCGTCTGCCTCGTCCTTTTAGTGGCGTACAGTGCTTTGCTACGACGAAAGAAACCCCCCAAGGGTCTACGCCTCGTCCCAGGACCGAAGGGACTGCCCATCCTAGGCAATCTACATCAACTCCAGCCTTACCCTCAACGGTCACTCCAAAGATGGGCACGAGAGTACGGTGAGATGTTTCAGATCCGGATGGGTTGGGAGAATTGGATCTTCCTCAACGATCCCGCGGTCGTCAAAGAACTCTTGGACAAACAGTCCGCCGTCACCTCCGGCAGGGCCCCCTCGCCCGTGGCCTCGGACATCATCTCGGGGGGCAAACGGTTCCTCTTCATGTCCTACACTCCCGAATGGCGGAAACTCCGGACCATCGTACACAAGCTCCTCACCCCCAAGGCGTCGGCCCTGTTCAAGCCCAGCCAGGAACTCGAGGCCAAACAACTCGTCTACGACATCCACGAGGACCAGTTGCGGAACGACCAGGAGAGTTTCTACATGCACTGCAGGAGGTACTCGACTTCGGTCATCATGACGTCCACCTACGGGAGAAGAGTCCCACAATGGGTGAGTCTTGCGTGAACCACGTACGTGGAGGAACGAGTTGACTGACATTGTTTGGCGTTTCAAGGATTGTGAGGACGTGAGGGAAATTTACACCCTGATGAACGAATTTTCCGAACACGCCGCGCCCGGCGCCTACCTGGCAGAGATGATCCCACCCCTGGCCAAGATCCCCGTGCCGCTGCAGTGGTGGCGCGGCCGCGCCTTGAAATGTTACCACCGTCAATTGAACATTTGGTGGAAATACTGGACCACCCTGAAACGGCAGATCGCCGACAAGACGGCTCCCGAGTGCTTCGTCCGGCAATACGTGGCGACCGAGTACGAAAAGGAGGGTATAGACGAGGAACAATCGGCCTTTTTGGCTGGATGTAAGTTTTTGGTCCTGTCTATTCATGACGATCCCCACTTGATCATGATAATTTTTGTGATCCTACCTCAAGCACCACGAGAACCAAGAAAGTCCAAGAAAGCAAAATAACTAATTCGATTCGGTGGATGACAGCAATGATCGAAGCCGGTTCCGAGACCACCAGTTCCGCCCTCAACAGCGCCATCAAGTACCTCGCCGCTTTCCCCGAAGCGCAAGCCCGTGCCCACGAGGAAATCACCCGGGTCGTGGGCGACTCCCGCTCCCCCGGGTTCGACGACGAGGACGGCCTGCCTTTCCTCCGCGCCACGGTCAAGGAGGTCCTCCGCATCCGGCCCGTGACCAACATCGGCACGCCCCACTACACCACCGCCGACATCGTGTACAAGGACTTCTTCATCCCCAAACACACGGTGCTGTCCATCAACCAGTACGCCATCCACTTTGACGACGGCCGTTACGACGAGCCCGAAAAGTTTAAGCCTGAGCGGTACCTCGGCCACCCGCTCAAGGCCGGCGCCTACATTGCCCACCCGGACCCGTACCAGAGGGACCACTTCAGCTTCGGCGCCGGGCGGCGCGGGTGCCCCGGTCTGCACCTGGCTGAGAACAGTCTGTTCATCACGCTCGCCAAGATCCTGTGGGCGTTTGAGATCAAGCCTGGTCTGGGTCCCGACGGAAAGGAAGAGGTCATCGATGTCTCCGACGCCGCCTACGAGGACGGAGCGAATACCGTGCCGAGGAAGTACAAGGTGCGGTTTGTGATGCGGAACGAGAAGCGCGAAAAGGTCCTGAAGGAGGAATGGGACAGTGCTTCCAAGTCCTTGAAGACTTCTAATTCGGTACCGACGTGAGCGCACAAGTGGAAGGGGCAGAGTAAGCCAGCAGAAAGAACGCTAGAAGAATCGTTTGAAGATGAGACAACCTGCTATTAATTACGTACTACGTACTGAATCTCACGTTCAAAACAAAGATACAGATACACCTAACGTCACTCCTTCGTCTTTCGGTGGACAGGTAAACCTCCTCCTGGAAGTGTATGGAAATAGGTCGTATGTTTCAATACCAGGAATCGACGGTTTGAAATGTTGTGTTTTAGGGATCTGATCCTGCTCTTTTCCTCATCGTGGATGCTGATGACATTCTTGTTTCCAACAGTCTCTCAAAGGTGTGCGTTTCATGGTGAGAGCATTCTCGTACAGGTGGCACTTCTTGCCATCTCCTGAGCTATGATGATCAATAGGGAGCTCAGCCTCCATCTTGTCCTGCTCGATACCCTCGATCTCTTCAATGCCATGTGGGGGAGCTTGCTACCGCCTCTTCCGCATCGATTTCGATCTCGATGATGCCATACCGAACCGGTTCCTCAACCTGTAAGTCTCGTGGGAGGCTTATTATGACGAGTGTCGGAGGTGTATCGGTTCCATCTATCATTCGGTATTAACTGGTCTGTGATGCTCCAAGGCCATTGGGAGCCAGCGCGAGGGGATGAATGTTCTGGGCAGGTCTCGTCACCCCGTTCGTGGTATCGGCCGCATTGTCTCCTCGAGAGCCAATCGGATTGGTACTGCTTCGCTGACCCAGACGAGGCGTGGCAGTCCGCTGGGGTGTTGAGGGCGGAGTGGGAGCATTCGAACAGCTCGGGGGAAATAAACGACCTGAACAACCCAGATGGCTTTCGAGGAAGAGCTCAATACAATGCTCGTCCGCTTCTTCTTCAATAGGCTGGTCGTCTCTTTCCTCTTCATTCACCTCACCAACAGGACTATATGGATTGACGTTCTCGGCCACCTCCAACTCTATGGATATTGCATGGTTGGACTGTATCTGCTGGTTCGTTTCTGAGCCTTCGTTGTCCATGTCTTCTCGTAGGTTGGGTGAGGGCAAGAAGATTGAGAGAACTAACGCAGACAGGCTCGAAAAGCTGAAACTTCTCTCTCACGATGAATCGGATAGGCTTGAGAAGAGTGCTGGACGAAAAGCAGGGTCAGTAGCTCTTAGGCTATTGTACCAGGGTGAAGATTGGAGAGGTGAGAGAGGCGGTGCTAGTGCTTGTAGGAGTATTGATGATATACCATCATAGGTACTGTATAGTATCCCCGAGGTGATGCTGGTTCGAGGGCTACATAAAGCGTCGAAGTTCCTCTCGCTCGCTGGGAAAAGAACTTCGAGCAGAAACCAAGATAGGCAGGAAGTATCACAACGAAGATCGAGGCAGGAGCTATATGTGACCAAACTTTGGAACAGATTGGATAAACCATGGCAAAGTGATAACCCCCAAGGAATGGCTTTGGGTTTGCATCTACGGACGGCTATGTCCTCGTCCTCCATCTGAGTCTTGTGATCTGGACGGAGCATAAGGACTACCATGCGAGGCTGTGGGTCCTTGAATCTCGAATTCTTTCCAGCACTGGTATGTCGAGCAACTATCGACGAAATACAGATATAAGACAGTAAAGACTCGCTCCAAGCAAGCTGACCGACTTCTGTGTAGGGGAAGAAAGTAGTAGTGGCGTTTGTGGAGTGTCTGAAGTGACAGCCATAGACTGTGAAGCACCTTGGATTTACAACACCAATAAGGGAACTCTGCAACTCGCTGCTCTCTTAACCTCTCGCCTTTTCTTTTTTTCTCCTGCATGCGACTGTCCATTTGTCCCTTACATTTTACATGCCTTTACGTCGTCACAAACCCAGCCTCGTGTTGAGGGTGCTCCATGACTACATTTCACTTGAGACACACAACCTTCTAGAATTCCGCGGCCATGGTTCGTCTGAGGCTGAGTGCTTTTTTCAGGCGCTGAGCACGTCCTGCGGTGCTTCATGACGCATCTCCCCGATCGAGTTTGTCCACCGGTCGACTGGCCAACTTGCAGGGTTCACAAAGCCCGTTCATGACATTGAGGATGCGTAGACCCACATGTGGCATACCATCCATGCAGCACACACCCTGGACAAGATCTTCAACGCCTGAGCATGGAAAAGCCAGATGGGCGATAACTCTAATCTCAGGAGGATGGTTCCATAGTGACTGTTCTTCGTATGGCTCTCGATTCAAACTTCAACCTAGCCCTGTACCCACGGTGGATTCTCAAGACAGGAAGGTGATACTATCTTGCTTGCTGCCAGACTGTCTCTCCGTACAACTATATAGACTTCTAAGACGTCAGCACCAACTTGTAGAACCCTTTGTGGTGACAATTAATCTTGTACTACGCGGCTGGATCTTGTCTTTGTTCAATACCTCGGCTGGAAGAACCGAACACGAAACGCTAGACCGTTTCTTCGCTTTGGCCAGGTGTAAATAGTCGGTATCTTCGTCGCTCTATGTCCATCAGTGATTTCTTGACCTGTAGCGAAATACATTGACATCTGGCTGACCTGTAGGAACGATCGAAGGAGAAAGAAGAAGAGATACGGGGGACTCGGTTCCCCTTCCCCGTCTCGTGCGTGCGTGCGAGTACAACCGCCGACTTGGAAATGTAACCGGAAAGTTTCCAGGCATCCGATGCGTGAAAGAGGAGCTGTACTGAGAGTGGTTGAAAGAACCTGTAAAGATGCAGCAAGCAGGACGAGTTTGACAGGTAGAGGAATCCCTCCTTTCCCTTCCACCAGAACCGTAGTTGGACAAACTACGGATATGTCAGTGAAGGGAAAAACTTCAAGCCACGTTGGCGCCACCAAAGTGTCCAGCCTCGTAGTGCTGTGAGACCTTTGATTCACGCCTGTTGAGGGCATCCTTACTGTCCTCTGAGTCCGGAGTCGCCTGATTAGGACCGACACCGCCTACAGTATTCATTCACTTGAACCAGGCAATTCACTGCAAAGGCGGTCTGGACCAACACCCATCGCGACCTCTGGTAGGCGTCGGTGCAATCTTTGTGCGACACTGATTTTAAAGAAACACCACAGAACAATCAACATTACATTGTCTGCGCGACATTGCCAGCAGTACTGATTTATTGTGAGTTTCACAAACGGCCAGCTATGTACATACGCAAGAACATATTGCAACTGGTCCCAACCATCACAGTCGCGCGTTCCTTTATTCACATATGAAGGCTGACTGACCATCCTCTTTGACTTTGCAGGTGCCATTTTCACCTTCACAGGCATGCCTGGTCTCCTGAATGCAACCAGGGCTGACGTCCCTCATCCCGTCGCAAGGACCTTGAGACGTTCGACTCGCAGAGTCCAAAGAATCTTGCCGGAGTCGCTCAAGCCCAAGCTGGCAAAGGCCGTCGCCGAACCTCCTGAGGAAAGTTGGATCCAACTTACAATCAAGGGCTTTGGCAGGGGTGTGGTCAAGATGGACTTTGACAGGAATGCCAAACTGTCAGAGCTCATCTTCAGTTTCTGGGAGTTGACCTGTCAACCACCACACCCGGCCGCGTTCATATACAAAGGCAACAAGCTGCGTGCTCGTGACACTCCAACCATGCTTGAGATGAAGGACAACGACATCATCGAGTACCGTCGTCTCGTTCGCCACCCGAGACTCATCCAGGTCGATGACATGCTGCTCTTGATAGAGGCCGGCCAGCAGTTCGTCCGCAAGATGGATCCTATCGTCGAGTGGGAGCGTCTCGACAAGGAGGAAGCCGCCGAGTACCGAGCCACCGTCCATTCGATCCAGCTCTTCTTCACTAAGCTTCAGAAATCTCTCAAAGCCCTCATCAAGAATGAAGCCTTCCCGCTCGACGCAGAGGCTGCTAGGGTCATGAGGAAGAGGCAGGTGCAGTTGGCCAATATGCTTGTTCGCTTGTTTCGCGTGCACCACGTCGTCTACAAACACGGCTACACCGCCAGCAGAGTACATCCCATGCCGTTTAGGACCGGTGCCAGATGCCTCCTCGCTGTCGAAAACTTGGCCGCCTTGGCCTCGGTCGTGCGCAACTTGCAATACCCCGATGTCTGGGAGCGTGTGCCCTTGGCCGTTCCTGGTCTTCTGAGAGAGTACCCTGAACCCGTAAACCCCGTTGAGAAGACAACCACCATCGCAGACGGCAACGGCGGCGGCGGAGTGCAGACACAGTACGTACCGAAGCCCGCCCAAGTGAATTACGGAGAGTGCCTCATCTGCTACGAAGCCTGTAACAGTACCACAAACTCAACCCGAGTCTTTCACAAGAACGGCTTCGCCACTTGCACCGACTGTTGCGGCAAGACCGTCCACCCACGTTGCCTGGCACGCTGGTTCGCCTACGAGAGATTGAGCACCGAACACGGCGACACCGGCACCTGCCCTGCGTGTCGACACGTCTTCCCACCAAAAGTGGCAATGCTGATCATGTACATGGCAATCGCCCACCTCGGTCTCGCATTGGACGCCAGCCCCAAGTTTCGAGCGTGGATAGCCAAGTTGCCCAAGGAAGGCCCCGGCTCGTACTTGGACATGTACAGAGACCATTCCTGCTGGACCTGGAAGGACTGAACTAGTTCTATGTGGGAGGTACAAAGTCTTCCAACATCCCTACACCGCAAATTCCACGGAACAGCATTTGAGTAATTGATGCTGGACAGGCAGACACGAAGCTACGCAGATATGCATACACGCAAGCAAAGCATTGGGGGGTTTTCTCTTTTTTTTTCTCTTTGGTGTCATTACCGCACGCCTCCAACGTAGCCATCGAGCTAGACGGGGCAGGAGTCTTTCGGCTTTTACAGTCTCGGATTAGGAGGTTTCATGGTTCAACATAGCAACAGGGGCAAAACAGAAAAAGAGAACAGTTGGGAGAGGGTTTTCAAGAAAGAGAAAAATGATGTGATGGTTCGCTACTGCTAGTTGGCCTGGTGCCCAGACAATAGACAAAGAATGAGAGGGAGAGAGACATACATGGGCGGTGCGTTCATCTTGCTGGGGGATGCAAAGGAGGCAGTCTTCCAAAAAGTGTGGTGACACGTCAACGATCCTTTTGAGAATCGATGACCATCGACCAGTAGCTAGCTAGTTCGGCCTCATGCCCGGTATCAAATTGATCCATCTCGTATTCGATGCCGCCAGCATGACTGGACGAACGAGCAGGCTGGAATTCGTTACTCACTGTGGGATAGGAAATACAGGAGGACAAAGGAACCCACATAGGGGAAAAGATCCTCTGATGGCCCTGTTCGAAGTCGAGGTAAGGCGGGGGCACCGCAGGTGTGATTTGGGCCCCTGTCAGTTAGGTGATTGAAGAATAGCAAGGGACAGGGAGCCAGGGTGGTCGGGCGAGCCAATGAGCTGCTCCACATTGAACGGTGAGGCAAAGCGAGAGAGGGAAAATGGCCCCCCTTTCTCAACGCCAGGGCTCACATGAAGAAAGAGCGGGCGATCGAGCCAATAAGGCTCCCAAACAGCAGTACATGTACGGATAGAATAGGTCGCACAGCTGCTGCTGTTGTTGCTTTTACCAGGGTGCTCACGATCGAGCCAATTGAATCGTCAAGAACAGCGAAGGGGGGCACATACCATTGATCGAACAGTAATGGAGTGGGAGAGTCATACGTATTGACTTGGTTAATCCCGTACAGAGTACGTATACATACGTCTGAGATCGCTTTGCCAAAGGTACGAATGTGCCAGTACGAGTACATTGTTCAGGATATCACAGATCCAAAAGCAGCAGACTGCTGCATACTAGGAACGAGTGAACTATTCGAGGTATGACAACGTACAATGACAGTACAATCTGTGTGTCTCAATATCTTGCGACCAGACTGTGAACGAGCAGGTTCCCCAACCAGTAGTAGAAGAAGGCATTCGAATAGACCACGACGACGAAACGTTGAGTAGCACCGAGCTCGATCGGCACGCACTGAAATTTCTCGCTCCATCAGCATCTCATCTCGAGATGGCCTTTTTCTACGGGCCTACTGGGAGGCCAGTAGACGCTCCGGAAGATGGGACTCACATGGGGGCTTTAATCAGCAACTTCCGCTCGGTGTCGCGTGGCAGTGTCGGTAAGTCATCGAGGAGTATCACTGGACCCCCGGTTGTTGACCCAAATTGCTGTGCATCGCATGTCGATCGACACATTCTTCGCTACAGTGTTCGACGTGTATTGAAACTCCTCGCCGACTCGCTGTCAGACGTTTTCAAGTAAGAGGCTTTACTTGAGGTATTTTCGAAGTGGACGTACGAGTCATCTGACGACGAGATTGATTGCCGCATTCACGGCCAAGGAAGGACATTTTTCCATGAGGGTGAAACCGCCAGTATGGGAAAGCGTCGTTGACACGAATCTGTTGGTCAAGAACATGACTGTTTTGCACGTCGTCGGTGCCAGCGTCATACCTGCGCCGCTCAGTGTGCATTACCAGGCGGTTCGTTATGCCCAGGCCATGAAAGCTGCCAATCTGATAACGGCCTCTCACGACCGCTAAGCACACTGAGCAAATGATGGGTATGGGGATAGGGATGGTGATGGCGTTAATGGTGTGTGTTTGAAAGAAAAGGGGAGGAATCCAGAACACGAGGGTTCAGATGTGGCTTATGACTTACGACTTACTATTTGTGACCATCTCGTATGTTTTGTGTCGCCCAATCCAAAAATTGAGATTCGATTTGAGGAATCCCTGATAGGTACTTCGTACGGGTTACAGTCAAGCTGAAGCAGACACGTTGAGTCACTGGTTGGAAGAGAGTACGAATTTTGTTTTCGCACGAGGCTTGCATGAATATTGCATGAGCAGCACCTTTATTGACGCCACCAACCCCCACAGCAAACATAGTAGGTGCATGAGCCGAGGGGATTCGACAGATTTCTTGAGGTGGATTCGTTCTCTTCGCTTCAGTACTCGTCCAACTGCGTGGGTAGTCCTAGCGTGGAGAGAGCTAGCAGCCCTCGTACGGGTCGCTCTTGAGGGTGGTGATGACTAGAGATGAAGACACAGGACTAGGAGGAATATCAGAATATCGAATGATGGACTCGTATGGAGGACAAGGATCCTGTCCTGTACTGCGTACAGGCTGTACGAGTGACAGACACACGGGGCGCCGGCGAAGACAGTTCCGATAACAACTCTGCTCCTAATCGGGTCACGCAGCGAAGAGCATGTGCCGAAGTATTGTGTGTGGTAAACAGCTCTGCATGAGTACGACGAGTACAGAGGGCAAGATTGGGTCTGAGCGCTCTCGTTTCAACCCATTTCCACCTAGAGATCCGAATTTTCCAGGTATGAGACTCGTTGCCGCGTGCCCTCCCTATTGCTTTTGGCAAATGTTTGGTACGGATGTTCAGACACGGCAATTGTGGTAGGTCGACAGTGAAAACGTCTTGTATGATCCAGTCCTTTGCCTCTCTCTGGCTGCCGACACAATGTTACAGTATTTCTTTTTGATCCTCGATCCGTCTACTGTGTCATCGCGTCTCGTCACAGCCTTGACGAACCCACAGAGACCTCGACAGTCCACAGGGTCTCAGCTGTCAACCAAGATCCCTCGGCATTCGTTCGAATTAAAATGTACGGATGAGGCAGTACAGAGTCTCGGTACTACGAGTACAGGGCTACAGGTCCAATCAAGTCGTCCATTCTCCTGGCATGTCGACGAGAAGCTCGATCGGATGAGTCCATTATTTATCAACTCCTTGTCTCCGTACTGTAGGTACCGGAGTACGGATGCAGTACAGTGGCCACGGGCCTCATCCGTCCCCAATCCACTTCTCCTCCCTCTCCTCCTCCTCCATCCCTCTCCCTCTCTTTTTTCCCCAACTCCTCCACCCACACCATCATTGAACCTTTACTTATTGGACTTAGCACCCTTATTGACCACTGGCCGTAGTCCGCGGCACCTGCTGGGTCATTTTCCCCAAGCAACCAGGATCAACGATCAGGGCTGGTGTGGCACCCTCGTCACGAATAGAAAGCCCGCTCTCCTGTCGCCTAGTGAGCCACATGCTCTTCCCCCGCAGGTCTGGCCTGTGACACCCCGGGGCCCTATTTGCTGGCTTACGTTTACAGTAGTCTTTGTACGAGTACGGGTACCGAGTACGGAGTGCGGAACCAGAGCAGAATTGAACATTTGGCGCCCCCCGACCATTTCCTTGGACCCTTTGTCTGGTGTTTGGTGCCGATCGAGCATGGGTGCTTTGGCTGGCTGCTGGCACCCAGGTTTTTCCCGTGCACCGTGTCTTGCCAGGGCATTATTGAGCCTATTTTGGTGCCTGCTCTTTCTCCAGATCTGAATCCTACCTTGCTACTCACTCTTTACAAACCATTCAACAACCAAAAACACCTCGAGCTTCCCTCTTACACATTTCTCACTCCATATCACACCACCACTTGACCGGGAAGATCAATTTCCTCGAAACGACTTGCCCTCCATGGCTATGACCGGCGCCTCGGTCATTGTTTTCCCCAAGCTTGATCCCGCCAAAGACGCCTCGCAGAAACACAAACGACCCCACGTATGCAACGTCTGCTCGAGAGCCTTCAAGCGTAGTGAGCATTGTATCCGACACCAAAGAGGCCGTAAGTAATCCGTGATACCAATCACCTTGGTGGCTTTGCCACATCGTATCGCCCGCAAACAACGTGGCTCACGAGAATATAGACACACAAGAGAAGCCTTTCAGTTGTCGCGTATGTCGTCGACGCTACAGTCGAAGGTAACTTGAATAATTCCCCGTTCTTGTGTCCCTGGGCAGCCCATTGATGATGGCTATACAGAGATCTCTTGGTCCGGCACGAGAGGACTCTACACACGGCAGCACAACTGGCCAATGCCACTGGCCAACCAGGCCAGGAACCGCCACCTGCCAGAAGACGACGAATTCCTCCACCGCCGCTATTTTGTAGGATCTCTCCATATTGGTCTTGATAGTCTTGACCACAACTAATGCTATCCAGCTGGTGCCACTACTTCTCCTAACCCTCCCTCCGAAGTTGGAAATGGCCAGTCGCTTTTGCCGCAGAATAATGACAATGCTCGGACTGTCATGACAATGGCCAATGACGAAGGCCCATCACCATCAAAAGCACCAACTCTTGCAAACCTGTTGGTGACTGGAGACTCACCTTCGAACATGGTCAACCATGATCCGTCACAGTTCAACCAGAGCCAATCAATGTCCCAAAGTCCGTCGGAACCTTCCTCCATCACGGATATGAGGTTCAACCTTGCCAGCCCAGCGGGTCAAGAGCCAGCGATGACGATCCAAGAACCGGCAATCGTTGGCATCAACATGCCCAATTACTCCATGGATATGCCAGAACTCGAACAGATGCGCACCTTTCCCACATCGGTCCCTTTGCCTGACTTAGACGGGGATCTGGAATTTCTGGATTTCTTCGACCCCTTCCTGGGGATGGAGCCCAAGCAGATGGGCAATTTCGCCATCCTCCCGGTCAAGAAAGATTCGGAAAGCTGGTCGCCATTGGAGCATTTCTCCTCTTCTAGCCAGACGCCGATGCAGGATTATGGCTTCCTTCAACCGTACCACCAGCTTCGGCCGCTTGCCCCGACCGGGCCATCTACAGGGTTCACGGCGGTCAACCCACCCGAACCCGTCTACATGTCAGGCGACGATCCGTTCAGCACCGCCGCCGTGTCGACACCTCTGAACCCCTTCCCCATCCAGCAGCAGGCTGTAGAGCAGCTTCCTCCTTTTGATGAGCTCGAAAAGCAGCCGCCCACACCACAATTGGCTCGAACTCCGTTCACGAAACCTCCAGCTCCATTTTTCACCGAGCAGATGCGCACAAACTTACTCAACGACCTCAATGAACGGCTCATGCCGTCGGAAATGACGAGTTTCAGACTCCCCAGCGCACCTGCGTTGCAAAAGTGTATCCGGACGGCCATCGATAATTTCCACGTCCACATGCCCATCTTGCACCTGCAGACTTTCGACTTTGCGTCGGCTCCCTCACCTCTCATCCTGATCATCTGTGCCATCGGTGCGCTATATCGCTTGGAAAGAAAAATCGCCGAACCACTGTTTCGGAAAGCGGACCAAGCTCTCGTCGCCACCCTGAAGAAAACCAAGAAGGACGACAGCGGTGAACCGAGTATTTCGGACGACTGGGTGCGGCCAGCGTCGCACGAACCGAAACCCGATCCAGAGTTACTTTGGAGGAGTCAAGCACGTCTGCTCATCAAGATGTTTGCGACATTCTGTGGGGTCATCAGTCTCGTCCAGGACGCCCTCAGTAATCTGGGTGACTTTCTCGTTGTAAGTTGTATCCTGTTATACCAAAAGTCCATCCGGCCGGCTGACTCTTTTTTTCTTTTGCTCCAGGACTTTCGTCAGCTCGCCCCTATGGTAAAAGCCGGCAAGGGTAACCAGGAAAACCTGACCTGGGAAGAATGGGTGAATCGAGAAAGTATTAAAAGGTTTGTTGTTCGAAAGCCGCATGACCGTATTTTCGATGTCAACTAACTTTTTGTTTCTAACAGGCTTCTGTACGGACACATCCTCTACGGCAATCTCGTCACAATGACCTACGGCATAGCACCGGGCTATTCCGTCGTTTCGGACGGCTACATCGAGATGCCTTGCGACCAAGCCATGTGGGATGCCCAAACGCCCGATCAATGGGCGGCCCTCGCGAGCGTCCGGGGCAAGAGCACGCCATTGTCACTCCGAGACGCCGTGTCTACACTCATGTACGAGAACATCACGAAACCAGTCCCGCCACACTGCTGGCAGTGGTCCCCCTTTGCGGTCAGTGCCGTCATCAACGCCGTGTCGATCCAGTTGTGGCACATTTCTCAGGGGTCGTACTTTTTGGGCGAACTGTCCAGCATGGGCAAACCGCAGGACGCTTCCAAATCTCAGACCTTGACGCAGGCCGAGGCAGCGCTCACGCGGTGCCGCTCCCTAATCACCCAAGCACGCACCGACGCGGATTATGCCTGGACCGACGCCGAGGGACCGTTGCTGTTCAACTGCCTGGCGCTGCTGCGAGTGACCTACTGCCGGACCTTCGCCGGCACGGGGACCGCCGACTCGACCATCCTCCTGAAAGCCACGCAGGACGACTTGCTCGAGTCGATCGAGGACTTTGTCGCGGCCCCGCAAGAACGTAGCGACATGATCACGAGGGCCGTCAGCCGGGCGTTCGAGGGCATGCTGATCCCTTACAAGATGGGTACACCTCTCATACAAAAGACGGCCGCTCTGACCTGGGCCATCGAGCACGCCCTGGCCGGCTGGGACGCCGCCTTACTGGTCACCAAGTGGGTTCACGTCATCGAGATCGAGACCGAGCAGACGGGCGGGATCGTCACCGAACTGGAAGAACAGACCATGAGGACCATCCGCAACCTGACCTCCGAGTTCGAGTTCGAAATCGCCCCCGGCGAGAGGGCCTTCAGGACCGTCGCCGCCAAGTTGACAATGTACTGGGCCAAATTCTACGACGACACCTGGGTTTGGGGAGTCACCCCCCGTATGGGTTTCACTTTGAGGGAACTGGCCACCGTCTATGAGACCAGCACTCCCAAATAGATTAAAAACAGGTGTACTGATTTACCTACTTTGCCTTGAGTAGGGGGATGGCTTTGCTGTGGCTTCCAACTCCTTGTACGAGTACGAGCACGAGTATGAAAATACCCTCACATGGTATGGTTTAATGACGAATGATCGGAAAATCATGATTCTCAGAATACAAGAGTACATGGGATAAATCATTACAAGATCGAGAAATCTTGAGTAACCTTGTTAACGTTGTAGTCGGTGCTCCAGTGATCCATTGATACTCCTACTGGACCTAGGTACATTGGGACCCGCCCGTTCGTCTCGGTTGATTCACTTTTCCGCTCCCGTTCCAAGGGAGAGAAAACGGGAAGCGGAGAATTCTTAATGTGTGGTGTGGAGAGGCTTCATCGATCCTCCTCTCCTGTACTCGTCCGGTGGATGTTGTCCCAAGCCCGAAAGAAACTCCAACTTTTTCTCAATATGTGGCCGGTCGTGGCTGCTGGTGACGTGCGAAAGCTCTCCCCCCCCCTCTCGCCTATGTCTCCGCCTCCGCCTTTGGGCTCTTTTCCCGTCTGTGTGGGTTATGGAGGAGTACAGCGTGACCCCACAATCGAATAGGTTTCAAAGCATTCACAGACTATATGTAACAAATCTGGAAGAAGACCCTGCCTCCTCACTCCAGTCCTCGATACTGGTTTGCTTGGGAGTTGGGTACATTGAGTTGGCATTGTGAGTTCAAGTTGAGAGACGAGAATCACGATTTTGGCGGAGTCAGATCGAGGGGGTTTCCAGCTTCGAACAAGATTCAAGAAGAAAGAACGTGGCGACTTGGATAACGGTACAAAGAGAACATGGAACCTAGGCTAGGTACCGCAGTGCCACCACCACCACCACCAGCAGTCTCGGGATTAGCACCAGGAGCGACTTCTCAGGTGTACCACCGCGATACGAGTACACCAGAGTACGAACAATACCGGACCCGTTATATAACAAGCAATGTACCCTCAAGGTTTCCCCTGGAGATTCACCTACCGTCGAACACAAAGGACGTTGTTGCCGCCGTGAGGCGTGCAAGGATCTTAGGTGTCAGAGTCGGCGTACGCTCAGGAGGGCATTCATTCCCCTGTAGCTCGCTCGTGGAGGACGGGTTGTTGATCGACATGAGAAATGTGCACAGGCGGGTCCTTTACAATCCACATTCAGGGCACGTCGAGTTCGGACCCGGTGTCAAGGTCAAGGAGGTCATGGACGAACTGAACAGGCTCGGACGATTTTTCCCAACTGGTCACGCGCCGGTGTGTCTTTCCTTTTCTCCCGTGTATATAATTCACCCCCTTTTCTTTCATGACAAGGCCAAAGCCTTTCGTACGCACTGTTCGAAGGAAACATGATCTGACCGAAAATTTCAGAGTGTAGGTATGGGTGGCTTCACCCTCAACGGAGGCCAAGGCTGGTTCATGCGTGGATGGGGTATCACCAGTGAGCAGTGGATCGTGAAGATGGAGATTGTGACGGCCAACGGAGACGTGGTTGTTGCAAGTAAAGAAGAGAACAGTGATCTTTTCTGGGCAGCAAGGGGGAGTGGACAGTGGTTTCCCGGGATTGTTACTAGGATTTGGGGCCGCACCGTACCGAGGAAAAGGCTGTGGCATAGAACATTGACCTTTCGAGTAGGTGAGGCGTATGAGGAACTGATGAGGTTTGTGTTTGAGAGAGAGAAGAGATCACCAAAATGGGGCGTCGAGGTCGCGTTATGTACGTTTTTCCCAGGAAGATATCAGGGTCGAGAGGGAGATGAGATCGGAGATGATACCTTGTTGTTCGCGGTTGAGATGATTGCGTTTTGTGACGGGCTGAAGGACGCAGAGACGTTGTTGAGTGCGTGGTCCGACGTGCCACAGTCTTTGACACCGAACCTGGTGCAAGATGACCCTGTCAGAGCAACGAACTGGGACGAGTTGTTCGCTTTCCAAGATAGTTTGGTGCCATATGGACATGGGGAGAGGTGGCTGTGTGACAGTATCTTGAGTCAGCCGGACGTTGAGGACGAAGAGGTATGTATTTTCCAGGTTGCGGAAACGAATTTGGAGCGAATCCGGACTGACCTGAGGGTAGTTGATCAAGAGGATCAAAACAGCAATGTGTGATCTCCCGACACGATTATCTGTGGGTTGTGTATACATCAGCCAGGCAACCCCAGATGAAAGGGATCAATGTTGCTCATTGCCGCAGAAGTATTACGTTGCCTCGTTCGTCGGCTGGACAGAGGTTGGAGAAGAGAAAGAGAGGACGCTGAGATCGTGGCTGTCGTCGGCCTTCAGCGAGGCTGAAGTGGTGAGTTGTGGGATGTACATTGCCGATTTCGATCATCAACAGCGGCAAAGCAGAGTCATGACCCCGTACGCCGAACAAAGATTTGCTGAGGTAAAGAGGAGATACGATGCTGCCAATGTTTTTCCTTGTATAGGTTTTCTGGGAGCCTAGTGTTGAATGAGATGGATGAAGATGGTCCTTGGATGCGGAAATCGAAGTATTTGTGATAAAGGATTGTACATAGTTGCTGTTAGTATCTTTAACTATGTGTTCGTATCGAGCTGTACAGGGGCACTAGGCTGACTCATCGGCCTGGCACCGCCTATAATGCTTTTTCCCCAGGGCAGCGGCCAAGTTTCGATCTCCGAGATCGTACCTGTACAGCCCCGAAGCTCGAGCCTAGCGAGTTTGCGTCCCATCGCCTAAATAAGCGGCACCCAATGCATCGTCTTATTTCCCTTCATTGTCGCATTCTGGATGCTTTCTTTTCGCTCAAGGAAACGAGTACGTACTGTCATCAAGTCATCTTCTTCGTCCAAGATACAGATCTGACCTTATCAAGCTCACCATACACAACACCTCCACGCCTAAGTCGGAACCGCAGCTATGTCTTATGAAATGTCAACGCAGCATGCCACCCGGGTTGGCGCAAGACGTGAGTCCATTCAACTTGGATGAAGCGGAGAGGCTAACAAGCTCATTCAGCCTTCAATCATAGTCAGTCCCAAGCTGCCGAGGAAGAGTACGATCGACTGCGAGATCTGGCTCGCCGCGAGGCACAAAAGCGGTCGGAATGCTTTGCAAAGTCTCAACAAGCATACGGTAACGGCGATGGTGCCGCAGCTCACGCACTATCACAAGAAGGAAAAGATCATGGCGCCAAAATGGATCAATATAATAAACAGGCCTCTGACTTCATCTTTCGCGAAAACAATGCCGAGGGGAGAGTGCCTGCGGATACTATAGATTTGCACGGGCAATTCGTCGAGGAAGCCGAAGACATACTGGAAGAACGAATACGGTATGCTCAGTCGCATGGAGAAAATCATCTACATGTGATTGTAGGTAAAGGCAACCACAGCGCAAACCATGTGCAGAAGATCAAACCTCGCGTCGAACAAGTATGTCGCGAACTGGGCTTGCAATACCACACCGAACCCAACGAAGGGCGTATATATGTCAATTTGACTGGCGGCGCAGTCGATATGCAGCATGCCAACAACTGGGGTGGATATCAACAATCATATCCTGGCGGACAAGCCCAACAAAGTCATGGATACCAGCCTCAACATCAGCAGCAGCAGTACCACCATCAACAGCAACAGCAGCAGCACGGTGGTGGCCAAGGACAACAAGACCAAGTTGAGAAGGTTGTCAAGAAATTCTTGCCCAGAATCATCAACAAGCTCCTGCGCATGCTCTGTCACTGATATGCAGAACCTTGACACAAGGGTGTCTCTTCCTGCGCTCCACAGCCATCGGCACCACGGCGAGAGAAGCCCCCATCATCTAGTCGATTGCTTGCAGCGACGAGTCCGACGATGCATCACGAAGCAATACCTCAAAATGAGATCAAGATGCCGGCGAAACAACCGAAGATGACTGGAACTGTGGCCATATTGTAGATCGGCATCTATGCTCTGGTGGATTTGGTCTTCATGCCGCCTCTGACAATCTTGCTCGACTCCAACGAGTCGCAAACTCAGTCCAGCCAAACAGCTTCCGTCATGAACACAGATATTCTTTTCGACCCGCCGCCCCCGTCGAAATTGATCGAGTTGTCTCTTGACACATTTGCTCAGGCAAACCCTATGGCCTAGACTCGGAGTGAACAAACAAAATGACACCAGAAACTACCTTGGTCTTTGACACCACACCAACACCGTGTGAAGTAGCGAACCAAACAACCCCAAATCCAGACAGGGAATTTCTCCCAGCATATGGATGTTTGTTCAGCTTTTACACCTGTATTTGCTCAGTTGTTCTTAGGAGATTCTTGCCCACCTGCTCAAGCACTCTTATTCCTGCTTCTCGTCGGTCTCAAGGTCGATGTCGAGAACAGCTAGTTGTCTTCAGCATTTAAAACTAGTTTGCGTGTAGAAATGGATGATCTCGGCCTGGCCCTACTGGAAATCCACAAAAGTTCCGTGACTGAAATTTGCTTTGGACATGCGACATTCTACATAAACGGACGTGCATGTTGTCCTCTTCTATCTTCTGAACTGAAGACGTAGAGTTAGACATCATACCTTCTTCTCCTGCACCTCCACTTGGCCCCGGAGGAGGATTCGAAGAGATTGGTTTACTCCCAGTCGTCAAATTCAACATCAGCACCGAAATTCGACAAAAGGACTTCTGAAGGTAGTCTGTGCGGAATAGCATCACGTTGGGCCTCTGCGCTATTGCCTCGACGTTAACAACAGCGTGCTACCCTCACTCATCATGGTGCAGTGTCCGACCTCAAAGGCAGCCTCGCTGCTGGCCAAACTGCAGACCGACTCTGAACCAGGTCTGACGAATGCACAACTGATGCTCACGAACCATGCCCTGAAGCCCGTCGCTTGAGAGGCGGCAATGGGTTGGTTGGAATTTCGTCGTTACGTCAAATAACCAACAATAGGATCTGCGCTTGGTATTCTTCAATCATAATAGACTATTCTGATGTTCCTCGGGACATTATGAATATTGAGAAGCCCTCCAAGAATGATCACAAGTCCAGTAAATGTCCAAACCCGATAAGCAACTCGCCTGGCTTTGATCGGGGTTTAGAGCAGAGCCATCTGGTGCCATCTCTTCTCCCCCCACGTTCGAACCACACCAGCATGCAGGCGAGGTCTGATGTGATTGAAGGTCTTTTTTCTATCCACGCCGGTCGCGACGGGTAACAGCGGCATCATGTGTTCAGACTGAGACCGAGACCCATTGGATCACTCGGAGCGATGTAGAACATGTACACACATACCTACTGTAGGTAGTTCATGCTCGGTTGACGTGGATCGGCGATGGTCGGACATGATTTACGGAGTACCAGGTCGACAAATGCACAAGGCTGGATGACTAATTCCCTCCCGTACCTCGTATCCGCATGTTTTTGTCTCTTCACCTTGTTACCGCATTTGAAGAAAGATTTGCTTATGATATTCCATTCCGGTGATTCTCTGTGTACATATTTGGCTTCGGTACTCATTCGAAACTGCTCCCCGTCGCCTCTTTCTGAGTCTGGCTTCTCTCTTTCCGAAACTCGGTCATTGCTGCACTCGGAAAAGCAAGGGAAAATTTTCTGGGAAAACGTCACCATCGGGCAGAATCTCGACGACTCCATTAGTTTGGGTTTTGTATGACCCCAGGGAAGAAGACTCGCCAGTCTCGGAGCAATATTGTCAGAACACAGAGCGACATGAGCATGCCACGATAAGGCTGTGCACACCCTGAAATCTCGCGCGGACTTCTCACACTGCATATATCGAGAGAGGCTCAACGCTGCGCCTTATGCTGTCGGTTCCGAAGCTCGCGTAATCCCGGGTCCCTTTGTCGGAATTTCATTAACGGCCTATCAACACGACATAAACTGCTCTGCTTGCAACCATGGGTCTTTTGTATGTTCAGAAATAACCCTCTCACCATCTTCGTCATTCCTGACAAAAAGATCAAACAGACAGTTAGGGACGCCACTAGACTGGCCTGGGGCCAAAAAGGCAGCAAATCAAGTTCGAGAATGGGGCATCGAGGTGCGGCTCAAAGTCCGGGGAAGAGGGAACAACACTCCAATGTACTGACTTGGGATCAATACTAGCAACTACTCACGATATGGCGAAAGGCAAAGAGCAAAGAACGGGACGCTCTCCTTTGGGGTGACGAGGTATTGACTTTCTTTCGTCCAGATTGGACAGAGGATTTTTTTCCCGGATCCCTCTCTAACCCCGTACTTCCCAGATTGAATACCTCGTCGTCGCAATGGACGATGAACATCAAAAGGTCCGGCTCTCATTATGTCAAGCCGATGTTTTAGAGGCCCTTGCAAAGGACCAAGAGTTGGCACGGCATGATACGATGGTCCCCGATATCCAGGAAGGAAACATGTGAGTTTCGAAAAAGCCCAGAGTCCTCCTCCTCCTCCATCATCATCACAACATCCACAAACAAACAAACCAACCACTGACAAACGGAACTACTTCAGCAAAAGCGGTACCTTGCCCACGTTCCACCCCGAGTTTGGCCGGTTCATGCTCGAGGCCACCCCGGGAAAACCGTGGGGCATCGGTTTCAAAGACCTCCTCGACGTCGAATCGGACATGCGCAACCGCCGTGTCATCGCCAAGCAACACATGGATGCCGACACGTACCCCATCACCCTGACCACCTTCCCCCGTCTGGGCACCAAAGATGACTTTATCACGCCGTACTACCCGCCCTCTGGACCGGCGTTGCGGTCACAGTTCGTGCCGGACGAGATCGCCAACCCACACATCCGATTTCCGACGCTGGCCGCCAACATCCGCTCCCGACGGGGCCGCAAGGTCGAACTGAACGTGCCCGTCTTCAAGGACAAGGAGACGCCTTCCCCGTTCCACGACCCTACCGTCAATTACGACCTCCACAGGTGGCCGGAGGACGACGACGTGCGCAACGGGGCGGCCAAGACCGACTGTGTCTACATGGACGCCATGGCGTTCGGGATGGGAAGCTGCTGCCTCCAGATCACGTTCCAGGCCAAGAACATCCGCGAAGGACGCAAACTGTACGACCAACTTTCGCCTCTGGGGCCCGTCCTCCTGGCCCTCACGGCCGCGACGCCCATCTACAAGGGGTTCCTGGTGGACACGGACGTGCGCTGGAATCAGATCTCGAGGGCCGTCGACGACCGCACCCCGGAGGAACTCGGGGAGAAACCGCTAGACGGCAACTCGCGCTGGCGCATCCCCAAGTCCCGCTACGCCAGCAACAGCACTTACATCGCCCAGGAGGACCCCCGCCTCCGCCCGGAGTACATGGACCCGGACCTGATCGTGGACGAGCGGCTGAAACAAAAACTGGTGGCCGGGGGCATGGACGACCTCCTCGCGACTCATTTCGCCCACCTCTTCATCCGGGACCCCCTGGTGGTCTTCGCTGAGGACCTCGAGTCCCTCGACCCCGAGGGCAGCAACCATTTCGAAAACATCCAGTCGACCAACTGGCAGCACATGCGGTTCAAACCGCCCCCTCCCGACGCCGACATTGGCTGGAGGGTCGAGTTTCGCAGCATGGAGATCCAAATCACCGACTTCGAAAACGCCGCCTTCAGCATCTTCATCGTGCTCGTGACCAGGGCCATTCTCAGTTTCGACCTCAACTTTTACATCCCCATCCCCCGGACGACGGAGAACATGGAGACGGCTCACGCCCGGGACGCCGTCATGAAGGAAAAGTTTTGGTTCCGAAAGGACCCGTTTCTACCCCGACGTAACAGTCCCCGTGCCAGTCCTTTGCTCAACGGGGTCGTCGGTGCCGCTGAACCAGCGTCCGGTTCCGACGACAAAAACGGCGAGGCCAACACGAAACCCAAATTCGGCCCGGTGGAAGACGAATACCGACTGATGACCATTGACGAAATCATCAACGGGACGCAACACTCGGCGAGTGGTGGTGGTGGTGGTGGTGGTGGTGGTGGTGACGAGGAGCCAAAGGACGCCGCCGACGACGACTTCCCAGGTCTCATCCCGCTGGTAGAGTCTTACCTGGACAGCGTCAACATCGACGTCACCACCCGGTGTGAACTGGCGAGGTACCTGGACCTGATCCGCAAGAGGGCCGACGGGACCCTGTGGACCGGCGCGAAGTGGCTGCGGGAGTTCGTCCGGACCCACCCGGGCTACAGGTTCGACAGTGAGGTGAGCGAAAAGGTGACGTACGACCTGTTCAAGGCCGTCGAGGAGGTGGGAGGGAAGGAAGGGAAGGACGGCGCCGTGGGGTGGGAAATGTTGACCGCCAAGGAAAGAGCAAGAGGTTGGGACGGATGACGATGATTGATGAAGAAAAAGACAGTGGACGGAGCCTTGATGATGATCATCATCATGACGACCGATGACCGACTTACGATGAGGATGACAAGTCTTTCATCGTACGGATTTGTACTGTCGAGTCTTGTGGCAATGTCTACGAGGCAAAAAGAGGTTTGTGGTGACATGATAGAGACTCACTCAATGCACGCATAGTACCTACAGTAGTAAGGTGGTCGTACAAGTTTATGAACATGTACGGATTACACTACCTTGAGGTCAGAGCACACAAGATGAACGCGAAATCGTACACTAGGCACACACGGTCGAGGCTTGAAAATCATGTCTCATTCTCATTATCGTTCTCATGCTCGAATCGCATAGCACACATGAGTCAAAATAATTTACAATCCAAAGAGAGCATTCCTTGAACCGGTCAAGAGGTGTCTCGAAATGGGTATGCGTAGGAACATCAACAAAAAACCTCCTATCGTACATGGAAACAAAACAGAATGCCGCCACCATAATAACTGTACTGTAAGAAAACCCAAAAAAAAGAGTCTAGTGCTCGTTAAATCTCCCCCATCAAAGTTCTGTCATTGTCCTCGGCCCCCTCATTCATGATTCCTCCGAGGTCTGTCATGACTGTGACTTCTGGACCGGTCGCGGTCACGGTTTCGGAACTTCTTTTCCCAATTTTCTTGTTCTCGGTCTCTCTTCTCTTCTCGCCACTTTCGATGTTTGCCGTAATCCTTGCCACCCACCCATCCGGCCAAGGCTCCTCCTATTGTCCCTAGACCTGGGAATATAAGGTCGCCAATCAAACCGCCGCCGGCCGCACCCAGAAGTGCATCGGCGTTGGTGGATCGCGAATTGTCCGACACCCGCCTCGGTCGACTCTTGTGCTTGTGCCGCTGGTGATGTTCTGGGTCGGATGAATATCCTCCACCACCGTGCAAATCGGTATACGAGTGGTTGGGACGAGGATGTTGGTAAGGCGACGGTGGATAGTAGGCCTGTTGATTCTGATACTCCAACGGTACGTAAGGGTTCTGTGGATATGTAGAGAGATGCTGTGCCGGGTGAACTTGGTAATTCGGCTGGTTCATGGCGTAAGGCTGAGGCTGAGGTTGAGGGGAAGGTCTGGATCGTTCACCAGGAGAAGGCGTGGGCGCAAAGTGCACGGATTGTTGAGCCTTTTGTTCATTGTTCAGCGGTTGATATGGTGGAGGAGCGTATTGCGCATGTTGTGGTTGGGTGTGTGGGCTCGGGTGGCCCTGTGGTGGAGGATCCCGCCCGAATGCAGGTTGTGAGGAGCTCGTTCTTCGTGGCCCAGGCGGAGGATAGAGGCCGTTTTGTTGTTCGAACGGTGGTCTTGCGCCAGACTGGAAATAGTCAGCAGCTGCCATGAGGAGTCTCTGTGTGTATCCTATAAGAGTGGTATAAAAAATGTTTAGCAGAAAAGGAAACTGGTCAAGTCATCGTGACCCAGCAAGGGCTAGGCAGGCTTATAATAGGAACCAAGACCACATGTCCGGAAAGAGAAGCCTGTAAGGTGTGGCTGATTGCTAGCAAGAGTGCCTAGCAAGGCTAAATGGTCACTTTTCCATCGTTCATGGTCTTGAGGGGACGGTGGTGATGGGCGAGTCACAGGTTGAAGTCATCCGCCCCAGCCAGGCAATGATATTGTGGGGATACGATTCGAAACGAACCAAGGCCGCCCGTCTTGACATGGATCTAGTAGTCATCCAGGGATCTTCTGTCGCTCACACGATTGGTGGAGGCAGTGCGAACCATCCCGTGGCGCAAGGTCAGACCGTCGCCGGGAGACTTTTGTCGATCGATCCTCAAAGGTCCCGGAACCTCATTCGAAGGACGGCATTGTTCAGCCTGCGGAACGCCCGATCAGTTGTCAAACGGCCTGGTTCTCACCGTTCCTTGTTCGAGGGATGCCAAGAGGATCGACTTCAACTATAGCGACGAACGTGTGTCATTGTTTCTTGGGTGCAAAAGAGAGGCAAGGAAGATGAGAGAACGAGGAACCAGGGCGCAGGGCAGGCAAACCATCGACGTCATCACGTGTGTAGCGTACAATTGGCCGACGGCCCGTCAAACCGGTCACAGCAACCAAAGTTCCCGAAAGGGCAGATGATCATTTGATATTTTGCAGACTCCGTGCTCCGTACTCGTATCTTTGCTCCAAGACGAGTTCTAGATCGAGTGCCGAACATTCGGGAGACGAGAATTCAAGCGAGAAGTCAAACTAGGCATTCAACTATTCGGAAGAGGCAGACAGCCGTCCCGGCTTCCCATCGCATGAACACAGCGGCCAGCTCTGTGCCACGGACTAATCTGTGTGAGAGGATGATAGTACTGTACGTGCGTGGAGTCGATTATTCAACCACCGTCCGCCTTTCAAGAGGTCATCTGAAGTTTCCCACACTCTTAGTAATTACAGTTCTGTGACTATGGCTCCACGCCGTTCGAGGCATAGTTCTCAAATGGTAAAAGTACACCGCTTTGGTCAATGTTGGTATTTACAACAGATTTCGAAGTCGACTCAGTTGGCGATTTCGCCGGCATCAATCAAAATCGGGGTCCATGCCTTAGCCCCAGGTTCTTCCATCTCACTAGGCAACCGAACTTCTGTCGGGCTGTACAGATACCACCCCTTCATTGCTGCAACTGCTGCACGTGTTCGAGCTTCGATGAGGCTCGCACCCGCCCCTTCTCCCAGCTTCTCGCTGCCGGAATATATTCCGACGACGAAGACCGGTGTCCGACTCTTACGACCGGTTTCGCTGAGGATCTTGGCTACGGGAGCCTGGAAGCCCTCTCTGGCACACAGCCGGCTCAAATCCCGGGTAGGGTTCTTGAACTGAAAAAGGCTCGCCATATTGACTTGCCGAGAAGCAATATGGTCATTGTAGAATTGTTTCGCGGCCGCCCTTCCCGCATGTAGGTATACTGCGCCAAATACTGCCCGAACGAAGTTTGTCGAGGCCCTTTCGAGGGTGACGCCTTTCTGTACCACTTCTTGCGCGTCCTGGGGATCTCCAAATTGGTCATCATAGACGGTCCTTGAACTCATCGTTCGGCGAAACTTCTCTCCGTCCTGGTAGGCCTCGATGATCTGTTGTGAGGGTCGCTGAGGTTTGGGTTCAGGAGGTAGTCGTTTGAACTGAAGTAGGCCTGGGTCAACTTCACCACCAGGCTCCGCCGCAGACTCTACACCCCATTCTCTAGCTAGCGAAGACAGCGTTGCCGGACCGTGGTATGCATACATGGCTGCGAATACCACGGCCATCGGTAACCTTGGATACTGGGCTAAAATATTTTCTGAAGTGTAGTATCCGAGTAAATCGTTGCCGAGCACAGCAAAAGGTTTATTGTTGAATCGTATTGAAGAATCTGCTGAATCATCCACAAGTGTCCTCGCCAGAGTCTCGAGGGGAAGTCGTGTAGGGAGTGCAAGTCGGGCATGTAGAGCAGCAAGCTTTGCGGAGGTCTTCGCAGCTGTGACCGGAGGCGAAGGGAGTTTTACGAGTACATCTTCGGAGAATATAGGGGTGCCTTCGAGATAGTCCCCAGGTCCTGAGACCGTAGTGGCCGTTGTTTGACAACGTTGAAAATTGCGGAGGTGAGAATACAAAGGTTCGGGTCTCGTCCGGGGTGAGAGTACACTACCGCTCCATCGCAGGAGCCGCAGCCTCTTCATTAGAGCTATATGAGCTCGAGGCAGGGAGAGGCAAGATGCGCTTCGTTCAAGGGGAAGCACTCGAATGGGTCGATAAAGCCAAGAAGTAAATGGAAAACGATTGCAAGACCTTTCACCAAGACTTTCCTACGGCAACACGAGACCATCGCGAGAAAATCTACGGGCGAGAAGCTGCGCCCAATCCCATTCTGCCAAGATTTGGTGTCACGTGCAAAGCTCATGACCAATGGTTGAGCCTCAATACTGTGTGAACTGCGACCTCCGGAACCATGAACCTCTTGATCTCGACCACACCGTTCGACAACGCAGGCCATCATCATTGCAACCCCTTCCACCTATAATCCTGCCCTTGAAATTAGACACCCGCAGACATGGGTGGCGGCGGCAAGATACCGTATCCGAAGCACGTCTGGTCACCTGCTGGTGGCTGGTATGCGCAACCTCACAATTGGAAGTCGAACACGATGATCTTCGGCGCGGCCATTGCAGCTGTTGTCTTCGTTGCCTTCAGCGCCTCAGCGAACAGGGAATACAGAAATAAGATGCCAGAGAAGACCGGCTTCTTCCCCAGCAGAAAGTACGTGCATGCACCGAGTCTAGGCGGTAGCTTGGATCAAGGGATTGAAACATCAGTTCTTCGATCAGCGTGGACAAGTGTTGGAATAAGACTGACTGTGCTTTAGTTGGAGCAAACAGATCATCGAGCACGACAAAGCCAGATAGTATCCGGGTTCGAACGAACGCAATGACCTTCAATTAAAAGAAAAACACCAACATCAAGGCCTTTAGCATCAACTTGTACATACTCATTCATACTATATCGAGCGATATTGAATCAGGGTGAGGGGACGGGAAGTGTCCAAATTCAGGGGGGATATCACTTTTAGGAAGACGGAAGAGCGAAAGAGCTTCATGCTCGCATCTGGACACTAGAGTCAACCTCTTCATGCTGAGAAGACAAAAGGCTTGACCAGAATCAGCCGAGTGAGGATCCGATTTGATACGCACAAAGTCAAAGACATATCCAAAAACACTAGTTCAAGGACGATATTGTTATCAAGGTTTTATCGATTGCCATTGTTTGAGCTGGTCAGCTATATAAGATTTCTCTCGTGCTAGGTAAGATGTGAATCTCTTCTGGTATGCATGACCATTCCAAGCGTCCTGCTCCACGTCTGTGAGGGTTGGCATGCCTACCTGCTCGATAGCATAGCCGGCAGCGACTGTGGCATGCACTAGGGCAAGAAGCACTCGTTGCAGCCGTGAATCTCCGACAAATCCAGATTCCACCAGATATTGCTCTGAAGGCAAGACTCTGTCCGTTAGAGCGACAGCCAAGGCACCCAAGAATGTATTTCCGCCCCCCGTAGGATCTACCACGTTTTCGGCACTTTGATGAGAAGCCTTCAAGTGTAGTAGGGTTTCTGAGCGTTGATAGGCGGTGCATCCCTGTGCTCCTTCCCTGATCACAAGCAGCGTATCTGACGGTTTCTCTTCGGACCGACCTAGGAGCTTTTCCACCATTTTCTGCTTCGAGTCCTGTTCAGGGCTGCCTGTAAAAAGCGCGGCAAACTCGTCTGCGTTCGGACTAATGACGTCGACATGTTCAATGGCTTCAAGTACCTTTTCGAGCTCCCTTGGAGTACACTGATCCGGCACCGGCTCCCAAACGAACACTGGTCTCGGCTCGTCTGGACCAAGCTTCTTTCGGCGAGCCAAAATGCCTCTGATGATGGACACGCAACGCTCCGGAGAGCACACCATGTGGAAAGACTCCGCCAGAGCCTGCTCATCAGACAAGGAGTCTTCATCAAGCCGTAACTTTGGCGTCAAGTACTTGAAGGCTTGTCATGTAAGCGACGCTCAATTTCGAGAAATGCAAGACGTACCCCTAAACTCGTTCGGCCCATATCCGTTCCACGCCGTCGTACTCAGTCGTCCCATGTCCAATCTGAAGATGCAGCTCGTCCGCCACGTGTCGATTAGTGCACGGAATTCGGATGGGAAATCTGATCCCATGTCTACTATCCAAGACACGGCATGGGAATTTTTCCTCCCAGCAGCAAGTCTAGCTCCTAGAGCTGCGTAGGTACCTGCTCCGCCGAGTATTTTCTGCACCGGTGCTCGACTGGCATTCAAGTACTCGATTTGATCTACGACATAAGTTAGGCTTGTTGCTGGTGATGTGTTATTTCTCTAGGCGTCCCCGTACCGATGATGAACATGCCAAATGTACAGAATGCCATGCGGTCTTGCATTGTTGCCATAATATAGATCTATGAAGATTTTAGTAAACTGTAACTCATCTCAATCGGTCACCCAATGGTGCGTCGGGACATTTATCGTTGTTGAAAAGTTGAGCCTCACAAAACTTCCAGCCTGACATGTGACTCGGCGTCCCGGTTGACTTTCCCTTTCAGCCGTGGGGCACACAACCAGAAGAGGACAGGTGAGATACGGGGCCTATCTGGCTGGCTATCTTGATCGATGAGATGCGCCTATCGTAGACCACGGATACCTGTGGCTTGGACTTTCCTCGTTGTGCTTCATATCTTGAGCGAATCGAACAGGGTGAACGGTGGTAGGCGGTAGAATGTCGGGTTGGTAAGGCTATTTACCAGGTGCACACAAACCACCGAACATATCACCACAGAATACTCCGTACAGCGTAATTAGCTGGACTGCTATGTCAGCATCAAACGGAGGAATCGGTCATGTCTAGTAGGACCACGTTGTAGTCATTTGTCTTGCTTTCTCCTGTTGTTGACCTTGGGGTGACAGTCCGCCTTGAGGGTCCGACGGCATTGCCGGCGCCACGCTGAAGTCAATCCCCGATCCAACTCCGTCCAAGCATCAGAGTCTCCGGTTTAATCAGGGCTGCCTTTCCAAAAAGACCTCCATCGGGCGCGATGTGATAGGACTGTTGTTGATGATCAGGACACATTTTGGAACAAAAAAAAGTCTTTCTCCTGCATAGGGGGAACATGTATTGTCAATCTCAGACCACAGCTGTCTGTCCACCCCGGAAGACTTGGGCGATTGTTGACCTTGGATGGCGACAATTATCACCGCCTCCGGTCCCTCCATCTGGGGGAGATTGTGGATTGAAGTAGTATCCGGCGACAGACGCCCGATCCACCACCACATGCCAAGTCAGCCCGTGAAGAATACCCCTTGGGGTGGTCAATAAAAAGTGAGAGGGAACGGGGGATAATAAATATCAGTGCTGCGCGTGTATGCAAAAACCTGGAGTGATCCTTACTTGACTTCCCCCAGAAGATTCACCTCCTTGTCCTTCTACATTGTTGACATTCATTCCCTCGGACCAGGCCCAGCGAAAACCCCCCTTCCCTTCCCATACAAACTTCATCGACAAAGCCCCCCCCTCCGCCGTGGCATCAAGATGGGTGATCATCATGGCCTGCCAGATAACATTTCAAAAACCATGTCCAACGATGATCTAGACAAGCCACAAGCTGTGACTGTCGAGTTACAGCGAGATGCCCCGGCCTACATCAAGTCTCTCAGCCCTGAGGACCGGGCGGCCAGAGAGAAGGCTCTCGTCCGCAAGATCGACCTTCGTCTCATCCCCACCATCGTCGTCATCTACATCCTGAACTACCTGGACCGAAACAACATCGCCGCCGCCCGTCTCGCGGGCCTCGAAGATGACCTCAAGCTCCACGGCACGCAGTACCAGACCGCGGTGTCGATCTTGTTCGTGGGTTATCTCCTGATGCAGGTCCCGTCCAATCTATTCATGAACAAGTTTGGAAAACCGTCCATCTATCTGTCCACGGCGATGGTCATCTGGGGTGCGATATCGATGGCCACGGCCGGCGTACAGAACTTTGGGGGTCTCATCGCGGTTCGATTCTTCCTCGGTTTCGTCGAGGCCGTCTACTTCCCCGGCTGCGTCTTCTTTCTCAGCTCTTGGTACACTCGTAAAGAGTTGGGATTCCGGACCGCCATGCTCTACTCCGGATCTCTCCTGTCCGGTGCGTTCTCCGGCTTGATCGCCGCCGGCATCACGGACGGAATGGATGGTCTGCACGGCTTGAGAGCTTGGAGATGGCTCTTCATCGTCGAGGGAGGCGTCACCATCGGCGTCGCCCTAGGTGCATATTTTATCCTACCCGACTTCCCCAGTACGACGGCTTGGTTGAGCGATGACGAAAAAACTTTGGCCATCTGGAGACTCCAAGAAGATATTGGAGAAGAGGACCGTACCGAGGATGGACAGGACTCCTTGCTCTACGGAGCCAAGTTGGCATTCCAAGACATCAAGATGTGGATTCTGGTAAGCAAAACCGCCTAGGTATGTGCGAATTCGTTGCTAATGGGCTCTTGTTACTATTGTAGATGGTGATCCTTTTCTGCATCGTCTTTTCCGGATCCGTGACGAACTTTTTTCCGACAGTCGTTGAGACCCTCGGGTACTCCAAGATCAACTCTCTGCTTCTCACCTGTCCACCCTACGTTTTGGGGGTCATCACCGCTTTCGTCAACGCCTGGCACGCCGACCGGACTGGGGAACGGTACTTCCACGTCACCACGCCGCTCTACTTTGCCATCCTGGCCTTCATCCTGGCGGCCGCCACCACCGCCACGGCCCCGAGATACGTCGCCATGATGTTGATGATCCCGGGAGTCTACACGGGCTACGTCGTCTGTCTGGGTTGGATCTCCAACACGCTCCCTCGACCGGCACCGAAACGTGCCGCGGCCATCGCGGCGATCAACGCCGTTTCCAACACCAGCAGCATCTTTGCGAGTTACATGTTCCCGGCATCGGCGGCTCCACGCTACGTCGTGGCCATGTCCATATGCTGCGCCATGGCCGGGACCGCCATCATCTTTGCCACCATCCTCCGCTTCATCTTGGTTAGGCTGAACCAGAAGCTCGACCGAGGTGAGTTTGTCGAAGGGGCCATCAACGCGTCCTCTGCATCCACAGGAGGCGGCGGCGAAAGGAGAACGAGTGTACTCGCAAGCGGCGGCGCCGTCCCAACTGAGGCGGCCACCAAGGGTTTCAGATTCCTGGTATAGACGACGCCGCCCACCAGCCCCAAACAGGATGAGAACTTCTTTTTTTTGATTGATAGATGCAACTGGCCCGAGTGGACGTAACAACGGCAGTCGCTATAAACACTCGGCTCGGATAGATAGGACATCAGCACTCATCGGTAGAATATTTAGAGACAAGGGAAATATAACACAACATGCACCCAGTATGTTGGTTGTCCTCGTGTTCTTCTTTCGCAGTTGGTCCATTCTTTGTAGCTTGCAACAGGTGGTTCTTCCTGCCCTGCCACTCTACAGTCACGACGGAGGATATCAACATCCCTGCTCAGCATATCTTCATACCTCAACCACAAGACGGAAGAAGGTGGGGAAGATGTAGCGATTTCACTAGCGGATAGTGTCGATGCCGGCCCGTGGGGATCTTAATTGAGGCAACGCAACCAACTTAACTTGACAAGGCCTGGACAAGAGCAACATCTTTCTTTCATTGATTGGACAACTAGGAATTGATCACGACGACGAGGAATATTTATCATGGTAGGTATGAAAGTTCAAGCACTCGAAGGACCTCTCTTCCCTCAAAAAATAGCTTCCACCTGCTTCAACCTCACGGACCGTAAGAAAAAACATCAAAAAAATCATCCCTCATTATCAGAATCTTGCCACACAAAACCTACGGCATTGATCTCGCCTCTCTCCCAACGCAGAGACAGAGGACTGATTACTATTAATAGTCTGCTATCGATTCAGTCCAACCGGCCTGTGGCCTGCTTGTCGCATCGACGGTTTACGGCCTGATTCCTTGCTTTCTTTGTTCGCTCCTCTAGGCTTTTTAGCTTAGGGAGGTCTACTTCATTGAATATGAGCGACATCAACGAACTCCCCAACACGTTGATACCTTTGGGGTCGTCGAACAGGAAGCGGCCAGCATCTGATTCGGTATCAACACATCCCAGATCCGTCGGGCGACCCTTGAAACGAACTGCGGCGTTGAGACATGCGGCCAAAGAAAGGAATTCCAGAGTCCAGCTACTCGTCGCCCGCCGACAAACCCAGACACATAACGGGCCTGCCGGTGGTCGACATTCACGTGCCGCCGGAATGTCTAGAATCGAGTCACTGCCACATGAAATCATCCAGGAAATCTTTTTCAAGGCCGACATGGAAGTCAACTTGGCACGAGCTTCGAGGCGTTTGGGCGAGGCTCTTTCCGTCGAAAGCATCTACCTCTCAACCATCGCCACGGCTTTTTTTGACGATGACACGGAAGGTCCCATTGTCGAAGAATACTTCAAGCCGGCAGGTTACAGCCACATCGGTCTGGAACAGAAGATTCGAATCCAGAGAAACTTGATGACCTGCAAGTGGTTCAACCAGGAACGGTTGGAAAAATGCCTTCCGAGACTCGTCCACCTAAAGGTCTGCCAGGTGAGGGCGAGGGAGGTCAGAGAGCAGAACTCTTTTGGTCTCTCCGAAGACGCCATCGCTCACCCTTATTGTCACGGTGAAAGGAGAAATGTTCTGGGAACGATCCCCGAAGCGGGCGACGAAAAGGGTCTAATGGCACATTATCGAGCCCCTTGTAACTTTCTCTACACGACGGAAGATAATTTTCACGGCCGACGACGACGCCCAGGGCAGCAGCGGGAATCCAGCCATCCGCAGATGCGCCAACCCCCCTCGGATTTGGAGTTTGGTGCGGAGGAGAAGGTGGGAGAGCAGGTATGGCCCCCGGTCCCACGGATCTGGACTTGGAAGTGTTGGGCCGACCGGGAAGGCAGGCTTCACAAGGAGATGGACCGAGGGGTAAGCGTCTTGGCCGTACGAGTGATACCGGACAAATTCCTAGACCTTCCAAGATGGACGCCCGAAAACATCAGTATACTCAGACTTCTCCGCCAAGGGATGAGGTTTGTGGAACACGATCAGGTTTTGGAGATTTCTGCAGAGGCTCTGTTCAAGGGACTCAGGACTGCACTACGACAGAGGAATGAAGAGGCCACTTTGGTCTTGCTCGAGTTACATTATGCCACCATGAGAGTGGCGGCACAAGTCGAGTCCGAGCCGACTCCTCCCGTGATTCCATCAGCGAGGCAGCCTCGCTATCACGACCTAGTCGGTCCATTCGTACACCCTCTACCGAGGTCGTTGATCCTAGATGCCCTTCCACCGGAGGGTAGCAACCGTGAATTCAACCCCATGACGGTGCGGCTTTTGTCCTACATGATCAGTGAAGGTATCGACTCGGTTGAACATCGCTCTCAACTTCGCCGCCTGTCGAGGTGGGCCATCAATGCCTCCAAAAACAACAACAACGCTACCACCACAAAAGTCAGGGAATTGGGCCGTTGGATCATGGGACAAATGTTTCGAACCATCGACCACGGCCTCGGGGTGGAAGAGCGTTTGTTCGTCAACGGAAGACTGGCGACGATCGACGAAAACACAGATGTGCCTTGGCCGTGGGCCAGCGGCGACGACACCACCTTCACCAAGAGGTTGGGATATGACACCGACGGTGAAGTGACTCCCACGTTGCCACCCACCGCTCCCGACGGCGGGCCTTGTGGTGGTGACAGACCAATTCCACTTACGTGGGATCCTCCTGACCCGATGACGGAGGAATCATTCCTCCAAGATGATGACGAGCATGAAGAAGATGATGGGTGATGTTTTGGACGAACCATACCCCTTTTATAACGACCTTTGAAGACGATTAACAGATGGTGGATGGGCTGATGGTATCGACACCTGTTGACCATGAGGAGTTTTTCATATACCTTTGCCTTTTATGCAATGATGACAGTGATCATGTCGTCATTTTCGAACTTCCATCTTCTTGTCCTTTCTCAGTCGGATTTCATTGATCGTGGTCAAGATTGTGCCAAACAAGTGTGACCCAGAGAAGGTGCTCAGTGAGCCTACCTTGAGTCCAGAGTATTGATTGTTATCAAATTTACAGGTGCCTAGAGGGAGAGGCCACAGAGGTGCCTTGCGTAGATAGGTAGGAAGACATCGCCGTCCCTCGCGGGAACCGTCATCAGTAAGCCATGTTTTTCTGGACAACGCCCTGGGGGAAAGACCCCCCTCCGGAATTCTTCACTCAGGCAGGCCATGCAGACCTACTCGCTGTACTCCGTACCCGGAAGACCCTTTTTTTTTCCAGTAACAATCATGGCCTCCTCCAAAAATGCACACGACAGACGACCCCTCTAATCCCCGGGCGCCGAACAAACAGGTTGCCTTGTTTTGACTTTTCCGTTGTTCATTTCGCTTTTGTGTTTTGTGTGACTCTGTACATGGCTGTACACACAAGATGAGATTCAGACCAGGCCAGGTTTGATCAGTGATGCCCTAAACCCAGGTCGAGCCGTGTCAATGATGACAGTTTTTGCTCAGCCGAAGGATTCCGTAATGTACAAACATGGAATAGGAAGGTACTGGATCCGCCTACCCATGAGGGGTGAGTGATCGGCTGATTGATGCTCCTGTGAATTGCTTCCTTTGGGGACAGTCACTTCTCAAGGCTGATTGTACATGTTGATAATGTCTCTTTCCTCCCGTTCTCTATCCGGGTTCAGAATGAATCTGACGGTTCCTTCGCGACCCCTCTCTCCCATTCGTTGCCTCACAGCCGTCCCCGTAGGTATCGCATTCGCTCCTCCGGGAGGTGGGACACTCGTAGGAGCCGTGCTCGCGCTGCTGGCGTTCGTGCTGGGGCTGGCTACGTCCTTGGGACTCACATTCTTGCTCGAATCACGACTCCGGCTGTGTGGGTGATCTCCATTCGCGATCGTCCCGTTCGAGGTGCTCGTACTGCCGTTCCGTTCGGTGCCTCCTTCGAACCACGCCGTGAAGCGGGGGATCTTCTTCTCCTCGCACTCCACGTTGAGAGGGATTCTGACGTTGAGGAAGATCTCGACCGGGAATTCCGGTCCCACGGTGGTCGACATGCGATGGTGTGTGTACAATTCCAGCAGATCAAGCAGTGTTTCCATGACCATGCCCCGATCGATCTTGAACTGATTGTAGTCTTCGCCACGCCAGATCGCGCGATGTTCGATATCGTGCAGCCGTCCTGCGAGTTCGAGGCATGAAAAGGCCAACGTGGCGTTGGTTTGCTTGAGAGGAGCAAAGGTGCGGAAGAGGTCGAGGGATATGCTGTATGCGGTGCGGGCGACGGGGGATGATTTTTCGAACTCGTACATTTTGGCGAGCTTTATCATCAAGCCTTGGGGATGGGAACTGCGAAAGTCAAATCCTGATGCTTCGAGCATGAGTCTTTCGAGACCGATTATGGTGCGTGATTGTGCTTCGAAAATCTAACAAGAAAGACAGAAACAATGTTAGTCATTAGTCCGAGTTGAAGTTTAAGTCTGGCCCGAGTCTCCTCATATATTTTACATCCAATCTCAAAATCAGGAGAGCCAGAAGCTCTGTATGATGAGAAGAGAGGCAAGAAAGGGCAGGTACGTACCGGATTGTCAGGGGAGAGGTGGTCTTGACGAGGAATCTTGGAGTTGTGGGCTGCGCAGAGGATGTCTCGTGACTTTTTGAGGGTGTCTTCGATTTTGCAGGCCGTGAAGAGTGCTGCGGCGGCGGCATCCTGTGGTATTGGTGCGAAAGTCAGTCATTCGATTCCACCACAACATGTTGAACTATACGAAAGAGATTCATAGGACTTACCACGAAGCTGTACTCTCCATCGGAGTGCTGAAGGCGGAATTTGTGGAAGTAGATGACTGCTGTGTTGAATGTTCTGACTGGTCTGTAGATAGATGCATTAGTCTGAGCTCTTCTTTAGCTGCATTTGTCTCTGCCTTAGATTCCTTTTCATAACTCTCTCTGATTGAAGCATGCTGAACAGCTTATTGGGGTAGAGGTTTGTAGAGCGTGATTTATAGGTAAGGCCTCATTCAGCGAACAGAGGAAAATAAAACCACAAACAACCCGCAAAACTCACAATTTCAAAACTCTTCTAACATTGTCAATCCACAACACCCCAGCTAGTCTGATACTATCCTCTCTGGCCTGGCTGACCCCGGTATCATGGAGAGCCTTCTGGATCTGTTGTTCAAAGATATAGGCCTTGGCGACTTGGACGTAATTAGACAAAGGGCCACTTCTACCGCTACCCTGTGATGGTCTAGCAGGAGGATGGTCACCGTTGGCTGGACGCATTGTGACGTCGTGCTCGTGTTCTTGGTCGTGAGGAGTGCGGCCGGCACATCCGCAATTATCGGTGCAGTTGCAACCTAGTACCCAGGGACAATACTGGTATTGAGAGTCCAACGGATTGGTATTGAGAGTCCAACGGATTGGTATTGACGCTGAGAGTGGTGTTTGTGATCAGTTGAGATGCGCCGGAGTTGTTGCCACTATCATGACTATCAGAGCTGGCTTCATTCTCTTGCGATTCTGGTGTCAATAGACTTGTACTTGTGCTCTCGGTCTCAGCCTCGGAAGTGCTTGTGTTCTCAAGAGATGGAGGTAGAGAAGGTGGATGGGTTGTTGGTTGAATCAACCTCGTGAAGTTTGGAGATTCACTTGGCATGACTTTGATTGTTCCGCTTTGAGTCTTGAAAGAGGAGAATCACGTGCTGATATCGGAAGAACCTCGGAATATTGTATCTTGATTTCTTTTGGACTTGTACAGCGTCACGACGCAACACAGCAATCTTGGATGAAGTCTCAGGAATGATGTGAAAAGAAATCACACAGACACAGAGAGACATTGATATGTCACCTCGTGCCATTTGCGTCGCGCAGGTAGTTACAATACAGTCTTGGCACATACGGGACTGTGCCTTACGATGGAAGTAATGATAGACGCCCAGAGAATTGCTTCATATTAAGGTAACTACCTAATGTAGGTACAGGAACTTCTTAAGTAATGATTCCGCCTTGAAGATATGCGCCGAGAAAAACTACCAATGTAAGTACATAGAGGTATCATGTGTTTGCTCTGTGGCCACCTTCAACACCCCGTGAATTCATGGTTTTCTCCGATGTAGACAGAAGCGCCCGAAAGATTCTGTCTGAACGTAGATGTTATGCCAGTATCAGCCCTTGAAATACTTTTCGTAGTAGGAACAAGACTTGCAGTTGTCGAATGAGGTTCGCAAGATGTGGAAGCCGGTTGACGCATGCAAAGGTAGTCAGCCTGACATCGAAATGTGTAAGCAGGCGAAGGGAGTTTGGTGGGCAGATTTCGCCTACAACTACTCCATGCTTTCCCAAACTCTTCTTCTCGATTACAGGAGATGATCAAGATGCCGCAGCAGAAACCTCTTCGGATTTGGCATCAACCTTCTTTGGCTCCGGTCCGGCCTCGCCATCTTCTTCTCTGGCTCGCTTCTTGCTTGTAGTCTCTTCAGCACTGCCATTCTGGTGAATAGCCTGGTCTCCTTGCTCTTTCTTCGTCTCTTCTTCAACAGCGGCTCTAGCCTTGGCCAGTGCTTCATCGCGACCAGAGTCCTTCGGTCCTGCAGAAGACTTAACCGTAGGAACTCCCCTGCGTCAACGTCAGTATTGAGTCTCAGGGCATACGGACATGCAGGGCGCCTTACCTCTCATCTGTCTTGTCCTCATACGACCGGCCACCTTTGTGTCCACGATCACCACGTCTCTTGTCATCTCTGAAACCGCGCTTCTTGTCCTCATCTCTTCGAGTTCTCCAGTCTCGAGTATCTTCTCCGTCTTTCTTTCGCTTGTAGTCTCGACCATCACGGTTATCTCTTCTTCCTGATTGGAATCTCGACTTGTTTGGTACGATCTTGCCGGCTTTGATGTCATCCGCCTTCTTCTCGCAGTACTCTCGCTTGCTCATGATCTGGAGGTCGTTGCCCTTGTACTGCGGCTTTGGATCCAACGCGAGAAATGCCTTGGCCGTCTCCTCCGTATCAAACTCGACAAACACACTTCCCTTGAACAGCTTGTCTTGGGCACGTCGCAGTCGGACTGCTTTGACGGGACCATAGGGTTCGAAAAACTCTTCAATGTCGAATTGTGTGCTGGCAACTTCGTCCCCAAAGCCTTTGACATAGACACTGCGTGGCATGGCAGCATTCTCTTGGATGGTGATTTTGTTCGGGTCATCCCAGTCCTCCGGTAGGTCCTTTCGTCGAACGCGTGTCTCCTCGTCGGTCAATTCCACAAAAGTCGAATCACGCAGCGCTTCTACGACTGCCTCAAAAGGCTGAAAGCGTTGCATACGTTTGAAGTTATGGATTGTTTTCACATCGACGGACTGATTTTCGCTTTCCTTGATCGACTTGCGGATAAAGGTATCAGTGTGCAGGTTCGAGTCAGAGAAGTAGAACTCGACCTTAGAAGAAGAGAGTTAGTATACACTGCCGAGTTACATCTGTGCCGCTTCTAGAGACATACCTGTTTGCGAATAGCGGCAGGGTCATTGGTCACTTCTTTGGAGGTTGGGTCGAATTTGCTATTGTTGCGATAGTTGCGAGGAGTAAATCCTCCTCGGCGATCGCCACGGCCACCTCGCCCGCCACGTGAGTAGTGTGCGCTGTCGTTGCGGTGTTCTCGATCTCTGCTGTCATCTTCTTTCTTGTCTGAATCATCGGTCGCAGGCTTCTCGACAATTGTGGTTTCACTGGTTTCCTGCTTCTGCTCGGAATCACCCTGCAATTCTGCTAAGAGCTTCTTCGCATCTTCGGCGGCTGCGGCATTGTGATCAACAGCTGTCTGTAGGGCATCGGTCACTGTTTCTTCCGCCATGGTCGACACAGTGGACAGTGAGAGTCGTGATGCGGGGAGGGAAGAGTTGGAACGGTGGAAGAGAGTAGGACAAGTTCAAGCTGTGAAAAGTTCAGATGTGCCCAAAGAAGTTTCACTGTGGTCTTTGTACAGGTCAACGAATAAAACTGAAGACAATTTATTGTCTGCGTGTGAAGTGTATGCACAAGACTCTTTCTTCACTAATTACCTGATGTTGCGAATCGCAGTCCAAAATTTTTGGCCTTGAATAGACTTTGTTTCTAAAATTTTGCGGGGCAGCGGCTTGGCAGAAGGCTTTGAGGCAGCCTTACTCGTGACACCCCCAATGACGCTGCCTAGTGGCCTGGAGTATCTACTATCTAGGTACCTTAGATATCTATCTCGGTACTCGTACGTGCATTCAAAGAGACCTTGGTCATGCCGGCGAATGTGGACAAGAAATTGCGGGACAATGACAAGGAACTGCAGAGTCTGCAAGCGCTGACTTTTTTGTAAACCATGCCGCCAAGTGCCAAAGGATTGGATGCCCACCTCGGTTCTTCCAAAAGTGTACTGACACGAAGTGTTTCTGCTTCTCCCTTATTGATGAAAAGTCGATGAAGGCCGATTTCGATACTAGACAGCGCTTGCAAAGGTCTCGACCAGGTAAGGCGGCTAATTGTTTACCTTACCCACTATTGGCTCCCCCAGACCCCAGGCCTTCCCGAGCCATTCACTTCTCAAATATTTCTTCAAGGGTTGTCAACGCAGAGTCAAGTCCGATTCAAATTATGGGACTATAGGCTGCAGATTTCGTCCCTAATACCTGATGAATCTTGTTGTGAGCATTGGGGCGCGGTCCACGGGCGCAGCTCAGCCTCGCTAACTAAGCCAGAACTCAGCCGCTTCAGGCAACTGACCTATTCCCGGCCAATGTGACCTCAGTCCGTCCGAAACATATGAAGGCGGCAGAAGTTTCACATTCCACAGAGGCCTGTCCCACAGCCTCTGGGGGCTGACAATATGCCTATCCTTGGAATTGTATTATAGCACGTATGAAGCCTCAACTGTGCGCAATGGCCTTTTCTCAACATGACTTCTGAAGTTGTCTGAGGCGCGATACTTTGGCGCGTAAGGCTGACATTGAAATCCCAGCAGATCATCTTCCCAGTAAGAGAAGAAGGCTCGACGGAAGAAAAGGACCAAAGACTCGAACCTCCCAACCGAAATGCCGCTTTATCCACGGCTCACTAGGAAGAATCCGGTTGTGTTCGAACATGCAAAGTTGTTCTCGCAAGTTGACATTTACGACGAAGTGCCAACACCTGGTGTCCAGCACAAGGAATTTCAACCACAGACGCGGCGGCTGTGGACGCCTCTTTTTCTCCGACGATACATATTATCGCTATTCTTGTCAGCGTTCTTGCTGGTGGCCGTTGCGCTTGCGGTGCTCTTTTCCGTGGCGAAGAAAAATCACGGCATAGTCGATGTCCGAGAGGATCTATCTTACCTATGGATATTCGGTCCGACTGTGGTTTTTATCGTCATTGCAGCCTTCTGGACCCAGGTCGAATTTCGCACAATGCAGATGATGCCCTGGATCGTCATGTCCAAAGATCAGGTACCAGCTGATGAAAGCGTCCTGCTCGACTACGTTTCTATGTGGAATCTTGTGGCCATGTTCAAAGCGGCCAAGCGAAAGCACTGGGTTGTCTCGGTTGCAGTTCTAGGAACTCTTCTGATCAAAGTGCTCATCGTCCTCTCCACGGGTCTCTTGGTGAAGCAGGACATCACCATTGAAAGGCCGGCGACCTTCACCCTCGCCTCTACCCTCGACGATTCATCCTTCACTGACGCCTTCCAGCAAACCGCATCTTCCGATCCTTATTTCGTCAGTGTAGGCATCATCTCCCAAAACCTGTCGAGCCCAATAGGGACCCAACACAACCTTGTTTACGAGACTGTCAATAACGACCCCTCTACCAATATGACGTCTACCGTCGACCTAAAGGTCTTGTCGCTCAATATGACCTGCGAAACCGCGCAACTGTCTCCATACAACCCCGGCAGCCCCGGAAATACCTGGAACGACACCATGCAAATCGAAAGCCCCACATGCAAGAATGCCAGTTGGTGGATGAACATGAACTTTACGCAGGAGGGTGATGGTTACTTTCTTTGGAACAGCCCGGGATGTTGTTCCTGTCGAGACCAGGACGCGTTGATTCTCCTGGACGTGGACACTGTGCCCGACCGATACTCCTACGACTGGCGACTCATGATGTACGGTGGTAATCGCAAACCCGGCGGTAATCGCACAATCCTGATAAATCCAACATTCGATACTGTCGATTTCCAACCTCTCATTTGCAAACCTTCCTATAGGGCTTACTATGGAAGAGTGATGTTCCCGCCAGGATTGACCACGTCCAACACAGAGGTGCAGATTGAACTCGGGGATCCCACCAATATAACGACCGTTGATGATAATATTGCCCAGAGATTGTTCTTGCGCGCTTACAAGGCTTTCGATAATGGGAACGGGGGCGAATTGAACACGGCTTACTTAATCGACCCTGGCTGGGATGGAGATCATTCCCAGTTTTTCGATCCAGCATATCTCGCTCAACATGCCGAGAACACAATACCCGTGATGATGGCCCAGGCAGCAAAGGACAACATCTTGATGCCATCGGATGCCGTCGCTCAGGGTAGCGTTTCATCGCGGCAATCACGGCTCTCGATCAGGACGGTGTCATTTGTTGCAACTGAAATCATTCTAGTACTCATTTGTCTCGTCTCGGCCTTCTTGATATGGTCCGATATACGGCAAGTATGTCCTCGGGACCCGGTGACAATTGCCGGCCTGAGCACGATCCTCGCGCGCAGCAACAAGTTCAATGCTGTTCTTCGTGACTCCGGAACGTACAAGGTCGAACAGATTGCGCATTTGCTAAGTGGCTACGAATTCCGCACCGAAAGGGATTCAGAGTTCTACTTTTCTATCGAATGTGAGCATCCAGTGATCGAGCAGCACCGCGCGGTGTTGCTACAGCCTAACAGTCGGGATGTCGCTTGGTGGCGACCAGCAACGGCGAAATGGCCTTTACGCATCCTAATAATCTTATCTCCCATCATATACATCGGCATTCTGGAGCTTCTCTACCAACTTTCAGTCAAACATGACGGCCTGGCAAACACAGACACAGAAAGCTTTTCTCATTACGCCTTCATCTACGTGCCTGCATTCTTTGTGCTCGTAGTCCGAACCATCTATGACATGCTGGACTTCACCGCTCGTACAGCTCAACAATACCACCTCCTGAGTAAGGGAAACGCTGATGCGGCAGGAAGTATCTTCCAAAACCATCATCGGCGAATCACACTTCTGGCATTCTTATCCGCCCTAAGACGAAAACACTGGGCCGTCATATCGTCTACCCTTGCGGTTCTTATTGCGCCGACACTCTCCATAACAGTCTCCAGCTTGTTCACCTCCATTAATACAACAACTAGTCAATCAATAAGTCTGGTACAACGAAGTCGTTGGAACATCAGCGATGCAACCAGTGACATATATTACTCTCCAGACTGGTACCCTGGGATCGAGACGAGAGCAAGTGTTTCCGGTATCAACATTTACACTGGGCAGCAAGCTCTTACTGGTGGTCTCATTGAGAACTTCAATCTCTCGTTTCCTCAATGGACCTACGGCCGCTTTGTGTTCCCACATTTTGACTTGCAATCCGATAAGTCGCCCACCGCGAATTTGAGTGGGCGACAAGTCCGAGGTCGCATACCTGCGATGCAAGGTAACCTGAACTGCAATCACACAACTGGTACCTCCTCCTTTGCTTCTGATGTATTCTCTTTCAACGGGCTCCAGTTTGGCTCTCGGGAAGATAATTGTGGATATCCGGATGCTTTGGCGTACCAGAACTATGACACCCAGCGGCCGTCGTATAACTTTAACTTCTACAATCAGACAGCGGACAACCCCAGTCCGGGTACAGTAGACATCACGTCGAGGCCAGATTGCCCGACTATTGTATTCATGCTTGCCGAGATTGACGAGGGCAACACTACCAAAGCAACGGCCCTGCAATGCCGCCCACGCATTGAGCTTGTCAATGTCGACGTTCAGCTGGACTATCCTTCATGGCAATTCGACATCAACAATCCACCACAGGCAGTTCTTGGCACCGAGACTATCTTGTACGACGGTTACTTCAATTCAAGCCGGGGCGGCGACGTATTTCCCAGCCTTGTAGAGCTACAGGCGATTCTTCTCGGTCAGGGGGTTTTGCTCGACTGGCTCACTACGCTTTCGAATCTGACACACCTGTCTGCTCCGGAGTTAATGAATGCATCAGTACTGAACAGAGAGATGTCTCGTCTTTACGGAACTGTCGTGGCACAACTAATCAACACGTACGCAACTGAGCCCAACACAAAGCCCACCGGTGACGATCCCGGCCAGGCTCCCGTCGCAGCGACATTCCTCAATCCGACACAGCCACGAATCAAGCAGAACATGATTGCGACGCGTGTTCTTCAAGCCATCTTTGCCACGATGGCCATCTGCGCCATATCCAGCATGTTATTTGTCGACACACACAAAGTCATGCCGAAGAATCCGTACAGCATCGCATCTGTAGCAAGTCTGTTGGCGAGTAGTCGAATCCTGGCAGCCATCCCGCCTGGTAGTGAATGGTCGAGCGACAAAGAGCTGAAGCAGCTCGGCATTTTTGAAGCAATGAAGTTCCGTATGGGCTGGTGGGAACATCGTGACATGAGAAGATTTGTAATTGATTATTATGAAGATGAGGGATCTTTGGAACAGTATGAATACCCATACCAGTGCAGAGGTCGAGATATGTACATGAGATGATGGGGTGATGATATGAATGCTTTGATATTTTGTCCTAACTTACGGGAGAACTGAAGGGCCTAAGCTGAGCGAATAAGAATAAAAGAACTAAAACAAATCGTCCTCTGGGTTCCACCTTAAGGGCAGCTGCTCCGTATGAGGATCAACTACTTCAGCCTCGTCCAATGTTCTGGTACTGTATGGTGCGTGTAGGAGGTTGTCTTTTGTTGGAATCGAACTGCGACATTCTATGCTTCATAACAACCTGTCATATGCCGAGTGGTCTGACCTGGAGAAAGGGGGACTTGGTTCCAGTACAGAAATGGCCCACAATATCCAGAAGCATGAAGACC